TTGAGAAGAAGATTTTTAAAGGATTTTCATACATATTTCTTTGTAAAACCTTGTTTGGTCATTTTGGTTCCGCCCTACCCCCCGGGGTCATGATTTGAACAAATTTGAATCTACACTACCTGAGGATGTTTCCCCTTAAGTTTCATCTTTCCTGGCACATTGGTTCTTGAGAAGAAGATTTTTAAAAGATACCACCAAATTTTCATTAATTCCCAATTACCCTTGAATGAGGGCATGGCCCTTCATTTGAAGAAACTTGAATCCCCTTCACCCAAGGATGCTTTGTGGCATATATGGTTGAAATTGGCCCAGCGGTTCTTGAGAAGACGTACATCAAAAATGTGAAAAGTTTACAACAACGACGATCATGACAATGACAACGACAGACAACAGAAAAATTGTGATCAGAAAAGCTCACTTGAGCCTTTGGCTCAGGTGACCTAAAAAGTGAGGACAAGGTCAAAATATTGATTCAGTTGAGAGTTCTCACAAGTATCTATCAGCATAAGAAGTGTGATAAAAATATCTTGAATATAGTTTCTTTGAATCCGAGCTTTGAAATTAGCTAAACACAAAGCATAACAGAAGGACAGACAGAGGGACAGCTAGAAGATGGACATTACAAGCTGTATGCCCTGGTCATTTCATGGCTGGGCATAAAATCCATCTTCTTTAAAACCACTGGGACAGAAAAGATGTAACTTATGGGGAAGCATTCTGGGGTATTTTAGGTTCTAAATTAATAAAATCATGGCTCCAAGGGGTAAGATAGGGCCACAAAGGGGGGGTGGGGTGGGGCTGTTGAAGAACAGCAGGACCAAAGTACACAGATAAGCATTGTAGTACATAGGCCTCTTTTATTTATTCATATTTTGTACAATTATTGTGGTTTTTCACTATTTATCAAGAAAGTTTTCTTTTTTTCTTGCCCCCATCGCTTTCCACGATTCATATCCCCCAGGCGCCATGGGCATGCGCAGTCAAAATTATGCATGAAGACTTTTCCCGCTATAATTGCACCTTTATTTTAAACTGTATAAGTAACTAACTTACATATATCCACCTTACAATGTATGGATATCATGTAAACAGATATTTCATATACCAATCTAATGACCTGAAATGGCGACAAAAGGAGTACCCACCGATGTTCATGTTTTCAACAAAAACATACCAGTATATAAAGTAATAAAAAAAAACAATTACAACGAAAATTATCTTACCTCAGTCTGATGTAGTCTTCTTCTGTATCTTTGGTGATGAAAGAACGCTTTGAGATATCGTATGGAAGGCTTTGCAAGAGCAATGCGAAAACACTGCTATTCGATGTAAATCAAATATCAGTGTGGTGAATTCTCGTCAATGGTCAGCTCACGTGATCATTCTGGTCGACAGAGCGTGAAAACTGTGGAGAGAGAGAGAGAGAGAGAGAGTAAATTGTTTGTAATAATTAATGTATTGTATATTGCAAACTTAAAAAAAGAGCAAATTTTGAATTGTTTGAAATATGATAAGGAATTGGATATGTTGGAGAGAAAGTTTTTCAGAGACACGCCTTTATTCATGGAGCTCAGAATTAAACTAAACTCAACTAATCTAAAACACTTTTTTACTTTTAAAAGATATCATGAACTCAGCATCCCTGTAAACTTCGAAGGGAAAGGAAAAGGGAACGGGAACAAAGAATTCAAATGACAAAGTGAAAATAAAGGAAAGAGTATTGTATTGTTTATTACCAAGAATCATACAGGTTTAACGTATATACATAAATCAGTTTGTACAATATACATGTATGTACATGTATAAGCATTTCAATATCACTTGTATATTAAGTAAAGCAGGATCATAGAAAGAGAATCTTAAAATTACAAACTATTCATTCTAAGTTCTTCAAACTTACAAACTATTCATTCTAAGTTCATAAAACCATAGGCGCTCCCTATGTAATTCTGTAAATGACGAAATATAGATATTATATAGTCTACCCCCTCTATACTATAAAATCAACAGTATAGGGGGGGGGTAGACCTAGATATACTTATATTTCGTCATTTACAGAATTACGAGGGGAGCGCCTATGCATAAAACAGGCAAAGCATCGTAATTTAAATTTGGTAATATGGTGGTAGTGAGGATACATTCGCTAAATCAATGTCAATTAACTTCAAACATTAAAAAAGTAAAAGAATAGGGAGGAAGTATGCAAATATTTTATAAGTAGCAGGGGCGGATCCAGCAATTTTTGAAAGGGGGGGTTCCAGGATTGTGTCCCTCAACCCCCCCCCCCCCCCCCTTACACACTCTCAGGCAAAGATTCATACACACATGTATGGAAAAATATAAAATTGTGGAAAATATATTGGTTCTACGTCCTTATTTCTTTGAAAAGGTACCCCCAGTCTGTATAAAAAAAATTAACACATTTAAAAAACTACTGAAGCCTTAAAATTGAATGGATTTGCAGCATTTCCGAAGAGTAGAATGGATTTTCTTAATGAATTTGAAAATCCTTTTTGGGTTGGGTATGAAACAATGAATTAAATTTTAGTTCCTTCATTAGATTTAATTTTAAAAAACGACACCTTCTTGTATATAGCCAACACAGACGTACAAATACTTATTCTTGGGAAACGTTTTATCCCCCTTCTTTCTCTCTCTTTCTCCACTTGGCAAAAAATAAAGGGGGGGGGTGTTCCAACCCCCGGAACCCCCCCCCCTCTGGATCCACCAATGAGTAGGCCTATATTGAATTTATCCCCAAACCGATTTCATGAGTCATTTGAAAACCACTTGGAAGCAAATCATAGAAGTGTACGGAGATGGCCGGTGTAAAGACGAATAATGACCCCCATCGAATAATGACCGGGGGGTCATTTTTCAACGACAAAAAATGACCCCCCCACCCGTAGAAAAATTTCATTTCTTGTAGAAAAAGAGTCCTATGGGTCATTATTTTATATGTTAGTCCTATAAAAAATTGACCCCCATTGAAAATTGACCCCCTTTAAAGTGATAAAAAATTTATAAAAGGTGATAGGGAAAATATGCTCTATATTATAATTGTTCTTCCATCGAGTAATTCATGCATTTGTTCTAATAGATTTGATCTTTGTTCTTCTTAGCACGTAGGGGTAATAAAGTTTCTCGTTTCTCTCAGTTTTAAGCTATAAACAATCAATCAATTAAATTTCATTTCTCTAATAAAGGAGCAAACATAGAAAATCAAAGATGGCACATGTAAAAAGATCAAACACACGCTGGAGATGAAATCTATGAATATATTTTTTTTCTTTACTGACTCCATTGATACGTTGTTTCAGAAAAAAATATATTTGTTGGGAAAAAGTAGAAATTTGTAGCAGACGAATTAATATCGGTGCGCACAAATAAGTAATTTGTTCGAATTAATAAGGTTTCATTCGGACGAGTGAGTAAAAATAGAAATGGATGACAGGACGCCTCGATGCTGTATATTTTATATATGTTCCATCCTATACATGCAGAATATCACTATATAATTAAAGATAATTTAAATCTTTGTAAATACATATTCTTTTTATACCCCACCCCCTACCCTCCAAGTTATGCTTGAAAAAAAGTTGACTTGTTCAATGCTATATACATGCCTGCACATACATATATAAATTATGAGTTTGTTATTCTTTCAGTCTTATATCTATAAGTATAAAGAGTATAATAAATTTTTATTTGGACAAACGAAATGAGGAGAAATATAGTACATGGTATATTTTTTCTGTCCCCTCTTTGCAAGTTATTTTTCTATAGAAAATACAAGAAAATAATGTGTATATATACAACAAAAATATGTCATCATGAAACATACCTAGCTTGACATGCAAGATCAATGTAATCAATATATTTTGACATGCTAGATATATACGTATGTTCACAAGCAACTTGTCCATAATATCGACATGCAACTTATCCATAATATCGACATGCAACTTATCTATATCGACATGCAACTTATCTACATCGACATTCGACGTGCAACTTATCTATAATATCGACATACAACTTATCCATATCGACATGCAGCTTATCTATATCAGCATACAACTTATCTATAATATCGACATACCACTTATCTATATCAACATACATCTTATCTATATCAACATACATCTTATCTATGTCGTCATATATCTTATCTATATCAACATACAACTTATCTATATCAACATACATCTTATCTATATCAACATACATCTTATCTATATCGTCATACATCGTATCTATATCAACATACAACTTATCTATAATATCTACATACAACTTATCTATATCGACATGCAACTTATCTATATCGACATGCAACTTATCTATATCGACATGCAACTTATCTATATCGTCATTCGACATGCAACTTATCGACATGCAACTTTTCTATAATATCGACATGCAACTTATTCATATCGACATGCAACTTATCCATATCGACATGCAACTTATCAATATCGACATGCAACTTATCTATATCGTCATTCGACATGCAACTTATCCATAATATCGACATGCAACTTGTCAATATCGACATGCAACTTATCCATTATCCATATCGACATGCAACTTATCCATTGTCCATATCGACATGCAACTAAACCTTTTTTTGTAAAAAAAAAAATACACTCAAAAAATTTGATGGTTTTTAAGACAATGGAGAAAAATCATATCGGGTGAAAATATTTGACCTTGACCTTAGAGGTTGGACCACTTTAAAAGAAAATTTTAACCTTGACCATAACTTTTGAACCGTCAGACTAGTTCTGCTTATCGTTTATGTGATGCGGTGTGTGGGGTGTGTGTGTGTCATTCAATCGAATTTCTAATCTTCGGATATTATAATTAATAAAGTTATTTATGTTTTAAAGTAAGCTGACTGTTATATATTATACGATATATAAATGGAAAAATTTATAAAAAGTCATATCAACACATGATCAAAGGAGTGTAAGTATTTGATCGAGTTCGACATTACAAAAATTTACACCAAACTTAAATAATGGCGGGTTGGGAAATTCCAAACGTTTAGTCATGTTTTTGTTGACTATTGTTACAGAATTCATAAATATGAAAACTTAAAGATCAAAAGTCAGTGTTCTTTGCCTGTATGAATGATGTAAGTAAAGAGCTAGTACTTAAAATTGACCTTTAAGTCAAGAGTTTTTTTAATTGTTTATGAAAGTGACTATGCAAGATGAAGATTAGCAGGTCCCACATAATCTTTTGTATTACTATGTAAGCCTAGTTTTAAAATGCTATACAGCTTTATATTGAGATTCAAATATAGCTTTGTAAACCTTTTTTTGTAAAAAAAAAAAAAAATACACTCAAAAAATTTAATGGTTTTTAAGACAATGGAGAAAAAGCGTAAGCTTGAAAATTTTTGTATTATGGACTACAATTAAAAACGCAATCCCTACAAAGATTTGCTTTTGAAACCCTTATTTTCCACTGTTTAGGCAATTTTGCCTTACTTTGTGGAAAAAAGCATGTAATGAATCTCGGAGAGATTTTCTGAGACTATAAATATGAACAGTTATCTTCTGAATCTCAGACCAAAGTCTCAAAGTGATTTTTGAAATCTTAATGTGCAGACTTTGCTTCAGCTTTTCAATTGGGACATCCTATTAACTCCCCAATGAATTGACTGTCGGACCATTAGGGCGAGCATAGATACCTATTCAGTTTTAATTGAGATCGGGCTCATCAAACCGCACAACATAGACTCTGACATCACATGACGTTGTATATATGTTGCATTACCAAGCCAAAGTCTGAACAGTGGTAATTGTGATTAAGAAAGTTTAATCTATTTTTTTTATTTGCTATATATCCATTAAAAAAAAGATAGCTTATTTTTTTCTTGGAATTTCTTTTTCATCGGAGAATGTAGTTTGCTAAGGATTATGAGACCACAGGTAACTGCAAAAAAAAAATCATTTTGATCAGTTTGCAAAGTCTGAATTTTCTCTTCGCCAAGGCCTTGCTTTAAGAGCTTGCAGTGATGAGATTTGCTTCTCAACGTTCCTTGGGCTCGCTATCACTAGTCTATAAAACTTTCAGTCCTTATAGTTTCAATGGTTTAAATCCAGCCAAAATCAAGATATTAAATTTTTCATAGACATTATTTGTTTAAACCTCCAATGCCGGAGAATTCCAGCAATAGGCTGCTTCAAACACTGTGTTATATGGTTCATTTCTATAGGACAAAGTCTGTGTAACAGACTTTGTAAACCAATAGTTAATGATATCAGAATGTAGTTAAAGTATTTTTTCAGGTAGTAATATTTCATACATTGAACAATTTTCTGAATATTTGCCTTGTTAGGATGCAATCCCACATAAAGGTCGTGTGATCCAGATAGTGAAACAGATAAAATGGGAGAAGATGAATTCAGGGTCCGCTGTATCATATCAGACGATGATGATGGACAAGAAAAAGCTTCAGAAGCCATGAAACAAGCTCACAAGGTAATTACTGCTAATTAGACAAATGGTATAAATGTACATGTAATCTTACTAGAGTAAACTAAAGATTTCAATTTTCAGAAGGAAAATTATGTTAGGGCTTTTGTAATGTGTATAATTTCATTTTGTATTGTTAAATTGTAATGTTTATATTTTCATTTGCAGAGCCTAATTGAAGAAGGATTCAAAGTTGAGTGGATGAAAGATTCAGACTGCCTGAAGGTCATTAAAAAAGAGAAGAACTGTGCTTATCTTTATGATCCATTTGGTGGCAAATCTTTCAACCATATCAGAAATCTAGGATGCAGGTGAAAATATTTTTCATATAAATAAATTGAGTGTATTTGTGTGTTTTACAAGTCTTTGAAACTTGATAATTGATGTTTTATGTAATACACTTTTGTATCTTTACAGGATATTTGGACCCCTCTGCATTTTGTCCTCACTAGAGTATAAGCTTGTGAGTCTGATTTTGTGTCTGTTTTACATTCTGCATTGATTATAATGTTAAATCTCATTACTTTATACTGAGTTATTTTCTCCCTGTCACACTTGCAAACAGTTTTGCCTTGTGTTAAATTCGCCCAATCTCCATTCTGTTTAAGAAACTGTACTGTGTTCTTTGAATGCGACCACTTTTAAATTTGCTAGCATGTGAGTAGGGCGAAAGGAGCAAAAATAAAATGGGGACGAAAATCTCCCTGTATACAGTGTGTGTCGATATTTATACAGTTTATATACACTTTAACTTGAGTATGACATTGTGATTGTAGTCAAGTCTGAAAGTGGAATTGGCAGGTTTTTGTTGTTGTATAGTAAGAAGGTTTCAATAATTAATTGTATGACTGGTGTTATTTCTAGGACATCCCGAAGAGGAGTGTTCCTGTGTACAATCTGGCCATGAAGGACATTGTAGTGTGCTGTACCAACCTTGTAAAACAGAAAAGGGTAAGCAATTTTTATGATAACATTCTGAATAATTACCAATAGTTTATTGACCGAGAAATTTACATGTAGAACCATTCAAATTTGACTTGTCTTTGTAAATAGAAAGATGTGTGATTCTTTAAGACTCTATTTTCCATTTTTCTCTTTTCTTGAGAGAGAAGAGGGGGGTTGGGAAAAAAGTCTATTCCTAAAAGGAAGCACATTTAGTCAAAGTGGGTAGAGTAATCATACTGTATTTGTAAAGATTAGGATTGTCAATGATTTTTTTTTTGACAGAATGAGCTTCATGAGAAGGTAGAGGCAATGGGAGGCCTAGCCAGCAGGGACCTAACACACAATGTCACTCACCTCATTGCGGGGGAAGTGGGGAGCAAAAAGTACCAGGTATAGCAATGTTATGTCTTTACCAACATGTATGAAAGGAAAATAAAATTGATACTTCTTATATTTCAATGCATATGGTAAAATAATGAAATACAAAAGCTTTCGGAATTTATTAAATTGTGTATTCAAAGGAAACCTGGCTCTGAGACCATAAACTGAGAACAGACTTAAGTCAAAATTTTGATTTTGAATAGCATGTCTCTTAAAATACATACATTATTCAAAAGTTGCAGGTTTGTATAATCTTTCAGTTTAAACATATGGTAAAAATTTTGTTAGATATCAAAACTATATCAAAAGTTATATTCATTTTGAAATTTAAACTCATGTCTGTTCTCAGTTTATGATCCCCAGGCCTGTAAAACCATTAATTATAATCTTTGGTACATAGGAAATCATAAATTCACCTTGTTTTACTTCTAAATCCCTGCATTTTGCTGTCGCTTTATTTAATCATATCTAGTTTTAATAATTTTTGTTGGAAAATTCTTAGGTTGCTACTTCTATGGGGAAACAGATTTATCTCCCTTGTTGGGTTGATAAAGTTTGGGAAGCCTCACAGACCAAGTAAGTAGTTTTTTTACCCATCTTAACATGATAACATTTAAGTGGATTTTTTTCGCAAAGATGCAGATTAATTAATAAGTAATTTTAGCGATTTTGTAATATCAAAAAGGAAAGCTATTACAAACGAAACAGAATATATTGTTAGTGATATTCAATTTTAGTGATCTCAAAAACCTTGCTAATTATGCCATAAATTTAATTCTTGCTTAAATTTCTGCTTATATCATATTATGTGATATGTTTAACTTGACCAGTTCTCTTGGCATGATACTTGAGATACATTTTGTAACAAAGTGGGCATTGATAATGAAATTTATGATATACCCGACAGAGGCGACGGTGTATCACTCAATTTTACTGTAAATTTCGCTCAATCATATGACAGCGTGATCTGACTCTTCAGATCAGCACACTGTAATTTTCTAATCCATATCACCACTCTCTGAAACTGATGGCATAGTACACCGAAACATGACATTATTTTTCTTGCGCATCAAAAAGTTCCTTAACAAAGTGCTTTGTTTTATAGTAAGAAAGTAATATATTATTGATCTCAAAGGTTTTGAAAACTATATTTTGCTAGTTGTGAAGGGGTATATATAATAGATTTATCATTATAATAGTAACTTGGTCCAAAGAGCTGTATCACGTCTCATTGACAGGCGCGGATCTTTAGATCAAACTTGACACTATATATATAGGGATTACCATCGTTGTAGCATTGATCCATGTAACTGTTTATATTTTACACTGCAGACACATCCATGGCAGTAGTGGGGAATTCCTAGAGTACTCCTGTCCTGTCTTCAAGGGTTTGGTCATCACTGTGTCTGGTCTGGACTCGGAGGAAAGAAATCAGGTCAAAAAAGCTGTGGAGGCCGAGGGTGAGTTAATGTTGGAAAATTCTTACGATGATCCTGTCAAAGATTTAGTTCCATCCCTCATCTGTGTGTCCCTCATCTGTGTGAAGAAAATCTTTTGAAGTTGATATATTTTGTGAACTGTAATGCAGTGCATTCATACACTTTGTTCACATTTCTAGGTGGAAAATATACTGGAGAGATGAAAGTCAATGAATGTACACACCTCATCATTAACAAACCCAAAGGTTAGTCTACATAATCACTTAATTAGAAAGAAATATTCATACCAAGAATTTTAATTCAATAACTGAAAAAGTTATGATATCTTTTAACAATATGTTTTACTTGGAAGATCCGGGGGCGTGTTTTACAAAAGAACTTACAACTAAGACCAAAAACATAGGATTATAAAATTTTGCCAAAATTAATAATTCTCATCAAAATCATTTGTGTAAAAATATCTTACCACATTCCTTTTAAAAAGATTAAAATAATTTTTGATTTAATGTTCATCAAATAGTTATTTGCAGAATTAAATTCGGTCTTAAGTCGTAAGTCCTTTTGTAAAATGGGCCCCAGAATGTTGTATCAGTATTTCTGATCTGTAGGTGCTAAGTATGAGTTTGCCAAGAAGTGGAAGATTCACATAGTGAAGTCGGACTGGTTGTATGACTCTATTGAGCGGGGATACTGTCTGGAGGAGAAGGATTTCTGTCTGACCTGTGACAGGGGGGAGGAAAGTGAAGGTGTCAAAACATCCACCCCCGAGAAAGAAAACGGAAGTAGAGGTATCATCTATCAGTATATTATGTTGGATCTTTTTTCTATAATGAACGTCTAGTAGTATGTAGGTTTTGAGGTTTCTTTACAAATGGATATACAAAATTTTGTTTTCAGCCTTGGTTATTATAATTTGAAAGCATAAAAAATGATTACCAGTATTTGTAGGGAAAATTGGCACAAAATTTTTAAACTGAAATCTTAAGCGCCTCTTGCAATTTTTTTTCCTCAATAACAGTGAGGAATAGGGAGTCACTTCCTGATTTCAAATTGAAATATACAACTGATGAAATAATTGATACTCATTACAAGAAAAATGATAAATGGATGCTGTTAATGGTGACTTCTGTTGTAGTTGACAGGATGTCGACATTAGCGGATATCAGTTGTATATCAAATGTATCCACGATACAGACAACACATCTCAACGAGACCTCAGCCACCACTCAGAACAGGAAGTCAACGGATGAGTTCGAGACGACAGTGGAGTCCATAGATCTCACAAAGTCAACATCAGATCTCTTCCTGGATGGCTGTAAGGTAAAGACTCTGTGAAAAGTGAGAGGTTTTATGTAGAATTGAGATGGGAAGACAAAAAAAGGATTCATGACTCTTGACTTTAAAAAATGATTTACAGAATATATTTCAAGAACTAAACGGAATGAATTTGTATTATTAATTTCTTATAGATTTATTTAAGTGGATTTAGAGGAGTTGCCTTAGAGAAACTTAGAAAAGTTATAAATGCTGGTGGAGCAACAAGGTATGATATTAAACTTCATATGAGTTTTACTTCTTACACTAATTCACTATTCATATACATACTCATGTAAATGACTACTTGTACATGTGAATCCGAGATTGTGTGTAGATTTTCACTATCATGCATTTTACAATCTGACATTTGTAGGTTGAACACCTTGAGTGATAACGTCACTCATGTTGTGGTCGGTGAGAGAATTGACAAAGATCTGGACACACTGAAAACTGCAACCTTCAGGTTTGTGTACCCCCTCTACCCAATCCAAAAATGAATATAAAAAAAAACATCCAATGAATTATGACATTCAAGAGTTTCCCGATGTGAATTCTGTATAAGGCTCATGTATGATATTTTACATCCCTTTTAAAAATAAAAATTGACTAGGATTCATCTTTTCTGCATAAAATAATCATTGATAAGATTGGTTTGGTACAGATGCATCAAATACATAATTCTTGTCCTTATGTAGTGTACTTCATTTCTAGGCCCCATGTTGTGACACCAGTATGGATGGCAGAATGTTTCAGACAGGGTTACACTGTAAATGAAGATCCATACAGACTCCCAGAGTTCCCTCCCTTAGACCCCCAGTCGCCTCATCTTAAAGGGTAGATAACATTTGTATTCTCTCAGGTTGAAAATTGCATGCATGAATACTATACCGTAAAAGTGGAAATTTTAGTGAGACGCAAATTTAGCAATTTGTTATTTAAAATTGGTATTTTATTTTTAGCGAGATGTAATTATAGCGATTTTGAAAAAGCTCACTAAAGAAACTATTACAAATAAAGCGCAATTAAATTTTAGCGATATTCAATTTTAGCGATCTCGGCACCCGCGCTAATAATGCCAAAATTAAATCCTGCTAAAAATTCTGCTTATACGGTATGCATATTTGTTTATTGCTGATGAATAATGTTTATATACGTATATAAATTCTGAATTATTATGTATTTTGTGAAGGAAGAAGAAGTTATCTGAGATGAACAATAAAGATGTAAAAGAGGTCAAGCCTGTAGAGAATGCAGGGGCCCCAGAAGAGGATGATGAATTCTCAGACATCATGAGCCAGTACCTCTTACAGGCAGATCAAGGTGAGTTCTTATTCACTAACTCTCAAATTATAAAAGGATAAACCATATATGGACTGATGATACATTTATTTTTCTTTGGTCTAGCACTCTATAGACATAATTGGACCCTGAGACATGTATCTGATAGGTATGACTTGATCAGATTTTGACTTTTGTTGTTTGATTGACAGGTCCTGCTCCTTCAGGGGAGAGAACTGTGATAGACAAGGCGGAAGTCCCTCAAGTAGAAGAGGACATGACACAGAACCCTGAGGCGGAAGATGAAGGTCTGAAAGAAAAAAGTTTATTAATAGTGTACAAAAGACTTTTACTTGAGATAGATGTTACTGTGTGTTTAATAGATCACTTTCTTCTGTAGGAAATTAAATGAAACTGTGTTTCCTTCTTTTAGAAATGCAGGAGGAAGGACCTGTGTTTAACAAGAAAGTTTTCATGTTCTTTGGATTTGAAGAGGAGTACGAAAAAGACCTAGGAGAACACATCATAGAGAAGGGAGGTAAGGATCTGGAAAAAAAACTTTCTAAAATGTTCCAATATTCATATTGACTCACCAAATAAGAAGGCTGGGGGTCAACAAATTAACTCGCAGATATGACATACATGTATTTTAGATATGATATCTTAAGCTGTCAGCTATCAATTGGCAAAGAAAAATTTCATACATTTTAATTTTGAAATTTGATCATTTTTGTATATCTTTATATGGAGCTCTTCTTCTAAAGAAAACAATATAGTCCGAAAATGGTCGCAACCACACAGTTTTTTTCTTGTGGTTAGATCCATCCAATAATTTTTTCTGTTCTCTTTTTACCCCATTTGATAAGGAATCATATCCAAGCCAACTAGTCGTGTAATACCGGATTATGGAGTGGTGCCGATCGATGGATTTCCTGTGGATAGGACGGTGAACGAAATTGTAACAAATGCCTGGGTGGTAAGACTGCTAATTCATTATATACAGAAAATTTGTTTTCTGCTAAGAATTATAATTTCTTTAATTTGCAATTCAAAATTGAAGTTAGAAATGTTAATATCAATGATGTAATTTAATTGGAAATCAAGCATTTTAATTAGTTTTTTTTTCCTGTATGCTCTTTCTACCAAGTAATAATTACTTTGCTGATTTTATTGTTATTTTTGTAACAAAAATGTCATGCTATACTGTGCTAATATGCTTACATAACTAACTATATTGTAATAGTTTACTGTGTTGATAATGAGAATATACCTGACATTTCAGCCATGATCATTTTATTTTATCATTTCAGCAAATATGTTGGGAACAGGACCAGTTGCTGCCTGTGTCCAGCAATGTGTTGTTTTCTCCAATGGACATAAAGATGGACGACGCCCCTCTCTCTGGCTGTGTCCTCTCTGTCAGGTAAATGCTTACTTCTAAGACCTCTCCTGATTTTGTCTAAAGTGACATTTCTTTCCCAAATGAAATGGTAACAAAACTATTCCCATTGGGTTGAAAAATGGTTTTTTTTAATGATATTAATATTTAAATCCATTTGTAGTGGTTTTGCTGGGACAGAGAGAGACTGTCTAATGCATATCTCAGAACTTCTTGGTGCTGAGTAAGTACAGATTTATTACAAAGTTTATGTTGTTTTTACTGATTTTGAAGTTGAAATTTGTTTTGTATCATATATAAAGATTGTTATCCCTCTTAAAAAATGTAAAAATAGAAAAAATATATTGTATATAACTTCGAACTACATATTCTTATAGTTCTTTTCTACCTTATTTTTGTAGATTTCAAGAATATTTTGTTCGTAAGGCCAACAAAGATTTGAAAGCCAGTACTCACCTGATCGTCAAGGAAGCCGAAGGTTCCAAATATCAGGCAGCCAAAAAATGGAACATTCCAGCCATCTCCAAGAGGTAAGCTTACTACTGTATACAGTGAAATTATCACCTTCATTTTATTTTCAACCCCTGCTATCTCTTCACATGTAAGCAAATTTAAACTGATGATTTCAAAGTATACAACATTATCTCTTAAATCTGTGTCTGAGCTAGATTAAAATGGGGCAAAATTGTTTGAAAGTTGAAAAAGACAAAAATTAAACACAAGGCAAAAATAACCCTGTGTACAGAATATGTACAGTACACATGAATATTTGAAGCAGAAATAACATGCTTTCCGTTTCATAACAATATCTTGTCTACTGCATCTTTCGTGATAATAATATTGTTATGTGTTTAAAGGTGGCTTTTCAAATGTGCCAAATCTGGAAAAAGAGAACCAGAGGAGAATTTCTTGATAGAAAACGAGCCATCAGAATCTCAGGACATCACCGCCAGTGTTCACTTGTCTACTGCTAACGCTCAAGGCAGCAATGCAAACAATAATCAGCAGCAGAATGAAACAGCTCAAACAAACAAGGCAGACAGCATTCATCAAAACCAGTCAAGTTTTATGAACCAAAGCACAGCATGTGATATTGCAGAGAAACCACAGGAAATGGAATGTGATACGTCGGTGAATGCTCCTCCACATCAGGGGCAGGTCACTCTAAATACCGGTACTGACAATGATGTGGAGATGAACGCAGAGGAAGAAAAATCTGAGGTGTGGGAATCTGGTATGAGGACAAACCAGGATGATCTGTTAATGGTAGAGATGGAGGTTCAGGAAGGTAGCAGGAGAGGGTCAGTGAGGGGTGAGGAAAGGAGGGGATCTCTGAGGGGTGGGAGAGAGGTGGAGCTACCGGAGAGTCAGAAAGAAAACATGACTGCCATGAAGACACCAAAACTGACCAATCAGAGGGTCAAGGTATGTATTTATAACAACCAGAATATGTATTGGCTTAAAGATACTTGTTACATTATATCAAAAGAAATCTCGTTCATATAGTCTTGAGTTAGAGACTTGCGACTAGAAGAACTAATGAAATCAGAACTATAGTAATTGTTCACAGTTTGTGAAAATAAGATGCATTATATTTCCTAAATCTTTGTACAGAGATTTTATTATTAATTTTCAGGAATTGAGAACAGCAGAGAGGGAAAAGCCCCGAAACTCGCCACGAAATGAAAGCCTGAATGAGTCTACAGGACCCATTGATCTGGAAAAGTCCTTCCATCCACGCTTTGATTTCTCTGTAAGTCTCTTTCTCAGCTATATAAATCCTAAAACATACATGTAGAAGTTTTTTTACATTTAGTATTAAGCATTATTATACCCCACGCAACAAGTTGCGTGAGGTATAATGTTTTTGACCCGTCCGTCAGTCAGTCCGTCTGTCAGTCAGTCATAGTGTCGGTCCTGTTTTTTTGTCAGTGCAACTTCTCTTAAACCGCTCCACAGAATTTCAACAACTTTTGCAGATATTTAGGACACAATGTGTAGTTGTGCATATTACCAGGAAATTACGATTACTTTATTTTTTCTGGGAATTTCCACACTTTTTAACTTAGATTTTGGCCATACCTTGAAGATAGAGATGAACAGTTTGTCAGCGCAACTCCTCTTAAATCGCTGCACAGAATTTTATCAAACTTGCAGATATTTAGGACACAATGTATAGATGTGCATATAAGGAGGAAATTCCGATTCCTTTATTTTTTTTTGGAATTTCCACACTTTTTAACTTAGATTTTTGGCCATACCTTGTGTATAGAGATGAACAAATTGTCAGTGCAACTCCCCTTAAACCACGGCACAGAATTTCGTCAAACTTTGCAGATATTTAGGACACAATGTGTAGATGTGAATATTACCAGGAAATTGTGATTCCTTTATTTTTTCTGGGAATTTCCACACTTTTCAACTTAGATTTTTGGCCATACCTTAAATATAGAGATGAACAAATTGTCAGTGCAACTCCTCTTAAACTGCTGCACAGAATTTCGTCAAACTTTGCAGATATTTAGGAAACAATGTGTAGATGTGCATATAAGGAGGAAATTGTGATTCCTTTATTTTTTCCGGGATTTTCAGCACTTTGAGTTTTGGGGGAGCATGGGGTATGTGAGCTTGCTCACTTTTTATTTCATCTGACACTGTACTTTGTACATAGTTTGAAATACAGTCAGATATATATCATCATATTATATGTGTTACACAGACCTCTCTACCCTTCTGCTTTAAGCACATTTCTTCTGCTTTTTATCACTTGATTATGCTGTTGGGAATTAAATGTTTTGCAAAATAAAGGGTAGGTAGGTCTTGTTACACAGAAATAATAAAAGATCTAATTCGTGAATACACTAAGATTCATTGCTGTTTGTAGGATGTGTTGAAGGATTTGGAAACGCCGGAGGCACAGAAAGGGAAACGGCGTAAACTCGGAAGGCGAAAATCCAGTGTGGTAAGTACCTGTCATACATGGCTTAAAAATGAAAGTAATTACTGTAAAAAGCCCCCAATTGTCTGGCACATGTTTGAGTAATTTGTTTGTTATAATGGTTTTCTCCACTACAGCCCTTTGATGAAATGTTCGAGAAGGCGCTTCATGCTATGGCTAAATATACTGAGGAATACAAGGCCCCAGAGACCATGGACGAAGTAGACGGGGCCTCTAGCAGTACAAGCGAGGTCTGTCTCAATGGAATTTTCCTTACATATATAAAATTCACAGAGAAAGATGTTAAAAACAGTATTTTAAAAAAAAAACCATGAAAATTACAATTCAATCTAGTTATTTTAAATTGAATAAATTTAACTACACAAAGTTTCATTTTTCAATGGATGTTTCTCAGAAGTGTTCTATAAATTGATAAAAAAAATTGTATAGATATGTAAGGGTAAAGGTAGAAAGTATGAAATTTGAACACTGTAGAAAGTTTACAATATCTTGAGATACCGGGTATATACATAATTGCCTTATTTGCAACCAAAACAAATTTACAAAAATTTAAACTGCTCCATGCATCTTTTTTTTATCCAGAGCACCTGTACAGATTCTTATGCAGAATGTTTTACTTGTCAACATATTGAGTTTTTACTTCTTTTCTTAATTTCTAAATACTTGCATGTACCTATGAATAAGTGAGAATGATATTTGTTATTTGTAGTACATGAAGCGCCCCCTGAAGGGAGTTACGATCTACGTCAGTAAGAAGCTAAGCGGCCAGCAGACTGAGCTTAACGACATTGTGGCAGAGCTAGGTGGTGACTATAAATGGCAGTACGACGCCACATGTACTCACTTTATATTCCAGGTAAAGGCAGCCTCCTTAAGCAAACTGGAGAGCTTGTACTGTAGATTCCTTCGCTAGTACTTATTATCACGAAATAACTCTTTAACATCAAATTGCAAGAGCAATAATTCACGAGTGGATGGTTAATCAAGAGATTTTACATTGATTTCAGCACCATAAAAATACATGTAAAAGCGAGTAATTTTATTTTGCAGGTGGTGCTTATAGCAAAATTTTGCAATAATTAATTCCTCGCATATAATTAGAACTCTACAGTATTTCTCTTTGAATCTGCAGAATTAATAAAGGAAGTGAGGAGATATTGCAGACCTTTTTTTCTGCTTCTTTGTGTACCATATTTAACTAATGAAAGATAAAACTTTGTAACTTGTAAAAATAAAAAAGAAACAATACAGAACATTATGTGGACTGTAATGATTAAGATTATGAAGATGGTAAAGATTAATTAAAAGTCTGTTGTAGGAAATTATACACTTGAAATTTAAACCATTATAGGGAAAGACAAATGACACAACCAAGGAATTCAGAGTGGCCAGAGAGCAGAAGAAAATGATCGTGTCCCCGCTCTGGCTTCAGATGGTAAGGACATGTTCTGAGTTTATCACAGGAAATATGGATGGCGGTCTGCATGCATTTTTTTCCTAGAGAAAAAAAAATTATTCTCTACTTTTTAATTGTAAATGTAGTACTGTAAACCAACTATTATTTGCGTCATCTTTTATTCACGATTAGTAAGTTTGAAATCTATCCGCAACGATTAATTTTCATGAATAAAGAAACATTTTCTACATAAATAAAGCAAAATAATGGTTTGCAGCAGTTATTATTCGTGTTTAGGTTGCGAAACTCACGAATATTTCTCGCCCTTGAATAAAAGTTGGTTACAGTAATTGCCTCATTTATAATAATGTAATAAAATTCATCCACAATGCTTTATTCCTGTAAAAATTGTTTGAGGGGTTGAATGCCAGTTGATGTGAGATTGTATTGTTTGGAAAATTATGCAAAAAGGATATGAAACTATTACTTTCTGAATTGTCTTTGTGTATAAATCAGTGTTGTTTGTTGTAGTGTAAAGAGCAGAATGCCAGAGTCGATGAATCACTGTTTCCACACAACTACAACCCAAATCTTACATTGGTGAGAGATTTTATGTGGTAGATGAAGTTGAATAATGGCATTCAAATTATAATTCCCGATTTTATATAGTATGCTGTATTGTTTTAAGGCCATGGTGAAGAAAGCCACCCCGGGACGAGGATCCCCGGTCAAATCTAACAGGGGTACTCCTCTGAGGGCTACACGAAGATCCACCCGGGCAAGTAAACAGTCGGAGAGCTCCGATATTGACGACGTGCCAAAACCCAGCAGTCCTACGACAGTGACTAAAGTTACCGAGTCTAGACAAAACAAAAGGAGCGGGGCCATGTCTTCGGAGCCTGACAATAAACGACAGAGAATATCAACAGACGGTGAATCTGCTCCTACAGAGAAGAAAGGCACTGAAGAGGTAGGATTTCTCTCTTTTATCAGTTGTCTTATTAAGAAGAAAGGTCAATTCCCCTTCATAGGTTTGTACTGTTATTTTATTGTGTTTACAGGAGGAGCCTGAGATGGTGGAGATGGCAGGTACCCTGGATTACAGAGAAGAACTGGCCAAACAACTAAAGGAGGACATGGCTGCCAACAAGTAAAGCTTAACTAGGATCTGTCTCAGTGTTCTGCAGTGAAGATTTTAGTCATTACTTCTAGTTTATCTTACTTTCTATTTATTATTTGTTTCTAAGTAAAGTAAAAACTTAACATGAATTTAGAACGCTCTCAGTTCTAGAATATTGTTTGTGGGTTGGAATATAAACAGCAAGAAGTTTACTTTTTGTGAGTTGAATGTAAAGTTTCACATTTATTATTTAAAATGAAAAATATTCATGAATGATAATGGTAATAATGCAAAATTTTTATTTTCTTTAGAAAAAGAAGAAAAAGTAGGAAACTGAATTGTAAGTACATGTAATGTTGCTTTTAGCTTATAAGTAAATTACTTCAAATCTTTTTATGGAATAATTAGGCAAACTATACAGACTCCAAGTCAGAGAAATGCTAACAGTTTAATTGAAGGTAATTTAATGTATTTCAAGATTATATACATTTTTAATTATCAAGTAAATGAACGAGATTATCTATTTGCAGCCAGTGGTCAGATGAACATGTCAGGGGAAGGCTCAAGTAATGACAGTGGAATGCAGAGCCGCCAAGGGTCAAGGGCAAATCGCTGGAGCATGAATGAGGACCAGAAGACCGAGGCCCAGGTAAAGGAGGGTTCTCTCCCCGAGTCCTCTCAGACAGTCCACGTGATGTGGGACGACCCCACGGGGCGGCTAGAACAGGAGCGACTGGCCCACAAACTACAGAGGGCGTGCAGTCCCACGCAGGACCTCAACAACCTACAGGAGATGATGGACGCCCAGTTCTCTGACGTGGAGGAGGAGGAACCAGTACCTCAACTTCCTGAGGTGAACCAAAATTTTCATGTATAAATTTTGTTGTTTAAAAATGATGTTCATTCTTCCAGTAGAACCAATAGTAAAAGGCTGATGTTTAAATTGAATTTAACAAACTCTGAAATTTTTAGTTCAGAAAGTTTTTTGTATTGATTTATAGACTGAGCCAGACAGAAGACTGTCTTCACCCCAGGCACCCCCAGTTGGTATGTTTTATTAATTTCTTTTACTAGGAAAAACAAGCAGATCCACAGAGGTTACTTGTATATGACCTGTTAATCTAAGAGCAAATTTGTCAATGTATTCCATAGAGGAAAATTATTGTATTTAATAACAAGCAGTGTATGAGAAAAAAATGCAATAAAATTGTTTAAAAAAATAGAGCAGGTTTAAACTTTGCATCATCTATCTCAAAAAGAATAGTTTACTGTGCAGATAAATTACATGTATTATATGTTTGAAAGAAGATAACATTCAGTGACATATTTGTATGAAGTGACAATCCTACTGTTGTGATGAATGTACAGATTAACTTCTATGATGCATTTATTTGGAATTTTTTAAGGAAGATGATTAGAGTGAATCACATTTTCTTTTCTGCAGCTTTCCATAAACAATCTGAGCAGACTGTCCCCTCCCCTCAGCCTGTGAATTTAGAGGAGGAAAAGGAGGGGGAGGAGGCAAAATCATCCCCACCCATCTTCATTTTGTCAGGCTTGTCGAAAGAGGTATGTTTCTTTCTGCTCACAATTTTTCTAAAGGAATATTTTTGTAGCATTAATATAAATATATGCAGATTTATTATGTTAACACTCACAATGTGTTTACTCTGGTTTTTCACTTCATGAAGGAAAGAGATGACTATGGAGTTTTAGTAGAGAGCCTTGGTGGCAAAATGTTGGATGGACAAAATTTTGACCCATCCTGTACTCATTTAGTTACTGGTGAGTAATAAAAACTACAGAGTAATGATTTCTGCAAAAAATTAAAATGCATAAGGATTTTGTAACTATAGCTTTTTTAAAAAATTGTTTTCCATGTAATTGCGTGTGTAAATGTAAAAATGTAAATGTGTGACATTTCTAAATATTGTAGGTGTTCCAGCTAGAAATGAGAAATTCCTAGCGTGTGTTGCCTCTGGGAAGTGGGTTCTACACAAGTCTTACTTCGAGGCCTGTAGACAGGAGGGCAAGTTTGTACAGGTGGGGTGTTGTCTAATTCTATCAAACAACAATGGAATGGAGATAATGAAATAAACTATCAAACAACAATGGAATCAAGATTAAGAAATAAACTAAGGATTTTTCCTTGATTAATTTATAAATTACACAAAGTTTGATCAAATTCATAAATTTTTTCATCAATGTTTACAAAGTAAAAGTTTTTTGTTGACAGGAGGATTTCTATGAGTGGGGTGGGGATGGAACTGCTAGCTTACTTAGTAAGATGACTCCTGCGGTCAGAAAGCTCTGTGAAGCTGCCCATCATTGGAGGCTAACGATCAACTCCCCCTCACAGGTAACTATCCCCTGATTTTACATCCTTATTATCTGTTGTAATATTGCAAAGCCTAAATAGATAAAGTTAACATTCAAAATTTAAAAAAATGGTAGTATCTACACTAGGGATGTCAGTGAGTGTTTGAGTACTCTACCATCACTGGTATGCTGTTTACTAAGTTTGTCTCACTCAGATACACAAAAAAGATGTACTATTTGATAATAATTCTACATTGAGAATAAGAAAAATAGAAAAATTCTTCAGATGTAGATCCTTTTTTTTTTTTTTGGAACAGTGGAAATGAGCCATAGTATTTAATTAAAATGTATTAGAATAAGATATCTGGTAAAAAAGGAAATGAACATAAACTGGCTATCAAAATTATTTTAATGAATATTTACTAAGGCCATAATAAATAAATTGCTAGATTCTCATCCAAATTTTTTAGCTCACCTCGACGAAGTCGAGATGAGCTGATGCTAAACCCCCGGCGTTGGCGTCGGCGTCGGCGTCCCAGGTTAAAGTTTTAGGAGCAAGTCCATTCCCAAGTAACTATAAGCCCTACCTAAACCAAACTTGCATGGATGATGCATCTAGGGATGTACACTACCAGACTTGCTTCGGATGCTGGATCTGACCTATATTTTCTAGACGAGTGACCAGGTTAAAGTTTTTGGAGCAGGTTAAAGTTTTTGGAGCAGGTCCATTCCCAAGGAACTATAAGCCCTACCCGGACCAAATTTGCATGGATGATGCATCTAGGGATGTACACTACCAGACTTGCTTCGGATGCTGGATCTGACCAACATTTACCAGATGAGTGACCAGGTTAAAGTTTTTGGAGCAGGTCTATTCCCAAGGAACTATAAGCCCAACCTGGACCAAACTTGCATGAATGATGCATCTAGGAAAGGACACTACCAGACTTGCTTCAGATGCTGGATCAGACCTACATTTTCCAGTTGAGTGACCAGGTTAAAGTTTTTGGAGCAGGTCTATTCCCAAGGAACTATAAGCCCAACCTGGACCAAACTTGCATGGATGATGCATCTAGGGATGGACACTACCAGACTTGCTTCGGATGCTGGATCTGACCTACATTTTCATTCCCAAGTAACTATAAGCCCTAGCTAAACCAATCTTGCATGGATGATGTATCTAGGGATGTACACTACCAGACTAGCTTCGGATGCTGGATCTGACCTACATTTTCAATCGCAAGTAACTATTAGCCCTAGCTAAACCAAACTTGCATGGATAATGCATCTAACGATGGACACTATTAGACTTGCTTCGGATGCTGGATCTGACCTACATTTTCATTCCCAAGGAACTATAAGCCCCTACGTGGACCAAACTTGCATGGGTGATGTATCTAGGGATGGACACTTCCAGACTTGCTTCGGATGCTGGATCTGACCTTCATTTTCATTTCCAAGTATCTATAAGCCCTTTTTGGACCAAACTTGCATGGATGATGTATCTAGGGATGGACACTACCAGACTTGCTTCGGATGCTGGATCTGACCTACATTTTCATTCCCAACAGGGCTCGACATTAACTTTTTTTCCTACTTGTCCATACGGACAAGTGACCAAGATATTTACTTGTCCGAACTTCAACTTCACTTGTCCAAAAATTTTTCAATTGATATCTTGAAAACAATTACTAAAATAAAAAAATTAAATGTGCTTGATTAATTGGTGTTTTTATGGATAAATAAGACAAACACTTATAAAACAAAATTTTATCTAGATTTCCTGTCCTGACAACAACATAAATGTTTGCAAGTGAATCTGTAATATCAATCAAATATATTCCAAACCCGCAAATGTCGTAAGATCCACGCCATGCACTAGTATGGCTGCAATTAGTGAACATTGATCTTAATCAAGTGTGAACTTAAATAGTGATTGATATCGGGATTGAAATTCGGGTTTATGTAATGTTTCCTTTTTTATTCGATAAACTTAATTCAATCGTTTTTTTTTGAATTATTATTATTTGAAGACTTCTTTACATAAAAAATCACTTGTCCAATCGGACAAGTGCCCAGCAATATTCACTTGTCCGTAATTTTTTTTCATTGGTACCGGACAAACGGACAAGTGTTAATGTCGAGCCCTGCCCAAGTAACTATAAGCCCTAGCTAAACCGAACTTGCATGGATGATGTATCTTGGGATGGACACTACCAGACTTGCTGCGGATGCTGAATCTGACCTACATTTTCATTCCCAAGTAACTATAAGCCCTAGCTAAACCAAACTTGCATGGATAATGTATCTAAGGATGGACACTATCAGACTTGCTTCGGATGCTGGATCTGACCTATATTTTCCATACAAGAGACCAGGTTTAAGTTTTGGGAACAGATCAATCCAAAAGAACTTGAAGTCCTTGATATCTGCAGTATTAACAGTTATGAATATTTGTTTACACGATACATGTTTTTCACGCTACACGCATAGAAATGTGTATATGCCATGTAAGGGGTTAAACACAACTTGCAAGAATATTGTTATTGGGATGAATACTAAATATTAAGAAAATATGATGTGAGATTTGCATTACTTTAACTGATAACATTCGTCGAGGTGAGCTTCGTAATCTTTGATTACCTATGTTTTTAAAAATCGAGGCGGGCGGGCGGCTTTTATATTTTTTTTTTTTTTTTCAGTTTTGCAGATTTTTTATTGAACTGGTCAATCGGTGTAATTTTATCTACAATACCCGAAAAAAAGTCATAGTAAAGGTTCAATTATCTCTTACTTCACATCATCACCAATCGTTTTCAACCAATGACCCTTGTTTAAAATATATACGCATGTACTACATCAATTACCATCTTCTCAGCTGTCAAAATCATGTCAGATTTCGAGGGATTTAAAAAGAAAGTATAATGGTAGATAAATACTGATCCCAATCAGAATTAAGACGAAGAAAAACAGAAATAAAAAAATGGGGGCATGGGTATAAAATCGGGGCGGGCGGGGATGAGAATCTACGAATATTTTTATTATGGCCTAATCAACCAGAAATTTTCATCTAGACAGGGTGAAATCCACATCTCTGACAAACATATCACAATCTAAGGAAAAAAAAAAACAGTATCCATGAGTAATGAATTAATTAGCACAATTAAATGATAGAAGCAATTTTATTGCATTTGCTCTGCCTCATCGTAATTGTAGTAAATATCATAGTTTTAAGCCAGCTTCATAACTTGCAATATAAAGAACAAACTGATAGTTAAGGACAGTTTTCTCAATACTGGTTGTCTTTTCTTCAGTAGTCCTTTGTCAGTTTAATAAGAGACAGTTTTTTTTTAATGCTTGTTGTCCTCTCTTCACTAGTCCTGTGTTGGAGCCTTTAGCGATTGGAAGGTTGTGCTATGTACGGACCGAAAGAAGGAGGACAACTTCCGCAGACTGCTAGAAGCAGGGGGAGCCACTGTGCTTAACCTCAAACCTCCATTTAATAAACCCGTGTCAGCCAGTCATGCATTTTTAGAACTGAATAAGGTGGAAATGTCGGAGGATGATATCGCGACATTGGTGAGGTCAGGGGTCATCTGTATTAAGCCAGATTTTATTGCTGCTCATCTGACCAACAGTCCACCACCAAATCCTGAAGATTTTTGTCCATCAGAGGTCAAAACACTGTTAAAGAGGTAACTTGTGATTTGGTTTTTGCTTAGAGTGATGTGTTCTTGAAGTTTGATATCATGATATTCAATTAATTGATTATTAATCTGCAATACATGCAATGAAGTACAGGTTTTTAATAAACACATCAAAAGAGCTTATTTGTATACAGACTATAAAATTTTGATTTACATGTAGATCATAGGATGAAATTGTAAAATTATATGTACTGAGAAAGTAAAGATGTCAAATTTTCTTTTTCTTTAACAGTCTTTCTGGAAAAAGGAAACTTTCTTCATCAGATGACAGTCGTAAAAGACCAAGAAGATGATGAGGGATATTTATTTTTCTAAATCATGAAAAGATTATAGACTGTTTCTGATATTGAATGTATTTTTAAATCCTGAGAAAAGTGCTGGTGATAGCCATTATGTTGTCTTAAATGTTAGATAGAATTATATTTAACGAGACAAATCTCTGATGCATTTTAAGATGGGCATGTATGAGGATCAATGTCCAGTTATTTGTATCTAATACACTGTATAACAAACAGTTTATTTTTTAAAATAAGTCTCCCAGGAAAAGAAATTGTGTTCATATATCTACCAAGGAAATTCTACCATAAAGTTATTATGATCAATTGAATAACAAATTTTTATTTGTTCTTATGATTTAATAAAGTATTCTTATAGTGAAGAAGACCTTGATTTGATTGCTCTGTGTTCCAGTCATGAAATGGTCAGGGCACACAGTAATACCCATTTCCTTCCTTTATTCAGTCCATTCAGTCTTCTATAATTAGGTTACAGAATTGTTTGGCTGTTCTTTTTGATAACGAGTAGATTTCTGTTATGTCTCTTTAAGTTATTATCTTTACAGATAATGTCAGTTATCATAATTCTACAAAACTTATTTCATTTCATCTCTGAAAATGTCAATAACCCCTATTTTTTTGCTGTCAACTGCCAGAATATGTAATAAGTAACAAGGGATCAGTGAATGGTAATCACTGGAAAAAAGACTGAAGAGAGACTTAACCCACATCTGTAGAATGGCGAAGTTAGTCAATGGCTGAAAAATAGAGAAGTACAAGGCGAGGACAACCCTTCACTTTGAGACATGATATTTGTCAATTCCTAAAGTTCATGGAAAAGTTGAACTTTTTAAAAAAAATTAAGTAACTTTTCTTTATCTTTTATTAATCTGATTCTTTTATTCACCATGAATTTAGCCAGGGCAAATAGAATTTTCATGTCTGTCTTCTGCCACTTCATCACAGTTTGCATTCAGCTCATTCAAAAAAAAAATATTCAAGACATTTTTATCAATTTTTTTTATATGCAGATATGATTACTCAAACTCACAAACCTTTTTTGACTTGTTCTTAATTTTGGCTTGTCCTCACTCTTCTTCTAAACCACTGTTTAGCTCAGTTTCAAAGAAACTAATTAAGATGTTTTTTTAACTAATATGATGAATGCATTATCATTTTATTACCTTGATGTTTTCTTTCACCTTGACACTTTTCTTCAATTTATGTTGAGCTAAGTTTCAAAGACAATACTGGTATTTCCATTTCATTTTTGAATTTGTTTCTCTTTGATAACTCTCTGAAAGCTAGGCAAGTTAATATCTTGATAATTTAGTCGGAATGTAAATTTCACAAAGAGAAAGGTCATGAGCTAAGGAGGCATAATATGCAAGTAAATCTTTTGCATTTGTCTTTGAAGTCAGTGGGCAGAGACTACTATTTAAAGAATCACTGTCTAGTTTGTTGTATGTACAAAGGCATCAACAAAGTTTGAAAGTGGGATAATTTGCATAACATTATGCATAAATTATCCCATGTTTCTGATGTAAATTTCACAAAGAGAAAGGTCATGAGCTAAGGAGGCATAATATGCAAGTAAATCTTTTGCATTTGTCTTTGAGGTCAGTGGGCAGAGACTATTTAAATATTTTTGACTATATTTTTTTTAATATAAATTTACAATTTTATCTCGCAATGAAATGGAAATATAAGAAATTGCTGTCTTGCTTGTTGGCTATGCCTGGGACATCAACAATAGTTAGAAACGTGGGATAATTTATGCATAATGTTATGCAAATTATCCCACTTTCAAACTGTTGTTGATGCCCTTGTACACACAACAAACTAGCCAGTGATTCTTTAAATAGTGAATATTTTTTATCTAACTTCATATGTTCATACAAATTAAGAATGCAATTTACTGCATTTTTGACTCTAGCATTTTTCAAACACTGACTTTATATCTCTTAAATTATTAATAATTTTAATTTCAAAGAAAAATCAAATAGCTTTGTTAAATCTTACATTCTTGTAAATATAGAAGAAAACTTCCATTTTCGTCAGCATTTCTTTACCTTGACCCCACTAAATAATTAATAAGCTCAGTTTTAGAGAAACTATTTAAGATATTTTTATCTAACCTAAAACATGTATGCTGATATATATTGGTTTTGTTGCATTTTATGTTAATGTGACTGTCCCTGTGAAGAATTTTTCACTCATATGGAGAGGTATATATATATTGGTAAAGCTATTTAATTGCATCATTTTTTACATCATTTTTGTTGATCTTTCTGTAACGCTTTCGTTTCCACACGATTTGAACCCTTTGAGCTTTTGCAATGAAATTTAGCAAATCAACTCCCTATGGACTAAAGAAGATCCCTATTGATTTTGAGGTCAAAAGGTCAAAGGTCAAGGTCATAAATAAGCAAATTCTGTCTGGTTTCCACAGAATAGAACCATATGAGCTATTGCAATGAAATTTTACATAACAACTCCCTGTGGCCTAATGAAGACCCCTATGAAGGTCAAAATGTTTCGTAAATTTATAATTGTGTGTCATTTCGGGCGATATTTCAAGAAGATTTTTTTGCAATGTAATTTTTACCAAAACTTGACGTCTCTCGCCCCTCTCAAAGTGCCCCGCCCCGTTTGTTTTATTAGTATTTATAGTATTACATGTCGCTATTTTTAGCGCAGGGGCATGAGGAGAGTTATTGCGTATAAAACAGGTTCTCGGCGGACTTTATGTTCTTATTACATCTATTAGAACTGTTTAATAAAGGCTAAATAAATCAAACACCATGGATTCTGTAAAATTTTGAGAATACCGAACATGAATATATACATGTATGTGACTTCAGTTCTGCATATACTTCACATCGTGTAAAGCGATTCCGTGTTTTAGTGGTTAATTCATATGTAAGAGACACACTGTATATAATTGTACAAATGTACCTTTTTTTTTCAATACTTTTTTTTTTTTACTAAATGATAGTATTCAGCATGTGAAATAAAAAATTTATGAGGTTATAAAATCATCATTACAGTGTGATAAATATTCCATATAAAAAAAGTACATAATAAAGAATAAGCAATCAAAACTTTATATGCATATTGACATACATGTATTTTATTTCCTTCAGTATACATGTATACATTTAAAATACAAATAACCTTGAATTAGCTTGTTACCTTGATCTTTCTTTTGACCTTAAGTAGTAACTTGATATAAGACAAAAAGGAAGAGGTTACTGGGAAGCATGCATAAATTCATGTATATAATAAAAAAAGTTTCAATCATTTTTGTCTTCTCAAGGACCATTTTTTGTATTATTGAGAAGCACAATTTGATACCATAATCTAAAAAAAAAGAACTATGGAAGTACATATATGAATTCTTCCAGACAATCGGACAATTCAATCGAAGCCACACTTTATATAATTTATTCATTAATTCTATACACTACATTCCGGACAAACAAATAGAAATGTTTATAACAGAAGTCATCAAGGACAAGAATGAAATGTGCTCTTGTAGTAAAATAAATAACCTTGAATTAAAAAAAAAGAAGAGAATATTGTAAACGTAAAAACCGCAGATTTTGTCACGTTCAATACCGGTAGTTTTTTTTTTCTTGTCTTACCCTTTGAGAGAGTCAGTTTTGTAATAATTCCACTTTTAAATTTTTCAAATAACTTAAAAAGTGTACATTTAATATCTCTACCGTGTAATGGAGCACGTATTGCATGTTAATATTTACGGGTTTAACATTAAAATTTGTAAACAGGAAGTTTTGTGAATAAACAATATACATATATATAAAGGGGATTTTATAAAGTTATATAGATTATACAAAAGATTGCATATTGCGGACTGCTTAATTATGTAAAACCAAATTTAGCTGAACATTAATTTTGTACACGCACAGCATCCTCGGACAAGTTGGGTCCAAGTGACATTATCCTACAACTGTGCGAAACTTCAATGCGAAATAAGCTGTAGAAATCAGATCAGCAATGTTTGAAACCTTGAAGTATACCGTGTCTTTGCTTGCTTTGTTGTTTATATGTGACGTATACACACAGCTTAGCACAGCGATACCTTCCACCCCTTCTGCTAATCCAGATTGCAGCATAGTCGTACAAGGCAAGAAAACCAATCAAAAATTCGATAAACTGTTCAACAAGCAAGCCACAAAGATGGTGAAAATTCAATTCAGTTTTCAAAACGCCACCAAAGGACCATTGACAGGACTAGCAGAAACAAACCTATTTTTACCATTAACGTTCACAAAAACCAAAAAACTAGAAGTCAGACGTTTACTGATGTTGAAAGAAGAAATCGTTTCTTTTTCTTACTCGACATTACGTTACGGTGTGGAAGATTTCGTCATAAAAATTGCGGAAGATCCGGAAAACTGTTTTGCTGAAAACAATCTAAATATATCTCATCTGGAATCCAAACTAAGGGAACTCGTTCTGGGAAATTTTGATCCAACTAATGCAGGAGTAACTCCCGAGGGTGAACGAGTATGTAACCAATACATTAAGGATAATGGCCAAGGGGTAGCCGAGTTCTATTACTACTGTTGTTATAGGGACGAGGATGGTAGTACCGTATGCTCAGAATTGACGGAAGATGTCGGACTCTTCGTATTTTTCCGCATAGTGGAGATTGCTGCCATTGTGGCGTTGCTATACAGTCCCCTTCTAGTACCGGAACATTGGTATCGTGAGAAATATATAAACTTGAAATTTACTCACCATCTTAAGGACGCAGTCAAAGTCAAGATCGTAAGGACGGCAGATAGCACACAGATTAAAAAATCAAAGAATATTATAAGATATGAGGACCTTTTGTCCAATCCGCATATGGATAGATTCAAAAACTTGGTGTCTGATTTGCAGGATGATCAAGTATATGTTATAACAATGCCCAGTCTCTCGTTCAAAATGAGAGCAGATCATTTGGTTACGGTTAAATATGTTCCCATCGAGATATTCAGAACTGTATACAAGGCAATATTTAAATGCAAAGTTAGAGACCAGGACCCTGTGAAGAACTGTTGCTACAGCAATATGTGTTGGCCTTTTAGACCGTGTAAAAGAACTGTTCCGTGGCACAAATTTTTGGAAAATCTCATGTCTTTGCTTCTTCTACCGCTTATCGCAATACCCTGGATACTACGACTTTATTTTTATTATGTCTACGAAGACGAAAACAGGACCCTGCGGAACGAGGCGGCAAAGTCCCACGACCTACGTCCGGACTACCCTGGGAACCTCATGGCTTACCTAACGCCTTCCCATGGAATCTTCCTGTTCTGTTATGCTGTGTTTATATTTGACATCTTTTTGTTTCTTATCCTGCAGAAGAAAGCGATGGAGCGGTCTTCTTATGTTATAAGACGATCTTTTCGAGATATGCGTGGCATAAACCGAACCAAGGCCTTCGTATTTTGTATCAAAATCCTCCTTATTCCAATTAGGAAATGCGGCATTTTCTTTCTGTTGGTTGGCTGGATCTATTTAGCAGTGGCAGTCCCTCTGTTGGTGTTGATTATCGCCCTCTATTCTATGCCTCTGGTTAACGTTATTGGTCGATTTCTTTTTCAGTTCTTGGAAAACAAATTCCCTGAGAAGTGTTCTGATCCAGTAATAAAGTCATACGAAGACTTGTATGAGAAGGACTACATAACCCCGAGACCGATATTTGTCGATGATCACAACGGAACACAGAAAAAACCAAGGCCCATGTCAGAGAGACTGGCTAAATGGGTGATTACTTTGTTGCTCATTATATCCCTTGTCGCATTTACGGTGTTGGCATTCGAGTTCATTATTGTTTTCGTTGAATACCTTTTCTATCAGCTAGTTGGACTGGTGTTGAATTGGGGTACATGGAAACCCTATATAGCCCTGATTCTTCTTCTGGTTTTCTATGCTTGGAATTCGTTTAAAAGTGTCACCCAACGATACCAAAAGTTTAGCGAAAAACTAATAAATTATGTAAGCTCTAAAGTAAGAGATGTAGACATTGAAACACTGATTAAGAAACACCCAAAGGATCAAAGAAATAACGCTTTCCAACTTAATGATGTTAATGATGAATCTGGTACAAAACAGGAATTTGAATTATTTGTTCGAGACTCACAGCTGGGGTGGCAAATGCCTCGGGTGGTTCTATTCCTAGACATAACCGATATAAAATACGTTACTAAGCGCTTTTTCTTTAAGGTCGCCGTCATGCCTGATGCTGGATGCCCTGGTAGTCTCGCAGCCAATCTTTTGTCTGCTTTATCGAGGCTCGTGGTAAATGTCCTTTTCCTGCTCCTGGTGCTTCTGATCGTTGCCGTGTTCGGTGATAAATACGAGGTATCAGGACTTAACAAAGCTCTTTTAGTTGTTGTAGGGGGATTCCTGCCTTATGTTTTCGGGAAATATCTTACCAAACTTCCTCCCAAATATGAATTGAATAAAGAAAGTCCAATTTTTCAAGCAGCATTTGATGAATTCCTTAGTGATTATAAGGAGTTCGCTTTTATTTATGATATTGAGGCACAAAGTACAGATGAATGCTGTAACAAAACACAAAGTACAAATGAATGCTGTGACAAAACACAAAGTACAGATGAATGTTCTGACAAAACACAGGTCGACCTCCTGATAGACACACGTGACAGGACAACCGGAAATTATCTTTTAATTTCTAATGTTGTGTAAATATTGCTTTTAAATGTACAATACGCTTGTGTTTATCTTATTTAGTGTAAAACTTTAAAAGGGTGACAATTTAATTTAATCCTTCGGTCTTAATTATATCTTGTAATTAAAGTGCTGTACTTTCTTTGAAATCAATCAGTTCAAACCTTACTGAATGGGGTTTGAATATATATGAATGAACTGCATATAGATCAATAAATTTGTAAGGAAAAAGTGATGTTCATTTTTCAAACAAAACAAATCATGGTTAAAACATTTAATGCCTAAATGGTTAAATTGAAACATCTGATCGCCTGAATGGTAAAGTTGAAACATTTGGATGCCTGAATAAGTTGAAATAATTGGATGCCTGAATAGTTAAGTTGAAACATCTGGATGCCTGAATGGTTAAGTTGAAACATCTGGATGCCTGAATGGTTATTATAAGTTGAAACATCTGGATGCCTGAATGGTTAAGTTGAAACATCTGGATGCCTGAATGGTTAAGTTGAAACATCTGGATGCCTGAATGGTTATTATAAGTTGAAACATCTGGTTGCCTGAATGGTTAAGTTGAAATATCTGGTTGCCTGAATGGTTAAGTTGAAATATCTGGTTGCCTGAATGGTTAGTTGAAACACCAACATCATCTGAAATGGACTGTGTGTAATTTGCCTGAATAGTTAATTGATTTAACATTTTTCCTGAATGGTACAGCTATGGAACGCCAAATCACTTGTACTAGTATACATTCAAATATTTGTACCTGTCTTCGACTCCAACATAAATCATAAATTAATTGAATTATCTTCATTTTCCTACTTACATCACTATGGAGCGCCAAATTAACATATATTCAAATATATTTACCTACTAATTGAACCTATTTTCAAATCAAGTCCTAGAGCTTTCTTTTTTTTCTCAGCTGTATTTCTTCTGAAATGGCCTTTCTTTTTATACCAATTTTTTTTTACCTTGGAATTTGACCTTCTTTTAAAAAGGGGCCATACGATGGTTATAACTTTAGAACAGTTGGTGCAAGGCTACTGTGAATCACACGTGTATTTTTGTGACAAAACCTTCACTAGGTACCTTTAATTTTTTACACTTGGACATTGCTTTGATTTGAATGTTAAAAAAGTTGGTGCTTGGTCTATAACTTTTGAATGGTTATTTTTTTGTGTCGAGACCTTTACTAAGTACCTTTAATTTTTACACTTTGACTTTGACCTGGGAATCTGATTCTCTTTAAAAAAAAACTTAACTTTTGAAAGGTTGGCACTTGTACTTTCTTAATCCATGGAAGTATTTATTGATGCAAGTCGTTTGTCTTGCATTTGAAAAATTTGGACTTTGCCAAAAGCTGCCATACAGACATCATTGTTTCATAAACACATATTGTTGCACAAAGAATACAGAAGTGGAATATGAATTAAAGCCATTGCACCAATCAATTAAAACTTATTGGAAAGGTAAAGTTCTCGCTAACATACAAACGGGCGGAGTAAAAACTACATGATTGTATATACCTTGAATTTTTGATAACGAGTGTATTAATACTATAAGTTATTAACTGGACCACGTGTATTTGCCTTTTTTGTCTAGAAAAAAAACTAAGGGAAACTCTAAACACTGCACATCAATGAGTTCTAATTGCAGCCAGGATAGTTTTTTTGCTGTTTGAGAGTTCTGCCCATAGAAGTGATATAGAAAAAATGGTTACCGGTATGTACAGTTAATTACACAATTTGTTATAAACTGAAATATACTTAGCTTTATATTAGACCAAGATTAAGTAATTAAGTTCATTAATTTCATTGATTTTCCCAATGTAAGTAATCAACAGTGTCTTTGTTCGCACATAGTCCATCATCATCGAAAACCAACGGAAGATCTCGTCTTTATTATCACCGGGTGATAAGTAAAGACGCCGGTGAAAAGTAAAGACGAGATCACCGTGGGTTTCCGACGATGCTAGTCCATTGTCTTTAAACATTTTTCAGAAGAATTAAGGCAGGTGCCCTATGTTGAAAATAAATTAAAGCAATATGAGCTGCATTTTTGAGAATTTTATTTTGCTGGTAAAATGTGTTATTATGATTAATCTGTACGTAATCTAAACCCTTATGATCAATAAAACCAAAATAAAGTTTAAAAATGTTTCAGAAGAAATATTTCTGTACAACCGAATATACAGTATTATATAAGAAATCATTATTGTACAGGACGACAATAATTCAATTTTGCTTCAATCAAAGCATATAAAAAGTTCTTTCATAGCAAATATGAACAACAGAAGTTTGTAAATGTTCTATTTTTTCTGTCATTGAAATCGTTAATTACAAATTTGCAACATTTTTTTCCAATGTCAAACATTCAGCTCATATTGCTTTAAATAGTCTCAATATGCATACATGTATTTGTTTTGTCAATGTTTAGAGTTTTCTTAAACCTTGTCCATAACTTAATTTGCTGGAACCACAGCTTTCATGTTTCATATATGTATTCGTTGTGAGTTTTCTATGTGTACCAACATATTTGACCTATTGTCCTTGTACTTTCACTCAATTTTGTAACATATTTGTCACATTCTAACCTTGACTTTTACTTTTGAAAAGCTGGTGAATAGGAGTTCGCGTATCTATCAATTTTACCAAAATTTTCAGTCTAGTACAATTTTTTGTTATCCTTGGACTTTCAGTAAGGCATGGCATTCTCAACGTTAGATAATTAGCGTCTGAAATTTACACAGCCTTTCATTTACTGTTGAAAATATACATGTACATGCAAAAGAAATTCGGGCGAATATGTCAACGAGTGTAGCAAGGATTCAATAATAGCTTTTTGTACGGCAAAGAAGTGGGGCTTAAGTCGTCTCATCGTTGACAACAACAATTTAAAGTTGCTGATGTTATTCATTTCTTAACCAATGACATGTATTGCCATTCCAAAAGAAACGCTAATTATGTAGCGTCGAGAATGCCACGCCTTACTGAAAGTCCAAAGATGACAGATAATTGTGTTATATTAAAAAATGTTATAGGTATTAAGTATTTTTTTTACTAAATATTTCGGTAAAATTGATAGGTACGCGAACTCTTTTAGCTGGTGCTAGGCTTTCATATCTTACCTGTATACTTGAAAAAAACCATTCCATGGGAATGAACTTAAGCACATTTTTTAAAAGTTTAACCTTGACCATAATTTTTCAACGGTTATTTCTAGGCCTAAAATCATATTTTACAAGTATTATTCATGCGACAAGAATTTCACTTGAAAGCTTAGAGATTTGTCTTCGAACTTGGAATTTGACCTATTTTGAAACGGTCGGTGTTTGGGCTTTTCATATGTCTCATTTAATTTTTTGTGTTAATACCTTCACTTTGGCATCATTAATATTGACCCTTTAATCTTGACCTTCATGTTTGACTTACTTTTCAAAAACTTGAACCTTCAACATAACCTTTAAAAGGTTGGTGGTATGACTTTCATTTTTTGCAGTTATATTCCTTAGAATAAGACTTATCTTCGGGTTCCAACATTTCTGATCTTTTAACCCATGCCCCGGAGGTTGACTTGTATAAAATTTGGGACACTTTACCTCTGCCATAATCTGCCATACAGAGGCATCAATGTTTCACAAACACATCTTGTTTGATAGTTAAAGTAAAATTTCAACATTTAAGTATTGTTTTGGTTGTTGACCTTTATTCTTGTCCAATAAATAGGTCAAATCAGATAAAAACAATTGAAATGTTATTTAGACAATGATAGAATTAGTACTCGGTATGATAATGAATGTAGCCATGCACTCAAACCCACACGGTGCCAGTACGCGGTTTTTCTCCACTAGAGATCACTAAAGTCGCTCTTATCTACGTGCAGACGACATTGCAATGTCTGCAGACGACAGCAAACTGTACAGAGCAATGGACACGAGACTCTGCACCTCTGCATGCACCCTTGCAGTAATAACTTTCTGGGTTTTTACTACTGCGTCTGCACAGATAAGTGATTCTCCCTATGTGAGTAATGGAAGTTTGACATTTAAGAACCGGACATTTTATTTAGATGGCAATCCGCTACATATTTTAAGCGGAAGCTTGCATTATTTTCGGGTCGTTCCGGAATATTGGTGGGACCGGATGCGGAAAATGAAGGCATGTGGACTGAACACTCTCACGCTGTAAGAACTAAAAAATCATTTAAGTTCAGCTTTCATTTTTGGAATTAAACACTCGCCTGACAACATTGTTATATTTATACACAAGACATGTTTGTAGGATTAAAAAGATTAATTATATTATTAAATGACAACATATAATATAATGCATAAAACTGAATAAAAAAGAAAAAAAATCATGCTCTTGCGTTGAAATCAAATTTACAAATCCTGTCTGAAACTGTATAAAGTCTCCTCTATTACCGTAAATTGGATATAATTTAGAAAAAATGTTTTTCTTTAAAAGATTTATCAGGCGGGCATATCAATGGCGCTTATTGTGCGCAATAATATATAATAAGCATACAAAGTATCCAGAATTGCGGAGTGTGAGGAAGTTGCAGATTTTTTTTTATCACACAGATTGTGCATAGTTTAATTTTCATCTAGTTTTTAAAAATACTTATACCATGTATTTATCCTTTGCTGTTACAATGATCTAGTTAAGAACATCCACAGATATCATTTTTTGCAGTTATGCTCCTTGGAATCAACACGAACCATATCCCGGTAGATACAACTTTAACGGAATTCTAGACTTACGGTAAATACTACCAAAATAAGCAATCTTAAAATTCGATGTAAACTGATTAGAGCTCTTAACTTTTAAGCTGAAAGATATAATGTATGATCTAAAAAAATATGTGAGATTGAAAAATACGTCAAAGTATTCCATGATAAAAACACTTTGTATCGGTCAAGTATGAATACCAAGAAATAAAACCATGTAATTAAGGTATCAGGAATAGTTGCAAGAAATTACAACGTTAAATCATTTTTCCTATTTTATGCTTGACAGTATGCCGCATCTAAGAGGAAATTTATCAATCCCTGCTCAGACCAATTTCAGCGACAAATAATGCTTTTTCTGACTGATGCAATTTCCGGTTAGTATTTATATTTCCGGTTTTTCTTTTAGGAGATTCATTAAAATGGCCCAGAGGGCAGGGCTTTACGTCATATTCCGACCAGGGCCGTACATCTGCTCCGAGTGGGATTTTGGGGGTCTTCCAGCGTAAGAAAAATTTTGTTATTAGTAAGACAAAATCTTTTGACATTATATACTACAATATTTGTCCTTAACTTTTTTTTTATTTATAAACTTAGTTTCAAATATTTTAATAAGTACACGTCAAAAAATTAGTAAACGGCACATTGCTAAAAATGGCATACAACATCAAACTCTAAGTCCACCTTTTCTTTTAAGGTAATTCTGTGTGAGAAGGGGCTTTGTGTAATTTAGAGGTTCGTGTACTTCATACTTTGATTTTCTGTCCTGCTTTTACTAGTTGGCTGTTACGGGATCCCGATATGAAAGTTAGGACAAATTACCATGGTTACCAATCACATGTTAGAAGGTACTTCTCCCGACTTATGGCCGAGGTTTCAGATTTGCAGGTAATTGACTTATGCGAAGACCGAAATTATATTCTAAAAGGAATATTTTGGGGTCTTGCAAAACACGATGTACGAAACATGATTCCAAAGTCCTAAAAGTTAATGAGTATATAAAGGTATATACTGTAATTATAAATGCGTGTTTTAAGAGGGGGTATTATTTTGCAGTATATATGAAAATACCCAATGTATGACCAATATGTCCAAATTATTGATGTTGAATGCTTCCATAATCAAAACTTTGGAATCAAAGCATTTGGCTGTTAATATTTTTAAGGTTCCTCATGACATCACATCGATGGTTCTATTACATGAGCTAGTTAGAGAGTAATTTTTTTTTTTGCATAACCGTCCGTCCTATGTCATGATTTTTTATTGATAAATAAAATATACTAGTATGTCGGAAAGACTACTCCTGTGACAGTTTTAATATAAAACTTGGTACACAGGTAGACTAACTGCACTACATCACTATGTTTTATCGGTTTTTGGTTTCGTCGAAGGATGATGCTATGTCAACAAAAAATAGATTTTAATGCTTCTTTTTAAGTGCTACATCTTCTATAGATTTTGTTGTAATCTGGACAGATATAACACCATTGTAAAGCAAGACAAACCTGTATGAGACCCTTATAGTAGTGGCACACTTCATCATTTCAATGATGGACGTTGATGCTGAATGAGAATAGAATAATTAAAGAAATTTTTCAGTCCAAAGAGCTATCCTGAGCACACCCCTACAGATTTAGTATGATATCAATGAAACCTAGTATACATTATGTACATATAGACTAAGAAACATAATCATTGGTGTAGCCATAAAAAATGAGCATATAAAAGCTTCTCTGCTTAAAATAAAAACAGAAGAAAACGTACCAGTAAAGCTTCAGTCTCGTCAGAGACGTTTGGTTGAATCACCTGATTTGCTTGACCTTGATACTAACACGTGTAGAAAGCACACACGATAAAAGGTAGATGACTTCCGCAAGCATGTACCTGGACATCGACACAATCGCCAGACTATGTAAATAATTAATTACATATCACATCATAAAAACATAAACTGTTAGATCTGTATTACAGACGTTAATGCTCGTTATGCATAGTAGATGATTGATTATTGAAACACTTGGAAATGTCTACTGATAGAAAACCCACCACATGGACTATAGTAACTATAGTACCAGTACGTACTATAGTTAAGCCACAGGTATTCGTGACTTGTGAACAAGACCCCCCCGATAAAATATCAACCTCGGGACTTGTTGGATATTTCTTCATAAATAATATTTATTTTTTAATATAATGTATAGTAGGGTATTTTTGTATGGAACGATTATTTCGGGTTTTTCCCGATTTTCCTGTGGTATTTTAAGTGTAATAAATATAATTCGTATTCAGCAAGCCCAGGGATTGATATATTTATCGGGTGGTCCTGTCCACAAGTACCTGTGAGTTAAGCATAAAGTGCATATACTACAGTAATCTACTTGTATTCTGTACGTAATACTAGTAGTCAAGCCATAGGCCTTTGGACTTACAAAATTGATCGAGGGCTCTTTGACTGTCTTATTAGACCTTAATTAAACAACACAGAACCAAATATGGCCGGGAAACCCAAAATATTTCGCTAGAAATGCTAAAATAGGAGGTGCACAATGGCAATTGCAAGCTAGGTACCCTAAAGCGTAACAGACGGACCTGAGTCAACATGTTGCCATTGGCGTCCAACGGCAACATGATGCTATCCTTGCAAGCTAGGGGACCTGACCCATGTTGCCATTGGCGTCCAACGGCAACCCCCCCCTGGACCCCCCCCCCCCCCCCCCCCCCCCCCCCCCCCCGGCTTGCAAGGATGTAAAAATGTAAATGTCCCAGGACGCCCTTAAATTGTTATTGTCATTCGATTTTAATCAATCAATCTGTTCGTACTGTCATGTTTTCAGTATCATAGAGGCGGGCCAATCATAGCAGTACAAGTTGAAAACGAGTTTGGTTCCTACAGCAACGACACAAAGCATTTACTGTTTATTAAACAGGTCAGATTTACATTCCAAACCATTTACAAACCAATCTGAAAATGTATTAAAATGTGGTTAACATCAAATTAAAAACTGCCATATATGTTAGTAGAGGTGTAACTGTTTACTGTGTACACATGTAATAAGATGGTCTAAATGCTTTCTTTGATAGACTCTGGAAGAAAACGGTATACATGAACTCTTCTTTACATCAGACGGCTTCTACAATTATACAGAGGGCCTGAATGGGCTTGACAACGCCCCCTTCTATACAGGTGCCATATTAGTTTCGTTACAATTAGGTTAAATGATATGACATACAGTATTTAAATTTGGATTTATCAATTGTTGAGTGCTTAACATTTGTTTATTTTAATTTGTTTTTTGGTAAATTAAAGCAATATTGGGATATTGTCCCCCTTCTTATATCACAGAAGTCTGTTACATCAAAGAATCTAAAACTTCACATATATATATATATATTCACTTAACATACATGTATATTCAAATATTTGATCCTATCTTCAAATAATTGAATTGTACCTATCTCTAATTCATTTGAAGATAGGTACAATTGATTTGAAGATAGGTACAACTGAATTGAAGATCAATGAATTGAAGGTAGGTATAATTGATTTAAAGATAGGTACAATTGAATTGAACCTATCTTTCATTACTAAGATATTGGCACTAATAACTACTCCCTTTATCACATACGTCAATTCCGTCACTTTGGGGGTATTCGGGCATATACTGGTATATGTATTTTAATAAGTATATGATGCTTTTTGCACATTTTGAATTGACCCTTTTCTCTCCTTTCATCCTCGTTGTCGTCGCTTTGTAGGTTCTTTGTGTTTCCCTCCATATTGTCTCCAAAGGAGCGTTCATTATTTTCAATAACACAAAACGAATTGAACCTAGGTTTAATTGAATTGTACCAATAATTCCATTAAAGATAGGTTTAATTCATTTGTACCTAGGTATAATTATTTAGAGATAGGTATGATTATTTACACCTATCTTCAATTCAATTGCATCTATCTTTAATTCAGTTGTACCTATCTTTAATTCAATTGTACCTATCTTTAATTCATTCATTATTATTTGAAGATATGTGCAATTATTTGAAGATCGGTACAAATATTTGAATACATGTTAATTTGGCGTTCCATAAATTAAATATAGCAAAAACCACTCGTATCCAGAAAATGTAAGGGGATTCACATACTTATATGTAATATTTTGCTATTTCCGTTGCTAGGAATGTTCACAGATTCAAACCCGAACACAATTTGACAAAGAAGTTAAAATATAATAAAGTCAAGGTCGCCATTGTGTGACGTCATTGGACAAGGTTAGTTAAATCCTGGCATCTTGTGACGCAAATTGGGTCACAAAACCCGAAGCTGGTTAACTATTTCTGAGTCAAATGCTTAACAATCCTCAAACAGCCATCATTAATCATTGTAGCTATGTAAAAACTTCAGTCATACAAATGATCTGACAATTCATGAAACATCTTTGGTTCCGGATGTCGAATTTTAAACGAGAAACAAAATTCATCATTATTTCTGCATTCCTCTCTTTAAAATATGTCTTTTCATTTTTAGTTTATTTTCCATCACTGGAATCCATTACTTTAAAAAATATTAAAGAAGGAATTTCTTGTCATGTGTAAAAAGCACAGGTTTTATATTCAAGAAACTTATATTGTTTAACAGTATTCTTTCACTATTATTTGCTAAATTTATGACGACACATATAATATTTACTTTGGAAAGTACATATATTTGATAGTCCGATTCAAGTACTTTATTGCTCTGTTGCTTTATTGCAAAAAATACATTATAAAATATACATTACAAGATTTTTAAATACAGTATAGTACATTCAAATACATTATTTACACACCAAATATTTCTACAAAGTACCAAATGATGGAAACAGACAGACGATGCCATTGTTGATTACATATATTTTTTTTTCAAATGAAAGGACAAGGTATGGTAACGGCTAAATCTGCCCCCTTATTTGATGTAAAAACAGAACACAGTTAATACTGTGATAGTTTGTAGTTAAGAACTTAAATTGATGCTTGTTTTAGCACTAACCAGCACTGATTTTAATTCAAAACTTGCACGGAGGCCACAAGCGCGTGCAGAAATAGGACATTTTCCCGAATTTTCTAAATTCTTGTGGAATTTTGTCAAATTCTTTGCACCTAGAAAACATCGAGCACAAGCTTGCCTATCTGAGATTTTACACTCAAAATGCATCTGATATTAGTGTGTGAAATATATAAGTTTGGTAGATAGGCAAGCTTGTGCTCTATGTTTTCTGAAAGAAAATGTGTGTAAAATTGATTAAAATTTGCATAAAAATGAAGAAATTCGGAATAAGCCAACATTTAAAAGTGTTAAAATTTCAAAACATATAAGAGTAAATGAAAATATTTTGCTGGAAATGTCATAAGTAAAATTTTACCAGTGACATTCAAGGAAAAAAACTACTTTCCTTCATTACCTTAAATCGTCCTGATGACACAATTTAAAACTTTTTTTAAATTTAAATAAATGGAAAAAAGCATTCATTCGCATGTATAAGCGCAAAATGTATGATAATAAAATGATATGTATCTTTTGATAGTTTTTGGGGGTTTTGAAAAAGATGTTCTTAAAAACAGCGAACATTGTCAAAATTGGAACCTATTCTTTCATTCGTTTTTCTTCGAAGATTTACGGAACATTTAAAGCGAGATATTTTCCAAAACGTATGCGAACTTCGTTATGTTGTAAAAATTTTAGAAAATCTTTGTTCACGAAAGCATATACAATGGCGGCACACATTCCCCTGGATGACGTAAAAATGACGGCTAAATGTTGAATGACCTGGTGGACCTTTAATGGAATGTGAGTAGGTACGACCACCAGGGCACAGGAGATGAACATGAACACGAAGAAGACAAGCGACATGGTCACTTCATATTTCAACTTGGGACGATCGTAAACTTTCTCTCTATATGCCGCCATGTGAAGTCTCACCATCGCCAACAAAAGAAAAATAAAAGTGGCCGTCAGGATGAAGAGTTTGTAAATGTCAACAACCCACATGACCGGATGTGACGTATGGTCGATCCAGCATTGCACTTTGTGGTCCACCACTAAGGTAACGACCCAAAGCGTCAAAGGGACGATGGGTAGGCCCCATCCCACAATGCAATACATCGTAAAACCGGAAGTGCACAAGTGGTCAGCTTTGCAAAGAATTTGTAAGAAATTCGCATCCATTGCAATCCAGCCCAGAAACACAATTTCAGTATATTGCGTAAACGTAGCCAGGAATTTGCACACAAAATTCATAAAGATTTCAGAGTTTATGAATGAAATGTTATTCAATTCATAGATGACTAAAACATGTGTTGTCATTTTTGCCAAAATATCAAAAATGACAGCAATAAAGAGAGTTTTGTGGATCTTAACATGAAGAATCGTATTAACAAATTTCGGAAGAATGCAATAGTATAATAAAAACACAACAATGATACTCAGAATAGATAAACACAGGAGAGACAGGGCCACTGCGCTCATTGTCAGCGCTGACTTCCGGGTATGGTCATCAAACTTCCGGAATATGTCTATGTCGTTAGGGATAACGCATTCCGCAAAGTTCGTCTTGGAGATCGTCACAATAGACTCGACAATTTCCTCCCAGGTCCCATTTCGGCCACATTTCCGGACTGCCTCTTTACTAGGGTCAAATCCATTGAAGTTCGGACATCTCCTCTTTATGGTTTTCCCTGCTAAAGTAGGTGGCCAACACATTAGGCCGTCGTGAATACTTCCGCAAAAGCTCACATTATCAAAGGGAAATGCTGAGAATCCTTCTATACATTCTTGATCATTGAATATCAAGTCCGAGGCATTGGTATCGGTCAACATGAGGTCCTAGAAAAAAAAGTGTTTTCTAGTGAAGGTTTTTTATTTACATAATCTCTGTAAAAGTGAAGAAAATACACGGGACGAAAGAGAAAACATGGATCAATATCAATTCAAATATGATAATTATTTATTTTCAAAAATACCATAAAAGTTTTACACCTAGAAAAATACTTTATGGCGCCAAAACGACGAAGAATTGGGGTAAGTCCCGCTTTGATGTGGGTTCAAACTCCTCGAAGAACCACCATTTGAAATATGGTGAGGGTTAAAAAGACACAAAAAGCAAAACGTACAAAAACGAGACTTTATCATTATTATTTAATCATCATGAATAATTTTGTTGAACATATTTTTGACACAAAACAGTTACACGAATTCAATCACAGTTTAATTTAATTTTTATGCCAATAATAATTTCCAAGAATTTACGATACAATCCCATTCTTGAAAGTATGTTAAAATTTGAACAAATGTTAGATTGTTTATGAATTGAAAAAAATTAACTTCAAATTAAATGATAAATAAAATATTCTTTGAAACATTACCTTACTGTGTCTTAGTCCTAGAACTCGTGGCTAGGAATGCCGATTCGTGGCATTGCGAAGTGAATCGATAAACATCGCTACCAAACTAGCTTAATGGAAACAACACCAAAGGGTAAAATACAAATACCTTGTTTATAAATTGCCAAATTGTTCTGGGACCTCGTAATTGAAGTGACTTTGCCTAATTACTGTTACCCAAAGAATATCTCGTAAACGAGTCGTTTGTCTTCATCCGGGCGCCAATTCAAGCGTGACCACTTTATCTTACATCATTTGGGTTAAATTTAGCTGAATCTTGTTTGATAAGTTTTTATATGTGGTAGGTATGCAATTATTTTAATTAGTTTGAATGAAATAAATGGGTCATCACATACTAAGAATGCAGAAACTTGAAGCATTTTCGACCTAAAATTAAAACGCCTTTTCCCCTCCTCTTTTTGCTATCATGCGATGTAAGGATTACAAGTAGTGAACATTTTGGACAAAAGCTTACAAACAAATACTTGTTTTACGAAAATCCCGTAAAATGGAAAGAAAAGTAAGGGAATTCAGATGAAATATTTCCTAATTCAATCAATTACATGTATTTTTTGTCGAAAAGTATTTCTTTATCAAAAAAAGTCAAAATAAACGGTAAATAAATTAACACTAACAGCTGTTGACAGGCTCACTACAAATTTATAGAGCCTTGACAGGTTTGAAAATAAAAGAATTCTTTCGGAACAAAAATATCAGTTTCCTCTCTAGAAAGGGGGCGCTATCGATGATAAAGATTGCAGATTTCTAAAATAAATCAAATTTTTAACAGTTCTCATGTATCATGTCTGAGAGCGGCATACATCTCTCTAATATATATATAAACGAAAGCTGTCGATCTGATTCATGGTGATGAGGAAGGAGCCGGGGTGGTAAATATCATCATATAAGATTGCAAAGGAAACATTTTTTAAAGTTTATTATGACATGCCAACGCATAATTTCATCTTTGCCGTTTGTATTGTACAGTTGTTTATTTGTATTATATAATTTTTCATTTTAATTGCATAATTTCCATTTGAATAGTATAATTTACATTTGTATTTTGTGTATTCTATTTATAATTTACGGAATTCTTAAATCTTACATTTGAATTGTATATGTTTTTTTAAAATTTGTTTTTTATATTTGATTTATATTGATCATAAATTGATTTGCATAATTTTTTAGTTGTATTCTATGTTTTCTTTGTAATAAGTCGTTATAACGAAAGAATAAGTTGCACATACGAGATGATAAGTCGTAATAACGATATATTAGTATCTTAGTGCGACTCAGTATATATATATATATATATATATATATATATATATATATATATATATATATATATATATATATATATATATATATATATATATATATATATATATATATATTACGCTTAGGACATAATATCTCGTACGTACAACTTAGTATCTCGGACGTACAACTTAGTATCTCGTTCGTGCGACTTAGTATCTTGTTCGTACGATATAGCAAAATATATTTTCATCTGGCAGCAATCTAATACGCTTCTGTAATTTTGCATTCTATTTCATATTTGTGAGTGATAATTTTTCCCGTTTGTATTGTATCCTAGTGATTGTTGTTTATTAGTTTCGCTACGAAGAGTTACAGTAATATTTTCTTTGGCCAAGATCATGTTTTAGACAAGCGATGCGTCTCGTATGAAAGAAAACTTTACAGGTTAATATACATAAATCAAGAAGTCGATTTAACATTTCAATGAAACGTTGCCACTAAAGATAGAAGCATGTTGTTAATCATTCCAATGTGCTTCTGTTTTTGCACCTTTTCTGTGAAAGAGCCTTATTTCAAATAAACTTGCTAACAGTATATATATCAAACATCACATAAGTTATACACTTACATCGACTTTCTAATTTATGTCGTCGAAAAGGGTAACTTTTCATTCCAATCATTCTAATTTGCTTCTCTTCCTGCACTTTGTTCGGATAAAGACTCTTTGAATCGCGGTAAAGTGCAAACACTGCATCAACATATTCTTCGAATTCCTTGATCAGGTATCGTTGTAGCATCATAAATCAAAAATGCTGCTCGTCTCCATACGGTTTATAAAAGTATGACAAGACCAGAGTCCCCGTACCCCAAGACTTTTTCAATTTCAAATTATAGGACCACATGTCGATCTGGCGGATTCAACGAAGATGGGAGTTTTTAAATTCCTCCAAAGTCAAAACGTGTTCCGACACGGCGACGTGATCGCATTTCGTTCACAGTAATCGATCTTTTCAATATTATGACCGTGTTTACTTCATCGAAAAAATATTGACCAGAAAACATGGAAAGGAAAAGTATAAGAAAATTACTAAATGTGATTATTTCCTACAAAAAAGTGATTATCCCGTCATTCTCTCGGAACTCTTCGGTACAGAGAGGTCACACCGCTATCAGCTGATGTACAGCATCCAATAAAACCGCCACTTTAAAATTGTTTCTATATTATAATTTAAAGTGATTGGCAGACAATGCTAAATATTCTTTCAGAAAATTAAGATTTGGTGTTTTTATTGCTCTATTTAGAAGCCTTACCTACCGTGAACTTTCAGGATATCGCCCAGGGGGAAGAACTCTTCCGTAAGGTGGAAGCGCTCGATGATGACTTCCCTTTGATGGTGACAGAGTACTGGTCAGGGTGGTTTGATTACTGGGGTGGTCCGCACCATAAACAGTCTCTTAACGGTACACCGCTTTCTCAAATAAATGATCGAATGTTTGGTTTTGAAAATAATTCAGGAAAATGCACAGATGTATCAAAATAGATGGAGGTTAAATGGGTTACACTGATAACGTTCAGGATAAACAGAAACAGAGTTCGGCCTACATGTATAAATACTTGTCAGGCTGTGTAACACAACAAAATGCATATGTACATTATTACCTGCATGATATAAAGAATCTGTCTTCTGCTCAAAACCGTCTGAAATAAATGGCATACTCCGAAAACTTGGTTCTTATATCAAGTCTTGACTTGGTGGTATTTCTAATAATATTATTTTTCAATTCGTAGACTTTGGCAGCACATTGACCGCTATTTTGAATCGTTCCGCATCCATTAACTTCTATATGTTCCATGGAGGAACGAACTTTGGTTTTATGAGTGGGGCTAACTGGGACTTTGAAAAGAACACACTGAAGACTGACGTCACTTCCTATGGTAGGTGGTATTGAGGTTTCATGGAAGTATGTGATTCATCTTCAGAAAGTCGAAAATAGGAATCTTTCATTGACATTTTAGATGGTGATGACTTTGTGATTTTTTTAGATTACGATGCTTTGTTGACGGAGGCCGGGGATATAACAGAGAAATACAGAATAGCTAGACAAATCATCCACGAAAAAATTCATGGTAAAACAAACATCATAAAGTTAAGTGGTTTTCAAAGTGATGAGCTACGGCCAAAAAAACTAATAATCATAAACAGCATAATAAAAATCTTTGGCAGTAAATCTCTTGTTGAATGTTTCAGGGATGCCTGGACTTGAAATACCCTACGACACGCCCAAGGAAGACTTTGGTAACTCTATATTTGCATGATAAATGTAATGTAAATTATCAATGAAAAAAATTGTATATTTATTAATATCTGCACTTCTAAAAATTTTAAAGGTAATATTTCAGGTGAAAAACTTTTTCAATAATTTTTTTTAAAAGATACGACTAAAACTACACTTCACGAAAAGGATTATCTATGTAACAACGGCCATAAATATAACGAATGCTGGGTAACGATTAAATGCACAGATATGAAAAATTCACTCACTCTGCACTTGATGAAATACTATGTCTAAAGATAAATACAACATATGTATGGTTGCAAAAAAGCAACAGTAAAACACATATTTCATTCATTTTTGTTAAAATCTATTTGTAGGTTCTGCAGGTCGTGTTAACATCCAACACTACATGCCGTTAGAAAATATCCTTAAATTAGCAAAGGTAACACGAAACGCATTCACATGCGAATTTCTTCGAACTTATAATTTTTTAACGTATTTAAGGATTTTCTGTCGATGGTTTATCAACGTCAAACAAATCGTCTGGACTCTGTTTCTGCAGGCTTACTTTGAATCTATCACTCTATCATAATAAGGCTAAAATTCTGTATACTCCACAAATGATAGCTCATTCTTGCATTGTTTTCTCTATATATAAAGGTTATATAATATAACCTTTAAATAAAATATATTATATTGGTTATAAAATGTAACCAATTTGAATACAAGTACATCAATATATACGTACAGTAAAGAAATCAACACGATGTGTTTGTAAAACATTGATGATCCTTTATGGCAGCTTATGATGAAGATTAAACTTTTTTAAGTGCAAGTCGGGGGTCAAGGTCGAAGCCATGAAATAAAAAAAGGATTCCATGAAAGCTCTTGTGACAAAGAAATACACTTGTGAAATATGAAAGCTCTGGCACCAAACGTTAAAAAATTTATGACCAAGGTTAAAGTTTTCCGGAAGTAGTTCCATCTCCAAGGTTCAATTTAACCCCCTGGTAATGGCACCAAAGAGAAGGTCTTGTCTCAAGGAATACATATTTGAAATATGAAAGCCTTAGCTCTAACTGATCAAAGGTTGTGGCTAAGGTTAAAGATTTTCTGTTGTGTTGGGTAATGAACATGAAGAGGATGCAAATATTTCAAACATTATGAAAATCAAAAGAGGTCAATCTACAAGGTCAGTGTCTAATGGTCAAAATGGTTGGTATCCAAGGAGAGGTCTTATCTTAAAAAAATGTACATGTGTAATATGAAACTGTCTGCCCTAGCTCCAACTATGCCAATCGTACATGTATTGTCAGAGTTAAAGTTTTCTTAAAAGTGAGTAAAACTCTACGACCAAGGTCAAGAGGTCAACAATATTTGTACTGAAGTAAAAGGAAAGCTCTTATCACAACAAATAAAGGAGTGAAGTTTAAACTAGCACTGATCATTTCAAAATTAAGTTATGGCTAAAGTTAAACGAAAAAAAATGCAAAAGTGGATCGAACTCTAAGGTCAAGAGGTCGAATATATCGGTTTTCAAAAAAACATTGTGTTAGAATACATGTGAAATATGACAGCTCTAAAGTTACAGGGAAGATTAAAGTTTTTGGGAGAAAATAAAGTGTCAGATTAATAAACGAGTTAAATCTACATATATGCCAAAAATCTTCGATTGCGGGGGTATAATGATAAGAGAAAAATTTTCATTTGTTTGCTTTAGAAAATCCGGATGAATAAAACCGTCCCCATGGAGCTTTTACCGTTACACCCAGTGGGCAGAAATAGCTTCAGCGGACAGATGTACGGGTACATCTTATACCGGACCAACATTACTCACGGGGATAACCTGACCTTCACCGACTTTCCCAGGGACAGGATCGAGGTCAGATCAGCTACACTGAACCCTGTCAATGTTATCTTTATCTGATTTAAATCTTAAAGTAACATGAGTAATATACTGTTAACTCATTTTTATAGTCTGTTGAAATTCACTATAACATGATGAACCTGCTCATATCTAACTACATATATTTAGCTTAAATTTTAGGTTTTTTTGACGGGGTTTGAAATTTGTATACTCAAATAATAGCTTTTTTTGACGGGGTTTGAAATTTGTATACTCAAATAATAATTGATTTTAACCTTAACATCACCTATATTTGTAGGTATTTGTTGACGGTAACTCTGTCGCTGTTCTGGAAGGAATGGTGGACAATGTAAATGTCAACATATCTCTGGGACAGATCATCGGGGCAATTCCGGTATAAATAAAATTCTGAAAATTAAAGGACATGTAGGAATCTATCATGACTGTATTTTATTAGTACTACAATGATGATCAAGACATCATTGCATATTGTTCGTATGAGAGTCTAAATTCAACCGTTAATTTCTCTGTACATATATTTATAAAGCAGAAATCGTGAATAATAGCAGCGAATAAACCAAATGCACAAAACCACAAAGTGAAAACTAAGTAACTTGGAAAAAATGAAATCGCTCTCTTGTAGATTGAAAGAGTGCTTGACATTTTGGTTGAGAATAGGGGACGAGTGAATTTTGGAATATTTGGAGCGTCAGTCCTCGACGAACAGTTGAAAGGTACGAATTTGCTCTCAAACTTGGTTTGAATCATCACACACATCTCACACAGAATTAAAGTAACAAAACTGGCCAGGGGTAGGGTCGGATGCTACATTATGTAAACCAAGGTGGAATCATATATACCATTGGGTCTAATATTTATCGCCCATACTCCATAGACTCGTCGCCACTCGCCAGCGTGGCGCAGTGGTTAGAGCGTCTGCTCTAGAGTCGCGAAGTAAGGAGTTGATCCTTACGTCGCGGCTTCAAATCCCACTGTGGGACGTGGAAGGCGGTCCTTCGGATGAGACCGTATAACCGAGGTCCCGTGTCGCAGTAGGTGCTGGCACGAAAAAGATCTCTCACTGCCCAATGGCCCTAAGTACCGAGTATAAGTCAAAATTTGTTGCTCTCCACCGAAATGTGGTGGTGTTTCCATACGAGTAAAAAATTCCCGAGAAGGACGAATAATATACGCCATATACATGTAAACAATATACAAACAATTAACCCAAAAGACTAATGTATATACATATTACATGTATTTATACATTTTTAAGGTTTGGACAACAACTGTTTTTTGGATGGTCAAGTATTGGATGACGTCGATATTTACCCTCTGGAATTTGATGAAGACTTTTACAAACGGTATATGTTGCAGTGGACTGAATGTTGAATCGGTTATATTATGATTTAATACTTACGCTCAAGACCCGAATTTGAACAAAATCTCGAATCGGCTGTTTTGGTGAATAAAATTATAACACATGTGCGCTAAATATAAGAACTGTTGTGCAAAAAACTTTTGAATTTTTTCTCCCATGATTGACTAACAAATAATTCTTATATTTTACTATTTGTAGTCTTAAAGATCAAACTGACTGGGAGCCATACAACAAGCAGAGAGATCTACCCGGATTTTATCGGGGCCATATGTTCATCGCCTATACACCACTAGACTCGTATCTAAATATGAAGGTTTGTATCTGGGTCATATGTTCATCGCCTATACGCCACTAGACTCCTATCTAAATATGAAGGTTTGTATTTGGGTCATATGTTCATCGCCTATACTCCACTAAACTCGTATCTAAATATGAAGGTTTGTATCTGGGTCATATGTTCATCGCCTATACGCCACTAAACTCGTATATAAATATGAAGGTTTGTATCTGGGTCATATGTTTAAAGCCTATACTCCACTTGACTCTTATCTTAATATGTAGATTTCTATCTGGGTCTTTTGACATAGCTTATACTCCACAGGACTCATATCAAAATATGAGAGTTTGTATCTGGGTCATTAGTTCATAGCATACACGCCGCTAGCCCTTGTAACTGAATGTGGAGATTTGTATGTAGGTCATTTGTTTGTAGCCTGTACTCCACAAGATGGAGGATTGAATGGAGGTCATATGTTCATTGTCTTTACTCCTCTGAACTCCTATCTTGATGGTACATCAAAGCATACAAGGCATATACCTGTATTGAGTCCAAAGATAATCCTCGAAGATATAGTTTGCTACCTATATAAGAAACTTTTTATATATAAATCTTTCGATTGTTTCTCTGACAATTAAATATTGAGCCATAGGTTGCCTCTACAGTTGCACGTAAGTGGCGATGTTATTACATTTTTTTAATGTATTTATGCCTTAATTGTTTCCATCAAGTATGCACAAATATTTTACCCTCTGAGTATTTCTTCAATCAGGGATGGACCAAAGGTTTTGTGTACGTTAACGGGGTAAACCTGGGGCGATACTGGAATAAAGGACCCCAACAAACACTTTTTGTACCAGGTCCTTATCTGAAGCAGGGATTTAACGAGGTAAAAAAGACTTTCTTCGATTTCATCTTTCATTACCATATCATTTAACATCTTTGATAGCCAAGTGCCATTGATCCGATACTCTTGAAGAAAAGCGGATCATATACCCTTGGCAACCGGAGATGACCATATTGCTGAAAATAAAATTGTTTTACAAGACTGCATTTACAACGATGCTTACAGCAAGACGAATGAAACTTTAAAAAAAATTATGTATGATGGTTTTTTTCTGTTTCAGATCATTATCTTTGAACAACACAAGTCACACAACCGAGTAACATTTCAAGAAACATATATTTTAGATGAACGTGATGAAGACAATTCTTAAAATTGTTTAACTTTCTTTTTATTTACTGTGATCCATTTTATCTATATCCTGACTCTCTGTTTTTACAATAAAACAAAAACAAAAAAAAGCATCTTTTATGTAGTTTTTATTCAATATGATTCAAGAACCTTGGAAAACAACGAATCAAGTGAACTGAACATCGATGAACTTTTCTTTTCATTAAGTGCAGTTTTATATGAAAAGAAATAAAATCATCTTCAATAGACAGATTTTGTCTACATATATCTTGTCAAACAAAAAAAAGGAAAATAGAGTCATTAGGTTATCAATTTCAAATCCAGATCGAAAATTCAAGTACATATGTTTGACTTTGCAATAAAAAGTTACAAGTATATCAGATTGACTTCAGCTTAATGGAAATTCTGTACTAAACAAAGATTTCGTCTTTCTTTACTTCCGGTTTCACATCTTCATAAACTTGTCTCCGTATACTTGGACCAGATCCTTCAGAATTTGTTCCTTCTCTTCCGGTGACGCAAAACAGGACCGCGCAGCGTGAAATATCTGATTAAAAAAAAATAGAATACTGTATAATGGACATATTGGATATTAATTTGATAAACTCAAGTTCTGAAGGCATCACACTCTTATATACATGTAGATGGGATTAATTCATAGCTTTTTGTTACAGCTGTGCATTTGTATACTGTATTTATTGATAACGAAGCTACATAGTGTCCCCTAAAAATACAGTGCAAACTCGATAAAACGGCCACCTGTTTAGCAAGTGTGTAAAGTAAATACATGTCATTGATGTGTACTTTCAAAATGTAATTTGGAAGAAAAAAACATCTCAATAATAAACACTTCAGCGTTGTTATGTTATTCTATGTTTACAAAGATTTGCAGTGATGTACGCATGTGTATCCAGATTTTCAAATGCTCAAGAAAAAATTGATATCCCAAAAAGGATGATTTTTAGGAGAAACTTTTAACAATATGGTGACTAGTAAGTATTAATTATTAAAAGTAATGCATCCATACTTTCATTAAGTTATACACATAATTTTAAGAATTAAAACATTGTCATCAAATAAAAGGAATACCGGGGTATTATCCTGTTCCCGGAATAACCACAGACACTAGTGTTGGTTTTATTGCTATACCTACCGTAGCGATCACGTGATCCTGGTCCAGTCCCATTTTCATAACCATCTCATAATCCTGAGTGAGGTCATTGTCAAGGACGATGGGGTCATCCGAACTAATCGAAAAGTTCACATCATCGTCGATAAACCTGCCAAATAAAAAGTTGGGTTTTTTGCAATTACAAGAAATATGCAAAATTACATCATCCGAGGCGATTATTACAGCGCGAATTAATTTTACTTGTGGGGTGTTTCACTAGTGAGGCAATTTACTTGTGGAGGGGGTGTTTGTCCAGATCCTCGGTGACAGAGCCAGTTCTGACACTAGACAGGGGGCACACCTCAAAGTGAACATTCTCTCTCCGACAGCGTTCGTACAACTCCGGATCGTCAACGACTCGGTAGCCATGGCCAATTCTCTCCGCGTGCATCTCGTCCAGTGCCTGGGAAATTTAGAAATTTCACTTCCGTAGTATATATCCCAACTGTTGCTTTACTGAGCATTAAACTTGTCCACTAATCTTTATACAAATATATTAACATTTCTTGAGTGTAAGCATGACTTTCTATGATATCTATTATGATAATAAAAAAAAATTATCTGGAAATCATTGAAATTACAAATTTAGGGACGTGTTTGATTGATTCATCCTTGCACATCACACAAAAGTTCAACGTCCATTAAGCCCATATGATTGAAATTAGCCTTTTGAATTAACAAATATTTCCATTTCTGATTTTTTTCTCTGTGATGACTCTTTGAAAGATACCGGAGTTGATTTCTTGATAATTCTACCGGAATGTAAATTAGGCAGGTCGATAGGTCAGGAGCTAAGGAGGCCTAATATGCATGCAAATCTCATGCGCATCTGTCTGATGCTTAGGAGGCCAAATACCCCCCCCCCCCGGTATGCATGTAAATCTCGTGCGGCTGCCTTTGTGATTGACGTCAGTGGGCGAGGACTATTGAAACTGGCATGGGAGTCCTCCTGTAATTTAAATCTGTCTACATTTTTAAAGTCTAAATCTTCAATTTTATTTCACAATGAAAAGGAAATATAAGGAATCACTGTCTAGTTAGTATAGAATGCTAGGGACGAAGTCCGTTATGCATAAATTATCCCATGTTTCCCACTATCGTTGATGCCCTGGCATACTATACTAACTAGACAGTTATTCTTTAAATAACAGAGTTTTGCCCTGTCTAAAAAAAACAGTTTTCATTTGTTAAACTCTGCACACATCGCTTAGCCCAGACTGACAATACTGGTGAATTGGTTATCCTTTCTCACATTACTACTCTTTAGTTTTTTAATATTTTCATAAAAACACAATAAAATTTCTACTATTCCTAAGTGTATAGGATAAATTTAATTTGTGAAAGTGCAAAGACGTGTCAATCAAACGCGTCCAGAAATTCGTAGCTTCAATTATTTCCAGATTAAATAAGCTTTTTTAAAATTATATTTCAAAGTCAAATTATATAGAATCATATGTCATGATATTATATTGAAAATTTGATAAAATTTGTGTCCAAGCACCTTTAATGCCTTGGTTGAAGTTCAACAAACGTTAAATGTCAGAACTCGAAAACGGTCATATCAAACAGCATGCTTGGGTTCGACAAAATTAAAGTATGTTGAACTCGATCCAAGACAAGAAATGTATAGTGTGTATGTGCAAATTAATCAAGGATTATCATGTTTCAGAAGACTCCTACCAGTTTTACGCCCTCCACGGGTCCGTTCTCTCCTGCATGGACTGTCCTGTGTATACCATGCTCTCGAGCAAGCTACATATAGACAAAAAACACATTATAAAGCAGATCAGATTTAAAAGGTCGCTCACATGACCCTTTCCTTCATATCAATTAAACTTACACCAACTACTTCCCGTACCTAATTACACCCAATTCCATTCTGAAAGAAAAACTCTAAAACCATTTTGTATCGTAAACTTCTAAATTTACCAGTCCGAGTCAGATTTCTCTGTTCCTAAAAAAGGAGAGAAATGCTTTCAAATAGACACTAATTTTAATCTTTCATTTAATATTTTTTTCTATTTTATAACGTGTTAGTCAAAATTGATACCTTGAAGGCGCTTGTATGCAATTCTTCGTGTTCAACTCCAGGCGCCAAATCCCCACAGGCGATGTCAATGGCAACAACACCACGTGATTTGAACTCCTTACACAACTCGAACACTTCCATTGACCATTCTGTAAATATTTCAAATAGCTGTCTGTATATAATATATGTGAAATTCTATTAAATACTACGTGGCTGAAGCAGAAAACGTAACCTTCACCTACCTGGGTTATATTCAACGCAACAGAGAATCGTTTTTACTTTTATCCCAAAATCTTTTGATCCTTTTTCAAATGCGTCACAAATGATGTTTACAACTTCTCTTGGAGTTATATCCCCTTCTGTTTCGGCGTATGGTGGTTTGTCGCCATTTGTCATTTTGTTGGCCAGCAATTGAGGCGAATAGCGGGCCTCTACATAGAATGTATTGTGAGACCTACAGTCCTCGCAGAAATCATAGGCAATTTTGTATATAGCCTCTCTGTCGCCTCTGTATGGAAACAAATAAGATTATTGGTTTCATGCATTACCTTATGATAAGAAAATGATGGTTATATTGCAGTGAAAAAATGGAATTCATTAAATTGAGTAATTACAAGTTTCAAAAATCGATCGTTTAGTTAAATTATGAGTCCCAATAAGAACTTACGCGACCACAGGCATGAATGTGTGAAATTTCTCTAGGAATGCCTCCAATGTATACGGACGTTCAAGAACAACCAAATGAGACTTTAATTCCTCAAGTGTCTCCCATTTCAATTTTATTTTTCGTCGCCTATAATAAGTAAAATAAAAATTGAGGCACGTGCATGAATTATAACGCTTAACTGAGAAACCTTAGCAATGCTGTTTTTCGTCATTTTTTCCGTAAAAATTTTAAGCCTGTGTCGTGGTCCCTTCCCAATTTCAATGTCAAAACAGCGAGATAAACTGAATATGATTAAAATTGCTTGTTGTGCAGTGCTTGAAAAGAAGTTTTAAAATTTGAGGAAAAATAGATCCAATTTGGCAATGTTTTGCAATGAATGATTCTATTTTGGTTTTTGAGAAAAAAAAAGCTCCCCCTTTACATTTCATTCCCTATTGTGTGTGTGTCTGTCCCATTACCTGTGAAAAACGTAAGGTTAAAAAATATCGGTAAATCAATCTGTATTACCCGAGGATTTCATTATCATAGCTGTGTTCTTAATGAAAAGTTTTTAAGATTTCTTTATTTACAGTGGTGGATCTTTATGAAGAGTTTGCCTACGCAAGATTATCGAATTTATAAATCCTTACAAATTGTTAAATTTGAGATTCCTCCATACAGTAAAGATAAAACCTGAATCAAATCTTGAAATATATTGTAATTAAATCAAAATGGTAACACGCTTTAGTAATTTGATAGAAAGAATGTTACACTACCCTAATATTGAAAGGGTATGGAAGGATGCTTCCACATTTTCAAAAAAATTCAGACCCACTCTATATAAAAAAGTTAGCTACTTAAAATTGTGTGCCTAGTGAACTGTTCGTTTGACAGATGAAGATTTTTCAAAGATTTTTCCTATAATATTTCTATGTAAAACTTTGAATAATTCCCCGTGTATTTTTTTATTTTTTATTCAAATTTGCACACAATTGAAATTTGAAGTGGAAAACATTTCTATAGATTAATAAGGACGGTTTCAGAAAGGGAGACTTTTGAACACTACAGAAGGTTTACAATTTCTTTTTTGTTCTAGAAATTTTTATTTGCCCAGTGGTAATAAGGCAAAAAAATATTTCCAGGCATCCATATTTTGTTTATATATTTCCTTAAAGGGTAAAATGCTTTGATTCCCCATAGCGGCGGTGTTGGTACCCCGTTATTTGTCCCAGTGTTCTCCGATTTTTTCTAAAGTTCATGAAATTATGAAAATTTTTATACTTTTTACTATATAAAGTTCAGAAGGATGACTTCTTTTACATAAGATTATAGGTTTTTTGGCCCAGTCGGAAAATTTTTGAGAAGATTTTCAAAGATTTTTCCTATATATTGATCCATGTAAAATCGTGATTTGATTCCCCAGTCAAATGGCCCCGATCAGTACCCCCGGGGGTCATATTTAAAATTCAAATTTACACTACCCCAGGATGCTTCCACATAAGATTCAGCTTTTCTGGCAACCAGTGGTTCAAAAATTGAAAAAATGATTTTAAATATTTTTCCTAATATATATAAACAAATTTTGATGTATAACATTTTGAATGCATTATTTACCCAATTGAAATGTAAACAACCAGGGACCACGTATGGCTGTTCCGTATGCAAAAACAGTGAAAAGGAAAGGTAAAGCGTCATGAAAACATATTTAGAACAATTGTTAGCATCAATGTTAAAAATACTGTAACGATAACAGCAAGAATTCGAAATGTAGATATTGTCATTTGGACAGTGCTGTACAAAGTTTAACAGTAAATCGGACAGACTAGGCGGATGCTTACTGGCGACTAAATCAGTGTGGGCTATGACGCTAACAGATTTTTGATCATTTTTAGGGATCCATTTCTTCCCTGGACGCCATGGTTTGTGAAAACAAATACAAGAACTTGAGGACAATTGCTTACGTCAAAAAAGCTCACTTGAGAGCCTTTGGCTCGGTCCGTCTGTCTAAAAATAAAGGCACGTAACAATTTAAACTTGCCACAAAGTACCTTGAGATTCACCTTAGCTTATTTTAAAGGGCCACGGTTTTATCAAGGGGAGAAATGGGGAATTAATGAATTTTTTCCTGTAAAAATTTTAACCACTGTGCCAGGAAAGATGAAATGTGTCAGGTAGTGTAGATTTTTGTTCAAATCATTAGCTCTAAAAAAGTTTTACATAACAGAAAATTCTTTAAAAATCTTCTTCTCAAGAATGTCTGAGTATGCTCAGGAGTAAAATTGTTTGCTGAACTTGACAAAATGGCCGACCAAAGTTTTACATAGAAATATATAGGAAAATTCTTTAAAAATCTTCTTCTCAAGAATGACAAAGATCAGGTAGTTAAATCATTTGCCAAAATTACACAAAGTTTTATAGAAATATAAAGAAAATTCTTTAAAAAACTTGGCATTTTCAAGCAAATGAATGCCATTTCATCATTATATTTCAGGTAAAAATTGTTACCCCCCTAGGGCGGGGCCGTTCAAATTTTACATGTATATATAGGCCTCTATCTTGTCAAGAAAAAGCCATAAATCATATATATAACTGGAATATGCTAACAGTTTATATATGACCCCCGGGGGTTGCCAAAATGGCCCCAAAGTTTTTAAAATATTAGGAAAAATAAACATCTTCTTCTCAACTTGACAAAGCCATAATTCATGCAGAAATTTATATATATATATGGTCAGTAGTTTTCAAGTTTTTCAAATCATACCCCCGGGGGTTCAAAATGGCCGACCAATGTTTACATAGAAATATAAGAAAATTCTTTAAATTTCAAGAATACAAGACCATTATCATATTGATATTTACCAGGTTGTGATTCAAATTTGTTATTAGGGCGGGGCCAAAATGGCCTACCAAATTTTTAAAGATATATGTAGGAAAGGGTTTCTTTAAAAATCTTTTTAAAAAATGCAAATCCATTTGGTCATGGGACTAATGATTGTAAATACAAATATAAGAACTTGTTGACTATATCTTACGTCAAATTTGAGATACTCTTTATTTTGGGAAACATAGAGCACAAGTTTGTCTATCTGGGGATTTTTATGCCGAAGATGCAAATGATACTAGTGTTTGAAATTTATAAATTTGTTGGACAAACCTCTGTCCTATGTTTTCTGAAACAAAATGTGCTATAAAATTCGGAAATGGACACATTTTATGACCTTCCTGTGACCCCTGTGTATCCCTTAACTTTAAACCATGCAATACTCATTTTGTGGCAGAGATGACATCATTTTTTAAATGATAAAATGTTGCATCATTCCAAACCCCACACCAGGGGTCAAAAAGGGCCCTTAGCCTATCTTGTCCTTTGATCTTTTATTTTGCCCTACTTTATCCAGAATACTAGTACATGATTTGAAAAAGAACATACAATTCAGGAAGCTTTAATTTTTCCGATCCAGTCACACATTAGTGGTTTTGGAAGAAATTTAAAAAAATATATTTCCCCGTAAAACTTTTAAACATCTCTTCTAGGCCGCAGATTCTTGGAAAAAAATTTGAAAAGTCCATGCAACAAAATTTTTTGGCTTATCATATCCCCTTAGCTTCTTCTTTGGACAATTTCGAATCTCCTTTGCCTAAGGACTATGAGTCAACTTTTAAAGTTGTAGGCCAAATTGGTCTAGAGTGGTTCTCGAGAACATGATACGGTGAACATTTTCAAACTAGCTAGACATGCATATACTATTGGGTGATCAGAAAAGTTTACTTGAAGCTCATGATTGGGATAATTCTTAGAAACTAATGATTAAGAGTTGATTTCTTTCACTTTTTTGCAAAACATGGCATGTTTCAAATCCTCCCTTATTAGTATTACCTATGGTGTCACACCATACTGTCGTGGATACGTTTCTGATACAGAGATGACTTACTTTGCTATCTCTAAAATTGTTTCTGTACGAATTGCTCCATCTAAATGCACGTGCAGTTCAATCTGAAATCGAAATCAAACATGTATATCATAGGAAAAATCTTGAAAAAAAAACTTAAACAAGTATATGTTGTAAAAATACCCACCATACATTAAAAATTCTGATATACTCAGTATTTATTTGTATTAAACAAGTACAAGTAGTTAGTAAACCCCATTAGCAATTAGTTTAATTCAGTTTTGCTTAATTTTTCTAGAGTCAAAAATAGATATAAAATTCGCTCACCTTGTATGGAAATTTATTTCGAGACATTGTCTGTTTTTCTATGTATCGAAATTGTATCCAATGTATACAAACACATTTGAAGCAATATAATCTGTTTATGATATGTAATATTGAACGGATCAAATACTTTGAACTGGTTGATGAGTGTTGAAACAATGTTACTCAATCACTTCCTTATCTATATCATGTTATAATACTATAATGACTTACATAATGTACATGATGTAGCTCAATTAGGGTTTCCTACCACCACTCTTGTTAACATGTAATTTCTGTCACGTGGGGTCAGAAATACTTGTGCATGAAATTTCCAGAAATCGGTGTACAGAAAATAAAATTCTCCGAATCTTCAACGAAATGAATCCAGTCATAGTTTCTTTTTTAATTCAGATGACTTCAACATTTATTTCCTACTCTACCTCATTCGTGAATTGGTCCGTCCATTTGTTTATAATTTGACCTAATGATGTTCGTCTTGTCTTGTGGTTTAACCCGCTACATTCGGGGGAAAAAATCATTGTCTGTAACTTTTGAACGGTTGTTGCTAGGGCTTTTATATTTCATTTATGCATTCCTTCTGAAAAGAACTTTCGTTTTCTATCATTATTTTCTGACCTCATAACCTTGATCTTGGTGTATGTCTTGCATGAAAAAAATACATTGGCTTCGTTTTCTAAATATAGTTGGCAATATTGTACCAGGACTGTATTTTACATGAATTGTGTATACCTTGTTTGAAGACTTTCTTTGGGTATCAACATTTGGATATCAACATTTAGAACTTTTGGCTTTGACCTTGAAAGTTGACCTATATTTGTAAAATCTTTAACCTTGCTTGCCATACAGAGACATCAGTGTTTCAAAAACACATCTTGTTAGTATTTTGAACATAAATTTAAATTAGAATTAACCTTTAGTTACATAACAGGTACAAAGCAAATATTTCAGTGAAGAACGTGTCTTCAGAGTTTTAATTTGTAAGATGAATTTCCCTCCAAAACTGTAAGATATTTTTGCTATAACTGTTCAAATGATATAGTAGTATCCATTTAATAAATTAATAATTAGTATATAAAGGATTAAAATGAAAATAGTCTGAATCATAATGACAGAAACGGGCTCTCTTAGTACTGATAATGTAATGCCTTTATTTGATAAAGAGCGCTTTATATGTATTATGAGGTCACTTCAGGATGTTAAAGTGAGCGATTTTAATTTTTCCATTTGAAAATTCTATCTCGCCCCCAAATTTCTACTGTACGATACAGAATTTTCCAGTTTAAATGATTTGTACATGATCAATCAAAAATGTTGAAAGCTCCGCCCACTTTATAACTTTGCAGCATCCACTGTAGATGAGGCCCGGGACAGGAGTAGGCATCACAAATGTTTTGCAGTATATATATTCCACGGTAAATACGTGAAAATTGGGTCAGATTTGTGTTGACAATTTAATTTGGGGTAGACGTAATACAATGATAGTCAGTCTTAATGGATGAATTGGAGGATTTAACCGTAATTGTTGTGATCTATTGTTATAATTGTACATGTAATTTATCATAATTTATTTCAAAGATATAATTAATACAAATTGATTCTCTAGATTTACAACAACAGGATTTTTAGTTATATTTTTTTCGATGGACTTTGATGACAGAGATTTTCATATTGAATTGCGACATTAAAAAATTTATGAAAGAGCCGTGTGGCTGTGTCAGCGAGAAGGATTTTTTTGAAAATTTTTTTTTTGTGTGGATTGTTCAAAATTAACACATTAAAAATTTTTTCCGTTATTGCGATTTTTTTTTTTTTCAAAGTGCGTTAATATACGTGTAGTTACTGTGCAATTTGATTTTTTTTAGAAATTGATTGAGAAATTTTGACATTCTACATTCGCAGGAAAAAATTAAATTTCTTTAAAAATGAATTATAGGAAAATATTAACCATTTAGCTTAATGTGTACGTGCTAGCTTGCTAAATTGTAAAAGATTTATTGCTATTACTGCTGTAAATACAGAATATTTTTAAAAAAAATCATGTATACAGGTATAATACAGAATAAAATGAAAGTAGCTCCGCCCACCACAGTCCCGTTCTGTATTGCTAATACAGAACAGTAAACTTCAAAGAAAAACACCGCTATCGTGTCACAATTCACTTTTAAGTTAACACGTAAAATGTTTATTATAAACAACAGAGCATGCTTCTATCAGAAAAAGGCGGGACTTCTACCCAAACTCAAAACAAGCACATGCACCAAGTTGATATATAATATATTCCAAATCATGCAAGCACAAAATATCGTAGTACTTCTCTCACCTTGTATGGAAACTTTACAGAAGACATTGTTTCACAATCGGCTTACAGCTCCTATCTAAATTACAGTAGGTCAGTGGGGCATTGAGTTAAAAAATGGAAACCCATCAACATCAACGTAACAAAAAATGTAATTCCAAAGTACGTTTGAGTCAAGGCCAATGTGAGTAAATATGGTTGTAAATGAAAAATTTACAGCATTGGCAATTCTGTTAAACAGTTTATCCCACATCTAAGGGTCAGGGACAGTGATTTTAACAAATCCTTTCTCTCAACACTCTGCTGATAAGGTTTACAAGTCAAACAAAGAAACGAAACTAAATTTCATAGTTTGTGTAAAGTTTTATCTCACGATCGAATATTTATTGAAACTTTTATCACATAATGTCTACCCATTCTATAACCATTTTATCATGATCATGAATTGACTAAACAAAATCTCAGATTTAACCTCAGTAGGGTCTGACTTTTTAAATCCTATGTCATATGGATATACATAGAGAAAAAAGAATTAATGCTTGTTTGTCTCAACATGTATGACAATTCAATAAATAATCTTTAAAAACCGTAAACTTTGAAATTTAAAATGCAGATAGTAAAAGTTTTAACAGACGCTATTGTGAAAAGGAGACGTCTACATTTAAAGGGGGTCATGACAACTCCCCCTCCCTCTCCAACTAGCCCAGCCCCCATCCGTTCCTAACTGCCATGCACATCATATCATATTGACGTTTTAACCTTTCTCTTGACTTCAGAAATAAAAAAAATCCCTATACTATAATACTAACATTATTAGTATAGTATAGGGATTTTTTTTATTTATGAAGAGAAATGTTTTTAAAAATCAAACGTCTTGTTGGGCGCCTTGTTTTTTTGTTTTTTTTTCTGAGGACGTTGTCCGGATCTGTCACGTTCAAATTCAAATATTAGTTTTCCCGGAAAGCCGCCATATTTAAAAATGTAAATAGCGGGTTTAGTTGAGAAAATTATATGATGCTACCAAAATGTACATAATTATACATACACAATGACAGAAAAACTGATTCTAGGAGATCTCAGTGCCGGGAAACTTGAAAACATCGATCGCTTTATATTGGTACGGTAAAATAATCAGTGACGATCACTCATTTTAATATATTTTCAGCTACTTTCAGGTCTGGTAAAATCACTAGATTTAGCTACGTAGCTTGATATAACATTGATAATTCTTGTGAAGATAACCAAATCAATTTATTTCTATAAAAAAGCATTTTTGTAATTATGCAACTCAAAATAAATGCAGTAATCATTTTCAACTTTGAACTCATCTGAAAAACGCATCCTGAAAACAATTCTGACATGTTTTGAAGAAATGTTTTTTCATGAATGCGCAATTGCAATCAAAGTTCTGAAAGTTTTGAGGCTATGTTTTAGAACAGTTTCCTTGAATGAAATGACAAAGAAGTCCAGTTCCGGATAATAGATAATAGGCGGTAATTATTCAGTGCATTGTGAAGTTCATTCAGCCATGCCTTGCACACATGAGAGAGACAGTATATATACAATGAAATTACACGTTTTGAAGCAAAGTCAAAAGCAATGTAATCAAACTATCTCTGCTTTGAATTTTATTTAAAACTAGTATAAATATCAATGTCATTTAAATTTTTTGTCTCTTTTTTTGAAAAATTTTGAAAAGTTACATTGAAATAGCTAAATCTTTATCATGTAAATAAATGTACATAGGATATATATGGCCTGACTTTTACTTAAAATAAATGATTCTTGTAAAGATAAAAATAAAATCTAGGTTAATCAGTAACTAGGCCTAGTAATTATAACAATTGAAAATAAATGCTATTAGCATTGTAAAAAGACAAATGTAGACAATCCGCATGTCCTATAACCATGAACTGTTTTAGTCATGTGCATTTGGATTTTCAGTTGAATATTTTTTTATGGGTGTAAAATGATAACATTTATCTTACATATATTGGTTATTCAAACCAAACTAGACAGAATTATTATTTTTATTTTGATGAGGGAAAATTGACACACTTAGAAAAACACATAATACACAAAATACACCATGGAAACCTTGTTATGGTTATAGAAACTTATTTGAGTTTTTATTTATTATTTTTAATTTTCAAATTCTGCCTATTTCTGTGATTTTGATACTGTATATATAATGTGACGTAAGTTAGAACAAAAGACTTTAATATTAGTATGTAGTCAATCAAATACTTATAGAAAGGCTACTTTGCCTGGAATCGTATGTATATTAATAATTTAAACTTTAACATTTCATTTTCTTTCTATTTCAGGAATGAATTTCCAACCTCTCTATCATGTTCATTCAGAAGACTAGTGATATATAAAGGAGCAGTTTTATGACTTACACAGTTGTAACAGTGCAGGTTTTACAAGATTTACAACTCTGTGTTCCATATATTCCCAGTGGTCCACACAGGTCCACGCTATAAATGCTTTTCATGTGCATTTGGTTTTTCAGTTAAATAATTTCTTATGGGTGTAAAATGATAACATTTATCATGCATATATTGGTTATTCAAACCAAACTATGCAGATTGTTGATCTAAATTGAAAATGGTAAAATCAAAGTAATTTTTCAATATGTTTGTTTTTGATTGTTTTTTTTCACTTATACACTTAATTACATTTGATCATAGTAGATATGTATATTTAAAGCTATCCAACACACTTGTAACAGTGCAGGTTTTACAAGCTTCTGTGTCCCATATATCCACCAGTGGTCCACACAGATAGTCATTGTCCACATTTCTTTGATCTACAGGAAAAATTTTCGCGAATTGTGGTTATTGCTCCTATATGACTTTAAGGAATACATATTGTTGCTAAATTAACAGAAATCAAAGTAACTTTCCAATTTGTTTATTTTTATTTTTTCTCTCACTTGTACACTTATTTGCATTATCATAATAAACATGAATGTTCAAATCTATCCAACATAGCACATACAATAAAAGACCATTAAACCTAACTGTATATTGCAATCACAAAAACCACACTCACATATCAAATTGAAATAGTCTATGTTTTTCTCTGTAACAGATGATTCAGGATTTTACAAATATCTTCCTTTATATGTTGTAGGACTGTTCCTTAGAAATATACAAGACCTGTCAATATCTTTATGATGAATTGCTTCCCTTGCCAGACCACTCAACAGGGGCCACGGCCTCAATTATCACAAACATTTACAGTAAATTGTGGAATGTTGCTATTAAACTTGAGCAGGACAAAGCAACACAGCAACCTGATGTTGTATTGCAGCTTAGATACATGGCCATCAAAATGTTGTTACTCAGACGGACAGCTTTGGCACCAACTGTGGACAAATTCCTTCTAGCTATAGATAGGTAAACCATCTCTAAGTGCTGCACGAAAACTTGATTGTCTTTCCTATGAAGACCTAAACAATCTAATTTAAGTAAAAGGAATTTTTTTTCACAATTGTATGAATGTTGGAACATTTCAACAATTTAATAGATACAATAAAAATAATCAAAGTAGTTCATCCATAAAATCAATTTCATTTTACAACCAAGAAAGTCATTTTCACTGATGATTGCTATATCAATTTTAAGAATTTTACAATGAACCTGGCAAATTGGATTATTTCAGGTATGATAAATCCTCTGTGCAGAAAAACACAAAAACAGCCATGTCAGAGCACCCATTAACAGTGGAGTTTGTTCTAGCTATAGCACAGTATATTGAATCCATAGGATCTGATAAGTGTGAGGTGACTGAGAGTGAAGTCTGCAGTTCTCTGTCCTTGTTCCAGTACTTACATCAGGTCATAGTGACTCAGCAACTTCATTCTATCCTGGGGACAGTGCACCAAAACATTCAGAAATTTCTGTCCACATTTACAAATGTGACTTTTTGTAAAGCAGTGAAAAATTTATATGAAACATTACACTTGACATTGTCATGTAGTATAAAGCCCAAAAACTCGAAAACAAGCCAAGGTGACATACAAAGTCTTTCAGGGGAGATTGTAGATTTATTACAAGATAGTATATCTAGTCTAAATACAGGATGGTACCTGTTAATATGTGAATGTCTATTAGTAATCTTGAAACAACAGACAATGGTCAGTTCAGTGGACCAGACTTTCACTGAAGGAATACTGGAGTACACTCAAAAGGTCACCCAGTATTTAATCAGTAGTCGAGAGGAAAACAAGCTGCAGTATGAAGAAGACACGACGGAGAAGAATGACAAGCTGGCGGGAGTGATCAGCACCAAGCTCATCGTCATCATCAGGACTGTCCTTGAGCTTGGTCTTACATTGATTAATCATCTGAAAGGTAAAACATTGGCAGTGTATAAATTTATTAGTAGTTACATGTATGTTTGATATAATTTCAAAAAGCTGTTTAATAGTATGATTGTAGGGATTATTTGTGGTTCTCATGATATGGTATGCTTCTGATATAAAATTGGGTATGCATTTGTTATGCAACAATCTGCTGTAAAGTGGTCACTGTGTTCTTAAGTCTGTAAAATTATGTAAAAACATGTACTTCTGAATCACAACCTTAATTATAGACTCTGGTAGGGTGTCCTGTGTGCTACAGTCCCTTCAGCCCTTAACTGAGGCCTACACCCAGCAGATAGAGCAGACCAGACACACCCCTCCATCAGCTGACTTCATACTCAGAGAGAGGAGACAATGTGGTAAGACTTGTCAACAAACTATTGATATGGGGGTAGGGGGCAATGGAGACGGGTCGAAAATAACCAGATTTAAAAGTTTACCTGTGGGAAAACCATTAAATTAAATAAGTAAAATGCACTTATTTCAAACCACAGTTTTAGCCTGAGCAGAACACTAGTATAAATCCTTATATTTTTTAAGGTTATTTAATGTCCAAGTTTGCCAAGGTGTCGTGCAGTCTAGGAGACCAGGACCTTGACCTGTTTTATTACGATGTGGAGTGTGATCAGCTGACCAAGTGGGCGGAGTCTGACGACAACCTCAAGGAACAACGCATTAAAGAAGTATGTAGTCTTTATGTATGAATTAAACAAAGTTGTATTACAACTAATGAGTATTTTTTACTTCTGCCTATTGAATATTGATATAATATTGTATAGCTATCTAAGTTATAACCTGGGTTGGGACAGTTAAAGCTTTATCAACCATTAAGCAGTAAGCACTGACTGTATCAACCTAGTTTTGTGAATAAAGCTTGGTTAGCTATTGAATTATGAATTCAATATTATTTAATTTTCTTACATAAAGTGTGAAAAAAAATCCCTAAAAATGATTTCATATTTTGCAAAATTTATAACAACCGCATCGTTAACGGCTATTTTCTGACTTCAGTCATATTGTGATGCAGGCAACAGGTTTTACAATATTAATTATTTTTTCATTCAATCAATACTGTATTTCAATACAATTTTATAATAAAAATATTACATGTATATCATGTATCTTAAATATATCTGTTCACTCTGTCAAATTTAAATTTTTATTGCCAGGTCAACTTGCTGGGGATTTACGAGATGCTGGCAGACCTACACTGGAAGCTTGGTGACATTGAGGCTGTATTACAGAAGTTAACAAGAAGTGTAGAATTACAACCCTCACATTTAGAAGCAGCAGTGGAGTTCTGGTGTCGAATCAAAAGACAGCAACTAAGAGTGGAAAACACACAAATCATGGACATGTAAGGCTTTATAGGAGCACATGTCCTCATCATTTGACATATAAGGCACTATCAGAACACCTGTCCCTATCCCTGATATAAGGCACTAAAGAAGCACATGTCCTCAACACTGATATATCTGGCACTATAGGAGCATGTGTCCTAGTCACTGATGTATTAGACACTAGGGGCACTGTCCTGATCACTGATATACATGTATCAGGCACTATAGTAGGGACACCTGTCCTCATCATATAAGACACTATAGGGGCACATGTCCTAATAACTGACATATAGACATATAAGGCACTCTAGGGGACACATATCCAAATAAATGACCTATCAGGTATTATAGGGGCACATGTCATAATCACTGTTGTATAAGGCACTATGGGGGCACCTGTCCTTTGCAACGATGTATTAGGCACTATAGGGTCACCTGTTCTCATCAATGACGTATAGGACAATATAGGGGTACATGTCCTAATCATAAATCAAGGCACTGCAGGGGCAGCTGTCTTCATCACTGACATATAAAGGCACTATAGGGGCATCTGTCCTTATTACTAACATATAAGGCACTATCATAAGACAAACACCAATGATCCTCTAATTTTGGTGTGTTCCAATTTCGCCTTAACTCTGAAATACAGGTATGCTAAATTAAAAAGTATTTCCGTATAAGGTGAAATGGGAATTTTAAATTTGTATTACTGGGTTGATATAAAAATTTAAATGATAGCACGGTAACTTTGATATATTTAACAGTTAAATATGAATACAGTGAATGAAATAGTACATGTAATACTAAAAAATACTTAATGCTAAATGTATTAAATTTTCATCACCTTAATTCACCTGAGAGCTTACTAAGGCAAAATGGGAATGCTTAATTTTACAGTTAAGGTGAGATGGGAACACACCCTAATTTCAAACTTCCAATGTAATTACCCAGGAACTCTATCTTTGAATCAAGCCTTTAAAGTTGGAGTTTAGTAATTTGGATGCTTTAAGCAGCTTCATTTAAGTAGTCAAGTGTTTAGAAAATATATCAGTATGATACATATTACAAGAAAGAAAAATATCAATTCATATGTGTATGTGTATCTGTTTAAAATCATTGATGTTTTAACTTTGCCATACTGTGTAAGTGTGTTTCTTTGGGATAAGATACATGTAGTTGAACAAAAGAATTTTACAGATAAAGTCATTGATTAAAAAATGATAGATTTAACATGTTTAACAATAAGTGTTCAGTAAAAGCTGTATATGTTTTTATTTGACAGGTATTTTGTGGACAATATGAGGGAATATCCAAGAATTGTGGATGCCTATGATATTTTAAAAATGGAACAGAAGTGTTTCTCAGTAGCAAGGTAACAAAAAGTTTATATACATTTTAAATGACTTGTATTCAATTATTTCAATAAGTAATAAAAAATGTATACCTGTAAATACAAAGGTGTATACAACATTCTTCTATTTTGTAAAGTAAAAAGTACCCTGAGGCAGAGTTATCCCTCTTGAGGAGAATACAACAAGCTGCCAAACATCCTGTTCAGAAAGCGGAGGCCCTGCTAGAGATTGGTAAACTGGTCTGGGAACGCTTCACAGAGAAACAGGAAAGGTAGGGAGATATTGATAAGAAAAACTGTTGAATCTCTGATAGCCGTGACTTAAAATTTATTTGAAAGATCATTTTGAAATGAATACAGGGTAATTCCACTAACTTATTAAATTTCAGTCATGTTAAAGAGGGGGGGGGGGGTGGCAGCCATTTTCAGACTATTTCGATTTCCTATAAAAGAAGAGCTCCATATAAAGATATACAAAACTGATCAAATTTTAAAACTAAAATGTATGAATTTTTTCTTTGCCAAATGATAGTTGACAGCTTAAAATACCGTATCTAAAAAATAAGTTAAATCTGGTGGTTATTTTGTGGTTAATTTGTTGACCCCCCAGCCTCCTTAACAGATTGTGCCTTGGTAAAAATAGTGCATTGACTTTCGTTTCTCAAAGCAAAGTTGTCGATAGATTTAGATAACTATCACAAGTACTTGTGGACAGGAACTCTTCCCCCTTCCTAAATACAATGTATTAATAGCCATTCTCTGTAACCACTTAAACTTCGTTGCCACGGATGGTCACCGATTTTGATGAAACTTCACCCATGCTTAGTACTTGACACCAGAAACAAATGTCAAACAAAATATCGTTGCTATGTGTCTCGGTTGTTATGGCAACGGCCGGAAAAGTTTGAAAAATCGAGATTTTCAGCCACTTTAAATCTTGACTGTGGCTTAATAAAAACTAGAAAAAGCAAACAAACCATTCTCACAAAAACAAGACACCTTGATGTCATTTTTACTGTAAAGAAACTGTTTAGAATATATGTCTAAGCAAGTGGTAACCAAGGTTACATTTGGAATACATTTAAAATGCTGAAATATGCTGAAAAACACTCCGTATTTACTAAAGGTAGGTGTTACATGCTCAAACTCAATCAACGACTTAAGAAAAACAATGAAAATGTTTGACCTTAAGTATATAAGTATAAGCAATATTATTCTATAAATAACTTTTCTGGTTGCCATGGTAACACAGTGTAACCATGCAAAACCAGTAACTAAGATTTGGTTAATGCTACTGTCTTGAGGAAAAACATGAAAATTCAAGACTGGCAAGTATGCATCATTAGGACCTTGCAACACCAAAACCATAAGAAAAATTGGGTATAATTGCTACATTGCAGTGTTACCATGGAAACAAAGTACCAGTGCTTAAAAGTGAATTATTTTTCACTGCATTAAGAATTAAATTGCCATTTAATCAAGAAACAAATTAAAGGACTCAGCTTGAATAGTACTTATCTGTTAGAACTGAAGTTGAATATCATATATTGATTAAATTCGATGAAGAAAACAACACTGTTGCTATGGTTACCAAGAAGGGAAAATGTTCGATTTTGTGAACTTTATATCAATACTAAACCCTGTGTGCCAACTTCTTGCATCCACTTAGAGATTGGACGATGGTCAAAATTAAAAGTCAGATTAGCTGTTAATAAATATCAATCATAAAAGTTTTGGGAATCTACATTAAAAGGTACGTATCCAAGGAAAGAAAATATTTTTCGGGTTTTTAAGCATATATTTTCTGCTTGTTTCCATAGCAACGCTCTATTTATAGAATGTAATATGAATTTTTTTAAATGGGAAAACTAGGAGCACACCAACATCTTTAAAAATTGATCATTAATTATGAGGAAATGTGCTTTTTAAAAAGATAGGATCAAATTTAAACATACAGATTGTTACTTTGAAGGCTCTCTGTGGTATAAAAACCTTGGCAACCATTGCCAACCAAAATGAAATATCATATTTTGTAAATGGTATACGTTTTAAGGTACTTTTTTCTATTATTAGGTCACATTTCATCCCATAATTGCTTTTTAGACGGAGGCTTAGCCTCCGCTCTATTGGTACCGCTCAGCTGCGGCGGAAGGGAATTTGCGATCGCCATCTAGCGGCTAATCACGTTAACTTTGATTAGCTTGGTCCCCCGGCTCATCCTTTCCAAGGCAGGAGTACATGAAGCAAAACAGGGACAGGGAACCAGGCTAAACTTTGATAAACTGGCTTGCCTGTCTGATATCGGATATGTGCTGTATACAAACAGGTGATCAGTAATGTTTAGAGTCCGCTGCTGACACGCTCATTGGCTGATAAAAACTCTCGCTGACATAGAATTTAAATTATCGGGGAAACCAAAACAGATCACCAAGTGCAGTTCTCTGCATCTGCTTTTGATGCAATTAATCTAATTCGGTCACGATATTTTCCACATACAATACATAATTCTTTTTTTCTCATGGACCTATAATTATCTCACACCTTTTACCTCACCTGGGGGATTTTAATTAGTTTGCGAAGGTCCTATCACATTAATACCCTACATTACCTAGATAGAAGAAATCTGCATCATTGTTTCATTGAAACTGACATATTTTAAATGTTCACTCACTGACTCAGCAGAGAGCTGCGGCTTGTCTGTTTATAGCTCTGCTGCATCTATTTTTAGAATTCCTTATCACATGTTTCAGAAGTTAGATGGGACAAACTGACCCACATGTTTCTATGTTTACATACAGTGGCTTGAATCTTACTTTGTGGTGTAAATTTAGTAATATTATGGCTAACCTGTGCAAAAAAGGATGCAATAAAACAATGTTGTCATGGAATCTGCAATAGTGACTCAAAGTATGCCTACAAAAAATATATGCAAGGAGTTGAATTTATTAGATTTCCCAAACCTTGGATGGATATTGAAAAAGTGTCAAGGATGGGTGAATGCTTGTAAACGGTACATTGGCGGATCCAAGGGAGGGGGGGTCCGGGAATTGGAAGCCCACTTTATTTTCTGTCTAGTGGAGAGAGAGAGAATGAAACGTTTTCCGAGAATAAATAAAAATACATATATTTGTACGTCTAACTTATGTATTGAATAGATAGATTCTCACACATTAATTTTCTTCCACTCACTTTTCTTTCAAATGATATGATTAAAACAGTTCTATATTATATGAACCGTTTTAATCATATCATTTGAAGGAACTAACATGCAACTCTTTGTTTTAAACCCAACCCGCACCCACCACGATTTTTTTTTTTCAAACTCCAAAAGAAAATTCTTTGTACTCTTTGGAAATGCTGCAAATCCATTCAATTTTAATTAAGGCTTCAGCAGTTTTTTTTCTTTTTTCTTTAAATTCGGACTGGGGGACCAAAGAAATAAATGGACGTAAACAGATATTATTTACCGAAACCTAAGATCTTCCATACGTGTGTGTGAATCTTTGCTTGAGAGTGTGTATGGGGGGGGGGGGGTTGGTTATATGGACAGTACAACCCTGGAACCCCTCTTTCAAGAGTGGCTGGATCCGCCTCTGAAATGGGAAGGATTTTCAATGAAAATGGGTATTATCCGTAAAATCGCGTATAATACTGGATATTAGGGTATCGTTGAATCCACAATATCTAGTCAAGGCGGTGTAATCACTTTATAAAACTTGAACAATGGGATGGCATATTTTGCGGAGTCAACTTTCACCTAGATGCAAATGTTTCTAAAGGTATCACCAGTCAAGTAAGAATTTGGAAGTCAGGATTAATGCGCACTGGACAACAAATACCTGTAGAGCTTAGTACATTTCAAGATCTGCACCCAAACAGGCGTTTGTTCTGCTTGATATTTTTCATAATGTTGGAAATATTTGGATCTTCTTTATGTTCATACCCAACACAACAGAACTATTAATTAAAAGTTGAATGTGCATGTAGATCTATGCATTGTTATATCCGAATGCTTGTATCTCAGCTCCTTTTAGTCCTGAAGAGTTAGAGATACTAAAGTACTTTTTGGCTTTCTCACATTTCAGGAAGCTCTTACCACGAGTCACTAAAGAATTGAAATTGATATAGTTTATTAGGGCCCCGCAAGGATTTGCGGGTGCCCTATAGTAATCACTCTGTCTGTCCGTCTGTCCGTCTGTCACTCTTCCGTCCACAAATTTTCTGTTTTTTTCTAATAACTTTTTTTATGGTTGCCCAATCAAGTTCAAATTTGGTATGGTAGTTCAGTAGGCAGAAATACATATTTTGATGCTAAGTTTGGTTCTCTATGTCTTCTGGTTTGGAGCTGGGGTGGTGGGGTAGATTCCTTAACTATGCATAAGAATGAACAGGCAACTTTTTTTGTTGTTGCCCAATCAAGTACAAATTTGGTACGGTAGTTCAGTAGACAGAAATACATATTTTGATGCCAAGTTTGGTTTTCTATGTCCCATGGTTTGGAGCTGGGGTGGTGGGGTAGATTCCTTAACTTTATATATAAGAATGCATTGGCAAAGAGAGATAACTGCTGAAGATGTTCCCATTGTAAACTGAATGCTGCTAGGGGTCCCTTGGGATTAATTAGCTTTCCTCCTGAAGAAAATCCAGAGCATTATCTTTATTTGTCACTTTGAGATTAATTACCACCTCTGTCTGCAAATGAAGTTTGTTTTGAAGTTAAATCAATTTGGAATGCTATGAACACTCTTAAATGTGGATTTAAATATAAATTTTTATTATTTATTTTTGTTTGATAGTTATGATTTCATTGAATTCTAAAAAAAAAAAAGAAATAGATTAAAGAAGATTTTTTGATTTACTTTTTTTCACTTTTTTCACTTTTTTTTTTAATATATTAATTCAAGAATATTATTAATTTTTAATGTAGTTGTATAAAAACCCCATTCTATCATTAAGGGTACTTACCACAAACAAAAAATGGATGCGCGGGTTGATATATATTTTTTGACTGATTTTGATATGAAATGACATAAATAATAAATCCCTGAAATATTAAGAAATCGTAGGTTTTTCTTGGTGCTTAGATATGAGATTTTGTTTTGCTTTCTATATATAGTTCCATACAAAATTTTGCACAATTTTTTAACTTTATGACAAAATCTTATATAATTCTCTCACTCTACTTGGTAAACATTATTCAGGATGTCAATTTAAATGTAAATCTATGAAAAATAATGCTGATTTCTGAAAAAAGTTTGTTTGTGTTATTTATCCTTAATACTGAAAAAGTTCTTATTGTAAATTTAGAAGAAAATGATGAGAGAGGTACAATTAATCCCTTGGGATTAATTATCTAGCCTGCTGCAGAAAATTTAGTAGGCTTTTCTTTATCTGTCACTTTAAGATTAATGAAAACCTTTGTCTGCAACTGCTGTTTGTTTGAAGTTAAGGTCAAGCCTTCATGATATTTGCATTCATTGAAGGCTGGCATTTTATATAACACAAGTTTCATAATTGTTTAAATATACATTCAATGTTAAGTTGTTCTTTACTGCCTAATGTAAATACAAGGATATTATTTTCAGGTTTTTGAATATTCAGGAATTATCTTGAAATTTTAAGAATACAGTTGCTGTTGCTTATTCTTCGTACATTTATTAATCATTCTGTAAGCTGCACCCTTTTAATTCTACCCCATGGCGGGGCCCTTGCTGACTGGTCAGTTTTCTAGTTGCAATTAGATTGGTTTGTCCTTTTGATGAAAAATAGGAATTCAGTAAATTACATAATTAAACATTAGACCACGGTAACATAAATGAAGAAGATGTGTTTGTGAAACACTGTTGCCCCCCCCCCCCCCCCCCCCCTATATATCCCTTACCATTCAAAAGTCATGGCCAAGGTTAAAGTTTTTTCAGAAGTATAGAATATCGAAGGTCAAGGTCAAAAGGTCAAGTTTGTTAATATCCAATGAAAAGTCTTTCCACAAAAAAAAGATATATGAAGTATTAATGTCCTGGTATCTACTTTTCAAAAGATATGGCCAACTACCCTTAGGCAAATGTTGGGGTCAGAATATGAATAAAAAATTACCAAAGAGACAAACAATCATGTTCATTCCAAGCCTCCGTCTATCAGTACTTTCAGTACTTTGATTATTTTTACCTGTATGACTTTATAAAATTCAATGAATATTTTTTTTTACTTTTGAATACTTTGTTACCATAGTAACGTATGTAATAGTAGATTTACCAAACATGTTTATCATGCATTTCAGACATCTAACCTTCAACTTTTGGAAACAGTCATTGCGAATTGTTTGCTTTGCCACAAATGTTTACTATGGGGCTCTAAACATGTTAAAAAATGCCATTTTTCTAACTTTAAAACATGTTGCCATGGTAACTATAAAACATAGCAACCAATTTTTGCCTGATTTCAGTTTAGGGCATCAATGACTTTTATCGTAGAGAGTTTGGAGAAATTCTGAGACTATGCGTGCCACAGCACCTATATAAAATTTCAAGTCGTTACAGAGAATGGCTTTTAAATCCCAGAGCTTGTTGGAAATTTCTTAACAAATTATGTTTATTACACTTATGTATCATGTATACCATGGAAAAATTTATAATAATAACCAACATCTCATATAAGTGAATTTTTTAAGGGACATAAAATAATGTTTATTACACTTATGTATCATGTATACCATGGAAAAATTTATAATAATAACCAACATCTCATATAAGTGAATTTTTTAAGGGACATAAAATAAGCAAACAAAAGTCGAGAAGTAACTGATTTAACATGAAATATATTTTTGCTGCTGTATTCAGTAGACCAGTACAGGAATACCTAAATGAAGCAGAGCAGTTGTTAGAAGGCATAAATACACCAGAAGAAATGTTGATATTGGCTGACGTGCAGCTGTGGACCTTTATTTTCAAACATGAAAACATCTGTAAACAGGTCAGTTACTTATCACCAACAAATAGCAAAATACATGCATTTGATTTCTTTCAGTGAAACTCATGAAAACTGAATCTAAGTGAAATTGAAGAAACTTCTCTTTGGCACATACATGTAGATTTCCAAAATGTTCATATGTACATTGTTTATTCAATGTATTACATGTATTCAAAAAAACATAATTTTGATAGATCAGTTTTATGTATATTTTTCTCTGTAGCTGATAGCGAGTTCCCATAAGATGACCAAGACAGAGGAGAGTGTGGTAGATAATGGAGACGAACCTCAGAACTGGAGTGCTTTTGAGTTTGATATGATGTGTACATTCTCCATGGAGATGGAAATCATCAGACACCTGGACAAGGCTGTGGAATTATGGGAGGAAGTCCCACCTAGTGAACACACAGACAACAGTAACAGATCACTTATGTTGTGTTCATCCATTCTACGCCTCACTAGAAAGGTATGTCAATTACATTTTAATGAGCAGTGGTGATTTGTTTATATCATCTCTACCTTAATAATTTACAGTTAATAAAATGTTGAAAGTTTAAACTTGTCTCTAAACAGTCAATAAATCAAACAGTCAAGAGAGGATTTTTCTTACAAAATATTTTAATGAGTTTTGTCCTCTACAGTCTGAAAGGGAGCAGCGGATATTGTTACTTGCTCTACAAGTATGTGACCATTTCGGAGATGAGTCCACGTGTAACGTTATAAAGTGTCGGTTGTCTCACATTTACGGACTGCATGGCATGCATCACCAGGCCAGTCAGATCCTGCCCTCTGTACCCGATCAACAGACCTCGTTTGATGACGGTTATCTACAGACAGTCATGGCTAGTGTGATGCACTATCTTCATACAAAACAGGCAAGCTGAAACTTTCTACTGAAAATTGGTTTTACTACTGTAAACCAATTTTTATACGCCCGTCTTAAGACGGGACGTATTATGTTATAGGCTTCATGTCCGTCCGTCCGTCCGTCTGTCCACTCTTGTCCGGCTCATAACTTCAATACTAATAGGCCTAGGACTATCAAACTTTGTCAACTGGTACTTCTTGGGTAGATGGTGTGTCGCGCACAAAAAGTAGGTCACTCTGACCTTTAATAAAGATGCTATGGCCAAATAAGGAAAAATCCTGTCCGGCTCATAACTAGAAAACTATTAGACCTAGAGCTATCAAACTTGGCAAAAATATACATCTTAGGTAGAAGGTGTGTCGCGGCCTATTTCAAGGTCACTTTGACTTTTAATTTAAGTGAAATTTTTTAAAAAACTAATTCTTGTAAATTTTCAATTTCATAATCCTAAAAAATGTAAAATTATAGTTGTATCCTTGTTAAAAAATGTTAAATCAAGTAAAAAACTTATTTTTTCATCATATACTTTACAGCAATCTGTAAGAAATGTTAATATTATAAGAGGAATGCAGTTTGTCCCATGGGCATAATTAACAAGCACTGGTCAAGAAGAATTTTGATAGCAGAAATGTGCATGTCAAATTAGAGAGGAATTGATGAGTTTATTGTCAAGAGCTAACTGGAAGACCATCTCTGACCATGCAGCTGTTGTCTCTTGGGAGTTGGGTAAAAAGAAATGGCCTCATAGTTGCTTGTGTTAATTAAGAGTTCTTGATAGCTATAGTTCAGATAAAGATCTTTCAATTAGTTATTTGGTGTAATGTAATTAAAACAAATTGATGTTTTAAAATACAGTATTTGATTAAAATTAAATTAATATTGTATGATATAATAAAAACTAATTATACATATTTACATTGAAAAAAAAATACATTTCAATTTTTATATATTTGCAACAAATTGCAGAGTGCCATGTCTTATAAAATTTTATAGTCTAAAGAATAATTTCTGTTTGATGTTTTTTTAGACCGTAGCATTTTTAATCAATCATAAAATATGCAATAAAAAAAGCAGCAGATGGATATTTGTTAAGCTCTAACTCAGCCAGTTTAGAATTATGTGATGTTAGTTTTATTTCTTATAATTATTGCCTACACTCTTAGAGATATATGTACAACAAATATGATAAGGAATTAATGGAAATTAGATCATTGAAATCAGTGTCAATCTTGTAATCTTGAACTTGGTAATCAAAGTTACCTGATTTTCTTGCACTCTAATTACCAATTTATGATCATTATTGAACAATATTTGACGGGCGTATCATGCTGTGGCGGGGCATTTTATTTAATTCACAAGCAAGATATATTCATGAGTTTCTTGACCTTCTTTTACTCGCAAAGATTTCTCATTGCAACCAACTTCACCATTTGCCTATCTTTTTATGCTGAATGTTGCCTCAGTCGCAAAAAATAGTAATGGTGGGTGAATTTTAAACTGAAGAATTGTGAATAAAAGATGTTGTGAATTATAATTGGTTTTACAGTATACACTGAACAGAACAAACATGCAATTAAAAAAGTATGCAAGTAAATGTATCTGTTAATTCTTTTTAGAATAAATAGTTCTGAGTAAATAGTAGTGACCACTGCATTAAACTAAAAGATTGTTTTATTTACATATTAGATCCAAAAAGGGCTTGAACTTCTTCACAGTATCAACGAAAAGATAAAAGAACAGCCAAGTCTCAGTAAAAATGTGTGTCTGGCTAATGGGATAGTCAAGCGGTACTGGTCCTTGTTTTCGTCCCTGCCTACTGACCGTTCCGTAGAAGAGTTGTCACAGGAGTATAGTCTGGACCACGCTATCGAGGCCTACAGGTACCATGTCAGTGTCATCTACTTCCTGCTGGGCAAAGAAAAGTGGACAGTTGATACCAAGGGTAAGGGGCAAAACAAATTATTAAGTACCTTTTAAATCCAGGTTACTAATAGTGTAAAAATATGGCAAGCAGTTTTTTTCACTAAAGTTTAAATCATGGGAATCTTATTTACACATATTTTTATTTTTTCAAAATTGATTTGCCTATCTTATTCCTTTTAAATGTATGTCAAAATTTGAACCCTGGCCAAATCTTTTGAATTTCTCAAAATAGACACAGAAAAATTGGCCAGGTTAAAGCTTAATATATAAGTATGGGCTAAAGTCATGTCAGGTGTTAAGCTTTATGTTATAGGAATGAACACAACAGAGAAGTTTGATGTGATACAGGAGTACCTGTTATCTCTGTATCATCTCGGTCAGCTGGAGCGACTGGTGGGGGATACCAGGTCTGCCAAGTTTCACATCAAGGAGGGATGGACAACCGCTCACTTCATGGGCCTACCAAAATGGTGTGTAATTTTTTATTGCTAAATTAAAATGTATGACACTGCATTATACATATGAGTACAATTCATTTACATGTATTCTACAGGGCTTCAATGTTCATGATTGAGTTTTCAATGATCCACATCCTTACTGAAAATTTTGAAGCTGCCACCTCAAGTCTCACAAAGACATGGCAAGTATTTAGTGGCTGCCAGGAACCAGCTGATTCTTCATCAAAGGATTCAAGGTCAAAGTGTTCAAGAGTCAACAGATTAGATAGTTTTGGATTTGAGGAAGTCAAAAAAGAGGAAGACCAAGATACATTCAATTGCTCATTCCCACCGTGCTGGCAGCACTTGATAGACAATGTGACCTGTGACCTTTGTGAAGATGACACGGTTAAATTGGCCATTCTGTCTTACTCCCTCATCACAGCCAAGTTCAATGTCTATGTACAGCAGAATCTAAAGTGTGATACAATGGACAAGATAAACAATGTTTGTGAGACATTTATCAATCAGAAACCAAGGAGTGTAAGACAGGGTCTTAAGGAGCTACCTTTGTGTGCTTTTCAAGATGATTCTGAACTAAAAGACATCTATGTAGAGTGCCTGTCTTTGATAGCTGAAACCAGTCTTCTGGTAGGACAAACTGATAAGTGTGAAAGTGTTATACACAGAGCACAAGACCTATTCCAAAACCAGTGTGGGAAGGACTTTGTAGCTAATTTAATTCAGAACAAGTTCACTGTCTTCAAGGCTCAGATGTGTTTAATGAGGAGCTTGACAAGTAAAAGGGAGTCCACTGATGGAGATGTTGATATTCTAGATGACATTTCCCCAATGGAAGTCTCTATTACTCCAGAGGAGATATCCCCATTGAAGATTTCCAATAAATCAGAGGAGGGTATTCAGTCAGTAGTTACCGAGGAAGAACATCAGGATCTGGTGGAGAATATTGAGAAACTGGAGATTAAGGATGTAGGGGACGAACCGGGGAACCAGTCAAAGGCAGGAGACGAACAAGGGAATCAGTCAAGGGCAGGGACCAAAACAAGTAAAAGGAGGGGGGCAACTCAGAGGAAGAAAGGAAAAGAGGAGGTCAGTGAAGCTACAACAGAAACCTTGTCCAGTAGTCATCAGGAAGAGGTCATGAAGAATGAAGAAGTCACAAAGAAGTCTGCAGCAGGGACCAGAAGGAAAAAGACCAGTGCTAAATCAGTCAACCAAAGTACTGAATCAGTCAACCAAAGGGCAACAAAATCAATCAATCAAAGTACTACTAAATCTCTCAACCAGAGTACATTAAAAAGGGACAGAGAGCAGGGTAACACCAATGGGAGCTTGACAGAAGAAGTTACAAATACTCCTGTCTCATCAACTCCAGACTTTGTATTAAAACCTCCGTACAGTGTATGCAGTAAAAAAGCCCTGATATTTAGTTCTGATTCTGAAGAGGAAATTAGCTCCAAGTTACCTATAATTAAGAGCAATGAATCTTTTGTGACCCCAAGTAACCCAGGAAGTTGTTCATCAGCAAATTCTACTCCATCTTCTGGTAAAAGCAACCTTAAGTCCAGAATACCAAAATATGTCAACAGATCTAGAGTGTCTAAAACACAAAAGGATTTCTCTGCATCCAAAGGCAAGAAATCATTGACACAGGTTGATGTCACGATGGAAAATTCCACATCTAGAGACAAAAAATCTACAAAACGGGACTGTGTTATACAGGAAGACAAGGAAAATGTTCCAAGAAAGAAAAACATATCAAGGAGAGGGAAAGCTGCAACAAATGGGGAACTTGCTAAATCTGAGGACTCGGAGCCAGCCAAAACATCAGGCAGGGGTAGAAGAAAGGCTACCAAAACACAAGTCCAAGGTGAATTTTCTAATAGTGGAGAAATCAACCAGACAAAGGAGGATGTTTATGATTTTGATGAAGGGGACCCAATAGATTCAGGGGAAAGTAAGATTGTGAGAAAAAGTACAAGGAGAACTAACACTAGAGTTAAGAGGCAGCCTGCAGAAAAGGTACGAAGTGCAGTAGCTGAGATGAATGATGAGACAGTTGATCTGATTGGACAGTTAGGATACTTTGACATAGATGAGGGGACTAGTTCATCAGATGAGGACCAGCTTGGAACTGAAGATGTACAAATCTCCAAACCTGAACTTACGGATGATAAATGTTTAGAAGAAATGCTGAAAAAATTGGAAAAAGGTAAAGTACTTTGTATATTGATGTACCAGGGTAATACTGAGGAACACAACATACTTAAAACATATTTGCTTAACTGTTCTTTATATTGATAATGATAATTGTGTTTTTTTATAGCACAAGTCTTGGATGATTCCATTGAGATTCCACGAGGTGGGGATGAAAAGAGGGTGGGAAGAGGCCGAGGCAAAAGAGTGACAAAATCTTCCAAACAAGATTCAGCAGAGAGCAGGGAACAATCAATAGGAGAAGACACCACAGAGATTCCTAGATCCACCACTAGAGTGAACATGCAGCTCACCATGGAGAGAATGAGAAGGGCAGCCCCACCAGGGAAAGTTGCAAAGGATGCTAGGAAAGGCATGTCACTAGTTAAAGAGAGATATAAATTGCTTGTAACAATCTGGTTTCGAGTCTTAATTGTCCTGCATGCCTACAAATTCTGTTGAAGGAAAAGTAATTTGTGCAAGTTTGTACAGCTGTAAAGTGAAGATTTTTTTTAAAATTTCAGCTGATTCTCCAAGGGATGAGGATTTGACAGGGATGTTGGAGGTGGCCTTTGAACAAGCTCGTCACCTGCCCACGACTGGACTGTACACCTCGATCTGTAACCTGCTGGCTCTCCAGTATATAGACACCTGTCCCCTGAAGGCAGCCTATTACCTGACCGAGGGGATGGTGGTCACCTTCAGACATCAGTCTCTGGTCAACTGCAGCAGGAAAATCAGGTAGGAAAATCAATCATGTACATGTAAATGGTAATCTGTAAAATGTGTTATATTAGAATACAAAAATCAAGGAATAACGCTTCTGTGAGCTTGCTGCAAATATTGAATGCTTATTTTCAAATTAATACAAAGATGGCTATAGTTCACACTAGGCAAAATTGTTATACAAAGATTGCTTATATCTTTAATGTGTAATACCTTTTGTACAAGAGCATCATGTTAGGCAAAACTTCATCATCTGACAGTGTTTGTTATGTGTAATACTCTGAAGAACTTTATTGATTGGTTTTTCTAGAAAATGTAAAAAGGAGACAACTTCTGACTCGGATCAAAATGAAAAGAGTGGGGTGCAGGAGGGGGAAATAAAAAATGCCATTTATAAAAATCTGATGTTTAACAAATCTGCTGAGGATCTTCAGAAGATTTTAGGAGAGCTTCCAGAAGGTATGTGTTGATTGAAACTAGTATTAGAATGTAAAACTGCTAAAGCTTATTCAGAACTGAAAAGAAACTTTGAGCTTGTACATGTACATGTTGTAAGATAAACGTTTTTCAAACACTGAGCCTTTTGAGATAGAAAATGTACAACCAGTTGAATAAAAAATCACATCCTATCACACAACAATGCCTTCCCTTTTTTTATCAAATTTTTGCACAAATTTTAGGAGTATCTGCCCTCTGCTCTAAATTTAAACAAAATACATTTTAAAAATAAAGACAAGAAAAGAATTTCCAACTTTGATTTTCATCAACAACAATAGCTGAAGATTGTTAAATAATAGGTTTTTGTTCATTATCACATGTATTTTCTTTAAGATTGGACAGTTTGTCAGGTTTCCATGGTTACAAATCCACAAGTTCCTGACCAGATGTTATTAAACAGCATGAGAAAGGACCAAGATCCTGTGATTGTGAGACTGCCAGCATTCAAAACTGTGCATGTAAGCTTACTGGTGTTTATAGTAGATTTGATTTTTACTAGCTTCTTCGGGCACATCTACTTTAATTTTATCCCCCCCCCCACCTGCTTACACTGGAAGCATTCTTTTTCTTAAAGGGGGACAAAAATTTCCTGAATTGATTGGTTAAAAAGCAAATGTTTGGGTATTCAAAAAATTGCATTTTTTAGAGACATTGTTGTGATATCAAGATTGGCTCTAGATCTTCTAGAAAACATAATGATAAAATATATTGTCTTATTCAAGTGATAAAATTCAAGTTCAGTTGACCTCTCAACATCTTCCATTACTTTTATATCCTAAATGTTGTTAGAGTGTGGAACATGTACCTTAAAACACTTTATTCCATCTTTAATCCTTGTGTCAATTTTACAGGGAAGAAGAATTTTGTCAGAGTTTACAGACATTATGGAACAGAGTCACAGCAGTATCAAGATAACAGACAAGACAGAATGGTGGCAGAATCGCTGGAACCTGGACGATAGACTTAGGGTAGGCGTTACTTATTAAACATTTAATAGCAACGAAATGATTTATACTTTTGTGATATTTACGGTAGTTGACTTGCTTTGGAAGATTAGAATACCACATAAAGTGATAAGGTTTTCCAATTTATTAGAGTAACACTATATGTATTAGGCCATCTTTAAAATTTTATTTGATTGCCCTCTCTCAACTGAATGGCTAAAAATGGCCTGACTCAAAACTTTGTTTAACCTCCAGGAAACAATTTTTCATGCATTCTGGAAAATAAATTTCAAAAATTCAGCATTGATTTGAAAATTTTCTGTGAAAGAAATATTCTATGATCTATCTTCCGACTCAAATTTTTCATCATGAGTCGGGCTAGGGCAAACAAACATTGTTTTAAAGTTGGTGTTAGTTTTAGTCTAAAATCATGTAATGTAGATAGATATAAGAATTACATTTGAATTACAAATTGAAGTGTGTTTCATTTTTTTATTTTATGTTTTACATTAGAATGTGCTTCAAAATATGGACAAATACTGGCTGGGTCACTGGCGATGTCTAATACACGGAACTGTGTCATCAGCTGGCTCAGGAATCTCTATTGCTGATGTAACTCAGAACCTGTGTGAGGAGATATACAAGGAGACCAAAGTCAGACTGCCTCAGAATATCATGCAGGTATAAAATAATATAGATGGACATTTAGATGGGTAATATTAAGTTAACAGGAATGACGTATTTTGACAACAATTAATGCTTTTTATGTTCTTTTTAATAATTTTTAATGTAATTTTTTTATATCGGTGATTTCAGTAGTTTTAAGCAAAAACAAACCAAAGCAAAAATCAACTGAAGTGTAATATAATATTGAAACATGATAGGAGTTAATGGGTGACAAAGAACAGCCAAAATCATCCATATTATTTTGCTGTTAATATTTTTTTTCTTTCACACAGCGATTAGTGGAAAGTGAAGATACTTTGTCTGACGAAGATTTTAAAAGTGCAATCAATGAATTGACTGGAAACAAAATGTCTAGTTCAGGGGTTGAAAATTGCCTGTCTTCATTCAGAAAATGCACCAAAGATCTCAATCTCAATGGCTCTCAGGGACATGTATTTCTCATTCTTGACAAGGTACCAGTTATATATTAGTAAAATGCAAATGTGATGTTACATTGGTATGATATGGCGTATTGTGAAAAAAAAAAAATTTAAAGTAATGCAGAAAACAATTTATTATTTAAAATGTCTTTGTATAATAGAATTCTTATTTTATGCACATTTTTACATGTAAGCATAATCTTTGGTAGATTTCCACATATTGTATGTATATGTGTATTAATTTATGATTGATACTTGATTCACAGTCCATTTAGTTTCATTGAAAGTATGCTTGTTTATTAAATATGTGATGTGAGTAAATTGATTACACTTTTAGACCCTCTAGACACTGAAAAACAATTGCTGATGCTTTTATTTCTCTTTTTTAATGATTGTTACCTTAAAAAAATCTTTTGCAGTCAGTTCAACATCTTCCTTGGGAAAGTGTTCCATCACTGGCCAGCTCTAGTATTTCAAGGATGCCGTCCCTCTATCATCTTCATTCACAGCTTACCTACCTCAATTCACAGAAGAGTTCCATTCTCCACACAGGAATTGATAAACAGAGTGTATTCTATGTCCTGAATCCAGACAGTAATTTGGCCTCCACTCAGGAAACATTCCAAGACTGGTTCTCAAAGTATGTCAATTTATTATTCCTTTTATTTTTCTTGTGTTATTGTACTTTTATGAATGCCCCAAATCTAAGGTGCTCTACTTTGGAAAACCCCTGGTATTGAAAAATGAATGTACTAAATAATAATACTTTAATAATCATTCATATACTGTAAACCGGCTATTATTCTGTCCTCTTTTATTTGCGATTTATATTAAATAATCATGATCATATACATTTTCGTCAATATATATGCGGATAAAGGAAGGTCACTTATATCGTGAATATTTCTCACACATGAATAAAAGTCGGTTTACAGTACATTATCTGAATAAGTCTCGATGATTTTGTGACTTTCAGACAGAAGAGCTGGGAGGGGATAATTAACAGAAAACCCACAGAGACGGAGTACACCCAGGCTCTCCAGAACAAGGACCTCTTCCTGTGAGTTCACTGCTTTATATAATGTCAGTAGGATTCTCCTTTGGAAACAACATGGGAAAAAAAGTGTTGTCATTTCAGTCATATTGCAAAAATATTTTTAACTACAGTTTAGTTTGTTGGTTTCTATAAAAGAAGAAACAAGTCTGTAAAAATTTGACTGAATTTAAGCTAACCTAAGCCAAAGGCTCAAAAGTGTTTTTCTGATCAAAATTTGTCTGTTATACATGTAGTTGTTAGCATTGTTGTGATCATTGTTATAATTTCACAATTTCATCTTCTTCTCCAAAACCACTAAGTAAATTTCAAACCAAACTTGAGACAAAATATATTTTTTGGTGAAAAGGATTCAAGTTTATTAAATGAAGAGCATGCCTTTTTCAAGGCAGTAGGAATTATTGAAATTTAATGGTAGCATTTTTAAACAATCTTCAGAAGATCCACTGGGCCTAAAAAGATGAAAGTTGTATGGAATTTTCTTTACATAGTGTTTATTCCAGTTTCCTTAAATCATGATCCTTGGATAAGTATTAGAGCCACAATAGGAAATTATTTATTTATATTCATATAAAAACATCATCAGTAGTGTAGATCCAAGTTTGTTCAAATCATGGCCACGTTGGTTGTAATGAAATTAAAGTACACATATACATGTATCTCAAAGTTGTGAGAATTTTTACTTTGATTAAACCATATTTCAATAGGGCTAGATTTTATCCCACCAAAATGGATTCAAAGTTTTCAGGATATCAAAAAGAGTAATCCAAAAAAGAAATATGATAATTAAAATCAACAGGACCATAGTGATTCAGATGAGCAAGGTATCCTATAGTCCTCTCATTTACAGGTATTGTGGTCATGGTACCGGTGGGGCTTACCTTGGTGGGAGCGACCTTGCCAGTCTGGACTGCCGAGCAGCGGCCATTTTGATGGGATGCAGCAGCGGTAGACTGAAAGCCACAGGTCATCTGGAGGCCTCAGGGTTCATGCTCAACTACTTCATGGCAGGATGGTAAGAATCTTCAATCCAAACAAGCAATTAATCAGGGGAGGAATTAAAATGATCTCAAAAAACTAATGTTTACAGTACAAATATGTCTCTTCATTCATTTGTATTATGATTTTTTTTTACTGGCTTCAAGAAAAATTTATATTAATCCAGTGTTATTTTCATTACTCTTAATTTTTGTCTGATGATTGCTTTGCTGGTCTGAATAACTGTGCATTACCAGAAGGAACTGATAGACAAGAAACTGAGATTTTCTGTTTCAGTCCTTGCATGGTGGCTAACCTTTGGGATGTGACAGATAAGGATATTGACCGATTTCTGGCCTGTCTGCTGTCCTCCTGGCTGTCAGAGGAGGCCACCATGGATCCCAGATCTCTCCTAGACGTGATCCCGAAGGCCAGGGCGGCGTGTCGCCTACCGCACCTGATCGGGGCCGCCCCAGTGGTGTATGGATTCCCGGTGTTTCTAAAACCGTCCTGATCAGATTACTCAGAATCTTATTCACACAGGTGTTTTATGTTTATTAAAATGTGAATTAGGGATTAGGTAACAGGTACTCTCACTGCTACCTTGAAACACTGTTTGTTAGACTAATATAATACCACCTTTTTCTATGTGTGATACTAGCAGAAAAATTCTTGTTTGATTCAAATAATAGAGCTCTTGTTTTTATCGTTTTAATAGAGAACTTTTATTTTCTTATGTGATGTGGTATACATGTATGTATAGTTTTTTTTTATTAATATATAAAAAAAGATGATGACTTATCTTTATATATATGACATGGAAATATCTATCATGAATGTGCAGTATTTAAATTTATGTAAAAATTCTGTATAGTAAATTCTTAAATGAAGGTTTAATAAACAAAGTGTGAATCACAGTTGTTGAGAAGATTCTTTAACAGTCAGATGACTGTAAATAAGTGTTTTATGGTAAAAGAAAACAATTTTTTCCCCCTAAAAATGGTCTACAACAGGTTTCTCAAACTTGAGAAATGTATTCCCTGAATGATGGTTATGTACCATATTTTGGCTAAATAAGGTGTTTTGGGGACAATTTTTCACTGAACACAACAGTTTTTAAAGTTCAAGAAAACAGATAAAAAAATCTTATCTAAATGGCAAATCACAATGCTTAGTTCATAGGGTCATTAAAATAATGTGATATGATAGGATTAATGAACTCATATTGGTGAATATTGGCTCAAGTTGGCTGTACAAATGCACAAGCTTGGGAGAATTATTAATGCATTTTACCTACATTTTATTAGAGCCCTGTCCCAGTTTCAGAAATCCTAACACAGGAGCCATGAATTTTGCAATTTTAGAAAAGGCACTCTTGCTCATTATAACCATACACTTTGTATTCTTAATGCCCAGGAGTAGAGAAAAATGCATTTTCATTAAATAACCAGGAGTCCTACCCTAACACCAGAAGTGAACCCCTGACCCTTGGGTCATTATAATTGTACAATTTGGGAAAAACACTCTTGTAGATCATAGTATAATGCATTTAAGGGGAGAGAAACTGCATTTTCAATATTATATTTATATATTTAACCAGTAGGGTCACACACTGACACCAAAACTCCTGACCCTTGAACTATCAATTAAAATAAATTTTCCAAATTTGATAAGGGATCAATGTTTATTATGTACAATCATATAAGCAGCTTGACTGCTTGATTATATCTAGAAGAAAGAAGATATTTTTTGTAGCCTCACCCCTCAGGCTGGGGGGGGGGGGCATAGAATTTTTGTGAAAAACTCCCCTTCACCCAATATGATGTTTGACAAAAAAAGATAGACCTACAAATAAAGCCTTTTTCTTGCCAGGTGCAAATGTAGTAAATAAAACGTGACGTCACAATGCATAGTTTTTCTATAATACAATGCAAATCGATATGTTGAGACACACTCTAAAGCATTGTTATGGGCACAAAGGAAATAAATTCGTTATCCAGGTTCAATCAAGGGTGTACGGGGATTTACCCCGGGTTGTATTCCATACACCCTTCGGCCTTCGGCCTCAGGGTGTATGGAATACAACCCGGGGTAAATCCCCGTACACCCTTGATTGAACCTGGATAACTAATAATATTAGCCTAAATAAAAAGTGAAATATTCATGAAAGTTACTGAAAAGCGATTTGAGAATTAATGCCCCTGTGTTTTGTTTTGTTTTTTTTTTTGTTTTTTTACAAAAGTGAGGGACAAAAATAAGTCATTATTCAAAAAGTTTCTTCAAATAAAAAAATAATAATTTAAAACATGCGCAAAGTAAATGAAAAAAAATCATAGGTGGCGCTGTTTTGTAAGCGGGAGTTGTCGGTAACAGCTGATTAGCATACACAAAGCAACATGAAAGTCAATGGCGCAGTTGATCAGAGAGGAATTACGGTGAAAAAGTAATATAACGAAGCAACAATTGTTTGACAACATAAGATAAACTTTAAAGGTAAGCAAAAATAGACTGAGTCGTTGGAATATTTAGGTTTTATATCAGATTTTTCATGGAAACTGCATAGAATGCATGTCGTATGCTCCACTTCCTTTTCTTTCTGTTGTGACTACAAATGCTTAAAAATAGAAAATAAAAAAATGAGAAGAAATTATGTAAATATATGTCGAATGTAAAATGTAATGATTTATTTGTAATATTCATTATTCTTATTGAATAATACTGGCACTGGTTTGTACTTGGCTTATGAAACGATATCGAACACCGGTACGTGCAGCAGACATGCCTGCGACCGATACATGGCACCATGATGACATGACGAAATAATGACGGTAACATAAATAACAATTTATGTCATGGTTTTTCCTTATTCGACATTTTGAAAGAAATGTAGTAGGATTTTACCTGAAGGCCGGATGCATTGTTTAATATTTTGTTTCACCGCCATGCCGTAACGTTTTGTTGATTACAGCCATTTTATGTTGACAATATATTTTAGGTACAAACGTGATAATACAAGAATAAAAACTCACTGATAAATATAAATAACATATGGATACTTATAAATCTACTTTGACATTTGAGAATATAAAGTCTCATAAGAAAAAGACAGATTTGCATGCAGGAAAGAGGCCTAGATTATAGATACAAATGAAATATTATAAAGGCTGGGTATATTGATAATCCACAATACAAAATGATCACTGAATCTAATTAAGATAATCTTTGTTGATGATTTTGATAAAAAAAAAAGTACAAATATACATAAAATCCAAGGATGTGTTATTAAGAACTTTTAGCTGTATCGATTTCTGGCAAGATTTCAAATAGCCTGATAATTTTCTTGTAATTAGAACATGTGCTGAAGACATTTTTTGTGTACTGTCAGTTAAAACTGATAACTAATTGTTTCAACTTTAAAATTCACTGATAGACCTTTATGAAAAGGAAGTTTAGTTAAATTTTTCTGGGTTTTGACATTTGCTTCAGATTGACCTTTATAAATATAGGAAGTACGTAGGATATAATATTTGGTTTTTAACATAACTGCCTGGGTTAGTAAAACATTGATGTTCAGTCCAGTAAAGCAATTAATATGTTAATGGACCAGACAGGGTTCAAAGTTTATCTTTAAAATAAAAGCTGTTAAAAAATAAATTTTAAATAAGTTCATTTACTGGACACCAAAACTAAAAATTGACATTTTCGGAAGTATCACTTAAGACTGAAATCATATGCCCTTGGAACCTTGAAGGAGGGGGAAGGGATGATACATGTATGTAAGGCATGGTTTTGGTCAATATGGTAATGTACAGCAGGAAAGGAAACAGTGCATATATGGACCTGGAATCGAAACCAGGACCCTGCACCAATAGAAAGGTGTTCTACCTACTGAGCTAACAAGGCCAATATCCACAGCCCAAACCAATATATCCTGCCTCCTTAAATTGTCAAAATTGTATTTGCTTCTGGAAGGACTTTCACCTGCAGGTCCGGGGGTGGTAAACAGTACCAAATCTATAAAAGCAAATGGGAAAATGTATTGCTGGACCTGGGAATCAAACCTAAGACCCCTACAGCACTAGTTGGGTGCTCTACCGACTGCTCTACTTAGGCCAATATCCATGGGCCAAACCATCACATTCTTCCCATCTTTAATTGTCTTTAACCCCTTTAGACACCAAACCAGGCTCTTCCCTGGCAGGTCTTTTACTTACTTGTATCACTTCTATGACCTGGAACAGCACCATATTTTATGGGAAAGTAAAAATTTATTGCTGGATCAGGAAATGAATTGAACCCAGGACTCCTGTATCACTAGTCAGGTGCTCTACCTTTTAAGCTATGCAGACTAATACATGTGTAATATAAATTATTTCATGTGCATCTCAGTTTAAAGCCAGTTAAGTCTAATATTTCATTTTTATGCCCAACTCAGGGTGTATTTAAATTGACTTGAGAATGACTGATTAAATACATATAAAATGATGAAAAATTTTGGAAAAATTAATCATTCTTCAAAATACTGTATAAGCAAAATTTTTAGCGAGGATTCAATTTTGGCATTATTAGCGAGGGTGCCAAGATCGCTAAAATTGAATATCGCTAAAAATTAATTGTGTTCTAGTTGTAATAGTTTCTTTAGTGAACATTTCAAAATTGCTAATATTACTTCTTGCTAAAAATAAACTACAAAATTTTAAGGACAAATTGCTAAATTTGCGTCTCGCTAAAATTTCCACTTATACGGTATGTATATGGGTTTAGTTAAGAACTTTAGAAAAAATGGAAGCTGAATATTAAAAAAAAAATAAGTAACCACAGAATGAATATGTATTTTTTTGCCCTTGATTTTCAAGAAAGGTCAAAATTCCCAATTTTTTAAAATTTCAAAACCTGTTATGAACCTAGGAGGTTTAAAATTAAAGTACTAACAAATTATCTAAGTTTACATGGATAATTTAATGTGTTGGTGCATGCTTTTGTGTACATGAGGGAGGATATGTTCTTGGTTTGTTCATAAAATTGTTCATTATAACTGTCAAGCATAGACTGCATTCTAAATTTAGGTCTGCCACTTGTATTTCACTCAAAGGTTCATCTTTTTGCACTTTTCAATTCAATAATTCAGCATCATTATTAATTTGATTTACTGATCTTACAGGAAACTTATGGTAAGAACTTCAACATGTGTGATGTGGCAACTTTCAACCAGAGACATTTTCAAGGCAGCTCAACAGGTGGGGTCACAGAGAAGGGGAACTTTGACCTGTACTGGAAGAACAAGAAAGAGGGTGGGGAGGGGAATCCCATGAACCCCACATTTAATCAGATGGACTCAGGCTTCTTTGACCAGGTCAACTATTGTGAGAGGTAAACAATGAAGTGGACCCAATCGGGGTATTTTATTCTCTGTGACTGGCATGATACAAGTATAAAAGAATGAATATTGATTTATCAATTGTCAGAAAATTATGAGTGCTGATGACTTTCCTTGATTTTGATTTCCATATTTCATTAGCGTAAACAATCCTTAGGTCTCCAAGGGGAGTTGTTCAGTTATTGATTAGCCCTATAAAATACTTCCTGATATAATATTATAGATAATTGAGTAATGATAAAAAACAGAATTACAAAAAGTTTGTTGATAAATCTTGACTGTAATGCACTTTAATGATGTGATGTGTGGTACTGATAAATATGTGAAATATTTATAAATGAAGTATTAATGTAACACATATTTAATATATTGATCTCTATCTTTAGGTATGATGTCAATGCTAATGGAGACAAGTTCTCAAAGTTTGATGACATTGTGTCCCAGATATTGGAAGATGACAGCTCTCTTTATGCATTTAATCAAAACCTGAAAAATCTGAAGCTTTCATTCAGCCAAGGGAGTAATGGGTAAGCATATTTAAAAGGAAAAAACAAATGCAATGATTAATACGCAAATGATTTTTATCCCATCCAGTATTTCAAATAATTGAATTTAATCAAATAATTTGAATTGACTGAATACTTGCTAAGAAAAGTATAGAAGAATTTTTTTTGGGGTCCCTGTAATTGAAGATTTAGGGCATCTATCTGGAAATTTTTATCTTTGTCAGCAAAAATTTTACATTAACTTTTAAATGATTGGTACTTATATTTCATATTTCCTATAAGTATGCCCTACCTGGGACAAAACATCATTGTGTCAGTAATTAACAGATCATTACAAATACATTTCAGTTCTTTGAGTGTCCCCTCCACCCCTGGGAGTGCCTGGTCTGCAGTGACAGATGAGATGCCACCGAAGGCCCAGGACAACAGGTTTGACTTCAGCCTTCCTAGTAACCCAGACTTGTCCACCATCAACAATAACCTGTCAGACTTCAGCTCAGACATCTCCCTAGAGGATCTAGAATCACTGCCAGCCAAAACAGACGGACCAGATCTGGAGCTACTCCAGTCCTTTATGATAGAGCAGTCCAAGAAAAGCCTGAAAAATCCGGCATATCTGGATAATCACTTAACGGAGGCTTTCTTGAGCATGTATGACATGAAGACTATGCCCACAGCTCCCCCTCCTCCTCAGACCAAAAATCTGTCTCAGCAAAGCATATCAGGGAAGGAATCTCACACCTGTCCCCAGTGGCCTCCATATGACAACCAGCATTATCTCAACAGCCAATCTATGACATCTAACTTCACACAACCAGGAAACTTTTCTCAGTATGCGAAGACTCAAAACTTACCACAGGGAAATTTTGACAAGACTGAACTTCCAAAGTTTCCCCCTGAAGTGCCCCCACCTTTGGCTTTTCCACCCAGCAGAAATCATAACTTGAAATCAGAAGCATTGAATTCTCCAAGAAACTCAGACATGAAGCCTTTAAGCTCCAATGAACAGGGAAATTTGTTGCATGCAGGAGTTGGAAATTGTAGTCAGAGTTTTCAGCCAATCGAGACAGGGGACAGTAAAAATGTATTGCAGCCAATCCGAGTCAGCACCCATAATGCACTGAGTTACCAGGGATGTGGTGCTTCAGGGCAGAGCACTCCTGTGTCACTGAATGGAAACAACTACCAGGCATTTGACAAGTATACTTTGTCTCCAGTCACCAGTGCACAGGGATTTGGTGTGCAACCCAAACCTCAGATCAGGCCACAGGTAAGAGTTTGAATGATGTCAATGAAAACTGCACCATGCAATATAACTTCACATGTATTTGATAGAATGGTTTTGCAAATCAAATTTTTGTTAACAATTGTACTCAAATGAGAGACAAGCTGGCAAGTCTAGAATTAACCACCCTTTGAAATATTTTTCCATTAAATTTTATATTGCACAGGTTTCTGAGTTTGTAAAGATTTTATTAAAACTTGTCTATTTTAATTGCTCTTGCATGCATATGTGAATGAAGAATATTGTTGATGGTTAGGATGCAATTTAAAACATTGTCACTGAAAATTCCACAATATTTACATGTATTGAAAAAAAAATTAAAAATAATATTTGGGTTAGCTATTATGTAAAATCTGTGAGTTGTCTTCATCAATGTGTTTTATTATGTACAGGAGATTTCCCAGTTGCCTGTTTCCTACCAGTCTGTGTTGCCAGGGGATAAATCTCAGCAAGGGAGACCCAATGCTCACATCTCCCAAGCTTTTAGGCAGAAAGTGGCCAAAATGACCCTCCCCAGCCCTACACCAGCCAACCCCGAAGTCAAATACTCACATGAGATGACTGACAAGTCACACTCAGTCACTCTTCACAGTCTGACACCCACCAGCTATGGTGACTCCTCAGCCAATCCCCCTCTCTACCACAAACGACTCTCCAGGGATAATCTGTCAATGCAAGACTTTCAAACACTAGGTAACGGTTCACTTTGACAAAATATGCAGTTTGTTCATGTATTATGCATTTTGAAGAAAAATACTCAGTTTTAAAGGTTTAGTTTAATTATGTAGAATTAAATTCAGTGGGTATAAATCGAAGAAATTACCAGACAAACATGAAGAAAAATTATTATACCAGGTAATTTTTTTTAAAGTAACAGATTTCTTAACAGAACAGTCAAACTCTGTGTATATTTAACATTTCTTTGTCTTTTAATTAGGTACTGTGGCACAACCACACCATCCAGCATTTGTTAAATACCTGCCAAACTTTATTGCCCCTCCACACTTCCTTGCCCCCTCTGGTGCCTTACCTAGTGAGGCCTTTGAGTACTACCATGTGGACCCCTACGGCAGACTGATTCCCCCCATGTTGACCCCAGAGATGTATTTGGATGTTCCTTATATCTATCCAGGGATTCATCAGGTTATACCCAATATCAGAAACCCAAGGTACATTGTCTTCTCTTTGACTTTAAGATTGCGCTTTTCATGTGATCTTTAGTTATTTTATCTTGATAATATGATTGTTTCTGCTCTTTAGGAGAAGTGGTCCATCAAATGAACTTCACCTCAAGTTGGAGGAGTGTTATGATCAGTTCAGAAACATTGAGAGAGAGCGGAAAAAGGTTAGACAAATTTCTCTTTGGATAACTTTTTTTGAGACTTTAGAATAGTGCATTATCTTTGAATACTGCTCAAATATATATATGTAAGTGCACTGATTTTTAAATAACTTCATAATCATGACTATTACTGAATGTTTAAACAGACAGAAGCAGAGTTGGCAAGGCAGAACCCTGGTAAAAAGGTGTCCAGCACCAACAACATTGTAGTTCCACGCCTACCCTCCAACCCTTCACGTGTAGATCGTCTGATTGTTGACTCATTCAAAGAACATGCCAGGGTAGGTTGTTTTCAGAGAAGAAGTCTTGCAGGTCAAAAAGAAGAGACTATCCAGTCTTTGAAAGGGTTTTTAGAATCTTCATTATACAAGCTTAGATGTACATTGCTCAATAGCTATTGATAATAAATGCAAGAAATAGCGAAAAATCAATGTTTGTTATTACAGATAATAACCCTGGTGGACAAAATGGAGAAGTTACGTAATTTTGTGTTACATCCAAACATTCACTCAGCACTGGAGAGATGGCTGGAAGGAATTCGTAAAGTTCAGGCCCGCCGCAAGGAAGAGATAGTAAACGCCACAAACCGCCACAGGAATGTAGGAAACCGCCACCAGGAGGACAAAGGTAGCCATTTCATTGACTCTGAATAAGTTAAATTTGAATTTTAGTCAGATGTATCTGAAACTTTAAATCAATTTGCAATGTTTTCCTCTGAGTAAACATGATATACAGTCAAATATATGCATGTGTTCGTAGTTATTGCATGACCAAATCTTCATTGGTTAGATTTATAGATAAAGGTCTATTAAATAGCAGTGAATTGTATTCCTGCAGCACTGGTTATTCTTGCTTTTATTTTATAGATGTCCTAGCTTTAGCAGCCAGTATTGGAGAGCTAACCACTCTATGTAGAAAGGCAAGAACAGCGAACTGGTGTGCTCTACAAATGGCTGACAAAGATAATGCCCCCCTGGATTCTCTTGGCTTCGAGATCAAAACAGAAATCACCAAGGAAGGATTCCCTGTGTATGTGTCACAACAGAATGTTATTGAGCTTCAGGATGGGACGGAGGACACTGAGAACACAGAGAGTAAGGCCAAGGCAGAGGATAAATAAACATCAGGGAAGGCAGGAGAATTACTGCTGTCATGGAGTCAGAGAGTTTTTGTGCCAGTCTTTATTTCTGCTTTTTGTGTCATTATTATTATTATTAGCTTTTAAACATGGTTCATAGATATAGCATTTACTAGCACTGTTCTATCATGCCTGTAGATTAGAAGCTGCCTGTTTATTATATGATGTATTGGATAGAGGAAAGGTAATTATTCTACATGTAAGTATTATCTTGTGTTAAATCAACACAAAAGTGGAGCATGTCTTCTTATACAAGAATGCATATTTACTAGTAGTTGTCTCACAACTTAAAATGGCAGAATAGATGGACTTAATTTGAATTCATGAAATAAATTTAATCGCCGTAAACTTATTTGCATTGAAAAGTTCAGAGAATAGACTTTTTTTGTACATGTATCTCCAATAGTTTATTCCAAGATAATATTCAAAGTGTTGGACAATGAATTATATGAGTTTTGTCCACAATATGTACATGTATCAGTGGTTGTATAAAATATGAATGAAGGAATTGTATTAGGTATTATTAAACATGAGGGTGACCACAAGTCAAATTTGAGAGTGATAATCTGATAGGTGCTACTTTTAATGGTGATTCACCCTCTGTCAAACCAAGGTTAAGTTCTGCACCAGCAATGCTTATAATTTCCTCTCTTTTTTTTCAGTGTTTGAACTGCTTGCATTTGCAGTATATGTACTAATTATTTCATAATGTGATGATTATTTGATTTTCTTGGTTGAGTTCACATTGGTGAATGAATTGATTGATTAACTAGTTAATGAAAATGATGTATTAACAATGACAATGAATTTTACATATCATACTTTTCTCTTTGATTCTAAGTCAAATTTAGGCTTTGAATACTTAATTATGAATTGCTGGTGGTACCTTGATGATCTTCCTCTTTTCAATGCATGGGTATATGATTAGTTCCGATTATCATTACTCAATATTGTATTATCATTGTATTTGATATATTACTAAATTAATTATCAGGAATATACAATGTACTCTGTGAATGTAAAGATTACATGAGTGTAGTTAGTTCAGATTATGATATATTGTTTTCCCACTTTCAGATACTTCAAACACCTTACTGTGTGTTGAAATTTCAGCTTTGTTATAAAAGTTACATGTAATTTTAAAAAATATAATTGTTGTAATGAAGCATAATTTTAAATTCAAGAGATTTTTTAATATCAATTACACAAGTTGTATAAGAAAAAACTATAATTGTATTATCAGATCTGAGAAATTTGTACATAGCAGATTTTCATTGTGTAACAGTCCCCTAACCTACACATGTTGTAGGTGGTAGACATCAAATGGCAGAAATTTTGCAGTTGTTATTTTTGCAAACCATGACTGTACTGTGATAACTGTATTTGGTTGATGCATTTTTTGTTTCGTTGACAAATTATTTAAAAAAACAATTTTATCCTGCTTTATTTGAATCTCATTTTTCTGCACAAAATTCATGTCATGTTGACCAATCCCTATTATTATGATTTTTTTTTTTTTCAATTAATTAAATGTGATATGCAGTCTTGAGACAATTGTATACAAAGAAAATAACATTAGAAAAAGGTATCATTCCAGTGCTTACAATTCACAGTCATATTTATTGTTGTTGGTTGTGTGTTTTCATTGTATTTGATCAATATTGTACATTGTATTTGTAATTCTAGCAATGATGCTTGTATATTTTTATACTGTGTGCTTCAAATGAAAATGTAAATAGTTCTTGTAGTGAAGAAGGGCTTAGAAAAATGTGCCTAAAATTTAGCAATCAAAGATTGGGCTCAAAATGAGTACTTTAAACCAGGACTCGAGGTAGGCTGTTTCTATCAGCAGATAGTGCTTAATAAGAAAAAAAAAAGAATATGATAAGTTAGTTATGATTAGATGGTTATGATAAGTTTGTTAGTCCAAATACTGGCATTTTTTGCATGAATAGAGATGACACTTATTGTTTGTAAATGTAGCTGAATTAATGGCCATACCCACTGTTTATCATATCCAATACTATTTAACAAACTGACAGGTGTACTGTCAAAACTTTTTTCTATACTGCTACAAAAAATTTTGCTCAGAGTTAATACTAAAAACTTAGTGAATTTATCAATATCCAGAGCTGCTGAGAGCAGTCTTACATATCTTATATATCTCTTGTAGTGTTCAGGTCCTCTTTATTTAGTTCTGTCTAAATTAACCACAGCAATTAATCATTTAATTAGTACCTTATAATTTTTAATAATGAAATTAGCAACACTGTAGTAGAACTATTATTAATATGTATATGTGGTCAACTGCCGCTGCATGTTTTTACAGTATTCTGAGAGACAATATCCACAAGAATCAAAAACACTGGTATTACTTGATAAGATATATTTTTATAATCAGATTCCCTAGTCAGTAGTCTCCCTTTAATACCATGCTATTTATGATGTTGATGTGCAATTTTTATTTCTCCCACAGGTTGACAATTGATCAATAATCAGATTGAGATGGAGTGTTTTCTTTTTCTTTAACTTGTGTTGCTATTGAATTGACAAATCCTTAAGATTTTGGAGGATATTGTGATTTTGTTTGCTTTGTTGATGAGTGCTATATTAGTGCTATATAATTTAATACTGCAGCTTTCCTCTGTCCCTATTTAAAACCCTACCCCTCTTTCCTACTCTCCCTCCCCTATCATATAGTCTCCAGTACCACAAGTTGATCTCTGGTCATTACTCAAATTCTGTTTGATATGCAATACACATGTTCTGCTTCTTATAGATCTTAAATGTTTATTGGTGCAACTAAATTTCTAGTCTCATAACAAATGATTAGAATGTCTGTAGTTTTCATTTTCTGATTTTCAATGTGTTTGTCATACATGTTTGTCAGTTTGAAAAGCACTGAGTTTGTATTTATTTGATTTTGGTGGCAATTTTTAAAGCTTTTCAATTTTGTGTATTATGATTTAACCATTTTGGTGAAAAATATCCAGACTGGGATGTTTTTATTTTAAACCACTTGACTCTCCAGAAAGTTTATTGCATAATTAAGGCTTAGCTAAAGAGAAATGTTTAAGTAATATATCAGGAAAAGAATTTTACATGTTTGAATTTTTAAGGATTAATATTGAAATAAATGAAAAATTGACAAGCACTCCAAAATAATGTAAACAGCTGCATGTATACTTTTAAAATTGTTCCCAGAGAGTATTATTTATTGATATGATTAAACTTGATATGGAGAATAATATTTGGACAGTATTAATGGATATTTATATATTTCCCAACTCTTTGTATTTAATGTAATATCTGCAGAAAATAAGCAGAAACATAGGAAAGGCAATGAAAAATGAAGAGAAAAACTTCAAAAGATGTTAATACCATTTGTTTTTCCTTAGGTGCTTCATTTTAAACTAGTGCTTGTTTGACTATATTTTTGTATCTAATTGTGTGATATTTTCAACATATCTGTATATTGCTAATCAAGCTTTTGAATGTCTTATTCTCATTTAACTTGATTAAATTTTAGCCTCCATATAAACAAAACAGAGAACTACATAGATTTGCTAGATGTGTTCAGTATTTATAAATCCATGTATATATTCACAGTTCTGTATGTAGAGCACTGATATTAGTTATGGACCAATGTTGTTACATTATATTTACTTGTTTAGCACAGATAACACAAGTCTTTATGTATGTTGTATTTAGCTTATAATCGTTATAGTTATTGGTGTTTGTGATATTTTGTGATTCTTACTTAAAAGTTTGTATATATACTCAGAATTATTGCATGGTGATATATATATTTAATCTATGGTTAGTTTGTTTTTATCTGTAGTTAGTGTTTTCTCAGGATAACAGTGACAGTGTTTGTCAATTGTATGTTGTCCTTTAATAACTATTGATTTGATTTTGTTGCAACAAGAGAACAGCTTTTTATTGCTGAAAAAAAAGAGAGCAATATTTCACTTGAGATTCTAGAATAACATGAATTGTATTACAAGTGTCTTTAGAAAAAAAAGACAAAAGGGAGTTATTTTGTATGTTAATTTGTTTTGATATTTTGGTAATCTTTTAGCTGGACATAGTAAGACACTAGGTCAGTTTACAATGGTTGTTGTACTTTGAAATATTAGTGTTGTATCAAGAACTGTAACTCTGTATTAGGCAGACACATTATATGATGCAAGAGGTTTACACAGAATAGCAGATTGGGTTAATGAAAGGAAATGAAATATTTTGTGATGATTTTAATGGATTAAGATTTCTCGAGTAACATTCTTTGCTGTTTTGAACTTAAGTATTTAGCCATGCAAGATTAAGATGACAAATGTAACTATTTAATTTAGTTTAAAAAATGATTTTGTAGAAAATAATTGTACAGAGAGATTCAAGAAGATTATTTTTTTCTTTTATTGTGATACAACTACAGAATAATGGTGCAAATATAGGCATCTGATGCAAATTTTGAAGTCTCAAGGCTGGTATTGTAGAAATATATATACACTGTATATATGTAGTAAATGGGTATTTTAGCCAATTACACAGTATGTATTTAGTTTCAAGTTTATAATAATCATGTTTTGTTACTTAGATTTTTGTGAGTTTTTAATATCAGATAGAGTTTATTTTAACGGTGTCATTCTTTGGTATTTTTTTTTGTTTTTTAGCCTTGTGTTGGTGGTAGTAGTATCTGAGGTTAGATTTTTCCGCAATTTTTAAACTAAATATATATTTGCTTTTGCAGTCATGAAGGAAATTTAATTTTGTTTTGGTCATTAGTCTAATTAAAAATAGATGCTCTGTGGTATGTCTTTATAAACAGGGTTCTACATTATGTAGTAGGTTCATTGAAGAGGTTGACCCTGTGCTTTTATTTATAGCACTGTGTAATGTAAAAGCTTGATTGTAACTCAGTAATCTGCTTAGCTTCCTGCGTTGCCAGGTTTCCTAGATTTGATTAATGTTCTTTGAAACATAATGCTCATATCATGCCAGATATAGTTTAGATATAACCATGACAACAGATCTAACCTCAGTGCCTGACTAGATAGAGAAAAGGGATTTCCAATGGGTTCATTCTAAGCATCTCATTCTACCCCAGGGATTTATCATGGAATCACTTTGTCATTTTTCTCTAACTACACTTGTTATTTCAGTTTTGTGAAAGAAAAAAGACAGCATTAATTTTTTATTCAATATGAATTTTATGATGATAATAATCAAAGAAGAAAGAGTAGCCCTCTAGATAAAGCAGTAGTAATTGTCCTAAATTTTAAATGATGGATAGAGAAAAGACTACAAATCTGGAATTTATGCAATAGGATTCTAGGAGATGGAGGCATTGTCTTTTTAATTCATACTCTATATTTTTATTGTTCATTTGTCCCTTGAAAATAAGTACATGCATAATATTTGAATAATTTCAGAAATCAAATGTAAAAAGAAAAAAATCAGGGAAATTTATCAAATTATGGACTTGTGTCAAGGTATACAGGGTTTTGAAATTGTCATTTTTGTATATTCTTTGTATTTTTATGAGGAAAAAAAAGTGATATTGTGATGTTGTCCAATTTGGTGAATACTAAAGTTATCCAAAACTTTTATTTTAGCTTAATACTTAACTCCAGTTTGCGTATGTATTTTATATATTGTTCATGTTTCAAAAGGGAAAATATTTGAGAATTTATTATCTTAACATCACCACTTGCCATTAAAACTTTTTCATCGGTGCCATACTTGGTCAAACTCAGCAAATCTGTTCAGAATTTTCTGAAAGTCTGTTCCCAAGGTTATGGGTCAGAAAATATATAGTTCATTTTAAGTACAAGTTGTGATTATTTTTTAACCAGTCTTTCTAGTAAAAATACTGATAGATGAAACATTTGCAATAATATTTAAATTTTTATTATCTTGCATGAAATAGTGTTCTTGTCTTCCAAAAGACCTAACAGTAATTATAATCATTTTCATTATTTTTGGGAAGGAACCCAGAAGAAATGGCTGGAGTTTTTTAACACAAGCAGAAAGCACTGATTTGTGTTGTTTGGTGCACACATGTAGTTAGTATTTTATGTATTCAAATATTTACTTTTTTCTTGATGTTCTTTAGTGCTACAAGTAGAAGGATCATGGAACGAATAGATTGTATGATATATATACAAGATTTGGTCACCACATATCATCTGAGGTCTGGAATTTCTCCTAATGTACATCTTGAATTCCAATTCCTTTATTCCTTGCATTCCTTAAACAAAAAAAAATTCTGATTTTTTAAATACTTAATTTTCAAGTCTTTTAAGTTTTCAGTATCAAATAAAGGATTAGAATAATGTCAAAAATTTTCTGGTAAATGCAATAAAAGTGTGCCTTAACTTTCAGTATTACAAGCAGGATTTGATTTGACTTCTATATTCCTAACTTCCTGATTTGTGGAGATTTGGCCAAGACAGCAGGACTTTGCATTATTGCTCTATGCCAAAGATGTGATTGATATTGTATGTAGATGACACTTGTGTATTTTGGTGTACAGCTTAGTAACTTTTAGGTACTAGGTGTAATTTATGTACAGCTTGACAACACTAGTGTACTATGTGTATTTTGGTATAGAGCTTAGATTGACAATAGACTTTGTATGTAAATGAATTAAGGTTGGTTAGAGGAACAAGAAATTTTTGTTTGAAGGCATTGGCTTGTAATAGTAGACTGTGATAATTTGTTCAGTTATAGTTTTTTTTTTCCTCTGTAAATGATTCTATGATCAAGAAGGCTCTCATAGCATGAAATAATGAAACTCTTCATGCCTACCTCTGCAAGTTATGAATGCAATAAGATAAAATTCTATTTGTTTTATGCCAGAGCATATAAAACATTGTTGAAGTTTGTTTTTTCATTGTTTGGATTTTTCAGTTGAAATTTATCTTCAGGATGAAATTAGATCAATCAAGAATGAACTTGTTAATTTGAAAACCTTTTTAACAAACTGGAAAGGGGTTGAGTTTAAAAGATGAAAGTGATTGGAATGTAGTGTTGATGATTACTTTTCAAAGTACTTTTTTTCTATCAATAAATTGTTTTCAATATGAAAAAATGTGTTTGTTGAAATTTTGAAGTCAAAGGTTTGCTCCTACCATTGGAGAGGTTAATCTAGACACTGATCGATCTAGGATTTGAAGTTTGGTGACCACAAAGCATGTAGAAGTTATCTGTGATATGTGCCAAAATGTATTGTCTGCACAGAAGATGACCAGGAAAAAAAATTTCATTTGAAATACACTTTTTCACCTTTATCACAGTAAAATCAGAACCTTGTCACATGGGCCTCAATGTAGAGTCGTATAGAAAACAAAAGGCAATGGAGAAGACTCATAAAGGAACAAATATGTTCCATACCCCTAATAAATTATTGTTGTAAGTTGTAACCATACAAATGTTCAGTAATCCTGTATACTACTGATACCAGAGTGGCTGAGTTAACTGCCTTTGATAATGTAAAATTCATGTGTGGTGGTTGAGTGCCACAGCATTTGGAAATTCTGGTATTTTCCAACTGGACTTCATTGAAGCTGAGATTTTTTCACGTTTGTATTGATAAACTCTAAAGGAAAAAAAGCAACTTAATTGCAGTCAAAGAGGTAATTATTAATGAATTAATCACTCAAAATTAATTTCTTATTTACATGTAGGATGTCACAGCATAGATATTTGTACAATTTAAGAGTGGAAACCAACACCCTCAAAAATGGAAGAAAAAATTGTGAATCCATGCCTGAGCTATTGATTTGTGATGATTGAATATAGATAAGTTAAAAAAATCTATGGTTAAAACAAATAGGGGAAAACCCTCCTTTTTTTCTTCTCCTTAATTAGGCCTATATGTATATTATTTATTGTTTCATAAAATAAAAATAGTTTGATAATTTGGAGAATGGTCAAGTCATTGGATTCAAGTGATATTATTGATTTAGACTTTGAATTACTGGCATAACTGGATAACTGTCAAAGGCACCCTGTTTGTATTGGTTGGAAAAGGGGGCGTGTCCCATTTTAATTCTATTTATGGAACAACTTATCTAATATCTTCCTCACTTCCTTGGGGATGGTGTTTGGTCCTTCTTATCAGCCGGGTGATTTAATACATGTAAATCCATATACCAAATATGAGTTCATGCCATATATTTGTTCTGCATTCTTTTCACGGTCATCATGGCTGACGACGATACAGTGCCGAAATATTCTCCAGAGGGTGTACCTAATGATTCTTCTGAAGAAGATCCTTTTGAAAATGCTAGGAAAGCTGGAAAGGTAATAAAAAGATAAAATTTTCTACTGCAAAAATCTTCTTTGCTTAAATTTGAATCAGGGACCTATATACTTAGTATATAGGTCTCTGATTGAATACATTATGCATTGCCACAATGTCTTTCAATAGACTAAACTAAAGCAATAGAATATGAATCAGATAGTCCTCCTTATTGTGTGTTGATGCCTCTCACTTCCTTGGGGATGGTGTTTGGTCCTTCTTATCAGCCGGGTGATTTAATACATGTAAATCCATATACCAAATATGAGTTCATGCCATATATTTGTGAGGTCTGCATTCTTTTCACTTTTGATTCTTTATTTAATAAATTCCTTTATGATTGAAATGGAAATTGAAAGAACATGTTGTAATACTTTGATATTTTACAAATAAAATGCCATATAGAGCACTTGACTTCTTACAGAAGTAAATAAATGACATCTAGTGTTGTTGCAAGATTCAGCTACTATTAAAAAATTGACTCCGAAGAAAGTGCATCAGCGACTTCAAAATCAATAGGCCCTGATTTTGGAAATCAGGGATTTTCCACTGCCCCATGATCATGAATTAAACTCGTGTACATTCTGTCTTTGTAATTCTGTAGAAAAACCTGCTTCAGTGGATGGAGATATCTGTGGCTGAACCAGAGAAGAGGATCGTGACATCAATGAAAGTCCAGGATACGTTTATTGTGTATCTGATTGAAACAAGGTGACATATTAAACCTTCACACATTAACACACAAATCAGACCTAACCAACTAGCATCTCTTCCCTTTGGCCTTGAAATAAAATATTCAGAGATGATACACACAATATATATCATTGCTAAAGTCTCTAAATGGTAGAAAAATGATACATTGACAATCAAGATCAGAATAAATGTTCCAAAATTCAATGATTTTCCTTCAAAATATACATGTACATGAAAATAAATCTTAAGATTTTTATTATACACAATAAGCTTTTATTGACAATGTCACACAATTTGACTTCATCTAGAATAACAGATAAGAATGTAAAGTACAATGGAGATGGAACTTCCTCCTTGTGGAGAAGATACAGTGAGTTTGAACTACTACAGAACTACCTGACCATAAGTTACCCCTTTGTAGTTGTACCACCTCTACCTGAGAAAAAGGTAGGTTCTGAAAATTTTGTTTGTGGCTATTACATGTAGAATGAAACTTGGAACTTCAGGTGAATCTCTACGCCAATTGAAGTTTATCTGAATTTGTTGCATGCAATCATTTCTAACAGACTCGACATCCAGTAAAATAAAGCTAGATATTGATTAACTTAATTCCTTTGTAATTTATTCATAGAATTTTTATGGAAGCATATTGTTTTCAAAACTTGAAATTAAAAAAGGTACCTTTTACAAAAAAAAAAAAAACAAAAACAAAAACAACAACAGGACACACTTTAAAAAAAAGGAATTGAATTTGAACAGTAATATTAAACATCTGTCCAGTCCTTTAAATGTTTTGAAGAGGTAATCTGTGTTTTGTAGGCTTCTTACATATGGCAGAACAGCCCCACTGACAAGTTTGACACAGAATTCATTGAGAGAAGGAGGGCTGCCTTGGAGGTAAAACGAAAAAAAAAACTCAACAGTATATTTTACAAGGGAGCAGAATGTTTGAAAATCATTAGTCATGAAAATAATTTTCTCTTTCAAATACCAGATTCAGTTTCATGTGCACATAAAAGATGATCTTGTAAAGCATATGTATGCTAAAAACTCAATGTTTCTGACAGATATTTATGCTGAGAGTGGCTGCTCATCCTATCCTGTCACAAGACAAAATCTTCATTGGATTCATGCAGCAGGTAAATTTTTTTAATGAATACTTGGATCAGATTCAAAACCAAAAATTGAATTTAATTTTACATTTATTTATTGTATACAAGTTGTATTGTATACATGTATATAAATTGTGTTTTCATTTTCCGTGCTTAATTTTGTTAACAGGAGGATGGTTGGAAAGACTCAGTTTACGCAACAGACTTTCAGAGCAAGGTGAGAAGAAATTTCACCTTTATGTCAAGACAATAAAAAGTGAATCAAACCTTCTTAAATTCCATTTATAATCTATATTTTCTTTTGGTAATGATTGCAGCAAATCTCATATACCCCTTTTTGTGCTCTTTGTGTAAAAGTTTTCATTTCTGAGACGTCAAGAAATTGTACATTGTGCACTTATGAATCATCAATAAGATGTGAATCTCTGTTTACAGGCTGAGTCCAGAATTAAAGCCCTGAGTGCCTCCTTCAGATTGAGGAGTCCCGATAGACAGTATGAGGAGCTGAAGAATTACTGTAACGAACTGGAGAGTAACATTGCTAACTTACTAAAGATAAGGGCGGTAAGTAAACTAGAGAGCAACATCGCTAACTTACTAAAGATAAGGGCGGTAAGTAAACTAGAGAGTAACATCTCTACCGTACATGCAGCATTGCTAATATGAACCTTTTTCTTTAATTAGTTCACACTGACTTAAAATCAAAATTAGTTTTCATTTTAATATTTTTAAAAATTTTTATATCTTAGAAAATGGCTGACAAACTTTATGGGATTCACAAGATTCACTCTAACTATAGCCGAGTGTTTGGGGAGTGGAGTGGAATAGAAAAGGATATGTCAGAACCCCTTCAGAGTGCCTCCCATTACATGAATGTGTAAGTAGGTCATCATGTTACTTCATGTATATGTGTCATCAGTCTTTACCAAAAAATTGCACATGAAATATACAGCAGAATACAATTGCATATATACCCTCAAGTGCCCAGTAGTCATGTGCTTAAGAGGACATTCAAATTTCTGAGGAAGAATTGTAATTTAAATGAGACTGTTTCAGGTACTCCCAGAGTGTGGACGGGATTTTGGAGGAAGAGGAACAGTACGCTGATCAGCTGAAGGAATACCTGGCATTTGCTGATTCTCTCAGGTTAATGTCCAATGTTATAACCCAAATAAATTATACATTTACATCAAGTATCCCAGGAAGTATTCACCATTAAAACCCAAACAAATATACCGGGTACATGTACTTTTAGAAGGAGTATCTAATATTTTATTATTCTCTCAGGTCAGAGTACTGTTGAATCTTACAATGAAACAAATGTAATATGAAAGCCTATAAAATTGATTAACATCATTCTCTGATAAATAGCATATAATGGAAAAATTGTAAGGATTTTCAGTTCACCATGGTGTCCCAGATATCAATTTTTGAGATACTGAAGTTCAACTGACTAACTACTCTGGGATATTTTAACAGGTCGGTTTGTAGGAAGTATGAATGTCTTCAGTACGACGTGGAACGAGTGGAGGATAACCTGACCTACAAAAAAAGTCAGAAGGAAATGCTGGTATTTATCTCCCTTGAGTCATTTCATTTATACATGTAAATTTGTACAGACATCTTTTCAGAAATATTTTACAAAAACAACTTGGGGAACTTTTGATACCCTTACGCCTCATCATTATTTGGTGTGTTTTGAAATTTTCCTGTTAAGATGGCTAAATTTCTTGTTACTAATACTTTTGAATAGGTTTTGCAATGACCTCGTAAAATTCTTCTCCAGACTATGTTATAGTAAAAGTCCTTATCTGCAGCACCTCATCTATTATTATTATTGGCTCTCCTTGTTTTTAACAGGAACAAGGAAAAACAGGAGGTACATTCTCATTAAGTGGGATGAAGACCAAGATATTTGGTAGTGACACTCCAGAGCAGAGGGACCAGAAAATCAAACAGCTCGAGGAGCAAATCGAGCAGACTCAAGCTGAGCTCCGCTCAACCACTGAGGAACTTCAGTAAGTTTACTTCAAAACCACCCCTAAATTAAATCTTTATGTAGCTTTGCATGATGATCATCTCCATCAAAGAAAAAAACATAGCTTGGTATTTAAGTCTTTTTGTATTCCACATATATGTCAGTAGATTAGTTGATGTAAGAAATATTAAATGTAGGAGGTTTCTTATTTATTCACCTTTACTATCTTTCCAACTACACAGATGTTTAACTTATAAAGTTTAACTAATAAAGTTTGTTGTAAATTTTTGGGTAAATTGAAATGTATTAATGTTGTGAAATTATATCATTTGATTGTCCAACTTCAAAATAATTTTGCAGATATACATGTACATAGATTATAAAAATTGTAATTTTTTTAAAACTATATTTTGAACTGTTGTCTTCATACTGAACTTGTATTTTGTAGAAAGTTTGTTGATGCTTCTGTGAGGGACATTGACAGATTCAAGCGACAGAAAGTGAAAGACTTGAAAGAAATATTTACCAATTATGCTGTGATGCAAATAAAGCAATGTAAAAAGGTATGTTAATACATTTGAATTTGTACTTTGTTATGCATTTATTTAATAGTAATTTTTGTAGCAATTTAGAATATACTTATACACACTTGCACTCTCTCACACACACAAGTGTTTTACTATATCCCTTCCAACTTCATTGTTAGGGGGTAATAAATGGTTGATTCCAATTAACATTCAAACTCTTTTTTTTTTTTTTTGCATAGGGAATCGCTATATGGACCAGTGCTAAGGACTGCTATACAAAGATGTGAGGTCGTGTGTGTTAGATTTTTTTCGTTACTATACCAGTGGAAAAAATCAGGAGGTTGTATTGAAACACTGAGGATATGTGCAATACTGGACCCGCTCTGGACACATTACACTCTGTCATTGTGCAATATTTAATGTCTACATTTTTAGTCATTTAGCAAACCTTAGGGCTTAAATTATTTATTTTCAGTAGTAAAGATTTTTAAGGTTATTTGCTGTAGATAGGTCTGATGTATAAAAACTAGTCAGAAGTGTTGTGTAATGCTCTAGAAATACTCACTGTAAATTGGCATTAAGTGGAGATCAATGTTAATCTTAGCTGTGCTGTATAGTGTATAAAAATTATGACATTGTTTGGAAATATAGGTAGTGAAAACTGTCTAATCCGACAACTGTGTTAGCTGTCTCACTGTTAAATTTCATTCCCATTTTAATTTTATCCATGTTTTTATACACTGTCTAATACAACTCCCTGTCTATTCCGACATAAAATTCATCTCCAAGTGCATGTCTGATTAAACAGATTTCGCTGTACATGAAATGTGATAGGTTATAGAGAATATAGGAGGTATATTGTCAGAATCTACTAACACAAGCATTCTCCAATTTGTTAAATAGAATCAGCTTTGACACATGGAAACTGAAATCTTAAGAAAATTTGCCTTTTCTAGTGATGGTTGTATAAAAGCTTGAATTTAGTTAAGTGTCTGATTATGTGTAGTTTACAGTACTAGAGCTATGCTGAATGTCATTCCAATGGAACTCTGTTCTCTGTTGAACTTGTGAAACTGCCAAATCATTTATTTTGTTTTATACATGTAATGTATTGTGTTTTTTTTATCCATAAAATGTTTAGAGTTTTTATTAACTCAATAAATCTGTGATTTGTCATTTGTTTTAGCAATTTTCGGCAAATTAACATCATTGTATTATGAAATCACTAATTTTCCTGGGGGTTTAAGCTTCGTTGTTTTGGGGGTATGGAGAGACCCACAAAGTTATGGAAATGTAAAAATTGATATACATTACTACTAAATATTTTCCAACCACGAAATCAAATCCCAACAAAATCTTATTGATATTGATTTGTTGGTAACTCCTCTTTGTGAGGGCATTGATGAGAGGAAAACGATAGAATCTTTCGGAGGCAAGAGAATGTTTCAAGTTCATCTGAACTTAAGGATCAATGGTCGACTTTTCTGTCCAACATGTGTTAACTACAAGAGCTTTTCATAGTTACTGTGAAATCACTAACTTTCTCTGGGGGTTAATTTTCGTGGATTTCAAGGTATGTAGAGACCAGAGAATTTATGTCCACCATGAAATGCAATTTTTCACATATAATACTACACATGTACTGAACAATTCTTCAACCACGAAATCAAATCCCCATGAACCTATATATTTTCCTCAAAGCATGAACATTTGGCCCCTCAAAAATTTGTGATTTTACAGTAAACAGAAGAGGCCCATGAGCTACGCTCACCCTAAGCACTTTGACCAGGAAATTAAACAGTTTGAATATATACAACTGGTTCCAGACTACTGCCTGAGAGAGGGGATGTGATTTTTAAGATAACTTAAATATTTGAATCTAAACTTGACATTTTGTCAAATTAAAATACAAATGTATTGAGTAGACCAGTGGTGAGAGCACCTGACTTGTCGTGCTGGCTACCCCTTTCCTGTTACATTTGATGCCCATTGACTTGCAGATGAATGTCCTGTTTGGGCAAAATCTATGTGGGTAGTGTTTGTTTGAGAGCAATGAGGGAGGAATGTGGTGATCTTGGCTTGTTGACAATGAATTTTAGCTTAGATAACTCCTGCATTTCTGGCTCCGGGGCCATAAAACTGAGATGAACTCGCTTGAGATCAAAAGTAAGCTTGTCTCAGTTTTATGGTTGAAGACTGGTTTGGTTCTCTAACCACAGAGCTATGATTTTGATTCCCAGTCCAGTCATCACCTTAGATCCACATTTTTATGTTGTGTACTTTTAACTTCTATAAATTTTCAAATCAAGCATGATGGGTAGCAGGATGGGTCAGATAAGTGCCTCCTAAATGATAAACTGAACAAAAATAATGTGCATAAATTCACTTTAATGAGGCATTGTATGTTAGTTTATCTGCAAGACATGCACATTTTATTACGTTTGTTTTATTTTCATTGTTAGAAATAAAATACAAAAGTTATCAATAATATAAATATATATCATTTTTTGCATAATAATTAAATTGCTAAATTATGTTTTGAAATAAATTCAGAAATCAACTGTTTGTATGCTATCTTTTATAAACCAATCATGGAAAATGTACGAAATATCACATTTACATACTGTATACAAGTGCATGAGGTCATTTCAATCTTAGTCTTAGACTGGGGTATAAGTTAATGCTTTGAAAAATTGATACTACTGGTAAAACAAACTTTAATCACAAGTATACCAAAAATATATTGCACTTTTTAAGGAGTTGAAAAAAAATATCAAAAAATAAAAAGCATTATCAAACTATTTGTGTCCCTTGCATTAAAGCTTAGAAATGAGTATCACAGAGTGTCTTTGAGCAGTTTTATGGAGACATTATCGTGGACCCCTTGCAGTAGAAGTTCTCCATCATAGGTCACAACCTTCTTCCTTTTCGCGGCACGAAGAGTTCCTACTAAGGCCTCAAATATATTGGCACATCTGTCATCATTAAACAGGGTTCCAAATGTCACACACACATTTCCATCAGAATCTTTCAAAATCAAAAAAAAAGATAAGAATTAATAAGTATGTAAACTTAAGGGAACTGTAGTCTGATTCAGTTGGACATAAAATGTCAAAACTGTATTCAGGTGCAGCAAAAATCAAACATATTTCTAACAAAATATTTTGATGACTGTAATATTTATGCAACAATTTTAATTAGAAATTTGTGTATGTATGTCTTTTCTTTTGGTGCTCTTTAATTACTCTACAGTTAGTAATCCTGATCATAATTTTAGACTTAAATAATTTATTAAATACCTTGTGATGCCCAATAAATGAATAAAGGAATCACAAGATCATACTAAGAATAATTAAGACATTTTCTTACATCCTAGATCCATACAGAAATTTGCAACCAATATATGTCTGTCTTGTGATCTATATTTTCTTATTTATGAACATTTTTTTTGTTGGCTTGAATCAGCTGTTGAATTGTATGTTGACAATTTCATCATAGATAATTTGCCCAGAATTGGAAAGGGTGCCTATAAATATGAGTCATCTGTTGCAGAGATTTCTGTCAACAGCAGTTTATAGCCTATCTGATTATAAGCACTTATACTCAGCTGATATTGTATTATGTAATATGCACTATGATGTACTAGATTGACTTTTTAAAAAAAGAACTCATTGATAGGAAAACTTTATCATCAATCAGTGAGTGCTTAGCCACTCACAAAAATATATTAAGTATACAATCCTTCACATTTAATTGTAAAACTGTTATTACTGGCTTCTTTAAATGAATGAAATAAGAATAACTGATGGGATATAAGTATCACTTCCTGTCTCTGATGATCTGATGACATCCGTCAAGTCTCAGATTCATTCCATGCTCTCTAAGTGACACGCCTTGTAGAACTTAAAAGATCTACTTCAGATAAAACAGTGCTTAAACTCGTTCTGACCTCAATACAAGCTTGCTGACATAACACTTACTTGGGGAGCCAAGACGCTTTATTTCCTCTATAAGTAATTTGATTTCATGTTCAACATTCATACTGACTAGCTGAAATAAAAAAGAAGAAAACAAATAATAACTCATAAACTGTATAATTATACCTCACATACATGAATATTTTTTAATTGTGACATTTTCTATTATAAAAAAGGTAAAGAAAACAGATCTTTTTAAGTTTTTTATTAATGATGATATCCATAATCATGTCGAAGTTAAACCAGACCCCCCCCTTTCCAACCAATTCTGAGACTGAAGTTGAACAGTGAACACGTTACGCTTCTATATATATATATATATATGTCAAATATTATCTGCCAATGTTTAAAGATAACAAGACAGGCTTCCTTAAAACCAAAAAGAAGTAAATTTTAAGGTCACAGTGGTCAAATGTAAAAATACAAAGGTCAAGAAACATCATCTTATGCTATATGATTTTTTTTTTTATGATATATTAAGTCTTTTGGGCTAAAAAAGATACTATGATAAAAAAATCTTTACTTTCCAGAATACTTTATATTAATGATTTCAACAAAATCAATTCTTTTGGCATAAGATTGGAGATCAATGGTAAAGTTTAATATGAATACATGCATTTCTTATGCAGTGCACTATACACACATGAACTCTCCAGACTTATTAATTTTTTTAATTTAATCATTCAGAGTAAAATCAGAGAAATAAATGAATGTATTTATGTTATTGATGTGTCTCAAATAAGTAATACCCTACATATCTTAGTACTGTGTCACTACTGTAATACAACCTGACCCAGTCTTTTAGTACATAAAATCTTTTCTGTCTCAAGTGTCTGCAAATGAGATACTTTATATTTTAATTTAATTTAGTAATACTTATCATTAAGTGTTAAGAACATCCCTTCTTAAGATTTAATTAAGAAAAATTATAATCCATCCGTAACATATATCCTCAGCTTTGTCATAATTTTTTTTTTCATCTGGGTCAAGTTTACGAATAAGATGTAGTATGACATATCTAAACAAGGTGCCCGTAGTGGATATCACTACTTTTATATCCTTTAAGAGGAAATATGAGACTAAAAACAATTTTCTGTGAAGTTGAGATTTTTGAAAACATGCGTATTCTCAGTAAATGACTCACATAAAGAGAAAAACAGTCTTTCTACTAGAAGAGGTGTGATAACCAGGAAGTGAACCGGATGTAAAGAAATAATATTGTACGCATGCTCGTAATTTTCCTTCAACGCATGCGTATTGATGCTAAAGGCCATTTTTGTGTATTCCTAAAACACATCTTTCAGTAAAACATAATTTCTCATCCTCTGTCAAACTCAACCATGAAATTAATCAAAACAAGATGATTTTGTTTTCACTACACGATGAATACTCGGACCCCGATGCAGCCCTACCTAAGTAATTCGCTGGCCATCCGACAGGAAATCCAGAGGTTTGAGAGTGTTCATCCGTCTATCTATGCTATTTATGACCTGATTGATGCAATACCGGATCACCTTATTCAGCAGCAAATACGGGAGCACGTTGTCTGTATAGAGGGTAGGTCCTTATACAGTTCCGTCACATATGTTATAAATTATAACAATCGGATCACTGTTTGAAGCTCCCAGCTTCAGCATCAGCCATCATAATAATGAGTCCTAACTAAGAAAGTACTACTTGACCTTAAGTACAGTAGCTTGAGGAGATTGACAATATGTGCACTTGTTTTGTTTTATAAAGAATGCAAACAATTTACTATTTGTTTACACAGCTGAGAGGATTAGATGTCATTATTAAAGTCAGTCCTTGAAAGTGCACATGTCAGTGTGACCCACTCTCTAATCCAGTAAATACACATAAAGTTTTAATTCTTTCCTTTCCACTTTTGTTAGCTTAGATTTATCATTTCCACCTGTTTACCTTTCAAATGAAAGTATTTTATTTTATCTCTAAATAAAATGTAATTTATTCCTGCATTGTCCAAGTAATCTCGGGTTAAATTAGCTAAATCAAAGGAAGTTATTTCAAATTGCAAGTATTCAAATTAATATCTTGACTTGTTTGCAAAAAAAAAGTTAAATCTTTCAGAACCGTATGTTGGAAAGTCAATGACCTGTAGGTAACGCCTATATGTTAAGTTTACATCTCCTTGGTATTCTTTTTGAGATCTTGTTTGGTACTCTCCATTGAAGAATTATGAAGTCTTCTTATTTTACTCTCTAAGAAATATTATTTCGAAAACAAAAATTAATAATATAAATTTAAATGAATTCTTAATCAAAAATTAAGAAATCCCTCAGATTTCTATTCTTTAGAAAAACAACTTCTTAATTGATTGACCTACAGAGATAAGTTGTAAATTTGATATGATTTATAGATCTATACTTGAAAGCATTGCATGTTGATCTCAGTTGTACTTTCTAAGAGAGAATCTTTCATTTCTTGATTTGTAAGCATCCTATTTAGATTTATTTACAGTGTGTGTCAAAGATCTTGTCTGATTATTAGTAAAAATCTGGCTGTGCTACTTAAATGTAGGTTAATCTAGGCCGATCAGTGGAATTTTCAGTTATCTATATCAATATTCTTGTACCAGTATTGTAAACAAATTTCAACAAACAATTTAAAAACATAATTTTATTTAAAAAAATTTAAGCTTGATGGAGATCTAAAAACAAAATTGATATCATTGATATAATTTACTGAAAATTAGCTGAACAGAAATTCCAAGGCTTTTAGCACTGTAAGTTTTCAATTTGTTTTAAAGAATGGAGTGCTTTGTTAATAAATATTCTACAAAGTGCTGTTAGTGGAGTGGTATTGTAACATGAATCCATAGGTCAAGATGCCATTAAATCTTGAACTGTGTACATCTGCTTGATTCTCACACATATATTCTGGAGTTATGTAATGAAACTGTAAAATTAGATTAGATTGTGATCAAGTTTTACATTAATTAATTGATCTCTTTCCCACCCTCCTTTTGGCCAAACCTAATAAATGACACCCAATTCTGTTACTATGACACCGGGTACCACCATTTTAAGTAAATACTGTATATATCTCAATACAATCAACCACCTTAACATTGATTATGAAGCATTGCTGAAAGAAGAGACTATAGATTGTATGATTCCTAGAGTGTAGTTTGCATCGTTGCCTTTGTTGACATGTTGATTAATAAGTAAGAATTTGTGTTAGCTGATTAAAAAGACCCCTATTGTGCAATCAGATGTGTACCAATTGTATGAATGTATGACATACTTAATGACTAGCATAATGTCAGGAACGAAAATATTGATTAGCATCCACTTTTCTCTTTAAAATAACCCTTTTGTAAAAGATGCAATGTTTGGATGTTTAGATTCTTTTTGGATATGGTATATCAGGAAATATATACATGCTCTAAATAGAACGTGTATATTTTTAAAAAAAATTTTAAATAAAAATGTGTTTATGAACTTCCCAGAAATTCCTTTGTTCACCAATATTTTTTTTCCGGAAAACAGCTGCCAAACTTCCTACAGAGACTAAAAAAATAGCTGACCCAATAACTACTAACATGATTTTAGTGTTAAAACTGAAAAAGTTAATTAGTACATGGAATAAAAGCACACTTAAATATTTTTATTGCGATGAATTTACGATATGTGAAGAAAACTTAATTTATTTTTGTATGTGACACAATGATGTACATAATGGCATTAAGTTTGAAGTCTTAAATACATCATTAAGTGGTAATGAGACAAATATTAATTTTCTATAATGCTCTGACAGTGGAGAGGGGGATGAGAAATAGATGTAAGATGTCAGAATCATGAAGCCTAGATAAATTTGTATGGATTCCTGTGGAGATTTTCCACTCTCTGCCACCATAAACCATCAACTTGTCCCAAACACCTGGTAAAAATGATGTCTTCATTAATGATCAAAGCTCCCCTCTAATACACAGCCTGGGAGTAACCTTGAGTTATTTTCTGAAGGAAAATGGAGCGTAATAGTGCTACATGGTTTTCCGATTGGCCTCAAATTTTAATCTGTGGTAAACACGACGTGTGAAAGAAAAATTGCTGCCAAAAAAATTTTTTAAAGCAATTTGCCAAGTTTTACATAAAAAAATAAAACCGTAAACATTGGGAGCTTATTACAGAGTTATGGGGAAAAGGAGAGAAAATTTAGTGCATTGTTACACAGAGCTTTAACCTCAGACATAGAATACACTAAAAAGGTTGTTGAATAGAAGATGTACACTCTGGTTTGTGTAATCCAGGTACTCTCGCTGTGTTAACCTCTCAAGACCCTTTGTGTGGGGTCAAACACACATGTAGGCAATATGTAATAAACATTTTTTTCCCCAACTTTTCAAAGTACCGTTATAATTCTTTGAGTATATACAATATATAAAGTTATAAAAATTGCATATTTATAAAACATTTACACACTGATTCTCTCTGTCTCTTATTCTAGTATCCCAATAGATTGATAAACCGAAGAATTATAAAAAGCTGGATTCATTCAGAAATTTTTGCTGCGATCACATATTCACAAGAGGTTGATTGTATATAATTATGGTAAAGAAATCTGTTTTGCCATTTTCATGTAACTATTAACTAATATAGATAATTAAATGGGATATTTTTGGCTAATGTGTTTTTTTTACTATGGTATTTCAATTTGTCAGTAAGTGAATTCTGTTTTCTTTCTAGAAGTTACTTTTCTCCTTAATCTGAGGGGTTTTATTTTTATATCCCCCTTTGAAGAAGGAAGGGCATATTGCTTTGCCTATGTCGTTGTTGGTCGGTAGGATGGTCTGTGTGTCTGTTGGTGTACCAACAGTTTCCATTCATTTTCTTTACAGAGGTTGCACCTACTGAAATGAAATTTGGTATACAGATTTATAATAAGAATGTCTAGGTCAAAGTCTCTTTTGAGTAAGAAAGAGCAAGTTTTGACAGAATTATGCCCCTTGGACATAGAAAAATTCCAATAATTTGCAGATTCTAGAGATGTCATGGGTAACCGAAATGAACCCCAATCGCAGAACATTAATTTGGGTCGAGTTCGGTTCTGTTTTTCTGGAATTCAGTTTGATTCCAATTTGTACAAAAGAGTAGGTTTTATCATAAAAATGACATCTAAAACTAAGGTTCATTAGTGTATTACCATTATAATGTGTTTGAATCATTTGGTTCAATTACCGTATAAGTGGAAATTTTAGCGAGACACAAATTTAGCTATTTCTACCTAAAATCTAGTATTTTATTTTTAGCGAGAAGTAATTTTAGCGATTTTAAAATGCTTACTAAAGAAGCTATTACAAATTAGATGCAATTAATTTTTAGCGATATTCAATTTTAGCTAATAATGCCAAAATTAAAAAAAAATTATTGAAACTACTTTAAACTAATATTTAAATAAAATTTAAAAAATTTATTGAATATAATTCAAATCAATGTATGTATACCTGAGCTGACAAACCTGAAACTGAACTTAAAAAATTCAGTGAATTATTTTCTTTGCAGATTCTATGTCTAAAGGAAGGGGGAGGGGAATAAATGTTTCACAAACATCTCTTGTTTATTTATTTGATAAATTTATTACTCTTATTTTTTTTTTTTTGTAAATATTACATGAGATCATAAATTTTGTATTGCTTATATTAAAAGAAAATCTGTAATATTTGCAACTGATTTACTTTGGATAAACAAAAAGATACATTATAGTTAGTTTAAAAATTAAATACTCAGTATATAATTAGTATTAACATTTTCCACTGTAATAAAAATATGTTATAAGAGTTACTTCCCTTTGGCCACAAAACCAGTCGTGACCCAAACCTCATTAGATTATTGGTAGGGAATATGTTATAAATATTTTGTGATGTACATTTTAGAATAATGATTTCAATGGTAGTCGAATCTTGGTATTTATAATTTTTCCGCAGCCTGATGAGTTTTCAAACTATACTAAGAACCTCCAGCTGTCTCGTTTAGATCTGAAAGTGGGTTAAATCTTATTCTCAAGAACCACTGGACCAGTGAAGCTGAAATTTATGTGGAAGCTTCCCAGGGTAATGTAGATTATAAATTGTTCAAATTGTGGGCCCAAGGATTGGATGGGGCCACAATAAGGAATCAAATTATTACAATGGTGAAAATCTAATTGAATACAGCTAGGCCAAAGAGACACACATGAGAGTTGTGGCCTAAAGGCCTCTTGTATTCAAAATCTTAACTTTAGGTTGACATAATTTTATAATCATTCATATTTAGGTAAAAGTGTAGGCAAGGTAATGGGGAGGGATAAATCAAGTTCTATGTCATCAACACTGTTGATTAATGTTTATTTGGATAAATATTGAAATGTTGCATAAAGTCATGCTAGCTTTTTGTTTGTCACATTTTGTTGTAAATTGATAATTAAGGCTTACAATATCTTACAACACTGATATACAGAGGTCAGTATCATGGCAGATATTTCCCTACAAGGAGTTTATTTCCTTCTATGAAAGCTGTCAGTGTGAAGATGCTGAATGGATAATGGGATATTTTGATTTATTACCGCACACATTTGAGGAATATTCAAATCCATTGGTGTTTTATTTGGGGGTGAAATCGTCAAGCCAGGACTAAAATCAATAAGTGTTAGTGTATGATGGTGAGACAGTTTGTTACTCTTGCTCTCTGTGTACAGTCAGTAGCTAGGTGAAGAGTCAGCTGTTACTGTAAATGTTATTTTCTCTTAATATAAGCAAACCAGGGCATTCTGGTTAAAAAAGCAGAGGAAATCTGGACCAGATGAGTGTGATATTTACAGAGGGAATTTTTGGGGTACCAGATGTTAATGGCGTTTAATTTGAGTTTATTGTGATTGAACCTCTGGTCAATATGAAAGCATTCCTGATACATGGTAGGAACTAAGGATGGGAGTTGTGTATTATGAGATCTGTGAAGATAGACTTTAGTGGGACTACCCCCCTGAGGGTTATCTCCCGGTATGCTACTGGGGAGGATATGTGGAATGTACATGAGGGTTATTTTGGAATCAGGTGAGCTCAGTAAACAGGTGTCAAACTCATAAAAAACTCAGTAAACTGGGTCAGCTTAATATGGCATTGTGTCAAATTTTGAGATTTCAAAAGCTGACTTAATTAAATATACATGTGCTAGTAATAAAATGCATTTGTTTGTTCATGAAGGACACACACATATTGTACTATGATCTATACTTCAACAGGACTTGGATGAATTATCTCCCTTTCTGCATATAGAAGGCATAAATGTTTGTACAGCATAACTCATTTAATATGAATATGTATGTAGCAAATTTATGAAATATACAATATATAGTGAATTTTTTGCTATCCTCTGCAAAATCTTAACAATTTCTTGTCAAATTTTATGAATATAACAAACTTGTATATCGACATAAATTTTGAAAAATATTGATTAAAACAAGGTTAAAATATCAGATCATTGGTTTGAAATTTTCAATCAATTTGGATAAAAGTTTGAACCAACTTATAAGCACAGTCAATGGCAAATCCATCCAAAATAGCTGCAAAAAAATACAACCGACTGATAGGTGGACCGACTTATACACGAGTATATACGGTAGATACTTTGACTTTTCCATAATAGTTCTTTGATCCCTTTTGTAATTTGTACAGATATGGCATTCACCTCCACAAAGCTGGCATAAAAATGTATAAGTCAATTGACATATTTTAATTGCAGAAAAGGGAAACTCTATGCATGCAACATCCCTTTTATGTTTGTTCAGTGTTCAGAAAAGTAAGGATACACAGGTCTTTGTGACGGGAGCCCAGCATCCTGTTCTGTCCGTGTGTCAATGCCGCTGTAATTAGATTATTTGATGTTTGACTGTCACAAGTCCAATACGAGTCTGATCGTCTACCACCAGCTGACTGCAGGGGGCTTTGATCTTTGATGTTCGTTAACTGCTGTAGTCTATTGGTCCACGAGTTAATCAGTAAATGGATTAGGCATTGATCAGTGTTCCCTCTCCTACCTGGTCATAGACATACCTTGATAATATTTGGCCATATATGAAAAGAGAGCTAATTCAATCAACTGGTTCCATCCATTTGAGTCTAAACTAAATTTTTGATATACACAAAATAATGCTTTATTTCCCAGGTGGTTAAAAAATGATGAATCAGATATGGAGAATTGGATGTTAATTGTATGTGAACATGATTTGTTTCAGATCTGCTGATAATGTATATTTCTTGGAATTGAACCAGAAATTTGTGTTTTTTCAAGTTTGAATAATTTGATCCCTAGTTTAAAGCAAGATTTGGAATTGGGTCATTTGTATTATTTTGGGAAAATTGATGTAGACTAAAAATAAAGGGGAAAACATAAATTTTATAGCATGAATAATTTACCTTTGTAACAAGTGCTTTATTTCAAGTTTATGAGAAAATGGAGTTAAAATTTTTCGTATTCTGACAATTTCTCTTTGAGACTTAGATTTGAATTTATTCCAGAATCTTAATTGTCTTGAAAGTGTACATCTTTTTTCAAGAAAACAGAAGCAGTTGGATGCATTTTGTGTAACAATCTAATTAGTGGCTTTAAGCTTCTGATGCTGAACAATAGAGTTAACAAAACTGATTACATTGTGAAAAATAAATTAAAATAGAAAAGTTTGCATGGGTGCATACAGTAGGTATTTTTCTTGGAGAGCAGCAGGATTTGACCCAAAGCTAGAGATAGGAGGGGATTGAAGTTTGCGGGGAACTGCAGCGATTGACCCAGGCCTGGTATGCAAGGTTATAGACGTCTAAAGTTTAACAAGTTACTGTCAGCAGTAGTTCATATTACAGATTGCAAGGATTAAAGAAAAACAGAAAATTGATACTATTGATATATGGGGAATGCTTCTGCTGTTATCTTTATCAATGAATGTTAAAAATAAAATCACCCCATAGGGTAGGAGTTTCCATTCGGATTTTTAGAAGTGAATGGAAGAAAGGAAGATACCGATTGGTCGTAGTCTTCTCTCAGTTAGTTCTGTTGAAATGTCAATGTTTTAAATTACAATGAGGATTTCTAACTATGCCAGGGCTCCTTCTACAAGTTAGTGATTGACTTGAGAGTTTTATTTTCCAAAAAAGTGTTAAGTAATGACTGGTGATGAAGGACTGGGTGAAGCTGAATCTATAGCCTGTCATCGGATAGTGCTGGTTTTATGTCTGATTTATCTTGTCTGTTATGGATTTGATGTGTATAGACTGTTCTCCAATTTATGACTACAAAAAAGATGTGGCATCATTTCTAGTTTTGTGCATTCCATTTTGCTGCAGGTCTTAAAGAACAATGAATGTTGTTTAATGAATCTTTAATGCAGTGTTATAACTAGTTATAGGATTCGATTGATTTTCCTCTCGTTTGAGATCGGCGACTGTTGGGATTTTTTCGTGGAATTGGACTGGTGTATCCCTTGAGATGTCTCCACCTTTTACCTGGTAGGTGGTGACTCACCACCTGGTCGGTCCCAGGAATATTGATTGACTATGGAATATCGTTATCTTGTGACAGGAGTAATGTATCGTATCATTTTCATCTCTGAACTGGGAGCTTCTGTATGTTCACCTATTGATCTTGAAATTTAGTGCTTGTTTGAGTGAAATCTGAAGAAATTTGTCTTCATCTTAGATAGAAAAAATTTTATGTCTAAAGTGGAACATTTAAGAAAAAAAGGAGATTGGAGTTCTGTTGAAAATCACCTAGTGTTTTATATTTTCAGTGCATTTGATTTTCTATTCCTTTTTTCCAGTTCTGTGATAAGATGATCATAAGATGTATAGAATTTAATTAAGTCTTGATTACTTTTCTTTGAGGATTTTCTGGTAGGAAAAGAGAAAATCCAAAGCCCTGACAGGCCAGTAATTTTCTAGGCTGTTACTTTAATTAGCGTTGAATGGGAAATTCCATATTAGGGGGAAATTCTATGGATTAAGTCTTCCTTCTTGATATGATGCAGTAAGGAAGTTTGTTCTTGGAATCATTCTTGGTGACAGAACAGTGTTTGGAATTTATGAATATTGGACAAGAGAGAAATCAGAATTCATTGAAATGTATTGATGGATCAGTGAAATGTGATCAGAAGTTTATGAGGAGTTATGGCCCCTGTGTATAAGGGACATACTTTGATCTGATTGTGATGAGTTATGGCCCTTATTTACAAGGGATCTATTTATATCTGAGTGTGAGGAGTTATGGCCCCTGTATATAAGGGATCTATTTATACTTGAGTGTAATGATTAATACACTCAAACGTTTGTCACTGCCCTATAGAAGGACAAAAACTGACACATCGGTAATACCAAAACGACGTTCATGTGAACCGGTAGCACCAGTAGCACCTTCATCATGTAAGTCGTAATCTTGTGAACATGCTCTATGTGGGTTAATTTAAGATATTAGGGGATATAAAAGGCGGATATTTTAGTTTGATTTGTAGACGATACACCCACTGAATTATGTCTATCAGATCTGAAGTTAATGTGATGCAGTACACAGCCTCATTCATTGATATGATTTTACAGGCTTTTCAATATCTTTCCTGATTCTGTCTTCTGTGACACTGTGTGAAGGCAGTTAATAAAAAAGATAATGCATTTTACTCAGTAGGACCAAGATGAACTAAGAAGTATAAATATAGAGTGATAATCAAATAAATGTATGAGGAATGATCCTTCCTTATCCCCCCTCGTAGATATATATATTTTATCTAGCATCAGATATAACCGGTTATTCATGAAATTTTTCATGGAAGTGGGATAACTATGGTTAATATTTTCATTATCATGATGATTTAAGGTATTCGGATTGCATAATTTATACTGTTAAGTCATCATTGGAGATTAGGTCACATTACAGCATCACTAAGCAGGCAGACTCCACTGACCATTTTCAGTACCGTACTTTGACCAGTTAATGCCAATGAATTATTGATCTAGCATAGTGACTTTACCTATAATATATGGAAAGTGAAGGTGTAATGACCAGATATTATAATGTGGTTGTGTCCTGACACGAGTTTAATGACCAGCTAATAAGATCAATGCTGTCAGTAAAGAGAGGACATGTCCACAGTTAAAGAACAAATCATGAAATCTATGTGAATAAGCCAGATCATTTATATAAGATTTTAAGGTCAAACTTTTATAAATAAAAATAATTTTTATAACAACCAATTACCAAATAATGTAATATCCCCCACCTCCCCACCTGCTCATCCTTCATTGGTAGAATTGGCATTGATTTTATTGCTATAATTTGTGTAAAAATCAATAAAGAAGAGATTGAAGTTGAAAGCGGTTTACAAAATGAAATCTAATAAATTGATTAAACTGAAGTTTAAAGGTTGTGTACCTATCAAAGTGGAAAGTTTTAATTGATATTAAAAAATATTATTTTGAAGATATTGTACCAAATTTGAAATGCATTAATTGGTAAACTGATACTACAGCATATTGTTGATATGAAGAAAAGAAATGTAATAATTTTGTTTGTTTTCAGATTCCTTTGTTAACAGTCAAGAATGGACACTCAGTCGCTCAGTCCCAGATCTCAAATTGGTGAGTATAAACTCATTTTGTAGATATAAATGGGAGTTTATAGTTTTCTGATTGTATAGTACCATAAAATGACATCAGTCATAAGGTATTACCGTTTAATTGCCATTGAAGTCACAAATCTTTCAATTAAGCCATTAATTTTTTCTTATTTTTAAGTTTACTATTAAATGTATAATACTGTGACACTTTCAGTATTTTAAATGTAAATATTATGATAAATCTTCTGGCATACAATACTAAGGATCTAAGAATTTTTCATTATTTTAACAAACAAATTTTTAATAAAAATTACATTGAATTCTAAACATTGTAGGGAATTTTGGGAAGTGTTCACAGTGGGAAGTCGGCCCTGGTTCACCGGTACTTGACTGGTTCTTACATGCAGGAGGAATCACCAGAGGGTAGGTTCTATCAGAGACACTGGTGTAACAAACTATTTACACAGAGATACATTACTTATAGATTGGCTGGACTCTGTCTCCAAATGGCTGGACATCAACCTTTATACTAGAATAACAAGTCTGGAATAGAATAACATAGCCCTATTGACTGTAATGTCTTAGACACTGCACTAAGGTTCAGAAGTCATACAAGTAAGAGGAAAAAAAATTCAGACATGGGGTTTATGTGCTGTGAACACCAGTGAATGTACTAGACTAACCTAGCAAAAGAAAATGGTGATAATTTGTACCAGTGTTGCACCAACTCCTAGTGGCAAAATAATTAAACTGGAGGGAAGGTTTTAAAATAACCAAGATTAAGTGAACCAGAGAATATAGGAGCAGACATTGTTCTATTATGTCATCAGGAATGACAGTTGTAATTTTGTTATAATCATTAATACACCCAAATGCTTTGAAAACATCAATTGCTTTCATCAAATTTGATCCAAAATTGGCTGCAACAGGAAATTGAAAAAGAACAAATGTTCACCATAAGAGAGGCAGGGAAGTAGCAGTTCAGTTGAAAGCTGCTTTGAAAAATAACTTGTTTTTAAGGGAAAATGGAAAAACAAGTTTTTTTTTGTGTGTTTATAGCTAAGAGAGGTTTAATTTGTTTGGAGAGAGTTGGGTGAAATTAAAACCTGAACAACAAGTCTGGTTGGGTAGATTCACCGGGGTGTGATGCTGATTGAACCAGACAGATATTGGCTCTGATTGAACCGATTAGGTTTTGGTTAGACTACCTTAATTAGTTCCCTGTCAGTCTTACAGAAATTGGCCTTGCGGTTGCTGAAGCCTTTTCTGCTTTCAGCTAGAGATTTTTTCCAGTAAAGATTTCTCATGCAAGGTCTTTTTCCTCTCCCTTCGATCCATGTTTTATAAGCAGGTCTGGTGGGTTTGGTCCAGGTTAAATTGATTGGCTTATTGACTTGTCACTAGAGCAACATTTATATTTACTGAGTTTGGGATTATTATAGATATTCTATATGAAGACTGTACCAGAATCTCTGATTTGTTAGGAATGGATTCAAAGAGTGTGTATCTTCCTGATTGTGGTAAATACTGAAGACTGCAGTGTCTAGACAATCAAATGACTGTAGGGTACATAGGAGATGTGCAAAAGTATAAATCGTGTTAGACCTAGGACTGGCTTTGTCATCAGGAAGACTAAAGTCTGAAAGGAAAATTGTCAGATTTGACAGGGAAATTTCCATAAAGATTTATAATTTGAATGCAGAAAGTTTATATACATTGAACAGATTTGGCATAATCTCAGTATATAACACAGTGTGAGTTGTCATATAAATTGATTGAAAATAATGGAGCCAGAATTAATGTTTAGGGAACAGACATGCATAGTCTGGGAAATTTTTACTTTAATTAAACAGCTTTTATTGGAAAAAGTGAATGCCGAGTCATCAACTGCTTTCTAGAGAATAGCGACATTCTGTCTAGATGTGCCTCCTCTAAGATATAGAAAATATTTTTTATTCTTTTTGAGCATTAAAAATTGATTATAATAAGGCAAAATTTCAGTCATTTATATGTCAAAGTAATGTAAATTATTGCTTTTTATTAGGAGCTCCCTAGACCCCCTAGCCCCACCCTTCTTCTCCCTTCCAGACACAGCGGCCTTGGTAGTACCCAGACCTGTCACTATCTGTTAGCATCCCCTCTAAAAAAAAAATTCCTTGATCTGCACTTGCTCTCTTATGTAGAAATATCCTTTAGTGATGAGTACAAACATAACAGTTTGTTTTATAGATTGTCCCAACCTGTCACAGAGGAAAATCATTACCATAAAGATATGTAATTATATATCACAGCAACAGATGAGAATTTAAAATTTAATAAAAAAATTTTTTTAATTTCATATAATTTTATGTTTGATTCCCGACATATTTTAGGACTTTGACAAAGTGTTTGGAAATTGCTCCAGTACATTGAGTTTGCTAAACCTGGAAATTTTTTTTCTAGCAGATTCAAGTTCCAGTAGGGTACATGGCATTTTGAAGTATGGAATGTTTTGATTTCCTATCTGCAAAAAGAAATAAATCTCAACTGTATAAAAACCTCACTGAGATATGACCTGAATGTTTTTTCGTATCTAATGTCAGTAAAAATGCAAGCAAGAAAGTCAAAAGATTCATTAAATTCACAATCTGGGATGCCTTCTGTGAACGATGCGCTCTTCACATCAATTTATTCTGTGCTGAGGGTTAAGTATCTCATTTCATTTGGCAAGAAACAAAGAAGGTCTACTCCACTTCTTACTTTTTAATGAAATAGCACATATAAGATTTATAGTGAGAGAAAAAAAAATATATTCTGAAACTTATCAAAGGGTTATCAGTAAAAGGAACAAGATGAATTTCTCAGGCAAAAATATTTATTGGAATAAATATATTTTGACTTCAAGTAAGTAAACTTATTTCAAATACATCATAAAAACATGCTAGTTTGGAGGAAATTTAAAAAAAAAACTGCTAATTAAATATTTTCAGTAAACCTAAGTTGAAAGAGGGGAAAACAGCCTCAAAACATGTAAGCAGGTATCTCCCTGGTTTTACATTCCAGTGATTAAACAAACAAATTTTTAAGTCAGCGAGTGCTGATAGGAAACTTTGAAGTCAGCTTCATAAACTCCAGAATAGTCAGAGGTTATCTCCCCCTGCGTGGCCCCAGAGGAGGGTCATGAAGGGGGCTGGTTTTATTGGAGTTAAGTTACCCCCCAAATGTCAGCTTACACAGACAATCACCAGCCTCTGTAGCCACTGTTTACACAGGCTATCACATGGCAAGGCCACTCCATTCTGTTGTTTACTCTGGCCAAAAGTTTAATCATCTTATCATTGGAAACTTTCAGGAGAAAAGAAAAATAAAGATAAGATGCATTCTCAGATTAATTTCATTTGTTTTATAGTTAACCATCTGTAGTAAACACATTAATCACTTAAAAGAAACAGAAATCTAAAATATGCAAGTGTTTATGTATGTAAAATATTTTTTTTTGATTTGGAATAAAAGAGATAGATAAATTGAATTATACATGTAATTATACTTGCGTATATTCTATTTTTCAGGAGGACGATTCAAGAAGGAGGTGATCATTGATGGTCAGAGTTATCTTCTCCTGATTCGAGATGAAGGGGGTTCCCCTGAGTTACAGGTGTGTGTGGCCATTTTTTACATTCTCTCTGTATTATAACCAATAGATAAAGGATTTTGGGAAATTGTGCCAATATTCTCCAGGAAAATTTTGTTTTTGACAGATCAGCATTTTTAAATGCACTTCAACTATAAATGACAGATAGGCAGCTGCCCACAGATTTACTTTTGTGTCACATTTCTTCACATTAGGATTTCATTATGAATGCTATAAACATAATGTTTTAAATCAGTGACATGTATGACGAAACAATTACACGTAAGGAATCTCTCCTGAGAATCGACCAGCTTTCAAGGAATGACTGGTTTGATTTAAATATACTGAGATTTCCCTTAAAAAAAACAATGTGGTAACCTACATCTTCCATAGAATATTGGTTTAATTTAGCCTCAAGAGAACTATTCCTCTCAAAAATAGGAACGGATTACTTCCTGCTTGAAGATTTCTTCAACACAAATAAATGTAGTGGGAGTTTAAAAACAATTCTTCCAATGAAAATGAACTTGTTTACATATGCAGACATTAAATTTTAGAACTACTAGTAATTTCAGCTTCAACTTGGTTAAAATTGTTCTGTTCATTAGTTCAGCTGTTTTAAAGGAAATTATTTTAAAATAAAGTATCAGTAATTTATTGTTTCCCTAAATTACAATCCTTATATATTCCATTTCATTGTGAAATAAAACTGAAGTTTTAGCTTTAAAAAGGTTCGATTTAAATTGACTCCCATGCAAATATTTTTTGCCAAACACAAAGGCAACGGGATTTACATGCATATTTGGTCTCCTTAGCGTCAGAGACAGATGTCCAAGATTTATTTTCTTTGTTGTCACCAGCATCATTGTCATAAAACTTTTTACACATTTTCAACTTCTTCTTTGTTTGAATCATGACACAAGTCACTAGCATCATTGTCATAAAACTCACATTTTTCGACTTCTTCTCAAGAAAGGCAATCCTTATATGTTTTACATAGATTTACTATAAATATATCAGCTGTACATAACCTGTCAGTTCAGTGCTGAAGGAGTTGTCTAACTTAGAACAAGAAGCAGCAAACACGCACATAGATTCCACCTGTGAAGTCTTAAATTTTGTGAAATCAAGTTTTCAGACATAAAAAAAAACACATGATGGGGCATGAATCAAGCTTTTTCAGAGTATTGAATGATGTATAGTGTATGTCTACCACAAGCAGTTCTGTGGCTTGTTTACTTGTGGTTAATATACAGATTTTTTTACCCATGAATTTATTATAATGGGATTTTTTTTCTTCCAGTAAAATTTTAAAATTGCCAAATTTTTGTTTAGAAAACTTGTTTACATCCTTGTTTAAAAAATTGTAGAGATTAAAGAGACATTCTAGAAAGATTAGGTTTTATTACTTGTTACTTGGATAGAATGTTCGGTGTTTTGATTTTTTTTGTGTGTGTGGAAAAAAAATTAAGGTATGAGTAATGATTAGATGAGTAATCTTATCATAATGTGTTATTTATGTATATATTTAAAAAATGGTTCTGTCTTATTTCAAAACACACGTATCACAATATTACATTTTAATACTTAAAAATTATATCATGTACTCACATAAATATAACCCAGTGACATAATTAAGTCATAACAGCAATATAGACTGAGAAAGAGAAAATCAAGATCTCTGAGTAGAATTAAAAGAACTTGAGAGTAAAAACTGAATGTGAATAAAAAGTTCTTTAAATCTTCATGTAAACCATCCAGTTTCCCAACTTCAACATCCTAAAAGCTCATTGATATATAAGCAAAGTAGGCATTGTTCCATTAGATGAGGACTATACAGTTGTAGGTCTGTAATACATGAATGTAATGTATGCAGGCATGTATGAATCAATGTTAAGCTAAATAAATTCTTCCATCAGATATCAAGCACATAAAAACTGCCTTGTCTTTTACGTTATGTGATATTTTGACTTTTTCAATTTATGCAGTGGGTGGATGCCGTTATATTTGTCTTTAATGTTAATGCGATACTTTGACTTTTTCAGTTTACACAGTGGGTGGATGCGGTGATTTTTGTCTTTAGTCTGGAGAATGAGATGAGTTTCCAGACTGTGTATAGTTACTATGCCAAGATGTGCCATTACAGGAACTCAGCAGAAATCCCACTCATCCTGGTCGGAACTCAAGGTACATTAGAACTAAGTTTCCCATAACACAGCCCCCCCCCCCCCAAGTCTCAATACAATTATACCTTCACTTACAGAATTATATGTAAATAGTCAAGAATTCGTAGTACTTTACTGAAGTTCCTTGCAATGTGTAGTGGTTTGAGTGTTTGTTTGTATGCTGAAAGTCTCTCATAAGAATTTTTCACTCATATGGAGACACCACTACTTGCCAGTGGAGAGCTACAGATTTTGACCATTACTCAGCACTTACAGCCATTTAGCAGTGAGGGATCTTTTTCCTGTCTGCACCTACTGTGACATGGGACCTTGGTTTAAACAGTCTCATGCAAGAGACCACATAATGGTTTGATAAAATGTTGGTTTTGCCATCTTACTTTTCCTTTTCTACTTTTTATACCCCCCGCAAACGAAGTTTGGGGGGGTATATAGGAATCACCTTGTCCGTCTGTCTGTCTGAATCTACCTCCACACAAAGATTGCCCATGATCTAAGGGTGTGTCATGACCTTGACCCAAGGTCATTTTGGGAACTTCAAGGTCACTGGAAGAAAAATTTCGTAATTCGTGTCCGGTCCACATCTTTTTTATGGATAAACTTGGTAGGTTCTCATTTCAGGCAAAGATTGCCCATGACCTAAGGGTGTGTCAAGACTTTCACCCAAGGTCATTTGGGGAACATCAAGGAGAGACATTTGTTTCCAGAATCTACTACTCCACACAAAGATTGCCCATGACCTAAGGGTGTGTCATGACCTTGACCCAAGGTCATTTGGGGAAGTTCAAGGTCACTGGAAGAAAAATCTTTCTTATGGATAAATTTGATAGGTTCTCATTTCACACAAAGATAGCCCATGACAATAGGGTGTGTTATGACCTTGACCCAAGGTCATTTGGGGAAGTCACTGGATAAACTTATGGATTGGTAGGTTCTCATTTCACACAAAGATTGCCCATGACCCAAGGATGTGTCATGACCTTGACCCAAGGTCATTTGGGGAACTTCAAGGAAGAAAAATTTCATAATTCATGTGTGATACATATCTTTATTATGGAAAAACTTACTTCTGAAAAATCCAGCGGGGGTATTTTGTCCCCTTTGGACAGTTTTAGTTGTGTTTAAAATTTTATTATGCCCTGCCTTGAAAATGGCTGAAGCATATAGTGTATGTCGTGTTTGTCCTTCTATATTTCTTTTATAAGTTACTTCTTTCCTTCCATATTCATTTGTTCTTCTATCACACTTTGCATTCAGCATGTTTAGTCTAGTTTTTAGAAAAATTCAAGATTCTTAACCAAACCTTATATACTTATGCATATCGATGAGATCTCTTCAACTGCATCTAGATGTTTTATTATGTTTTGCCATGAATATAGCTTGGGTATGTAGATTTGTAATGTCCATCTCCTGTCTCTCTCTTTGCGTTTAGCTCATTTTCAAAGAAACTATTCAAGATATTTTTATTAAAATTTGAAGAAAGCTATTCAAGTTAATGAACATTTTTTGACCATCCATAGTTTCCATACTGAAGAATAGTGAATAAAAGATGTTTACAGTAGTCTTGCATGGAGTTTTGAGCCATTTCTTTTACATTATTTGACTAATCAGGTTTTAATTAGTTTTGTGCCCTTCTAAGCGTTTAGGGTGAGTCCTTGCACATTATTTGACTTATTAGGGTTTGCCTTTCACTTTATGAGATATAAGGGCCAGTATCATATTTTTTTTATACAATTTTCAATAAAAATCTTTAAAAGTGTGTTTTTATTTTGGAAATCTTAAATAGACCAGAAAAAGATGACATTGTATATTCCTTTTAAAGGAAAAATAAGACTGTAATTTTTTGTAAAGCTCCATTTAATAGGGAAAATGTGTGTCAGGCTAAAACTTATGTGTTTACCAGACCCTCAGTCCCGTAAAGTTTTAGCCCTCCACAAAGACTGAAGTACTAATTTACTGTTACGTCAGTTGCATCTTGTGTTGATGATTCAGCCACATGTAGATCAAATACTGACTCAGTTTATATAATGCCAGTAAATGTTAACATGTTGCCTATGAAAGTAGCCTTGTGAGTTCTTCTCAAAGTTCTGAGTATGGGTACATGTACATGTCACATATATGTTGCTGTTTGTTTTACTCCCTCCCCTCCACTTTCCTTTGATAAACATGTAGGCACATTACTTCATATTTCATGGTAGAAAAGTCATTTTTCCCAAATTAAAAGTCATAGGTAGCTTAAAAAAATGGAGTGATTAACACTGCTTTGACTATGAAGGATAAATTTTAATTCATGAAAATGACAATGGATCATGCCTGAAATTCTTACTTCTGATAATTTTCAGATAAACGAAATTTCTATTAAAGTACCTCAAAAAAAAAGCAGTTTGAATTTTAGTCTCGTTCAACCAGACGCTCGGCTGTCTCCGTAAACTCCGACCAGCAGAGAGTCTGGTAAAGAATCACGTAAGCGTTTGTAACCGTCAGAGGGCGCTATCTTAAATTCATTTTGACGATCCTTTTTGAAATCAAGTGTTATGTGTGTTTCTTCTTTTTGATTGTGACTTTATATTAATAAACTAATCTTTAATTTGAGAAATTACAATATCAATCGAAGGAATGTGTATTACGCAGGTAGGGCTACACTACTTTCACTTTTGCTTTCGTACAGAATATTTGCAAGACATAATAAAACACACTTACCTATAACTGGTGGGCATTACCGTAAACAATTCCTATCTAACAGCTTTAACTTTTAGACATATAACTTTTACATCATTAAGTTATTTTTCTGCGGAGTTATCATGTATTTATTTAAATCCTGTAGGTGTGTTCTTCTCAGCCAATCAAAAACTTTACCAGAATTTCGGTAAGCCTCGTTTTGGCGTTACAAAGCAGCTGGTTGAGACAAGGGTTTTGAACGAGACTATTTGAATTTCACTTTCAATTCACTTCAGTATATATTTTTGGTATTCCAGTTATACACTGTACAAGTCATGTTAATATTAAGAGAAACTGAAGTTCAACTATATCTAAATTACTAAGAATTTATAGAGGGGGATTTCGGAATTTAGGAAGGATAGTTATTACAATTGCTTTTGTTTAGTTTGTAGATCTACCAAAGGAGTTTTCTATCTCTTAAATGATACAGAATTACTTTTGAATTGTATGTTTCACAATCTTATTCTTGAATTTAAATGCTGGTATCTATTATTTTCCTTTCTTTTCTCATTTCATGGATATGAGTTTTGGAAAAAATTACACCACAAAAGTTGCATAAATGTCAAAAGTTCAAGTACTTTAATAATAAAAAGGTGAAAAGAATATATAAATAACTTTCACTTGAAATAATGTTGATGCACTCACGAACCTATTTGATTCTATTCCTCTCTCTATAAAACAAAAAAGAAAAAAAAAGAGCTATCATCCATCATCATAAAGTCATAAGCTGCAAGGTGCTTGAGCATTTTCATCATTAAAGAATCACCTTTAAGAGTTAATTATCTCGCATCAAGAAGGAATCAGCAACCCAAGTAGCTGAGAGAAATTTTCTCATGATCTAGCCCTGCCACTATCGGGGCTGCCTGATAATCGTGTCGACCCTAGGGCCAGCTATGCGGGGCCGATCGGCAGCTGCAGCAGCGTCATTTAAGCCTCTTACTAGTTAAAGCTGACATGTTATCTCATTGAAATATTCAAATTAACAGCCTCAAATTTTGAGGATCTCTGTGAAGTTGAGCCAGGCTTTTCTGTTGTGGTGGGGAATTTATCTCTGCGACACCGCACTGTCTGGCGGTAGCTTGTTTGTTTTCCTCAGGACTGGGTAGAACTAGGAGTCAGTTGTGTATTGGTGATTATGTGTATTGGCTGTGTATCACGGTGATACATCAGCAGAGTCAGCAGCTGCTACATCTGTCACCATGCATAGGAGTTTTCATTACTATGAGTACTCTTCTGTCACTCAGTACTTTGAACAGACCACATCCACTTCTTGCAATGGTAGGTGATTTCAAGCTCTTCATTTCTTTATTTCCAAAATTGATAGAAATTGATGCTACTTTTAATACTAAGCATTTGTCAGGACAGTTTTGTAGGGTTTTATAAAAACCTTTTTTCTGAATTTGAAGGTAATTTTATGCATCAGTTATCAGAAATCTCTCTTCAGAATAAAAAAAAATCTTATCTTTAAAATCAATCAAAAATTCTTATCTGAACCAAAGTTTCATAAAATTCAAGAAAGTGCTAGGGAAATTGTGTAAGGAAGGTTTGTCAATATAAATGTATTTTATATTGTTAAATGATGCGGTAGACATTTTATGTTGCTAAATGATGCAGTAGACATTTTTATATCAGGTGTGACTCTGTTCATTATTATATCAATTAAGATGATTTGTTTAAGCTGATTAGGAAATCAATTATGGTGCTTGTTTCTGCCATATGTGCTAAGTTCTCTGTAATTGTGGGCAGGAGTTCCCGCGTCACGGTTGAGCAGTCTCGGATGGAGGGGATGATATGTCTTACGGAAGCCAGACTCCAGAGAAAGCCATCTGTTAACACTGTCTGTGATTTAATGATTTCCCTATCTAAAACACACATTTCTTTGTGAAATTTTTTGGTGAGGGGGATCTTTGTGTATATAGAGTTAGTATTGTACAGATATATACAGGCTCTGTATCTGATGTTTGTATAACTAAAACAGATGTGTTTTTCTTCTCACCTTGCTCCTATTCTGGTTTATTGAATCATTCAGACTCATTCAGTGATAATGGAAGCTTGTAGCAGCCGAACAGATTCTTACTATATGATAGTAGAGATACAGGAGCATCAAAAGCATGGTATAGAGATGTGTCATTTAGTCCTCTATGACAAAGACTCTCTCAGATCATAAGAAGCATAGGTCAAGAGATGTGTCATTTAGTCATCCAGGCCAAAGACTCTCTTGGAAATATAGAAGCATAAGCATAGGTCTAGAGATGAGTCATTTAGTCCTCTAGGCCAAATACTCTTTGGAAATTTGGAAAAATAGGAGCATAAACAAAGGTCTAGAGATGTGTCATTTCCAAAGACCATGTCTTATCATTTTGAACACCTGTCACAATTTCTTCTTTGAGTTAATTACAAATATACATTCACTGATTTCATTTGTCAAGCGAAGTAAAATAGTGATATTGTATGGTTTACCAATGCTCATTCTGCTTTATGTTTGAAGATTTACTGTAGAAGTACTTTTTTCTGCGTAATATTAATTTACGCTATGTACGCGGTCACAAATTTTCCGCGGAAATTTCTCCAAGCGTACTTAATGAAAATGTAAGGCATATCATGAAATGTACTTTTCTACCTGCGGATTAAACAGAAATTGAGATTCCGCGGAATTATGACCCCGTGGAAAAAAGTACATCTACAGTACTTTAAGCCACCCAATGAGCAAAAATTTATGTATTCATCTAAAAGTAGTACAGATGTACAAACTTTACATTGAGTTTACTTGTAATTTTAAAGAAGTTGCATTATTGTCCCACAATGTTGTTACTCAAAATTCATCAATTATGGAAGGACTTGCAGTTGCATTTATCCTGATGTCATAATGAAAATGATGAAATCCAAGGAATTGTGAATGATGGTTAGGCATTGTTTACAAACAAAAAAAGTAGTTAAGAATTTAAAAAAAAGTTGAAAACAATATTTCCTGTATTTAACAGATTCAATAAGTGAGAGTAACCCTCGCGTGATTGATGATACCCGTGCCAGGAAGTGTGCGACAGACCTGAAGCGCTGCTCCTACTACGAGACTTGTGCCACGTATGGACTCAACGTGGAAAGGGTGTTCCAAGATGGTAAGTGTCCATAGTTCAGCCAGGAATGGAAATTTGAAAAATAAAAAGTTTACTGGCTAGTTTAACTACCTATTAAAAAAATTACAGGTTTTCTCACTAGTACAAGAGACATATGATATTACAGGGTATGTAAGTACAGTAAAACATGCCTATACCAAACATGCTTAAAATGAATTGATGCCTTCATCAATGTGATGTTCATTCTCTATGGGCATTGGCTTAAAATTTATTGGATATTACAAATAAATGTTAATAATGCAACGAAATCAGCCATCCCTGATACTCCGTTATAAGCATGTTTTATCGTACTTGAATTGAGTTAAAAACCCTCTGTAGGAATATTGAAACTTATTTCACAGATGAAAAGCAAGAATCTGTGAGAAAATATTGTCTTTCAAAGTTCAGGTTTCATATATTTCAGAAACTTTTTCCTCATTTTGAGCACTTGACAGAATTTAAACAATTGAGTTAAAAACCCTCTGTAGGAATATTGAAACTTATTTCACAGATGAAAAGCAAGAATCTGTGAGAAAATATTGTCTTTCAAAGTTCAGGTTTCATATACTTCAGAAACTTTTTCCTCATTTTGAGCACTTGACAGAATTTAAACAAGCTTTTAAAAAGCAAATTAAGTGACTGTTTTTAATGACTTTAATTGTCTGCTTTGCTACACAGCTTCATTCACGGGCAGATGAAACACTGGCGTATCTTTGGAGACATGCTGTTTCCTACAGACAGATTAAAATGCAAGCTTTTTAGAAGATAGGAACTTGAGATAAGGTCTTTGTCCTTGTAATGCTGTCAGCTGTTTCCCATACAAAGACAATTTTTGTGAGGCCCTCAGCTAGCACTTGTTTAAACAAAGATATAAGAGCTAATTTGATTGGACGACCTGCTGTGTCACATATGTTCTATTGGTAGTACTCACATTGAAGAGGCTTCTTGTCAGAGAAAATGTATATAAATTCTTCTACTTGATACTGGGGAAAAACATATGTTCTGTAGCAGCAAAAATGACCAGGCTAGAGAATTGCATAGTATATATATGAGCTTAATGTTAATTGATTTAGTACATTGCAAAATGTGCTAAACACCGGTGAATGCTAAATATTTGCTTTGATCTATCAAGAAAAAATTAACACAGATATTTGCAGCCCCCAACCTTCAAACATATGCATAAAATCACCCTGATAGATAAAACATGGGTTTCCATTTCTGCCGTAATTATGATTGCCTTCCGTTTGTTTTCTATCTGTTTTCTGGTATATGTGGGTGAGTTCTGGGTTTAATGCTGATGATTCATGGAGATCGGGGAGTATAGACACAGCCTTATCATCTCGCTGTTGATCATATCATGGCTAATTTTTTACTGCTAAAATCATTTGAACTGAATCTGATGGTAAATAGGCCTAGATTTTGGAATGATGTAATTTTTCTGCTATTTATCTACATCACAAGAGTGTTTATGAAAAGACCCCTCTCAGCAAAATTTTACAAATATCTACAGTTTGGTGTGCTAGTCAGTACATCAAGTGTCTGATGCTGAAGTCTGTAGCGTTTCCAGTGACATCCAAGAGCTGAACTGCCAAGAAGACATTAAAGACAAAATATTGATGATTTAATCTCATTCTTGTCTGCCCTGCAGTGTTTTGTTGTCATGTATAGGGAGTGCAGGTGCATCTAAAATTAATAAATATGATCTTTAGGTACAGACAATTTAAACCCCAAGAAAATTAGTGATTTCACAGTACTAGTGCTATAATTCTGTTTTATCTATGTTTTACAGCATGCCAGAAGATAGTCCAGGTGCGGTACCCCTCCCTACCCTCCACTATTCCCAGTATGCCCCCAGTCCCCAGCACCCCCATCCACGCCCATCGAGCCTACTACATCAGCCAGCCGGTCGCCAACAAACCATTCGACACCCACAGTACCAGTAGTCAGTCCACCTCAAGCTCTGGAACCTTAGTCAGCAGCAACACACCCAACAGCAGCACACAGAATGTGGCACAGGTAATGCAACACAGTAATAAAACAGCAACATAGCAGACAGCAGCACACAGAATGTGGCACAGGTAATGCAACACAGTAATAAAACAGCAACATAGCAAACAGCAGCACACAGAATGTGGCACAGGTAATGCAACAGCAACATAGCAAATGGCAGCACACAGAATGTGTCACAGGTAATGCAACAGCAACATAGCAAACAGCAGCACACAGAATGTGGCACAGGTAAAGCAACAACAACATACCAAACAGAATTTGGCACAGATAATGCAATACAATGATAGAACAGCAACATACCAAACAGCAGCACACAGAATGTTGCATAGGTAATGCAACAGCAACATACCACACTGAATGTAGCACAGGTAATGCAACACAATAATAAAACAGCAACATACCAAACAACAGCACACAGAATGTGGCACAGGTAATGCAACACTATGATAAAACAGCAACATACCAAACAGCAGCATTCAGAATGTGGCACAGGTAATGCAACACAATAGTAAAACAGCAATACACCAAACAGCAGCACATGGAATGTGGCACAGGTAATGCAACACAATGATAAAACAGCAACATACCAAACAGCAGCATTCAGAATGTGGCACAGGTAATGCAACACAATATTAAAACAACAACATACTGTTCAGTGAATAAATATCTCAACAGAATGTGGCACACATAATGCAACAAAATTATAAATGACAATATTTCAAATAAGGCACAGTTATATCAACTGAATGTGGCATGTAAGGCAACACAGTGATAAAACAGCAACATACTGACCAGGGCAGATATCTATCAATTCAATGTGTCCAACAAGTGGAGATGCAAATGAATGTTGTACATTATCTTTTAGGGGAAAATTGCAGTGTATAAATGTAATAACATGCTTGATTGTGTTACGTACATGCATTTATTTATATAGATGTATCATCAATCAATATTTACTTTATGCAAACTAAAGGGATATGATAAAGTCCTGATTTAGAGATATGATAATATGGATGTAATATCAGGTGTAGAAAATAAAGGTGTAAATCAACTTTGTAGGTACAGCCAAATGTGAAGGAAATGTCTAAAGACACCAGAGAGAAGTCAGATAAGAAGAAGGATAAGCAAGCACAGGATGCGGATCAGGTGATTATCTCCCCTTCAGTGGAACTCTTCTGTAGATTTTGTAATCAAGAGTGTTTATCTGTAATCAAGATACAACTTTCCAAAATTTTCATAATATACTTGTAATAATTTTATTTTATGCAATATATTTAAGCATGCATTTTAATTTTTTATATGTAATCTATCTTAATATGTGTTGTGATTTTTTAATATGATTTTACACCGTATATGTTCAGTTTTAGAAATTCTAAGTAAAGCACATTTCATTTATTAAACACATTTTTTAAATAAAATTCAAAATAAGGAGTCTGATTGGGTGGCTGTCAGCTTTGGGTGTGGCATTTTTGACCTGAGTAGATTCCAGGTAGTTTTATTGTTGAGCTTTGGTACTAAAATGTACCTCTAATGCAGCTCTTTGTATCTAGTTTTTTATTTCTAAGCTTTTGCCAAAAAACTGCAAAAAAAGCAACAAATTGGCTAAAAATGGTCTCTCCCTGCTGCTGACTATTGATTTACAGACATGCAGATCTTCAGAGTAATAAAAACGGAAAGTTAGGTTTTAAGTTTAAGTTTAGGTCTTTTTCTTGGAAGGCAGCAATAAAAAGTAATAGATAAAAATCATCTGACATTTATAGGAGTTTAAAAAAAATGTGGATTGTTAGTATCAATCCAGTGAGATGAAACATTCAGTACTTTTGATTAGTAAAAATGATTAAATAATTCAAAAGAAATACAGCATGAAAGTAGATAATGCTTTAACTCATTTGTGCAAAGAGTTAAATCCAGAAGTAGATAGTGTCGTAAAAGACTTGTATATCCACTGCGGCTTAGTGGCTTCGTATGGAACTGACTAATGCATGGCGTCTGTGTTGTGGTTCTATTTTTAGGGAGATAGGGTAGACCTAGCCACCTCCACACCACTGTCCGCCCGTAAAAACAAGAAATCCTCCATTATACAGAAGTCCAATTCCTTCAGTGTAAGTTATCTACCCTGTGCTAGATCTCTGTTATGTTCCATGGAGTAGGGATTGAATTGTAGAGCAGTGTCTAACATCTTCACTGTAATTCTTCACAATGCTCATTTCATTTGGATGATGAAATTTTTAGAGAATTTTTCTTTTCATTATTTTTTTTTTAATTCTAAGTCAGAATTTTGCATACTTATGCACTTTCTATTCATTACTAAGAAAAATTGACAATTTCGTAGAAAAAAAAAACTTGTTTTTGATTTTTCTTCACCAATTTATTTTTTCAGTCATTAAGCCTTTTACAAGTAAATATTGTGTATTGCCAATTGATTATTTTTTTTCACTAACATATGAGAAGCTTATATTAAGAATAATCAGAGGATATAAATTTTCAGAATGTTCATCATTGTTATGGCTGATCATCCAAGCTTCGTCATTTGAAGTGTTGTGTTTCTGTATATCAGCTATTTGATGCATTTTGCTCTCTTCAATACGAAAACAAGTTTCTGCTTTCCATTTTAAAATTGCTAAACAAATTAAAAGTATATCAAATTAAAAAATATAAAAATTAAAATTGAACTGTTCAGAAAGCAGAAGCTTGGTTGTAAATTCTCTACCACTAGGTGGCACTGCAAGCCTGTTGGTGGATCTGTGCATGACATTTTTGTCTCTGTCTCTCTTATTAATTTATTTTCCCTGTAAATTATATTTATTTGAATTTGAACTTTTCAGTTTCTGGTTGTATTTTTTTTCTGCATGCATGGCTTTTGTTTTGTTCCTCCAGGGTGCGACCGATAGCCGCCATTCCAATACCTCAGTGACCACCCCTATTCTCCATCGGAAAAATTCCAAGTTTTTAAAATCCAGCTTTAAGACTGTAAGTTTGAGGAGCGTGTTGGCAACGGAACTATAAACAGAATTACTGTACTGTCCACATTTAATCTGTCTTCTCCATAACAAAACTTCTACAACATCATCTTCTGTTAGTTCTGTACTTATTATCTAGAAATTCTGGTCTTTTGAGCATTTCAGGTAGTGACACCATCAAGTCGGTTTATGTGTTTTTTTTTGAATCAAGGATAAATCCTTAGTAATCAAATATTTCCTAGGAGAACAAATTTTTGCGAGATATTTATCACATTTATGCCAAAAACTAACAAATTTGTTTGGTCTGCTAAAGTGCATTTATAAAAAGTTGAGCATTATCAAAGAACTGATACCGCTGATAAGATTGCATGGAAGAAAACATGACCTATATTTGTACAAATCTGGAATGTATATTAAAATAGGTACTGATACAGTAATGTTTGGAATCTTTCTTCTTTCATACTGATAGAATAAATTTTCATTGTTTTTTTTTTTTTTTTAAAGTTTTGTGTGAGAAAATTAGAAGAAAATAAGTTTTAAGAGAATAATTTAACAAACTTTGCTGATTACTTTATAATGAATTAGATGATGAGATATTTCAGTGTGGAGAAGGCGGGTTAAGTTTCTACTGATATTAATGTGTATTCTCCTTTGTAGAGTGTAGTGGAGTATATTACATATCTAGCAGTCATAAACACCCAATCCTTTACAATTAATCAACCAGAATCCTAATCTACAAAAATTATTTATTTAAAGTTAATAATTATAATTTAACCATAATGATTATTTATTTTCTGAGGGCTTAAGTAAGAAGCCAAAAGATTTTTAAATAACATTAATCAGACATACAATATTATGAATGGAGATTGTAAGATTATGTTTTGCATAAGGCAAGCTAAAATTTGACTCTCAGTACATTTAATTAATTAATGAATTAATTAAGCTTTGCTTTTAATGGTATATATATCTGATAATCTTGCTGCTGGCAGCCTGACAGTGAAATGGGATCGTATTCCTTCATCAAGGTATGTGAGGGCACCATCTTAGCTCCTCCGTTATACAGACAAAACACTCGCTTGGGACGTACGGGTCTTATTACTGTAGGGGCCTTATTTTATTACTGTACGGGTATTATTTTATCACTGTAAGGGCATTTTTTTGTTGCTTCTAATTCAGTATGGGTCATATTTTCAGTTGTACCAAAAGGGCAGTGCATGGATTACAAATATATCATAAATCCCAAAAAGGGGTCATATTTAATTACTTGAGGAGTTATGCAGAAAGGACTTTCATTAGGGCATGCAGGGTACAGCATTGGAATTTTTAACTATGATAGCCAGGCAGAAGGAGGGGGGGGGGGTTGTTATAAAAAATGTCAACCACTGCTTAGATGGACTTGGTCAAAATAGAAAAAGCACACAGAATGGTGTACTTTCGCATCATACTGGCCACCCAGAAACATTTGCTAACTGTACTACCTCGACATAATTTAGAGAATAAGACATTCTCTAAGAAAAAATACCGATAGGAATGACAATTATTAATTTGTAAACATCATATTCATAGTACATATTTGCATACTTTCATCTCACATAAACGTAATTATTTATCTAAGTACATGTAATATTTTTAAAAAGTGTATCCTACATGTATCACCAGTACTTGTGTAGTGGTATATTGGAGCATAATCCCTAACATGTTTTTGTAGTTGTATGCTTCAAGATTTTTTTTTTTTGGTTTGTATTGGTGGTATTATTTTTTAAATAATCAACATCATCTAAACAAAATGCATGTTGCTGCATTCTTGTTCTATTTTTATGCATTGTTCTAAATTGTAATTGGTTCTTTTTTATTGATTAATTTTTTTAGTTCAAAAATCTTCATTTAATTTTTTCCTTAATAAAAAAAATACATTAATAGATTTGTTTTAAAGAAATTAGAAATATTAAAAGATTTTTTTTTTTGCATTATGTAATGATGTTTATGTAATAGTCTAATTCCAAGATGGATCCAATTTTCAACATTTGAGAATCGTAAATTTTAGAAACTAAATATTCTTTGGGCTTTACAACAAAATAATAAGTTAGTACTGATCTATCAAAATGATTACAAGTCAATTTGGATCCATCCATGTAGAGTCTTATTCTTCTGTTATGTTTTCCTATGTGACTTGTTTCATAGGATAAAATGGATAAATATCTGATGGAATTAGAAATTCACGAGAACACGTCCCCTGTCACTCCGACAGCCTCGCGAGTTTCCAACAAGGGGCGATCCAGCCTAGTTCTTGTAAGTTTTTTGAGTCATCCAGAGTTATTCCCCATTATTTTTGTTCCAATTCATTGCTATCAGGTGTCGCCGCTGCATGATTTAGTTTTTTTTTGTTTTTTTTTTACATTTTTTTTTGTCCAAATTCAAGATCCATTATTGAAGAAATTATATTTTGATAAAGAATTTATCATATTATTTTAAAACTGAATAACAGTAATGTTTTCATGCATCATCTACATGTATCATAATTTTTTTTTCTTCTTTTCCATATTTTATGTTTGTATTTTCAATACAATATTTTTTTTAGAATTCATATTTGTGAAGCCTTTAGTACATTTAATCATTTGATTTCTTACAATCTCCATTTCCCAATAACACCTTATTTTGTTTATACGTAAAACAATCAGTCCCAAATTGACATTGATCACTAGTATGATGTTATCTGTATATCAGAGCTGTTTTAATTGGTGATGGGAAAACTGGATCTCACTCGGTGTTAGGTCAAGGCCGCTAACTTATGACATCACTATCTTATTAATGGAGGAAATTAATCTCATAAAAATTTATTTCATATTTCAGAAAAATGGTGCATGTCTCTATTTATTATCAAGTATCTATTCAACCTATTTCTGTTGGCATGGATTCATTTATATATGTACCTATCATTTAGTGCACTTTGTAGAAACTTGGAAATTATTTTATATCTTTTGTAATACATGGTGCACCATTTGGGCTGTTTACTGGTTTTCTTAAAACAAAAGAGCTTAGGCTAATGATGTAGATATCATATTGGACATGTTCGGTTAGATGCTATTTGAATAATTTTGAAATTATTAAATTCAAATGAAAAGCTTTCATAATTAATCTTTTATGTAAATATAGATATGTGGTAAAACTACATAATATAAAATACATATTTAACATTCAGTAAAATAAATTATTGATAATTGTAATAAAATAATTGTATTTGGTGCAGTATGTAGGTGTAAAAAAAAAATGTATTTTAGTATTTACGGCACATGAAAACAATCCATGCCTTAAGTCTGGATGTTTTTTGTGTTTGTGGATATATTGTAGCATTTTATATTGCCTTGCATTAGTAGCTAGTTACCCCATGTAGACTGTAGCAATTACTGACAACTCTAACCAAATGCGTGCTTGCAGGAAAAATCCGATAGCAAAGATCTGCCGACTCCAAGCAGTACCCCTACTCAGAGTCGAAAAAACCGTCGCAGGTCTAACCTGTTTAATGTAAGATTTTCTTCTACTTTCACTTTATGATAACAGATTTTTCCCTGACAAAAAAAAATTTGTTATATTCATTTTTGCTGTGTTCGTAACCACTAAAAGGGGTTGCCGTGTTAAAATTACCTCAATTAAGATATTCATTGTTCAAAATTTTCTTTTTTGTTCGAAGCTTTAAAATATTTTGCAAAGTTTATCAAGAATTATGTTCTGGTATTCATTTTTTGCAGTTAGATATATTTCATTTCCCAAAAATACAAAAATATATATGAAGTTTTGTCATAAGTTTGAGTTATTCTAAGATAGAAATTCAGTTGATGGGAAAAAAGAATTAGAAGGGAAATAACTCCTACCTTTACTAACAGCATGTAGGTGGAGTTAAAAAAAAATGTAATGGTTTGAGAAAATTAACCACTCTGATATTCCAGGAAGCATACATTGAATGTCAAAATGTTTTGAAAGGATTTTTCATTAGACTAATTTTAAAAGTTAATCAGTTGTAATAACTAATTACATTTATATAGATTATTTTGTATCTAAATAGAGTATGTCAATTCTAATCAAGAAAACTAAAATTTTAATCCTAAATTCATTCAAAGCTTGCATTTTAATTTGCATGTATGTTGTTAATACCATTATTTTAAGGATGTATTTCTTTTTTCATTAAAGCTGTTGATCTTTCAGTTATTTTCTCCATCCATTTATTTGTTTACACACTTCAGTTTGAATTTGCAATTTTTTTTTCCTATTCTGTTTTCTGGTTAATTTCTTCCTAAGAACTGAACATCAGGTCTCTGTTCAACACATGGATATATAGGTGTTATACCAGAGTTTCATTATTTACAAGTGATAATTATAAAAAAAAAATCATATTGCAGAAATCTGATTTATAAAGTCTTTAGTATATATTGAAAATATCCTTTGTGTAAATGAGGGTGAGGATTTTTTTTTATAAAAATCGTCTTTCAGCCTAAAAATAAAGAGGACGAGAAAAAGGGGGCATCTTTGGAGGCGGAGAAACTGGGAAGTGGGCGTGTCATCCCAATCAAACAGGTCAGTTACGACAGGTTTTAATTTAATGAAGTAAAGAATCAGATTCCTTTTCAGCCCGAGATTTTGTCTTTCTAGATACATGAAGGATAGATGTTATGGCATAAGTGATGATGGATGTATTTTGTTAACGAACTAGTTATTATTAAGTAGTATCATCCCTTAGTTTATTAGATATGTCAAGAGAACTGTGACTTATGACACTGGTAATGATTGTAGGGGTACCTATATAAGAAGAGTCATGGTCTGAATAAAGAGTGGAAGAAGAAATACGTCACTCTGTTGGATGATGGAAGACTAACCTACCACCCTAGTCTACATGTAAGCTACAATATCCCAATTTTTTTTCCATAACTTGTCATTCCATGTGATATGCCTATCTTTAGACATCTTAGATACACAAATGTTATGTAATTTGTTATATAAGATAATTGTGAGAATGAACAGTCTGTATTTTGTTTTTGTTCATTCCAGGATTACATGGATGATGTCCATGCAAAAGAAATAAACCTGATCCACACAACAGTCAAAATTCCCGGCCTTCGGCCTCGTACAACCAAGACCGTTCCTGTCTACCCAGCCCAACACCCCAACCAAGACGCTAAAGGTGAAAGTAAAACTAGCTTCTCCTTGAGTGGTGAGTGTACCTGCATGTACCTTTATTATGTCCTCTGTTAGTGCTTTCAGTATGACACAAAGGGAGCTTGACTGAAAGTGAGGCTGTGGTCACATGGTATCATTGCCATGGTAGCATGTAAAGCTTGCTGCACTGACTAGATTATGTTTAGAAGGATAATTATGTGTTTCGATGGGGTGTATATGTACATGATATATATGGTGTTAGAAAATATATGTTGTAAGTGTAGAATATGTATTGTTAACACTAAGCTGTGTTGAGCTTGGTCATGTTTTATTTGAAAGAGAAGTTTTGTTAATGAAAGTTCATTTTAAAAAAAAAGTAATTTTAATTTTTTTTATGTAGTATTTGAAATACTAAATGTAAAACTTAATTTGTTCTCTAATCAAGCAGCCAGTTTTTTCACTTGGTATCATATTTGTAGATTTAGGCATGTGTTTTGTATGTAACGGGTCATGCCAGATCACAATACATTATGGCAAGGGTAGTAATTTAATGGAAATGGATTCTGGCATGGTTTGTTGAGTGTATTATGTGTTCACCTTTTAATTTCTGTTTTGCATGTGGTGTTGTCATTGAACTATTACAGGGAAGAATAAAGATAAGGAAAACGTTCGTCTAACAGGATTTGATGTCATTCGCGAGCGTCACAACTCCAATTCGGATGCCCCATTCATTAATTCATTAACAGGTGCTATTGAAGGTGTGTTAAAATTATTTTTTCCACTGATGTCCTTCAAAACAACTTAAGGTATTAGGGGTGTAATAGCCATGACCTTGCATATGACTAAATTAAGCATACTTATAATGAACAACACTTTCGGCAATATTTCCCTTAGTTTCATGCAATTTTGTCCATACATATTCTGTGCTCATTAATGTAACTGTACCCTCTCACCAGTGGTGCACACTTAATGGACAAAGGGTAGAGATGTAATTTTTACCTCTACTCTAGTTAGCCAGAGAACAGTTTAATGTTTCATGTATTCAACTGTAACAGTAAGCACTATAGATTGTAGATATGCATCTTTTTTAGTTCAAATTCATCAGATATGATATACGAATACTGTAATCGAGAGAACTTGTCTTCTTTCAGTGACAATTTTAGCAATTATTATTATAAAACCGTTTATAATATTCTGCCAAATAAAAATATGGTAGGGATGATCCAAAAAAGAAGACTGTAATTTTTTTGTGACATGTATTTGTGATAATATAACCACAAAAAAGAATTATTCCATCCACAATATTTGTCTCTATTCTACATCAGAGTGATGTACCCCCTAAAATGTAAACCATTATTTTTTGTTACTGGTATAGGGTGGGTTATAATGAATGAATAAATGAGCTTGAGCATATTGATGATTGTCATACTCAACTCACTTCACTTTAGATTCATTTGTTCAGAAAAATTTCCTCTTCTCACAGTGACCTTGACCTAGACTAGGGTTTACAAAATAACCTACATTTTTGCAGTTCCAATGTGTATACAAAGTTCTTCATAGTTTATAATATTTACTTTACAATGAAGACTAAATATATCTGACCGAAACACTGATCAAAGGGTTTTAAAAAACAATATTATGCCTCACATATATAATAAATTAATAAAATATGTATAAATAAATATGAAACCCCCCCCCTTTTTTTTAAACTGATGCAAAAAATAAATAAATGAAAAACCCACACACATAAAATCCATCCTGTCCTTAATAAATTATTTGTTCTCGTAACATATATTTGACAAATCCTGAGAATCATTTGGCCAAATCCTGAGAATCATTTGGCCACAGGTTTGCACATTTCCAGCATATTACATTATATGTACGTAACATCTGTCAAGTATTGTTAATTGCAGATTCCACAATACACACCATGCTATTTATATTATAACATATATTATTCTCTCAAACTGTTAGCTGATATCAAAAGAATCACAAAATTACCATGCCATTGTAAAGTTTGTATGCTTCGTTTGTTTTTTCGAAATCGATGCTATTTTTAGAAATTGGAAAAACCCTTGTAGTGTGTTTATGAAGATAACATCGTTTTGACTGCATATTTTGTCGAACCAAATTATAGTAAGGCGTTTTCTATTTAATATCATATCAATTCTTTCTTCTGAATAGTTATAATCCTTTCCTTTGGTGTATGTTTTATGATAGCGTCCTTGGCCGTCTTGACGACGCGCCATTTTTGTTTACGAAAATAGATGTTCCGAAAACTGCCGATGTGAAACACCTCGGCATTTTAACCGGAAGTGGCCTATTACACATCTAATTCCTTAACTCACTGTAGGCCTACATTTCATCATTTAAGCAGAAAAAGTTCATTATTTTTAATATTTTACCTTAATTATGATTTAAGAAGGGAAAAAAAACTTTCTTTCACATGCAGCTATTTGCACTAGCTTCACAATAATGCATAAATTGAAAAACTGGATCGCTTTGAACAAGTTAGCAGAATCATTCTTGAACAATTATAGTTCAGAGTTTCATATACTTGCAATAGCATATGCACATGTAATACAAGTACATATATACATGTATATATGGACACATGTCTCATGTAAATGCAAAGAAAAGGGGTGAAGGATAATAAGAGATGATCTCAAAAATGGGATTAAAAAACAACATTTATCATGTTTATGAATGCAAAAAAAAATAATTGTTTATTGACTGTTCTAGTGTGGAGCCTGTGAATGAGTTTTGCATGTACACATTACTCTGAGATTGTTGAGTAAATCACTTTCAATTTCACTGAATAATGAGGTTTTGCTTTGACAGGTGTTGCCAATGGTGATGGAATTTTGTCCAAACTAAATGGGAACAGCATAGGGTCCAAGATAGAAACTCCGAATGTCAAAAAGCGCCATCGGAGGGCGAAGAGTGGCGGACTCAAAAACGTCGGGGATGGAGATGGTATGAATGTGCTTAGACTTGTGGCAGGTGCATTAAAAACATAGCTATTGAAATATTCAGATATAAAATTTTTGTCTTTCATTCCAGATTCAGATGGTTATGAATTCATGATTGTCTCCCTTGAAAATAAACAGTGGCATTTTGAAGCTGGGGATTCCCAGGTAAATTGTACATTGAAAAAATAGAACTAAAGTAAATGAAAAGTGCATGCGTTTTCATCCGAAAATTGTACTTAAAAATTAATCACTTTTGATTATGTTTTCTAAATAGGAGAGGGATGAATGGATCAATGCAATAGAACAACAGATTCTAAATTGCCTCCAGGGAAATGAAATCAGCAAGTCTAACAAACGCAGCACACCATCCGATCCAGCAGGGATGCAAGCAATACGCACAGTCAGGGGAAACAACTCATGTGCTGACTGTGGAGCTCCAAGTAGGTCAAAAATATATATACTCGAGGCTTTCTATCAATGCTAAGAAACCTAATTTCATTGAGTTCATCAGGTATTATATAGAGTATGTTAAGCTTTTAGGAAGCAAGATTTTATCACAAACTAGATTTTAAACCCCCAACTTTTCATGTTTCAAGCAATGTTGAATTATAATATGAATTTTTGTGGAATTGTTTTATTCTTACAATATATTTGTTCTTCTGACTCAGATCCTGACTGGGCCAGTATTAACCTAGGAACAATAGTGTGTATAGAGTGCTCAGGGATCCACAGAAATCTAGGGACTCACCTGTCACGAGTCAGATCACTAGACTTAGACGAATGGCCGTAAGTATAACTCACCTGTCACGAGTCAGATCACTAGACTTAGACGAATGGCCGTAAGTATAACTCACCTGTCACGAGTCAGATCACTAGACTTAGACGAATGGCCGTAAGTATAACTCACCTGTCACAAGTCAGGTCACTAGACTTAGACGAATGGCAGTAAGTATAACTCACCTGTCACGAGTCAGATCACTAGACTTAGACGAATGGCCGTAAGTATAACTCACCTGTCACGAGTCAGATCACTAGACTTAGACGAATGGCCGTAAGTGTAACTCACCTGTCACGAGTCAGATCACTAGACTTAGACGAATGGCCGTTAAGTATAACTCACCTGTCACAAGTCAGATCACTAGAGTTAGACGAATGGGCATAAGTTACAATGCACAGAGTCAGATCACTAGACTTAGATGAATGGCCGTAAGTATAACTCACCTGTCACGAGTCAGATCACTAGACTTAGACGAATGGCCGTAAGTAACAACACATACTTATTTCAGTTTTCCTATTGTTTAAATTCTTTTCTGAATAAATCTTTACACACACTTCAATTTTGGACCCTTGGATTATAACACTCTGGAGTAGAGTGTATAAGTAAAGACTATTAAACTAAAGAAACAAAGGATATGTCTTTATTAATATTTCAGGTAATAATGACAGGATGTAAGATTTTCTTTTTGTTTTGCAGGCCTGACCTAGTTAGAGTAATGATGTCTATAGGAAATGGCATAGCTAATAGTGTATGGGAACATACCTTAAAGAACAGATCAAAACCAGGCCCCACTTCTCCTAGGTAAAAAAAAAGAACAAATTTCAATAGTTAGGTACCTATAAGAAGGGCTGATAAAGTTATATATATTATGTAAAGTTTAACATGCAAATGTTCATTATCAAATATCTTAATACACTGTATTATTATTGCTGAGTATAAATATCTAAAATTTAGTACTGAATTTTTGAAAATTCACATAATAAGTATAACATCTACCACTTGAAGATTTACAATGAATATATGTACAGTAGTAATTTAGATAATATTGTTGAATTCTGAATATGTGTAGATTTATTAAAAAAAAAAAAAAAAAGGTGAGGGAGGGTAGTTTGCACCTCATTTTATGTTTTTTTCATTCATCTTTATTGCAGAGATGAAAAGGAGAAATGGATACGGGCCAAATACGAAGCAAAAGAATTTTTGCCCCCTCCCCCTTACTTAGATATAGCCCTTAACCAGGTAAGAACAACCTAGAAACATGTTGGATACATTACAAGTCCACAAATTTTGAAAATTTTCTTTTTCTGTTCTACAAAAAGCTTTATATATTTTAACACAATAATATACAGGTACATGAAGAAGTATTCTTGTACCTGAACACTGGATTTCAATTTACCTGGGGGATTAGTTTTAAATTCCCCCAAATTTGGTGCATTTCAGAGTTATTTTAATTTATAATGGAATCATATTACATGTACCACTATCTCGTTTAAAAAAGATAATGCACATAATGTTGCATTCTTTATCTGATGTCTTTCTTCTCGTATTCTGAATAAGTTTTCAATGTTCTACCAACATTTTACATTGTGGTGTATATGAGAATCCTTTTGTATTTCAGCAATTAATAGATGCATTAGTGAGAGAAGATATTAGGAATATTATTCTAGTGCTGGGCCACAGTCGGCCGGAGGATATTAACTGTCCATACAGTAAGGACGACGGACGGACGGCACTCCACATCGCGGCAGCCCTAGGGAATGTGGTTTATGTTCAGCTTCTCCTTTGGGTAAGTGTATGTGTTTAAGTAACATAACAAATGTTTTCAAATGTGATCTTTTGAAATTTGATTTTATCTGTTGCCCAGTGTTAACTTATCTACCGTATTGCTAATTTCAAATAAAAAGACTAGATCTGACTGTACAAAATAACAAATCATTTTACAGTACAACGCCAATGTGAAGGTGGTGGACCACGAAGGCAGAAATGCTCTGTGGTACGCAAGGAGTTCGGGTTCTAATGAGTGTGTGGAACTACTTATGAACAATGGCTGCCCAGAACACCCAACATTACCAAGGCGAAGGGGAAGCAGTGCTCAAGCCGGAAAAAATGACGTTTTTGAAAAATTACCCGCCAGTGTTATTTGAGTGTTACCATGGTGACTCTGCTTGTTTACTGCCAATGTCAACCATAGTCGTACTTTTCTTTGTGGACTAGAGGTGAAATTGTGAAGAAGTGTGAAATCCATGTCTATTAGTACACAAATGGCTCAAATGTTCTTTCTTATTATGGATTACAGCTAGACAAAGAGATTGATAATTTATATCGGGATAAATTTTGAAGAGCAAACACTTTCTGTTATGCCATATTTTACATTTGTTTTAAAATGAATCTCAAAAGTTGAATAGGATTAAATGCATATCAATAGGAGAATGCATTGTTTAAAAGTATCGTGTTGGTTGTCAAGAAATTTTTTCGTGATACGAGTTAGCAGTTGTAAAATTTTAGAAGTTCCACACTGGCTTTAGTGAAAATCTATATGAGTCAGTATATCAACTTATTTACTGCAATACATATATTTTATTTATAGAAATATATCAATGACGTTGTCGATATTTATTGAGCGATTGTGAGACCTTTTACCTGTACATGTATGACGATTGCAGGCTTAGGTCAGTTGAAATGAAGGTTGAAAGCGTAGAATTTTTAAAGAACAGTTAAGTGTTAATTTTTGATAACAGTATTTATGCATGTAACAATTTTTTGCAGATTTAGATTTATTGATATACCAATACTTGCTATATTTCCTAGATAAACTCTGTATATCAGTATTTAAATATGCACAAAGTCTATTAGGTTACCTTGGTAAATCTATATTGTGTTTCTCAGTCTTTGTGCCTTTGTTAAGAAAACCTCTTTTTATATTTTATTAGAATGTCATTGCTTAAAGTCTCCAGTTTTCAAAACTTTTTAAGTTCTTGTAAGATTTGTCAGGTTGTGATGCAAAACCATGTTTATTACTGTAATATATCACAGAAAAAAGGCAAAAGAAATGTTATTGTATAGGATAAGATTTATCTAACACTGGGCTCCCTAACTTTTTTTTATTTCGTAAAACATATCCAAGCCTGTACCCAGAGTAAAATTCGGAGAGACTGCAGTTTATTTCTCGTCATTATGTACATAGGCTGATGATTTGTCCGAGGAAATGCATCGTTTGATATCGTTGGCCCTGTCGGCAAATATGTGCAATATGTGCTTCTGTTGGCATTACTCAGCATTTGATGTCAGTATTTCAGTAGATTCTGACCAATCATTTTCTTCATCCATGAAGCATGGTTCTGAATGATTTAAATGCTAAAATCATGTATTTTTAAATCAGTTTTACAATATATTGTATCAGATAGGAATAAAATGCAAGGTTAATAGTTGGAAACAAAGTTTAGTCTATATACTTGTACCATAATTGTTCAAAACCTTTTGCTTTTTTTTGAAATTCTAGACTAATGTGTAGTTGTGAACTTTAACATTTTTTATGCAACATTTTTGGCCTGGATGAATGATTGTTGATTTGCAAGGACTGTCATGTTTATAACACTTTTTGTAAAAGAACCACAATGTCTCATTCTAGTAGTTGACCAAAAATGACAAACTCTAGCAAAAATCTTGCCGCTGTTTCTCGCTGAATACTCCACAGTACAATCCCATGCTTATAATCACGCTGTAGTCCCGTCATCCATTGAACAGCTGGAGTGAGTGCCAGTGTACGAATGAGAGAGTTTCATTGATAGGTTCCTTGTGTATGTATTAGTGTGAACAGAGGTCACAGAATTAAAGATATGGAAATCTCTATAGACTCTTGAGTTTTATTTCTATTTTTAAGAAAACCTTCTATACACTGCCTTGTACTCTGTGTTGAAAATGGAATAGATATTGTATTTTAAAAAAGCTAAATATTTAAACCTTTTCTATACAACATTATATTCTCATTATCCATAAACATTTTGCTATAGTGTACAGAGGGTCTTAAAACCAGTAATTGCTTTTGAGTGACTGATTATTATTGTCCCCCGCTTGAAAAGTGGGGGATATTAATTTGGGTTTGTCCGTCCGTCCGTCCGTCTTTCTGTCTGTCTGTAACGCTTTCGTTTCCACACGATATCTCGAGAACCCTTTGAGCTTTTGCAATGAAATTTAGCATAGCAACTCCGTATGGACTAAAGAAGACCCCTATTGATTTTGAGGTCAAAAGGTCAAAGGTCAAGGTCATAAATAAGCAAATTCTGTCTGTCTGTAACGCTTTCATTTCCACACGATATCTCGAGAACCCTTTGAGCTTTTGCAATGAAAATTAGCATAGCAACTCCCTATGGACTAAAGAAGACCCCTATTGATTTTGAGGTCCAAAGGTCAAGGTCATAAATAAGCAAATTCTGTCTGTTAAAACACTTTCGTTTCCACACGATATCTCTAGAACCATTTGAGCTATCGCAATGAAATTTTACATAACAACTCCCTGTGGCCTAAAGAAGACCCCTATTGATTTTGAGGTCAAAAGGTCAAAGTTCAAGGTCGTAAATTTATACATTCTGTCTGTGTGTAACACTATCATTTCCGGGCGATATTTCAAGAAGATTTTGAGCTTATGCAATGTAATTTTATACCAAAACCCCCTAGGACGTCTCTCGCCCCTCTCAAAGTGCCCCGCCCCGTTTGTTTTATTAGTATTTATAGTATTACATGTCGCTATTTTTAGCGCAGGGGCATGAGGAGAGTTACTGCGTATAAAACAGGTTCTTGGCGGACTTTATGTTCTTATTACATCTATTATAACTGTTTAATAAAGGCTAAATAAATCAAACACCATGGATTGTGTAAAATTTTGAGAATACCGAACATGAAAACATGAATGTATACATGTATGTGACTTCAGTTGTGCATATACTTCACTCCGAGTAAAGCGATTCCGTGGTCTAGTGGTTATGTCTTCAAATGTGAGAGGTCCTGGGATCGAATCTCGGTCGAATCTTTCTTTCTTTTTTTTTTTTAAATACTTTTTTTTACTAAATGATAGTATTCAGCATGTGAAATGAAAAATTTATGAGGTTATAAAATCATCATTACAGTGTGATAAATATTCCATATAAAAAAAATCTTCTATACACATAATAAAGAATAAGCAATCAAATCTTTATATGCATATTGACATACATGTATTTTATTTCCTTCAGTATACATGTATACATTTAATAATTCTACAAATTCAGTCAGGGGGAGCCGACTTTTTCCCTAAGCGGGGGACAAGAATTCTCTGAATTAGCTTGTTAATCATTGAAGTGTAACCAATAGTATGAAGGCTATTGAACAGCAATATTTATCTTGTGTCTAGAGGAAAGTTTCTTAGTTGTATATTTGCAGCAAAGAAGAAACGCTTGAGTTCAACATTAAATGTTTATTAGTAACAAAAAATATATATACAAAGAATAACTATATATTGTAAATGAATTGATATTGCTAAATATAAATATGCAATCAAGTTAATGACCATAAACTCTGGTGCCCTTATTGCCAAAATTGCCTGAGCAAGTCATTATTGCTGTGATGGAACATCACTCAAAGTTGTTAGAGTATTGGGCCCTGTTAAACCTAAAAATTGCAAATTTGGATTGAATATCTCGGTCACAATAGTACATATTGAACACTTAATCTACTTTTTCTTTTTCTTTTTCCCTGACTTTTTCCCAGGTTTGGCACTCTTTGGTTTGCTGCTTTTAGCACTTTTTGCCGTGCGCCCTCTAGTGGGCGGTGCTGACTTGCTGCGTTTTTTATCATCTCCTTCACTCTTTGGTCTGGGAACATATTCCACTCTCTGACCTTGGCATCGAGTCTGTGAATTAAATTTTAACAATAATGTTTTTCCCGCGTTTGATTTGAACTCTAAATTTCAAAGGGATATAACTCTAATTGACTTACCTGGTTACACACGCGACATTTGTTTGCTTCTTTCATCTCCCCTGTAAAGTCTCCTTTCAGACATTCCTTGCAGTAACGTGTGCCGCACCACTTACACATGTAAGTCTGTAAAGAATTAAAATATTAACGGTGAAGTTCATTTCTAGAAAAACAAATGAACAACTTCATCGTCATTTTCTGGCCATTGTTGTGATGATATTAGCTAGTATTTTAACTTTTTACAGTTAGATTTTGGGTATCTTCTTACGATAGCTTATGTTATATTTATTCTATGTACAGAGTCTTAAAAAATATAAATCGATGGTCAAAGTTATGATCCATGTATTGATTTCATGAAAGGTAATCGTACGTAAACAAGAGACTGAAAAACGAAAGGATATTGGCTGATAATTGATTTCAAAGCCCCTTCCTTAATTTACCCCCCCCCCCCCCCACCCAAAAAAAGAAATGAAGAACTACATGTATTTACATTAAAAGATGTGAAATTTAAGAAACTTACTGTGTTTGGCAGAGCACATCCCCAGCGACACATGGCTGTCTCTCTGTTATATAAGGCCCAGACGAAACAGACCTGTGAATAATCCCCGTATTTAAATGTCACATTGACAGAACTTCTAAAAATCACATCCTCTAATCGGATTAGGATTAAAAGAGAAAAACAAAAATCAGAAACAAACTTAACAACCTCAAGATGGCGGCGAAAATCAGTGGTCTCCAGGGAGCGCGATATTGATCAAAAATTAAATATCTCTCTCTATCACTTCAATATCCCTCGGTATCTATCTAAAACTCTTCAGAGCCCTTAAAATGACACGGCTATGATCCACCCCATACAGTGACTTACTTCATGCAATTTAAATCCTGTTAATTCTTTCTCGTTTTCGTTTACATATGATTTTCTCGCTTTATTTAAATTAAGCTGACTAATTCATTGATATATGTGTACCTTTCTTCGCCTTTTGATCGAAAATTTTCCAAATGAGGCTTCTTTAAATTCCCATGTACCATTTAAAAGGATCGATTATTAAATTGCAGTAATAAAAGATGTTTTAACAGGTAAAGCTAATTCACTTATTGCAGAGTGGATTTTAACAGTGTGAAAAGGAGCTCCAGAATTTTTTTTTATTTCTAGACCGAATTACCATGAAAAGCAAGCAAACCTAAATGTGAACCTTATGGACAATACGTTTTGTCGACCTGTACACACATGCGCGACGACAATTATTAATGCTGTTTCTGAGGTCAATATGATGATTTGGCTATCTAAGAAATACAGTATATACCGAGTCAGAAGGGGGAGATTTAACCCTTCTCCTTTTTCCATAAAAATGGAACTCGTACATTTACTTATTCCCATCTTCCCATCGGTCATTTGCAAAGTCATTTTGTTAAAAACATTCTTATTGTACACACAAGTACGCTGGAGTTGATATTAAAAAGAGGCTTGAGTTTCTGATTGACGACATCTATGTTGAATTTGGATTCCAGGTCTTCCAAAAATATGTTGGGAATTCCCATGGGTACGAATTGCGCCCCATTATGAGAGCAGATTTATAGTCTCTCGCTTTCACTGAAAGTGGGGGTATTATTTAGGGTTGTCTGTCTGTCTGTAACACTATCGATTCCGTGCAACTCCCTTTGGCCGAAGGAAGACCCTATTTGTTTTGTGATCCAATGTATTTTCATGTCGAAGGTCAAGGTCGTAAATTCATACATTCTGTTTGTCTTTGTAAAACTTTCATTTACGATTGATATCTCAGTGTTTTAGCTTTTGCAATGAAATTTTATACCATAACTCCCTAGGGTCCAATCACATATTCTCTGGATTAGCTTGTTTTCGTATTCGTATGAAGTAGAATTTATTCAAAGTTTAATACACGAGACAGAGAAAACACTTGTTGTGACCTTCAGTTCGACATTTTAATATATTGACGACGTATTATCAATTAACGATAGTTATTTCCTTTCATTTGTTGACACGATATATCCCAGTGAGCTTGAAATTAGTCGGACACATTTTTTACTTGGATATTTTACTAGAAAAGACGTTAATGGTAATATAACAATACAGCTTTATGAAAAACGTGATTAGTATAGCTTTTCAATTGTCAACTTTCCTTACGTATGCAGCGATATAATCTTATTACCTGCATAGAGGATTTATATAATTTATGTCTTGGATTCGATACGCAAGAGCATGCTCTAGTATGAACAATTTCTAAAACGAGGTAGGCTACTGACAAACAAGTAGATGAAACAATATCAACATCTCACACTTTATGGTTGATACAGCGACCTAGCCAGCAAATGCAAGGAAGTCAAAGAAACACTCAAAACAAAATTGGTGCTATATGGTATTTTTGATTTAAAAAAATCAAAACAAAGCTTCGTTTTATCATCAATTTCAAATTGCCGTTAAATACATCTAACTCTTATAAACGTATTTATCAATTGTCAGTAAACAAAGCAGTCCTTATAACATATTTATCAAAAATTGTATTTTGTTGACAATAAACGTTCCAGGACAAAACTCGTCTGGAGGGGGCACCCAAAAGATGGACGATTTTCAGCAATTTACATTTACATATTTTGTATATTGAATCCCAAGAGGTCCTCTTTTAAATGAAGTGTAAGAGGCATATTATTATTATTAAATAAATATTGCATGTAGTTGACCCCAAGAAAACCATTCCCAACCGAGGTTTATAATTATGGTTGTCGGGGGGTGAAAACTTTCAACGTTACACTAAACTACATGCAACATTTATTTCATGATATTGAATGTTTCATACAAATTAACATTTCCTAAATAGTACTTTTTTATGCCCCCGTAAGTATATAGGTTGTCTGTTTGTTGGTCCGCAAAAACCTGAATCATGCCCATAACTTTTGACTGGATGGGGCTATGGCTTTTCTCAGGCGTATTCCTTGTGACAAGACCTTTTGGGTACCACCAAAGTTGACCTTGACCTTGGAGTTTGACACATTTTTACACCAAAATTCCAAACTTTTACTTTGATGATAACATTTGAACGGTTGGGCCAGGACTTTCTTACTTCACATATGTATTCTTTACGACAAGACCTTCAATTGGATACCAACAACTTTGACCTTTTGACCTTGGAGATTGATCTACTTAAAAAACTTTAACCTTGAAGATAACTTTTGAAGGGTAAGGACTAGGGCTTTCATACTTCACAAATGTAAGCCTTGTGACAAGACCTTTCATTAGATATCAACAACTTTGACCCTTTGACCTTGGACCTACTTTTTAAAAACTTTAAACTTTGCCATAAATTTTGAACTGTTGATGCTAGGATTTTCATACTTCACATCTGTATTCTTTGTGACAAGACCTTCCATTAGTTATAAACAACTTTGACTTTTTGACCTTAAGAGTCTGACCTACTTAAAAAAAACTTTAACCTTGGATCTACCTCTAAAAAACTTTAACCTTGTCCATAACTTTTGAACAGGTGTTGCAAGGGTTTTATATTTTTTCACATTTGTATTTCTTGTAAGAAGGCCTTACTTTGGGTACCAATATATTTGATTTGCATTCGATAAAATTTAACCTTCCCTGTGTTGCCACACAGAGGCATCAGTGGTTTCACAAACACATCTTGTTTGTTGTGGAATATCACCTATTGTCAAGCAATGTTGACTGTTGCTATGCTGGAGGGTGTGGCTTCATTATTCATCAGTTTTAAACTGTTTTATTAGATGATTCAACTAATTTACATGAAAGTATAAAAAAAATTTAAGCACTACACTACGTTGCAGACCATTTAGGCAAGTTCATGGTCACTGGCAAAAAGTGCCCAGTCCAAAACTTTCTACTTTAAAGAAACATTGTGGTGTCAAATGAAATACAACTTAAATGTGTGATCATGATCCAAGGTCATCTGGGCAAGTTGGTCACTATTTGATATACTATAGCAAAAGCTATTTGCTGCATGTGTATTTCCTGTATACATGTATAGTATATGATGTAGTCTGTTAAACATGAACTGTGAATACATGTTAGTGGAAGTTCTGAACAGATTTCCTAATTTTTTTCCTTAATGACTACGATGAGCAACCCCTTACCCTTTCTTGACAGTTTAGGTGATTTATTTAAATACTGCACAATAAGTCTAATTTGTGCAAGTGCAGATACACAAAAGATACACACTCACAGTTCTGAATGTAAAGCTGATGTTATAGCACTAAAGCTTCTCTCATGAACAGACATATCAATAAACTATACATAAAATTCTATTGACAATAACACACGTGTCAGCTTTCTGGCTTTTTTAATGAAAAGAAAACATTGAAAATAAATAATAATAATAATAGTAACACATCTTCTGACAACAATTGTGGATATACATGTACATGTCATGATTTTTATGACTGAATGCACAAGAAGAGTGACTACACTCACACTCTGCAGACATTTTCAAACCTAATTGACCTATTGTGTTAGACACATCGATACTGAGTAACTACAAATCTGTACCATTAGATGGCGATAGAATAATATACACCTTTGGAATTATACTTAGTATCATTACATTTATTAACAGTTTTTAATCGGTAGGCAAATGTCTACTTAGATAGGATTATTCAGTATTTAAACATAGGATTTCTTAAGAATAACAGAATGTACAGATAACAATCACATAATTCACAAAATCAGCACATGATTATCAAACATTTGATTGGAAACTACCCCAATACATTTCTCCTTAATGTTAGCCAAACAGAAATATAAATATAAAAATTAATTTAGCAACTACTGACTCTTGCATATTAACACAGTTTTCTTACTCTTTTCCATTAAATTCTCTGTTTTGTGTTGACATAAATTTACAGTCTTTAAACATAAGTATCGGTATATTGCGAATAACATGAAAACATAATTTTAAGGAATATTAGTGTTTAATCCACGTTGTATGCATATGTTGTAAATGGAATCTTATTTTTTCATGATGATGAACAATTGAGACCCCCTTTATGGATATAAATACTGAACAAAAATATAGAACACAAGCATGTCACAGCCATGAATTTGAAATGATTTGTTTAAGGAGATAAATGTTGTGTGAACAATAACTACATCAGTAGTGCAGTGGCATTAAATAAGAATGATAAACGGTCAGCTTGCAGTAAATTGGCATCCCATGGATAATGACATGATTGATGATGACTTTGATTACCTTATTTTACCTTTGCCTAAGGTAGACGAGAAAACAAAATGAGACATAACAACAGATAAATGTATAACAATCTATATAAAACAACAATTAGCTATTCTCTTCCTCCCGTCCATTCACCTCAGCTCGCGACTTTTTAGACATTTTTTCTGCGGGCGAGTCTCCATTTTCACTTAAAGAGTCTGCTTTCCTTTTCACAGGGTCCGTGATTTCCTTTGTTTCTTCCTCCGGACTTGTGTCGGCCATTCCTTTCAATTCCTCTGCGAAATCAGCTAATCCGAATTGTTGTGCTATTCGCATTCCTTCATCAAACAATGTGTTTTGCATGGCTGGCTTGGATTTTAAGATCTCCCCCGATGCATATAAATGTTGCCTGATCTGTTGATTGAAATCCTCCCCATCTCCTGAATTGTTTGGCGAGGAAGCCCCACTTGGAAAATCTGAACCTAAAAAATTTAAGAAAATCATGTTGCATATCCATAGATGTATTAAGATCAAAATTTTATCTTTAATAATATTTACATCACTTTGTTTATACTATCATGAGCTACATGTAGTTACTGAGAAATGTTCAGGATCAAACAGTATTTATTGGCTAATTACACATGCGACAGGATTTATTAAATACAGAATATTAGAATTATTCTAAATTTAAAAGAAAACGTAGAGTTTGACAATATTTAAAAGTGTGGCATTTACCTGTATCCTCATCAAATCCTGCACCCATGGTAAACCTGAAATTATACAAGCATAATTCTGAACAAATTCTGGTAAACAAATGACACATTGTAACTGGGATATTAGCTAAAAATGTACATAACACCCTACAATACTTTTGTGAACTCTGAGGATAGAACCTTTAACCTTAGACCTACCTCCTCTGTTTCCGGATGAGTTCACTCTGTTCTGTATATAGCTGGAGCTGTTGTGCGGTGACCTGTTCTATCTGGCTTTGTAGCGAGTTCACTAGGTCCATATCATTGTTTTCCTTTGCCGTATTTAACTGAGTTTTGAGCATTTCTTGGTTGTGAGTAACAACTGTCAACTCGGCCATTAAACGAGTCATTTTCTCCTGTAAAATATGTGTTCATTAATGGACAAATTCTGGAATACAACTGAACAATACTTGTTACACTTTTTAAAATCTATAACAATCATATGCTTGCCTTTATTAAAAAGAGATTTAAGTTATATTGAAATAGAATCATACACACTCAAGAAATATAAAATTTAACTCTATATAAACATCCACCACATAAAATACTCACAGAGTCCTCTGGATTTTTGACCATGCTTGGATTACTCTCACAAAGGTTGACGTACATCTGTAGGAAACCACTGTCTAACTTCTTCTTTCCCCCACTGGAGCCCCCCGAAACTCCGCTTATCATCAGGTCATTCAATCTAAAACAAACATTTCCACAGAGGTTACCCACAGGAGAAAGGAGAAGAAAGGTGAGGAAAGCAGTTTATTGGGGAATGCCATCTTTGATCAAATACCAACACATCCCTATGGTTAAATTAAGTTACTTTCAGCAAGGAAAAAAAATTATAGTCAAAAATAAAATTTGCAATTTTTAAAAGAATTTTATAAAGAAAGAAGAAATTGTTTTAATTACGCTGTTAAAAAGCTTTATAGATGGCAAAGTGAGAATGAAATTCGTATAAGAAGAAGTTGTTGTATTTTGATGTTTATTTATAGGTGGGAGGTGTTGGGTTGATCCAGGGGGAGATAAGTAACTGCCAAACAAACACACACAGACATACACACAAACCACACACAGTAGTATATAGCTATATAGGTAGGTGCATACTGTGCACAGAAGTCAGAGGGTGAAAGGAAATACAGATGATTCAAACATGACTGATGAAAATGAGAGAAATTGACAGGTGAAAACAAAACTTAGTTACCTCTTGGTTGAAGGCAGAGTTAGCATGTCTGATGCCCTGCAAAGTACAAAAAATTGTCCAATTCTTACTACTATCCCCCTAAGTCTGGGTTAGAAATATTACAGAAATGACTTACATTTTGTATATTTTTATAATTTCATAATTTGGCCAATCTTTTACCTGACCCCTAGGTAATAAAACTACTTTTGAACTCCAATCAAAACTTGTACTGTAACCTCCAAATAATACCGCTTTGCTTTAAAAGTCAAAGGTCATAAAAAAAGCTGGATTGTGTTGCATAGCTTCCAACATTATCAACAGACAAGTTTAGAAAATCCAATTCTTGAAAAAGGTCAGAAGTTTTCTTATAGGAAACATTGTGTCAGATTACAACCTTTGGAATGAATGTCTGTTCATGCTGATGTTCTTCCATAAAATTCTTAAATAGGCCTAAATTTTTTGTTTGAGCACATCTCCTTTAAATAGGATAAAAATGTAGTCAAGTGGAAATTGAGAATGAGGTTATTTAAATTTTATCATTTTTTTTTAAATGAGCATAGAGTACAAGTTTTGACACAAGTTCATTATTCTAAAAGTTTGACAACCTTGGGGCCAGAAACTGAATTCAAAATCATAAAAAAACACAACAGAAAGGAATATGAAATACAATAACCTAATCAGAAAAATTTAACTGCAATAAAAAAAAAACAGAAAAAAATAGAACTGCAGAAAAAATTGCTAACATAACATTTTACCTCTCTCAGTGTAATCAGTCATTTTGAATACAAAATTATTTTTATTTAAAACAAAATCACTTGAACAAAAGGAAAAATGTTTATAAAGACTAAAACAAACATAGTAATGGTGTCTAATCAACACAATAACCAATTAACCTGGCATGCTTTATTAGTTCATTAACATTCAACATTTTTTGTCACCTATGGTACTTTCTGGTTAGACACTTATAGGTTTGATTGTGAGTGGTCTCCCTTTATCCATAGAGAAAGAATAAAACATGCAAAATAATTCCATTCATTCTATACAATGTACATCCCTCAAACCCCTCCTCTGTATTAAGAATGGAAACTAAATTATTGTAGGCCTGATCCTGTTTTGCTCACCTGGAGAATTGATAAATACCCTACACAGGAATTATAAGAGAGTGTATCATGTCATATCTTAATTTTCCTCTTGACAAAGTCTTATCATTATGCACTTCAAGATGGCATTCCGACGTGCGACATTTCAGGGGACTTTGGAGTAAATAATTCATGAAATTTCTAAAAATCTGAAACTATTTGAGTATTGATTCAAGGGCTTGAGATACAAATTTGAACACACTCAGTAAAGCCCCTACCTGGAATGTCCCTTTGAGTACTGGTACCCACTGTCGCGCACCACCTGTCGAGCTAATGGGAACAAGTCCTCTCTCCTCGTTAACAGCGAGGGCATATGTCTGCACAGCTGGGCTGCTGCTTCATTGACTGAGATCTGAGAATAACAGAAAATGTCAAGGTTAAATTTCTTCCCAAACAACCAATTTACTCATATTATAGTGAGAACATAAATGCAGTCAATATAAGTTCTTTTTCTTTTGGTTACAATTGTACCTCATGTAAGGACATTGGTTTTTCTGACTTCCGCTTGGAATCAAAGCGACCATATATTGCAGCATATTTTCGTAACTGTTCCATTCTATTAGGATCATCCTCTGACATACTGTTGATTAATTGCTGTAATTAATTAGCATTAAAATCAATTAATTAATCAAAGATTCTTCAAATGTTTTATCAACAGCAGCTAAATGCTCTACAAATCTTGATCATTTATTTTCCTTCCAACAAAATGGAATTAATGACAAAAAGACAAATAATATTTGTACATAACTGCTTCATCAGTTTTAAAATATTTAGACTTCATCTAATTATTCATAAACATACCATAATTTCTTTGTTAATGGGTTTCTTCATGTTTAATTTCTTCATATCAAAGGGAGGTAACTCTTTGGCAAGTCTGGCTGCAGCCTGAGCGATGGCATTGATCTGGCTCTCCACCAGTATGGGGGTAGGAGTGGGAGATGTAGAGGACCTCATTTGCTGTTTGTCTGTCTGTATCTAAAACAAGAGTTATTTCTTTTTACTATATGTTTAAGAGGTTGTAAACTGCAGTTCATGAAATACATGACACATACACAGGCTTGGTAAAGACTTTGAAAAAAGAAAACCCCCAGAAAACAAGTAGACATTCAGTGATCAGTCTGCCATTAAACAGTATCATCAATACAGATTGTTTTTTTTTTTTATTATTGGAATCAAAGTCTGTCATGTCTACAGACTTCTCCTATAAATGACAAAAGTGCTGCATTGGAACTTAATAATGTGAGACATCAGACTTCTGAATGGATTTCAAATAGCTGTTTTTTCCTCCAATTAAAAAGACAAAAATCATTCTGGCTTTGCGAACTTTTTCTTTAACTCTTTGTGCAACATACACTTAGAAATTTACCATTTCCCCGCAAGCACCTTATAGTGTGATGACGTTCTCTTTTAATAAAAAAATATTTTATAGATGTTTGTAAGAATGAAATACAATGATATTGGCATTAAATTAAAGATTAAATGAATTTTTTATAGTGCGTGAAAATGCGTGATTGCGGGGAAAAGGTATATGCGTTATTTTGCGTTAGAAATAGGAAATGGTATATGCGTTAAATTGCGTGACTGCGGGGAAGGGGGTTAAATGATGAATATTAATTAGCAATCTAATTAAAGTTAGACTTGTATTTTCACTCCTCTTCTATACACCTCAATACAAAGAAGCATATCATAGAGGAGCGAAAATGCAGGTCTACTTTTAATTAGATTGCTTAATAAGTGGCCAATAATCTTTGCAGTCTAACTCATTGACAGCTTCTAAGTACCACTTCTAAACATGTAAAACTCCCCATTAGCTCAGACTTACAGAGAGTTCCTTGCTGTCACTTTCATGTGAGGAGTTGGAGTTGGTAGTGGTGGGGCCCGGGCTGACACTGGGGGCCCAGCTCGCTGTGGAGGAATTGTTGGTCATCGTCACCGTGGGATACACGGGCTGGGAGGGCTCTATCTTAGGGACTGTGGTTACCATGGTAGCCAGGTGAGATGAAGGGGTGGTGATTGTCTGGGACGCCACAAGGGCAGAGGCTGGAGAAACAGAGCTCTGAAAGGAAGCTGAAAAGGAAATAGAATTTTTGTTTTATCAATTCCATAAAGGTGTATGCTTTACAAGTCAACCATTTTCATTAAAACTTGAAAAAAATTCGTTTCTTAGAAATTACTTTTGGAAATAACCAAGCTGTAACATAAACCAGCTTTAGTTCCTGGCACCAGAAGTTTGTTGTTACCTGGATTTTGTACAAACTCCTGGAGAGCCTTCTGAAGCCGCCGGACATGGAGGGGTTTACTGGCCATTCCGACCAGAGCCATGATTTCTAGGAACTCCTCCTCTCCCGCCTCACACAGCTGCTGGACATCATCTCCCCCTAAAAATAATCAGTAATACAGTTACATACACTAAATCATTCACAGAGCTACCTAAATTACTTATAGTCTTCAATATACAAAGTCAATTTTGTAAAAATAACTGGTACATAAAGAGATCTTAAATGCAAAATTTTAAAAGAATTTTCATGCTAAAAAAAACTTTTTGAAAAAGGAAAAGAGTTATTATTTTAAATGGATAGACCTTTTATTAGATATATCTGTGGTTTGAACTCTTGGTAAAAGATCTTATTAATATCAATGAATTGAGGGTGTGTTTATACATGTACTAGCAAAGATAATACATATATATATATATGCATTTAATCTGCTTACAAGTTTCATCATAACTTCGACAAAATAAGCAGTTAAAGAGGGTGGGCTACCATGAATTTGATGAAATGGAATCACAAACAATATTACAGAGCATTCTAATGTAATTTGCCATTAGGATGTGAATCTTGTAATATGCTTTACATTCAGACAATTAACATCAGTTTCGTCTACTTTACTCTTTTGTTTACCCAAGGCTACATTATAACCAGGAAACTATTCATATATGTTTTAAGAGAAAATAGCAATATGCCAAAATGAATATCACAAGCTTGAGTCAAAAGGCAATCTCTCCACATTTGCAAATTTTCTTCAAAACATGTCAAGTTTATAGCCATGTAGTAATTGACAACACATAATTTTTTTTATCACTATCTCACATGGTCTGTGGCTCTGTGCAAAAACCCTCCCACCTGATAACCCTCTCACTGGCATATTATAAAAGTGCTCGTGAACTTGCTGAAACTACAATCTGAGACTAGACTAAGCTTCATTAGCTTATAAAATACACAAAATCTGCTTCTGATGTAGTACACTTTATCTGACACACAAAAAAAGAGCTTGGAATTGAAGTAATGCAACAATTGACATTAAACTGCACTCTTCTGTCTACTCTGTATAAAAATCTCCCTATTTAAGACCCACTTGGCTAATGAAAGTTCTGTATGTGGATTATACACAAGACTTTTCATTGCTTGAGAAATAAGTACTTTATTTCATATGAATACAGTGCTCAGAAAAACAGTGTTTCAGCTGTAAAATGCTTGTCACAAGTAACTTAGCATTTGTTGATTGTATGCATTTTAAAAACTTCTCCAACTCTGCAATGCTGGTCATGTTATTAATTTGAAATGGACCTCCTTATAAAAAAATTTAAGATCAATCATATGGAAAATATAGGTCACAGTATCAGAAGCATCATCTCTGAATATGAAGTGCAAGCCCAGGTGCAAGTTTATACACAAATTTGATAAATATATGATTTATATAAACCTCTAAGTTTCATTTTTCAGTTAGTGCAGCATCTGAAGCAAAATATTCTAAGTGATGTAATCCATGTAATCCATGCAAGGTTGATCACTCAGTCGTATCCACTTAGAAAATGACCTGCTCAAACAACCTTAACTTCAAGGATCAATCTAGCACACATATTGACACTCCTGATCAAGACCGACGAATTATAGCTATCTAGGATATCACTGATGCAAGATTTTAATCTGACCAACCATCTGAAAATTCCAAGATATTCGATCAGCATAAAAAAGACCTTATTGCACCTCTGCAATCAAAGCATCACTATCCATAACAGAATTCTTGTACACCTTTAAAGTGTTCTTTTGAAAATTTCATACGTACCAAATTCTGTTGGACGCCTTAGTAGCCATGGAGTAGAAATCAAATTCCTATAACCTTACTGCAAATCCACGACTAGGGTCGGACACTGAGTACGCAGTATTCTAATATTACCAGTAAAATAACATTTCCTAACCTTATATTCAATGAAAATTTTCAAAACCATAATAATTATTTACATCTACAAGGCTAGGCCAACCACATGATAAAAGAATTTCAGGCTTCCTCTATATATTTATGAGAAAAACTAAAAGCAAGACATTTTTGAAGACTGACACAAGAAATGTTTTTCTTAAAAGAACAGAATGTCTGACTAAAAGAAAACTTGTGTTACATTAAAGTGTAATAACTTAGATCAATAAAATTAACACCTATAGTATTGGACAGATACCACATCTCAGCTCTAATGTGATCAATTACAAACATGTACAGGATTGTATGTGTCTTCATTTCTGCAGCCTGTGAGCAGGAAACATTTGACCCCCTCGTTTCCCCACTTCCATTTGGTCCGTGTCACAAGCCTCCTGTATCCTGATCCCCACCATGAGGAGGAAATCCTTGGAGGTCAGACACGATAGATATGGCCGTTACAGGAAGTCAGGGCTTAGAGGATCCGGGGACATCCTGGTGATTAGTACAACCCTCCCCTCAGTACTCATTATCACTTATCAACACCCTTATACATCATGTACATACTCTCAAAACTTGTTCACACTTCAACACATCGTGTTATAATCCTATTTAAATCAACATTTTACTGTGAAAATAAAAACTTATGTGTCTTGAATAAATTTGTCCAAGTTTAAAAATTGTAAGAATCAAATTGTGAAAAAACAAGAGGTCCATGGGCCACATCGCTCACCTGAGAAACTTGGATGATGCTGTTCTTGACCAGATTTCCCCTCTTGTTATCCCTATTGTGGCTCCCTATCCCCTTCCCTTTCATGACTTTAATAATTTAGAATCTACACTATATCCCAGGATACTTCCACATAAGTTTCAGCTTTCCTGGCCCAGTGGTTTTTGAGAAGAAGATTCTTAAAAGATTTTTCCTACATATATCCATGTAAAACTTTGATTCCCTATTGTGGCCCTGCCCTACCCCCTGGGGTCATGATTTTAACAATTTAATATACTACCCAAGGATGCTTCCACATAAGTTTCAGCTTTCCTGGCCTCAGGGTTCTTGAGAAGAAGCTTTTTAAAGATTTGTTCTATATATTTCAATGTAAAACTTTGATTCCCTATTGTGGCCCCGCCCTACCCCCGGGGGTCATGATTTTAACAATTTAATACATGTATCTACACTACCCAAGGATGCTTCCACATAAGTTTCAGCTCTCCTGGCCCAGTGGTTCTTGAGAAGATTTTTTAATTACCCCACCCTATTTTGTTTCTTCTTGATTATCTCCCCTTGTAAGGGGACTTGGCCCTTCATTTCAACAATTTTAACTCCCCTTTACCCAAGGATGCTTTGTACAAAGTTTGGTTAAATTTGGCCCATTGGTTCTTGAGAAGAAGTCGAAAATGTGAAAAGTTTACAGACAGACGGACAGATGGAAGGACGGACAACGGACAAAATGTGATCAGAAAAGCCCACTTGAGCCTTCAGCTCAGGTGAGCTAAAAACAAAATTTTCCTTTCCTGAAAAAGAGGGAGAGTAATGTTGGACAACTAAAAAGGGTTAAAAACATTGATTTCCCGAGAATGATTTGGTGGGTCAAGGTCACTTTTAGTGACCTTGACTTAATTCTGACCTGTCTTACCCTGTGCTATAAATGTGTCGTAGTACTGTAGTAAGTTGCTCCTCTGTAGAACGCGGTAGAGCTGCCACTCTGATGAATTCCCAGGCTGGATGGAGGACATGCTGCCCTAACCTCACACTGAAAATAAAATCACAGACTCTGTTAATCTAAATGCTAACGAACAGAAAATTAGATCTACATAATAAAATACTTTTTTCAAAGCAAAAAAAATATGTCTGGGCTGTCCCTCATTATTGAATTCAGTTCATTGATACATGTAGTTTCAGAATGTTTTACTTTTTTTTCACACTAAAGATGTTAACTTGTATAATAAATTTCAGTGACTTAATTTGGTGATAAATTACACACCGTTTACACCGTTCAGATTGCTCTGAGGTTTTCAGTATTTAAGGTTAATGAACTTTGGATCAACAATTTACATGTAAGGGTTTGTAACTTTTCCCAGCAATTCCACTATATAGAACTTCAGAATCTGTCTTTCACTAAATGTATATTATAAATACTTATAAATTTCTATGGTAATATCCTTGAAAATTTCTAATATAGTTTTGTATACTTAATGATACATACTGTACTTTCATAATGGTACTGCCAGTTACAGCAGAGTACAGTAAAGATTAAGGCTTAATATAAATATACATGTATATAACTATGAAAGAAAGATATTTGTAAAAAAAAAAATTGATGCTCCTAATTTGAAATTATTCCTTTACTTCCACAATTATGTGACCTTGACCTGCCAAAAATATTACACAGAGTCTCTTACTCAAATACCTGCCCTTTTTGATATTTAGGGCAATTACTAATTTCAATGTTGTTCATAATCAAACTAACAAAATCCCCCCACCCCCTTTTAATTTAAATCTATATTCTTTTAAGGTAAATCGCTCGATGAAACTGTTTTTTCCCCTTAGCATTCCTAGGTGTTTCTCTTAGTTAATTTTTTACCCTATCTGATTGGGTGTGTTCAGTTTACATTGCAGGCAGCTTTCTAAGATTCTTCTCTATTTTTTATCTAACAGAAAAGAATTGCTCTGTGGTTTACAGTTTGAGAGTTTTTAACTGCTGCTGAGCTTTCCTTTTCCAATTCAAAAGGGCGGAAAAAAATCCTCAACAATTTGGCACAGATGAAGGGAAAAAAATTTTAGAAAAAAAAAATGCCTGAAGTTGATTTGTGAGAATCACAATTACTGTAATTTTTTTAACCTTTCATTTTTTTCCCTTACATAATTTGAACATAAGTTGATTTTTTTCGTGAAGCATGGATGCTCAGCCTCTCAGGCTTAATCTTTTATTTTAGAAACTGGGAATTCTACTTTTTAAAAAAATTCGGTTTTTTTATATATATATATTTATACATATGTATACACATCTTTTGTCCAAAATATTACAGATCTGTACAAATTTACTCAGATGGCTGCCTTATTTCAAATTTAAAGTGCAAAGGGGGGGGGGGTCAATGAATATTTTTAGGTAGCAAAAAATGTGAGCATGCAAATTATTACAATAAATAAAGATATTTGAATGTTTTAAAAAATAAACAGTATTTAATAGTACTTTAAAAAAAAAATTAAACAGGCCCCCCATAAAAAAAAAGCAACAACCCCTCCCCCTTTCCCTTTTAGTAAAAAGACACGAGACAAGGAAATTTTTAGAGAATATGTTAGTAAAATGACCAAAGAAGGTGAGAAATAAAAACAGACTTGCATTCAACTCCTTTTTTAACAAGCACATAAAACATCTTTTCATCTTAAAAAATCACCACCTCTTTGAATTTTGAAATTAAAATATATCCCCATTGTGGGCCTCACTCCACTCTGGTAAACATGGCTTCCCTTCACACACGCTACACCCACATTGATTTTTATTTCCCTGTGTCGTCAAAATCCCCACTTCTCGCTGACACAAAATATTAACAGGAAAAATAACGACTGAACCTTTAATAATAATCCACAATAAAATAAATAAAACTGAAAGAAAATTCCGAAAAACAATAACAATTTTATCTACCACCTTTGGTTGGTGTGCCCACGTTTCGTTGTCTCGCCGACCCTGGGGGTGCGTGAGTCCAGACAGATAACAAACAGACGACAACTTCCCAGATAATCTGACAGTTCATTTTATTTCCCTACCTTGTCTTATGTGCCAAACTTCACAAATGGGAACTTCAATCCTGTGTATGTGAAAAATCCCGACCCTAGAAACTTGTCGGCAGGGTGGGGGTCGATAAAGTAAATAGGGTGACTGCTATAAAAGGATTGAAACGTCACGCGCTCCTCGTGTATAGGTCTCCCAGCCCCTGATTGGCCGGCGACCCCCACGTGAATGACTGTTGTCGTGGGTAGGCACCGTATGGTTTGTGACGTATTTCCCCTGCAAGGCGTGGATGGTATAATGCGGCTCGACCACATTATCTGGCGAAGGTCGTTTTCCTTTGGCGAATACAACCGGGGGTGTTTACTCCACTCTACACAGATTACGTAGACTTTATACCGTGGAGTGACACTCTTAAAAACCGGGATGTGACTTGTCTCAAGTACTTTCCACGGATCTTTTTATGAAAAGGCTTTTGAATTTTTAAATATATTTTTTTATTAAATGAAGATAATTTTACTTATTATAATATTAAAATACTTGGAACCCGTGCCCCAGACGCGAGACATGTGTGTGCAATTTCTGGTTTGGAGTGGGTCCAAAAATAATTTTTGCGCCAGGGCAGAGCGAGTTCACGAACGGATATTGAATGGCAAAACCTGCGGGTCGCATTACTGTCGAAGTAAAGCCGCTTTCACAAAAATATTCTATTGATCCACGGAGCGAATATCGATTTTATAACGCCAGACCCACGGAGTTAGTCTTCATTATGAACAAGGCAAGCAAGGTATTGATTTTTTCCCCCGACCTGACTTGCGCTGCGCCTTATCCGCTGGGACAAGCCCGTGAATACTGACACGATAGCGCAGAGACAAAGGTTCAAAAGTTGGGATGGACTAGAATACAGTCCTTAGTTTTATTATTCGAGATTTCAAACATTCAACTTTGAGGGGGAAAAAAGGAAGAAACTAGCATGTCCTAAAGAAAGGTTCTTGAGGAAATATGAAGCTCTTTTCGCAGTCACCAGTTATTTATCACCTTGAAAGTGTGATTTGCATACGTTACAAATAGTAGATTTCCATGCTTTATGAACACACCTAAGTTTTTATTTAACAAATAAAAACACTTCCCGTGCGCGTGTATGAAGAATAAATCAAACCCAGCAATTATTTCCTTGCATGTCACGTACATGTACAGATGATAAACACTTTAATAAAATATAGTCGTGATCTCTATCCTTTAGTATAGGTACCACGCTTATACAGCATCAGAGAATATTAAGCATTGATACTAAATAATCGGATTTTTTATATCATATAGAGCTTTATTCTGGTGGGTGTCTCTGTGTAATTCTTTTCTTTCCTTTTTCTATGCATGTGCATATTGCTCTTTATGTGCACAGATCACTGCATTTCATACAGAATGTCCAAGCCTACGACTTCGTCTCTAAAATTATTCTGATGACTAAGCAGTTTTTCTCCACGGGATACATGTAATATTCACAATATATTTCCCCTTTTTCGCTGTAGGAAATATTATCGAGGAAGTTAAAATTTAACTTATGTCAGACACATACACGGGTATGCACACACCATCACTCACACTAAACTGTCGTACAAGATTTTGTATATACTAGTATTTTATATAAAATGTTAAGGTACATACTTTGAATATGAGAGCATCGAAGATACAGTGGAAGTAGTATATGAAGCAATTGTATCGGTTATCAGTACTGTTGGAGAGTCATTTCATAATACCAACCAGTTCTTCTTCTAGAGTACATTGTATTTAATTGTAAGCAGGAATCTTAATACAGATTTCGAACATGACTTTAATAATAGACTGGTGACAAATTATTGAAGTTGTACCGAAATGTGAAATTTAGCTATTTGCTCGCTAATCTTTCGTTTGTAATATATATAAAAAAAATATTTAGTGCAAAAACACACCAGATTTATAATGTGAATTTTTTTTCTCACTAGCAAACATACTCTGCAGTTGTATTTAGTTTGAACATGTATTTTTACTTCATAAATAATACCTGTTAACTTTTCCACGATACAAAATTCGCCGTAAAATTTGTACGGATTTTTAATTATCAAATTAAAAGTTTTGCCATTTTAAAAATACGGAAATCGGAAATACGCTTTGTCATATGGAATTTAACAGTTAGTTTTTGTTTTGATTGCAATTTACAGTATTCACCATTTTTGTACGCTAAAGAGAGAGAGATTTCAAACACATAATCGATGACACACACATACAGAATTCTTATGGAATGACAAATACCTAAAATATGTTAAATAATGTTTTATGTAATCAGAAAAGCAGTTTTTCTAAAACAAAAAATTTCAAATATATGTAAAATTGATGGAAAGTGACATTATTATTATAAAATGATCTGCTTCTGTTTAATTGAAGGACAAATGTTTTAACAAATACTGAGAGGAGCGTTATGGGTAAACATATATCATGCATGTGTATTATATAAAGTAATTGAATGTAATTAGAAAAGTTTGAAATTACTGTTTTGGCGGTAATTAATTAAATTACAATTACAAGTAATGTGAAAAAACAAAATTTCATTTGTTCAAAAAATGTAATTAATAATCAATAGAAATATTTTTTAAAAAAGGACATCTTAAAAATAATGCTTATTTGCCTTATCCCAACTCAGGGTTTTAAAAAAGTGTAGGTGAGGAAATCGTTTTTTTTTTCCCTAGAAAACTTTAAAGTCATATATGGCGTATTTTTTTATAAGTTCAGACTAACTAAAATTAAATTCTTTCTATTTGTTTTGTTTCTTTATATAAAGATAGGACTTTCCTGTAAATTACACAATTTAAATCTTTAATAATAGATTGGTGACAAATATCAATAACCGAAATGTGAAATTTTATTTGCCCGCTAATCTTTCGGAATGTAAAATAGAAGGCACAATTTAAACAATTAAACTTTATAATGTGAATTTTTTTAAGTTCAAAATCGGTGAAAATTTGAATTTGAACGTGTATTAATAACAATATCATGTAAATCTTTTCTTAATCATTGTGAAATTTATATTATTATTATTATATTTAGCTCAGATACGCCATATATAGCTTTAAATACATACTCACAGAATGAAAAAATCCAGGAATAAAAAGAAAAAATATATCGTTTCCATGAGGGAGCTTTGAGTCGAGCAATTTTTTTGTCAGTCGGTCGGGAGAGAGCAAACATTTTTAAAAAATTGACTTTAAATTGGTATCGAATTTTTTTTGTTCAGAAAAAAGTGTTAAAAAATATGCAAAATCTATCACAATCGATTGTACCTTTGACTTTCGGCTACTTGGAATGGGAAGTCAATATGCATGGACATCAAATTTAAAAAGAATCAGTGGCTAAGCCTATAGAGGAAATATCCCCTCCCCTCCTATCATTTGTTAATAAGAGATGCAGGGTCGTAACTTTGTTTTTGAAAAAGTGTTGGGGGTGGGGGATCCATTTGCCTGAAAAAAAATTGCCCAAACTCGAAAGAGGGAACTTCCGACTTCTTTTAAAAACGTTTTTTTTTAACTCATACCTACTACATGTACATTACGATATTTGTATGCAGCAACAAAAAGTGGGGGGGGGGAACCGGACTTTCAATTAACATTCTAGTAAAAGTTATGTCTGGAAAAAGTGGAGAAAGGGCCTACCGGGTCCCCATGATGCTAAGTGTCTGGATATGCAGACCCCGGGCCGTGACTGCGACAGCGTGTGTCTAGAGAGGATAAAATGCTTTTCACTGAAAGACCCCGAAATAGGCCGTGGACAATGCGACTTTTTTTTTTTTGCTTGTCAGGTTATTTTGTAGGTCTAAAAAAATTCTTACACTTAGCCCCCCCCCCCCCTTACTTTTATTTACTCCCGACGCCAATGCAATACATATTCCGTACGAATCCAAAAGAAGTCATACCAAAGCTGAAGATAGTACAATTTTTAAAAATAAAAAAACGTATGAGGGAGTAATTAACATTACCTTTGTGCTATTATTTTACTGTCACTCAAAGTGCACATAATTTGCAGGCCCGTGAGAAGCAATTTAGTTTTGTTAACGATGGGTAACCTGCGTCACCTTTCAGAGTAATCAGTGGACTCGTCCAAAGACTTGCGGCGAACGATTCCTACGCTAAGAGCGCGAAATCTCTGTATGGAAACTGTTGCGGCTGCGGAGCTTCACTCATTGTTCATTCGCCATAGAAAAGAATCCAACATTTAACACTTAAAAAAAAAAAACTTCATTTTTGCGGGAAATTCGAGGGGCTTAGTTATCTAAAACGATTGTCATTGTATCATCTGAGTAAAAAAACGCGGGAAATTCCGTTGTCAACGTTTTGCTTACTCGCCCTAAAAACGAGAGAGCAATGGTGAAATGGACTAGTGCACAATTCACTTTTCAGGATGATAGCCTGTTTTCGAGAGGTATGCACCTAGACGTGCTCTGAACAAATAATCTTAGTTTTTCTTTCTTTTTCATACACATTCAAATTATCTATACACTTGTGAATCAGAAATTCCAAATTAAGTACATGTTTATTTTCTTACTCTTACTGCAGCTCCAGAGAAATAAAAAGAATGAAATAATTTCCATGTTGTAATTCTCTTATTCAACTAAAAGAGACAATTTGAAAAATGTGTTAACTCCAGTTAACAAGTAGTTTTACCTCTGAGCAAAAATGGTGCTCATTTAAAAAGTGCTAATTTGTTCACTAGAAAACAAATTTTTATGCAGTTGATGTGTTTGAAATGCACATTTCTTCCTTAAAATGAAATACAAATTGATAGAACTAGTGATAATAGAAAATGTCTCACAACTCCCTCCCCTTACACACAAAAGTATGTTGTATGATTGAAATCACACTCCTTCCATATTAACCATACAAAGCATATAAAATATCAAAAGTTCATATAAAGTGAAGAATCAAATTTTCCATTCAATTCACACAATACACTAGAGGAGAACAATACAAATCAAATATCCTCTTAGATCAGTCAACTTTTATTGTTATATTCTGAAGCATGATGAGAAACTGAAGTAAACCCTAACACTGATCATAATCATATAATATATATGATCATTCTCAACTATAATCCATCATACATACATATCCCTATTTAAAACTAAACATACATGTAGATGGCCAACATAACAAGATAAAATAGTGTACTGCCATTTGGGAACTAAAACAAAATCACAGACATAACAAAATCATATATAAACATCAGTAAACTAAAGGAATGCATAAAAAATAACCCTGATATATCCTACTGTCTGAGTTTTATAAACAGAATAATTGTAGCTATGGTGAGCATTATAAACCCGAGGTATCCAAAAGATTGAAAGCCATACTGCTTCAGTAGATATCCCCCAACAGTAGGAGAGATTGTCCTTATTAAAGAGTTAACAGCCATGTTCAATCCCAGCATCGCTCCTAGAAAATAATAAACAAGACATTTTACCTTATATTGACAATTTTATTATTTTTATTAATATGTCAAGACAACTGTGTAAAATTGTCCTCCTGTGTGAGTATAAATTTTGTATAAATAATAATATAAATTTATATAAAAAAAATGTAAAAGGATGTATGTATTGTCATTTGTCAGCTTATCTCTATGTCAAAAGAACTTTTTAATTCAACTAAATCATTATAGATAATATATGTAGTTATGAGTTATCTTTCCTGATTATCTGTATCCTGGTCAGACACCGTTTTTGTGAGGGCACTGCTGACTACAATATTTTGTAATGAGTTATCTTTCCTGATTCTATTGTGACCGTTTTTGTGAAGGCGCTGCTGACTACAATATTTTGTAATGAGTTATCTTTCCTGATTACCTGTATCCTGGTCAGACACCGTTTTTGTGAGGGCGCTGCTGACTACAATATTAGAGGAAGCCAGTCCCACAACTAAAGGAGCCATGACTACACACAACTGGAAAACATCTGTTACAAAAGCCTGAAAACAACAGCATGCAAGCCATTAATTTACTTAATAAATTCATAATTGGATCACAAGTCTCAATACCTGTGTGAAATGTACTTACAAGTGCTAAATAGGACCAAACTAGAAGAAATGATGACCATTTGAGTATGTCATTTTCTGAGAACTTCTTTGTTAATATTCCAATGCCAAGACCTTGTACAATCTGAAATGAATTGTGAAGTAAGAAAAGACAACTCTTCTACTTTTGATGTCTCATTCAAATTCAGATTTAAGGTTCAGTGTATTACCATAGTTAAAATTCCAACATAAGATAATAAATAGCCATTCTGCTCTGCAGGTAGTTTAAAAGTTTCCAAGGCAACAACCGAAAACATGCTTTGGAAAACTCCAATTGGCAGTCCTGTAAAATACAGCATAAAGTAAATCTCAGTAACTTGGGAGGATTAATACATTGTCCATTTAATTTTTTCACCTGTTATTTTACAATTTATTGACCCTCTCTACACCAGTGCAAAATGTTTTTTGAACATTGAGAAAAATATATTCTATAAAGATGTCAATTTTTAACTTCTTTAATTAATTTTCACTGTATAGTGCGAGGCATTTACCCCCAGGAAAAATAATCAAACATTACACATGTATCAGAGAAAAAAAAATCAGTTGTGTATTTCCATGGAGAAAGTGCATGTAAATAACATGTTCATTAAATTTATATTGGTCTACTGAAATGTAAAGAATACATGAATTTATTAAAAACTGTGTAATAAACAATGTACTGTGAATTTATATATTTTATAATTTAGAAAAGTGAAAAAGTTTTACATTGAAGTTATAAATTAATTGTACTTGTGTCTTCGTGCACAAATTGGAATTTTTTTTGTTCAAAAGGGCATAACTCTGTCAAAAATGGTGTGATCATACTCAAAACATAACTTGACCTCATATTTCTTTTAATTTGAACACATATAAAATATTATTTCAAAATGTTTGCAACCTCTTTGAAATTGTTTGAAACTGCAAATAATTAGAATTTTTCCAAGTCCAAGGGGCATATCCCTGACAGTTATGGTGCGATCATACCCAAAACAGAACTTGACTTAGATATTCATCTGACTAATCTGTATACTAAATTCCGCGCCGCCATTTCAATATGTGCATCCTCTCCAAAGAAAATGAACAGAAACTGCAAATAATTGGAATTTTTCTAAGTCCAAGGGGCATAATTCTGTCAATTATGGTGCCATTGTACCCAAAACAGAACTTGACCTAGATATTCATCTGATATACCTGTATACCAAATTTCATTTCAGTTCACTTCGAAGGGGGGCATAAAAAATACCATAGAATCAGAACTCTTTAGTGTGTAGTGTAGAGAGGGTTCTTGCAAAATCCTGTTTAATTTAAAGGTTTATAAAGCTAAAAATTATCATTTATATCTAGCACTTTCCATCTGCTATACTTTTTCCAGGTAATTTTATGTACAGTGTATTAAATTCATCATTGTGTGACAGTGAAACTAAAATTTCCAGCCCTGTGACCCTAACCTGCCAGCATTCTGATGAAGAGTAAAAAGGGAGCCCCAGGAGCCATTATCAAGGAGAAGAGCTTCTTCAAACTGAAAACAGCTGAATCTGAACTCTCTGAAAATGAAAGTGAAATTATACTCTTCAACTTAAAGGTTTGCTCATTACTAAATTCAATTCAATTCATTTATTGACAACACCATCATACATTGGCATATAGTCATGAATACAACAATTAACATACATAAAATAAAATATCAAAGAAAGCATATCAGGTTTGTTGAAGGTTTTCTTTTAATATCAAAGCACTTTTTCAAAAAGTTACAAACTAAATATGCAGTTCTAATACTTGTAGGATTGATAATGTTGATAGTGTTGGTAGATGCAGTAGGTGACTCAATGATAATACATGTATAAGGGAATAAAGAATCAAACACATGTTAATGTTAATTTTTGTTCTTACAAAAAGTTCATTTTAGCAGGGACCTATATACCAACGGGATAGGCAACTACCGCAAGTCTCGCAATATCTCGTAAGTCATGGGATTTCGTAAGTCAACTTTAATTAATTATATCTCTAGACTAAAGCTATCACATATTTGAGATCAAATCCTTTAATTATCTGTCAAAAAATCATTCAAGATTTGTTTTTAGCACGTATTATACTCCTTATCTTCGTAGTAATTTTGTTTTATGCAAAATTAGCACATGCCCCAATCGGCCATATTTCCGAGAAATCACCGATTTCGGTGTTTGTTTTCCTTATATTTAAATTATATTATTATTATGCTTTAAAATTTATTAATAAATCAATTCCAATACATAAAAGGAATAAATGATATTAGTCAGAAAACACCCTGTTTACTGGAAATAAACGTAGTTTGAAAAACTAAGTGTTGTGCGTGATGTTTTGGGTAAATAAACATGGCGATGAAGGAGTTGTCTATCCCGTTAGTATTTAGGTCCCTGATTTTAGTTATGATTTGAAGTACTTCTGTGAAGTGTATATTTTGTTCTTATAATTAACAACCAGATCTCATGATTATTTAAATTTAAATATTATTCTATAGATAACATTCATATTATTCCCATAGCAAATCAAAAGAAATATGCAATGAAATGATAAGGATAAATTTTGATTGCAAAAAATGAAAGCTTTGATTGATTTAATTGTTTTACCCTTTATATGTGACTTCTTTGTTCTCTTTGGCACAAACATCCACACAATGCCTATACTGACAAGGGACCCAGCACAGGCCACAAAGGCAGCTGTCTGTTCACTGCAACACAAAAAGAATGAATTAAATTACCAGTGGGCAGTAATACTCACCTGTCTAATAGTGCTCTTACAGAAAGGAATAGTATAGAATATATAGAGCTCTTTTAAGAGTCATTCAAAATTCAGCCTATAGTCAGCTGTAATTTTAAAAGTCTTGAATGGATATTACTGCAGATAATGACACTTGCATATTAGTGTTACAAATCCAAGTTCTATAGGGGTATTACTCTGAAGAAACCAATGAAATGTTTTCCAAATATATTTATGCATATCTTAAACAACTGAAGGTTTGTTTGAACAATTACTGAGTCTCTCAAATTTGTAAATATGGCCATGACAAACACCTCTCTCCATAAATAACTGAAAAATAATGTTTTTTCCAATTATTTCTGCTTAGGCCATAATAAAAATATTCCTAGATTCTCATCCCCGCCCGCCCCGATTTTATACTCCCGCCTCGATTTTTTTTATTTCTGTTTTTCTTCGTCTTAATTCTGATCAGGATCGGTATTCATCTACCATTCTACTTTCATTTTTAATCCCGCGAAAGTCGACATGATTTTGATGGCTGAAAAGATGGTAATTGCTGTAATACATGCGTATATATTTTAAACAAGGGTCATTGGTTGAAAAAGATTGGTGATGATGTGAAGTGAGAGATAATTGAACCCTTATTATGACTTTTTTCGGGTATTATAGATAAAATTACACACATTGACCAGGTCAATAAAAAATCTGCAAAATTGAAAAAATAAAAAAATATAAAATAAAAGCCGCCCGCCCGCCTTGATTTTTAAAAAAATTCGAATGAGAATCTAGCAATTTATTTATTATGGCCTTAATAAGTTTATATTAACATTCTCAATTTTGGAATTTTCACATTTTCTTTAGTCCTGGTAGATTGTCTTTGACCTTCATCCCATGACTGTTTATCATACCTGAAGTATTTGGTCACTAATCCTCCTAGAAATGGGCCAATCACCATGCCCACTCCGTATGACAAGCCCAGCTTGCCCAGAGCTGCTGCTCTCTGTCCTTCCTCACCCATATCTGTCACAATCATCTGCCCACCTGTCAAAGATAACAATCATTGGTATCCTGTTCAAATCTGTATATATTTTAGTTGGATGCTCATTTGAGTTCATAATGAGAGGCATTAGGTCCATGAGCCACACCAGTCACCAGTGTCAGCATAACCTTGTTTTCCCCCTATCTATTCCAATGTAAAACACTACCTGGAGATGCTTCTACCCCGGTAAATAAATACGGCTAATCATTGAAAATAGACCCATGATTCTTGAGTAGAAGTTAGAAGTTAAGAATGCTAAAAGTTTTCATATGGACAGTGCATAAGACATGAATTTGAGTAATTATTAAGATAAAAGAAATCAAATGTATGAAGGAATACCAGTTATTTTTAGTTCAACTGTTTTAATTTCATGCTGCAAGAAATTAATTTAAGTTTCTTTTAAGCATTTAAATATTTTTAAAAACTAATGATAGCATTCATGATGGGTTTCATTTCACAGAAAAATGATAAATCACGACACATAGTGAAATTTAAACCAACATGAATATTTGCCAATCTACAGTATGAAGGCCAGGTGCCTGTTAAGTTCAAGACAACAGACTAGTAATTATTTAATTAATCCAATTTTTGATGGTCAAGTAAAGCCACTTAAACATAACATTTAAAACCAAAATATAAAATTTTCATAGGTAGACAAAACAGTGAAAATTAAGACCATATCATATCTCGTCTGATAAATATACTAATGTACAATCTAGTAGTCACACTCTGTATCAAGTTTTAAACCCACCTTGCATAGCATGCATGAAAATGGACGGCAGTCTGGATAGAAAAAGTGAAAAGAAATTGTCAGCTATTCCCAGCAGGAAGTAGGAAGCTGATGCTGAGGCAAAGGCCAGGGCCATGGCTGCTCTCCCCCCAAACATGTCTCCAAATCTCCCATACACTGGACCCCCACATAACTGGACCACTGCAAATGTTGTCTGAAGATATCCAAAGAATACTGGATCCACCCCAAGCTTCTTTGTTAAGTACTGGAAATAAAACAAAAAATAACTTTATCACGTGCTGCTACTTTAAAGAAACATTAAGACTGATTTTAAACAAAAAAAATTAAAAATAAATTCTGTAGATGTACTTTTTTTCTTAGAGAAATTTTTCTACCCTCTGTGCACTGTCAAAATTTTTATGCAGATTTTTTTTTTTTGCAATGTTCTTGAAATACACTTAAAACAGGGCTCACACTGGACCGAAAATATTTTTCGCCACTTTTCGTGACACAAGCTTTAAGGAAAGGCATACTTACATCTGATTTCTCGACAATGCAATTCACTTTTTGTTATTCAATTTTTTTTTTATTATGTTTATCTGACACAGACATAATTGTTTTAAAATTGTAATATTTAAAGCTTATGGTAGTATCCATTTAAAAAAAGAAAAAAATTAATATTGGAACAACACAATTAATTTGATAATTGTATTGATATCAGCCAACTCTTGACAGAAAATGTCCTCTTGTTTATATATTTTTTTGGCCTGGGAAGGAGGGGGGGGGGGGGGCTACAGACCTAGTAAAAATAGGACATTTTCTGAAAATGGAAATTTTCATCATTTCATTAATTAATTGTGAAAAGAAGTAAATTAAAAAGTAATGAAAATTAGGTTTGAAACTTAACAACTTGGAAACTCCAGGGTTTAATATGCAAGCTCATTTTATTGTAAATAATGCAGTGTAATTTACTAACTAAAGATTATTCTGTTTCCAAACCAATTTCTTTTTAACTCTGGTATATTAATGTACACATTTTTCAAATTTCAGTAGGTAAAATTTGAAGCCATTCTTTACAATTTTCGTCATGTTTCCCTACTTTCGGTTTTAAAAAAACGATCTACATAGATCCAGATTTTGTTGATAAAAATCTTTTATTTACTAATTTCATCTCCCAATAACACTTTATCCCCCCTTGTTTACTCCAAATTATATTATTTCAAGCAATTTTGTAACCCTTTATTGCTCCAGGCTAGTTACCTAGTCAGCAGTGTTCGTTCAAGCGAGACGTGATTTCCTACATGTAGGTTTCAGTTTTCACACCTCTGCTGCATTAAGTAAACAAAGGGACTTATCTGTGTACATTGAATAAACAAAGGAGCTAACCAGGACTACACAAATTTTGTACATGGTACATCTAAAAAATTCATTTTCGCCACTTATGAATTTCTTTTCGCCACTTTTGAAAAAAATTCGCAATTGGTGACAATGGCGAATCACAGCTCGAGCCCTGACTTAAAACATTTAAAATCAATCCATGATTTTTACTCAAATAGAAAACAGGAATTGCAAGTACATTTATAGTACTTGTTTGTGTGGAGCGTCATAGAATAATTTTTACAACTGTTTAGACTCCAATGGAGTCAGCAATAACCTAAACTTAGTGTTGCCATTGAAATTTAAAATGTCATGATGTGAATATTTGGGTAAATTAGAAAATTTGAGCTCTTAAGTTTATGGGTTTTTCTTCTATAATCAGACATAAATATATACAATTAAATGTCTGTGTTTGTTGATACAGGATTTATTTAACAGTTGCATTCAGTGCAGAAAAAGTTTACATATCTTGCTTATGAGTCAAATCTTATTAAACATTTGTATTTTGTAATAATTGTTTTGAAAGAAGTACAGAAAATTGAAAATTTTGCAAAAGTTATGTCCCTTTGCAAAGTGAAAAGGGCGATGCAATATATCCGCTTTACACTATCAAATATTTGGAAGTGTTCAGATAAAACAACATTTAAACAGAAATTCTTGCAATGTACACGAATTTGTTGCATATCATTGGGCAACAAAAGTAATTTGAAATGCAAGCATTTTTCTCTGCCAAAAGACAATGTTGCTGATCAAATAAACTAATGTGAGCATTCTATGCTAGTTAGAATTATGAAACTGTGTCTTGGTACAAGCCCTCACCACAGTTAGAATACGTCCCATATACTTGCAATGTAGCAAATCGGAGCGGATCCGCTCCGAAACGATTTTGAAGAATATAAAAGGATTTGCACTGGAAATAACTACCAAATTAATCAAAACAAACCTTTTTGAGATTGCTTATGCCTTTTATCCCAGAAAATAATCCATCTAAAGACGAAAATCCAATTAATTTTCTCAATGTTTTTCTCTCGCTTCAAATTTACCTGCCATGTTTACATTCGGAACTCTCTAGATTGTTCGTAGTAAATGCACCGAGTTATAGTGAGTACGAGTTATCACCCATGTTTCTTTTGCTACATTACGAATATATGGAACGAATTCTATCGTTAAACCGGGTCTGTAGGACAATATCATTTTAACTATAGAATGTTCTATCTAATTCTATGCCTTCACCATCCTAAAAATGACATCAAGGGACATAACTTTTGAAAAGATTTTTTGAAGACTTTCTTACAGGCAAAGTGCCTATTTGTATCCAGAAGCATGTCGCATATAGGAAGATGTTGAAATGGGTACTAAATATGACTCTGTTAAATTTCCATTTCCCAATTTGTACTTCATTGGTAGAATGCGGAAGTTGGGTGTTTTTCTCAGATACTTCAGTGGGAGCATCTCCTCCCATGTTGTCTAAGCGTTTTCTCCTTGCTCGCGATCGAGTTTCCATGTTGCCACTTTGTGTACCAAACTGTTACTACAGAATAACATTACTGTCGTTTAAATTATATCAAGATTAACATTTGCAAACATTTAAGAAAAAGCCAAAGGAAAACAATTTTCCACGTACAAGAAAAATCGTCGATGTTATATGAAGGCTTATTTGTACTTATGCCTCTGCGCCTTTGAAAGAAGAATTTTGTAGACTAAGAAAAACTACCAGAAAACGTGAATATTGTCGTAAAATAAGATTTGGAAAAATTAATATGTCTCGTATTGCATTCAGCGAAACGGAAATTAATTCGACTTGATCTACATTAATAATTCTTTTATCAATAAGCGTAAACATTTATTTTTTCAAATTTAGAACATTTACGACAACCGAAAAATTTTATACAAAACAAACATGTCACATGATAGTCAGAAAGTAGGTAGTGTGTATAGTATAGATAGATAACGGCGGCATCTATGACTTAGACTCTCAGGGAGGAGACAGGAGGTGCATCATGGTAAGTTTCAGTCATATAACTTACTCAGATTAAATAACCGCAGAACCACACTCTCATCAGCTGTTCAGAATTGCCCAATACCTTTGGATGGTAACGTGACAATTTAAGACCTCTGATAGTCTTGAAGACGCGTCACATGACTTGGGGTTAAGGTCAGAATATGGAATAAGTAAAGGTATATTTTGAGTTAGTTCGAGGAAAATTATTTCCTTCACCTTCCCCTTTTAACAATATATCATTATATGCAACTTCTACATATGCATGTATTTGCCATTTCCCAGTATATTACTACAGTAAAATCCTATGTTGTATTGTTTTTTTACCTGCAGTTTTTTTTAATCCCATGTAAAGAAAAGCTTCAGAAACCCTCTTATGACATCAATTTACTAAATGTAAATAAAACTACAAGTTTATTTTATTTATGTTTTAAAAATTAGAGCAGTTAGACACGACAAGCATAACCTGTTACCTGTATATTATACATAATGTTCGGAAGCATAGATGACCTTAATCAATCACCTGTCTCAAGGCCTTGCAATCATTTTTGTGTTAAAAGGCATTATTTCAAGAACAGCCTTGTGATACTGCCCATGTGACTATACATTGTGTATTTCTGTTCTCTCATTCAGTTAATAGTAGACAGGAAAGCTTGCGTAAGAGTGGACTAAGACTTAAGTGTTGTGAGATTTCTGATTTAATTTGTTCTAAAGTTAAGTGAGGGAGGTATTCATGACAATGGTAAGGGAGGGAAATAAGCAGCAGGTGGAAACCATTCCTAACGGACATGCACCTGTATCAGATATCCAGGTACTAAAAGTTATACATTGAATATGAGAAGACAGTGATTGATTATCTTGAATCTTCTTTTTTTTAAGGGTAATCTAAAAATGTTTATGAAATTGCAATTCTTATGCACAGTTGATGTATTTTGAGATAAGATAAATAAACACATTATAATTAAAAAAAGGCTTCAATTTGTATGAACTGGAATTGATTGTACTAGTAGTAGTACGTACTGACATGTGGACACTGGAATAATATATCTTGATGTAGTAGTGGAATTATTTCTTAACTAGATACATGTCTAAAAGTTATGGCAACTGTTGGGAAAGATGTTCATAAATTTACCTCAGTTATAATTAAACTTAACTAAGTTAACTAGAATTTTCACAATGCAAATGGCAAATCTGAAATTAGAGTTGCTACATTGTTGGGTAAGGAGATGGGATGGGATTGGGTGGGGGTAAGGTTGAAAGGAAGGCTTTATCAAACACTAAGTAATGTTTTCATACATTCATCACATAAAATCATTTTCCCCTAAATTAAAGAGCAGCTTACCTTGCATTTCTTACAAATACTGTAGTAGGTGTTTTCTTTTTTCAACTCCCAATGATAGCATAATTGATAAAAGGATTTTCGGAGTCATTTAATGAAATTCCTCAGCTGAAAAGATTCATACATAGAACTGTAGTCAACATTTATACAATTAAGTTCAGTGAATGGAGTATATTGTGTGCTACTTCTTGTACTGCCCTAAGTTATCTTTCTTGTAAAGAGACTAGTTTCCTGTGGGATGGTGAGGAGATAGAATACATGTATAAACTTTTACTTACTGATATTATGATCAAACAATGAAGTTCTTTATTCCATCGTGATACGTAGACCCTTGTGCAAAAATGCATTTTATACTTTGGGGGATTACTTGTGTGCATGAGCAAGTATGAATGCCATTATAAATGTTAACTCGGATTTAATTCGGAAGGTAAATTTTGCTGCTGAACCCAGGCTTGAGTATTTTTTAATTAATCTGTTTGTGCACCCTTTCAGAATCATTGTTATACATTGATCAATTTGATGTGCATGATGAATCTGTTTTACTTTCTAATGTGCTATTTAAATCTGAGTTGACACAGCAGGTTATTTTGCCTATCATATACATGATATAGTATTTTTGCATAAAGAGATTGATTCACTTAACATTGATAAAATTCCTTTCAAGTATTTTTTAGGCATGATTAATTTTATGTCTGCTGTTGATCTCTCGCTACATATATTATGAAAATCTTTTAAAAGTACAAATGTTTATTTTAGCGATTATCCTTGAATATAATGTGTGTCTCAGAATGTTTTTATATATTAGGTATACACTGTGCCTTGTGATGTAAGACTTGACTTAGCTGTGAACCGTTATAGAAGTGTATGATCCGTGTGCATCACCTTGAAATAATTATGTGGTCATCCTGTAATCTGAAATAAGATGACACAACCTATATATAATTTCCTCTTTTGTATATTTCTTGAAATTTGAATAATGTTCAAAAATGTAAAAAGTAGACGGTATAGCGATAAGCTCTGAAGTGAACTTTATGAACTAATGTATGGTACTGAGCATCTGAAACAAAATCTAGATAACATCATCATATCATAAGCTTTATTTTATTTATTTAATCATCTTATAAGAGTAGTACAAACAAACAATATCCCTCCACCCTAGCTAACAGTTTTACTCGTGGAACTGACATGCTTTGAATTATCAAACATTGTAATTATGTGTTACCATTCTTCCTTTCACATGCAAATATCATGTTACGTTTACTATCTTAATATCCAGGGCAATGGTATACGGAAGTCATAAGACATAATTAGATAAAAAAAGAGTTGAGAGTGTCTGTATTTATGTGTAATGTTTAGAGGGAAGTCTTTTTAAAAAAATAAACGATTTCATTAATTATGAGCTTTCACTCTAACAGGCTTTTCATTATCTCATTATCATGTGATACACTATAGATAACCATGTGACAAGTACTGGTGGTAAAAAAAAATATCATGCAATAATTAGTACAGAATATAAATATTGACGTCTGATTTCAAAAATTGTCACTTTAATTAAGTTTATAGAAAAAAATTTCTCAAAAATATGTTTTAAAAAAGTAAGATTATGAGATTTACTGTGCCCTATTTCAAATGGAAGTACATGTGTACTTTTATCCATACTTAAAAAAAAAAAACAATAATGAAACATATTCATAAATATTGTATTCCTCTAACAATGTTTGTATGTGCAAGCTAGATGATCACGTAATTAATCATTTAATCATGTTAATTCTTATAAAAATTGAAGAGAAACACTTTAAGTTTTTGACAGCTCTAAGGTGTGCATACAACAAATGAATGGCAAAAAACTTAATGAATGAATAAGATAAATGTAGTTCAGATGATTTTTTTATGTTAATCATTCATTTTATAGACAGGTATGTTTAATCTCTACATGTTTACACCTGTATGTGAATCAGGCAGGCATCTCAAATTTTATATCCAAGGAAATGCGTGGTCACAAAATTAGTGTCCAGTCCCTCCATATGTAAGAATGTTTAAAACTGGAGGCCATTGTCATGCTAATTCCATGCTTTTATTATGTCCAGCATTGATAATGGTACACAATTATCTCTAAGTTAGTTCAAGTTTGACATAGTCTGAGTAGCATAATTTTAAACATAAAAGCATCAATAAAGTTTGTTCAAACTACACAATATTCCTGGGAAGTTATTTTAAAGACTGAGCTGAAGGAATGACAATAAACTATTTGACAATTCTATTTGAATTGTGCATATACCAGTACATGTAGTATTTTGATGCCAGAGATGTAATGATGTGATATAGATCTAAATACATCCTAAGGACAGATGATGCAAACAAAAAACAATGTGATAGTGAAACACACATGCTCCCAAAAGGCAGCTTATGGTGATGGTTAAAGTTCTAAAAATGCACGTCATACTCCAAGGTCAAGTCACTCAAGTGATCAAAAATGTTGTTACGCCAAAAAAGGCCTGGTGTCAGTGGATATTCCTGGTAAATATGAAAGCCCAAGCACCAGCCATTCAAATGTTATCATCAAGGGTACAGTTTTCTTAAAGTGGGTCAAGGACAAGGTCAAAGGATCAAAATTAATGGTACATAAGGGAAGACCATGTCATAAGAAATATACATGTATGCAAAATATAAAAGCCCTAGCACCAATTAAATGTTATTTGAAAGGTGAATTATTTTCAAAAGTAGGTCAAACTTCAAGATCAAAATTTCAAAATTGTCGGTATCAAAAGGAAGGTCTTGTCCAAAGGAAAATACTTGTGAATTTCAAAGCCCTAGTGTTAAATGTTCAAAAGTTAAGGCCAAGGTCAACTTTTTTAAGGTGAACCAAACTATACGGTCAAGGTAAAAAATAAAAAAACCTTTGAAAGGTCTTGACCATGATAATTATTTGAAGTATGAAAGCCCTAGCACCAACTGTTCAAAATTTATGGCCAAGGTTAAATTTAGTAAAATTTTTGCAAAAGTAGATCAAACTCCAGGGTCAAGGTTAAAAAGTCAAATATGTTGGTACCCAAAGGAAGGTCTTGTCACAAGAAATACTCATGTGAAATATGAAAGCCATAGCTTCAACCAATCAAAAGTTATGGTCAATGTTAAAGTTTTTGGAGACAAACACACATACATACAGGGAAAAATCTATACAAACCCATGAATCTTCAATTATTGGGCATAAAATTGGATGCCTGGATTCACCATTCTGAAACAGAAGTTAGGGTTAGTTGGCCTTTTGAATGAAAATTTCCAATATCTATACAATGAATATTTTAGCAACAAACGGCTCTTTTCAGAGAAATATGGGGAAACTGGTTTGGTACTATTCCTTGCATTGTGCTGTTTGTATAACATAGAAATTAAGCCTGCTTTATATAACTCTTCCCAAATATTTGTAAATGTACAAGTAATTTATATATTTTATATTAGAACAAGTTATGATTGTATTGATTTTTAGTTTTTATCTATCTTGTATGGAGATAAATGTAGATGCACCCTAACTAAATGGACTTGTGTTATCAATGTAATGAACCAATCGTACTTTAAATTTTTAACAAGGTACATATATTGGAGGAAGTTGAAATAGGTAGCTTATGTCAATAAAGGGTAATAGGTACATTGTGTTGTCTTTATACATGTAGTAATATAATGATACTTGACTAGGCAGTTAAGTATCTCAGTACTGCTAAAGCTTGGTACCTTTTGTTGACTTAGATGGTAACATTATCATTGTTACTGTAGAAATTTTAGGAGAATTAGTAGGTTTAATTTTGTGCTAAGTGAAGAAATTATTAACAGTGATAACTAGGATGCAGCTAACATAATTGACTAAAACATTTTTAAATTTCTATACCATAATTTCATTTTGAAGAAAGGACCACTGATGTTATAAATATTGATTAGTAAAGGACATGCAACTGTCCATTTTTAAGTCTTTATAGTACAGACCATTAATCCATTTTCTGACTTTTTGTCTAGTACTACGTAAATATGCAGTGTGTATGTTTGTCATTAAATTGAAGATAAAGAGAGGACTATTTGTAGGGAGGACTGAGGGGTTGGGGCACCTGTTAATTTTTTGAATACTTAATTTATATTTTTTATTGCAGGCGGGAAGTCCTGAGAAGAAGGAGCACCTGTATAAGATTTTAGTGATAGGAGAACTAGGAACAGGAAAGACGTCCATTATAAAGAGATACGTCCATCAGTTCTTCTCACAGCATTACAGAGCTACTGTATCCTCTCTTACTTAATTTAATCTTACATTGATTTCAAAGTCAGGTTAAGTTAAAAAATCAAGGTTAATTTACATATTCCTAAACTGATAGACTTTTTGAATTGAAATAATTTTCTTGTTGATAAACTGTCTAGAAAGTAGCTAACTATTCCTACCAAGGATTTCTGATCCACTAATCACCTTAAGAAACCTTGGTCTATTATGCTATCAAAATAGGCTTGTTTTTGTCACATGATCTCAAATCTTACCTCAAATGTATAGCTTGTGATACTGACAGAAATATAGAGCATTTTTAAAAAAAGTAGTTATATAAGCAACAATTTACAAGCAGGTATCAAAGGATGTTTTATTTATATAGTGCAAATCTATATCTGTAATGTAAAATTTTCATAACATTCTGTGCACATCAACTTAAAGTTAGATGATGCCATAGCTATTTTCAGAGTGGTATGTTATCTTAATGATCAATGTTTACCTTTGTTTTTCATTCTCGAGATAGAGATATTATCATTTACAATGACTTTTACTGATTGGTTGAATGATATAAATGAAGTTGACTCCAATCTAAACTTTAAAAAAAAAAAAGTCCTGTTTTCTGATAGCATGATAGGCCAAGGGTTTGTTAGAAGAGTAGTAGTTCAGATACCATTGACTAGTGAAGATTGACAGAAGCCCCAATATTGAATATTTACTTCAAGCTGGAAAATAAGCCAGGGTTTATATAAGGGACATTGTTATATTTACACACAAATAAATTAATGTTTCTCCTTTCCTGTTACACAGACAAGTCTCCAAGAAAAGAATATGTTCTTAAAAAATTCATTATATTCGGGTGTTTTCCAGCATGGTTTCTTGAATTAAACTACCATACTAAAAAAAAAATTATGAGAACCCCTTGAACTAAGTTTTTAAATTGGAGGTCAAGGTCAATATACTTGTACAGTGAGTAAAACTGTCCTGAGTAGATTTTTTTCCTTCACCTGGAGCAACCGGGCTCACACTTAGGGCACCCTTGTGTAAAGTGAGACTTTGAACCAAGTTTCTAGGTCAGAGGTCAAGGTCATAGAAGATAACTGTGAAATCCTTGTTGTGAGTAGGGCTGGGACGATATATCGAGATATCGATATATCGTGATATATGTGGGGATGATACGCATATCGATGCATATGAAGAAATATGGAAATATCGCCCATGAAAATCTGACTTCTATTTTTCTTTGTTTATTTAACATTTGGAGTTTATATAAAATAAATAAGTTAAATATAAATATAGACATGAAATAAATAATAATTAACACCATTTGAGCAATATATTTTTGTTTTAGAACATATAAACAACTATTTTGAATAAATTATTCTAATTTTCAAAGAAATAATTTGTTTATTTCAATACAAAAAAAGATTTTATAAGCAATAAAACATATCGTGATACATATCGTATCGTGGCTCAAATATCGTGATACGTATCGATATAGAAAAAGTTGTATCGTCCCAGCCCTAGTTGTGAGCATATTTTCTCTCCCTTTGTCTATGCAGATCATACTTTACTCATAAAGTGCTTACTTTATATTATTGAAAGAGTTGCTTTAAACTTAAAGCCAAAAGTTTTGAATACATTATTACTTGTACAAGTAAATTCAGAACCAGTGCATGATGTGAACGTGTTTTTCTTAACTTCTGCTATCAGATTGGTGTAGATTTTGCCTTAAAGGTCCTGAACTGGGATGCAGACACAATTGTCAGATTACAGTTATGGGACATTGCTGGTATGTATGGAAATTCTATTTGATGGTTTTATGTAAAATTATTAAAGAAAGTGGCCTGATGGAATACATGTAATTCCATTTGATTATTTTTAAGGGGAGGGGGATTTTAGTTTATTTAGGAAATCAGATTGAGAATACAACGATAAATAATGAAATAATATTTTCCAGGTCAGGAGCGATTTGGAAACATGACACGGGTATACTACAAAGAGGCAGTAGGGTGTTTCATTGTGTTTGACGTTACAAGGGCTTCCACATTTGATGCCGTGGTAAAATGGAAGAGTGATTTAGACAGTAAAGTACAGCTTGCAGATGGTAGCCCCGTCCCCTGTGTTTTATTAGCTAATAAAGTAAGTTTTCCAATCACACTTTTTGTAGAGGGTGTGAATTCTAGGTGTAGGAATGATTTTTTTAAGTGACTTTATTTGATTGTCATGCATATTATATCGGTCTTGTGAGAAAGACATGATCATGTGTACTGACATTTATGGATGATGTATTATTATAACTATTGCTGTGGTCATGCAAAAAGAAGATAAATCATTATTGACCATTGTGCAGTGATGGCAGAAGCCATCATTAGATTGATTTATATAAAGAATACACTGATAAAATGGAAAAGACAAGCATTCAGTTGAAACAAGATAAACTTGAATAAGATGATAACTAGTTAGAGATTTATTCTCTTATGCTATTGTTCTTACAATATTTGTTTCTCTAAATAAACTTATTTTTATTTTTTACAGTGTGACCAAGCTAAGGAAGGTCTAGTAAACAACTCAAATCAGATGGATGATTTCTGTAAGGAGAAGGGTTTTATTGGTTGGTTTGAAACATCAGCAAAAGAAAATATCAACATTGATGACAGTGCAAGGTTCTTAGTTCAACGAGTAAGTACAGAATAAAACTTGAAAAAAAAAGTTAAAAATATAAGATTTGGAAAGGTTTTAAAAATATAAGCAGAGTCCAGAATTCTTCTTTATATACCTATATCAGTAAAAATGTGTACATTAGTTCAATGGCAGAGGCAATATGGAAAGATTTTTACAGTTTGGCAAATTTGACTAAACATATCTCGAAGCATGTATTTCAAACATTTTGCAGATATTAGAAAATGATAGCAACATAAAACGAGACGAAGAAGATCAGGATAAGATAACTCTTGACAGCCGGCAAAACATTCTAAAAAATCCAAAGGAGAAGGGAGGATGCTGCTGATGTCACAGCTGAATAAACTTAAATGTTTATGGATGAGTGAAAACATTATTTTGTATGGATGAGAGAGCACATTGAGTTGTTATGGATGAATGAGCACAAAAATTTGTTTTGGATGAGTGGAATAAGTGAATGAGAAGATGGATGCGCTTAAAATGAGATATAACAAGATATTGAGATACAGAAGAACCATTGAAACATCATGTACATGTATGTTAAGACAATGCAATGTTTGTGTGTATGTGTGTTACTAAGTTCAGGTAGTAGTGAATGCTATCTTTGTACACCACATCCAAAGTTCATTTTTTTTTTTATTTGTACAACATGAAAATGCTTATTATTGTCTTTTATAGTAATTCTTACTTACTCTACTTTTTACTTCAGAAGATTATGTTGTCAGTATGTTCTGCTTTCAGAGGTTTATATTCTTATTAGTTGCCATATTTAACTCAGAATGTGCCTTAAACATGCACTTATTTGAGAGAAATGGTAATTTTAAAACAGAAGAATTTTAGTGTTATTTATTATAATCTACTTGTTTATGAATAAAAACAATGCAAGTATATTGAGTTATTCTAATTATAGTGTAGTGAGAGGCATAGATATTTTAGAATGTGTTCATAGTAGGTTTACATCTAATTATTAAAATGCAGTTGTGTTTTGTTTTTTCATAAATTTCATTTATGCGTGAACCAAACTGTGCATACAAATACATTTATTTAAAAAAAAAAAATGCACAAGGACCCACTTAATCTTGGTTGTTGACAAATGGTTAGATTAAGACAATGCTGTCAAGATGGAGATTTGTTCTTTCAGTTTTTAGAAATTTTTGAAGAAAATGTGAAGTTAGACAATGCAAAAAGTTATTTTTCTCCATAGGATAAAAGATAAATCTTGGAGAAAATAGTTCTCATAGGCTATCATTTTTAGATTAAAATTTTAAAAGATCAGTTCAGTAATTATGGTGATTAATATTTGTATATATATTGTTGTTTTGCTGTAAAAAATCTTTTTTGACTACCTGTCATTAAAATTTTCAGGGAGTAGAATTCAGTGCCAAACATTGTAGGTTAAATTTTTATGTTTGGAGGAGTAGGGTGATCCCTTCTTTTAAGGAACATACTGTCACATCATAAAAAATAAATCAAATTTCTTAAAGAACTTGATATTCAAGATTTGCTTATGGGAGGTTTATAGGGGTTGATGTCAGTTTGTTTTATTTTACATCTATTGAAGATTCCAAGACAATCAAATTGGTCAATTAAGTAGTTTTTCTGGCAAGTTCTGTTTGTTTTCTTCCAAACACCATCACATAAAGTGTACAATGAATACATCATTTTTTTCGGAGTATGTCATGTCTTCCTGTAAAATTTTAGCTTTCAATTTTAAAAGTGTAAACACAGGATTATCCATGTGTATAATTTCATGTCACTTTCATTTTTTTCGTTTTACATGCTGATGATACTTTATGGAAACTATTATTCTTTCACATTGTTTTAATGCCAGAGAACTCTCCTACTATGCAGGGTTTTATATTTGTCAGAAATACTCATTTTACATTTAGAAGCTCAGTTTTAAGTTTGAAATAGGAAACAGTCAATAATACAAACATTTTCTTGTCCATGGTAAAATTGTGGTTGTGATCTGTTGAACATTTAAAATATAAATACAGGAAATAATTTAAATTGCATATGAAGTGAACATTTTTGCTTCTTTAACATCTGTTCATGTACTGAATAATCACCAATTATTTTAATGGCATCGAGCTCTAGTTTTCCATTGATATGTTTCCAACATGATGCATAACTAATTATACACCTTCAACAGATTGAAGAAATGATTCAGTTTATTGTACTTTACTTTATTTTCTTGTAAACTTTGAGTAAATCATGATACCTGGTTTTATACATTTAACACTAGATTGTTTTACAAAGAAATAGAAAAACAGAAGATGTAATCCTTTTTCCAAGAAAATGCTATCAATTTTTATTATTGAGCATTATCTGACTCTTTCAAAATGTATACATGTTTTACTAATAGTAAACTTTAGAAATGTAATTACTTAAAGAAACATTTACTCTGTAAATGACACAAACCATATTGCCTAACTTATTTTTATCTCATATAATTATATTATATTAATGATAATCAGTTGTAACAGCAAGAATATGTTTTTTGGCGAATTTGTATACTGAATGCATGTTTTGATGTGAATGTTTTGTAAAATTTAATTTGTATAATTTTTGGTTAATACAGGTATGTACATAAATGTATGTAAGCATTGTTGAAAAAAAAGTTATATACCATAAATTTTACAAATAAAATAAATTAAATAATATATAAGAGGCATTTCTATTTTTTGTCATTTCTCTGTAAGTGCATATATATATATATATATATATATATATATATATATATATATATATATATATATATATATATATATATATATATATATTCTCTTTAAAAAAAAAATGTCAAATACATCCCCCTTTCTTTCTTCCGAAATTATATTAGGATGACAAGAAAAAAATGTTCGTCTTTTGTTGGAAGATTTTAAAAAGACCAATACAAATATACAGGTTTATCCACAACATTACTTGAGTTCAAAGTATATTCATATAGACATGGAGGGATCGAGTAGGATTCTTTCTGCACTGAAAGTTATACGATTGTGCTGTACACGTGACCATACTTAATTGGAAGGTCACATGACTGATCATATGACTTGTCAATAACAAACCATGGCTGATGCAGGCGTGAGATACCGAGACAAAGTAACGATCGTCACGGGAGGAAGCGCTGGAATTGGAAAGGGGTGTGTCCAAGTGTTTGGTACGTATGCACTTAATCTTGTTACAGGCGCCCGTTGCATGTCTTGCATACATTTATCAAAAAGAGACTTAAATTAGCCTGTTAGCTATTCCGTTATCAGTGGAGAATAGCAGTTATCAAGCTATCTCTCTCGAGTCACAGTTCCTTATCAATCGAGGTCAAAACAGTTTGGTTAATCCAATAATACAGTGCTTTTTACGGATTAAGCTGGACCAGGGGTGTTTTACAGCTGTATTATGTAGTAGGGTTAAAGGTTGGATAAGCAAATCGATTCCTATTTAAGAATGCAACACCCCCACCCCTCATTTGTCCATAATTTCAAAAGAGGGATAGACAAGATACTGTACCTGCAAAATAAATCGACCCCCTCCAATAAAGGGAAAAAAGGTCCACGGACCACAATGCTCACTTGAAACTGGTCCTAATTGTTAACTGTAGTTTCGGTTTATACTATGATGAACATGTGAAGTGTGAAAAATAGGGGGAAAAGTCGAAAGCTGATAAAGTAAAGATATTGTGAAGATAAAAATATGTAACAGAGATGATAGATTTGATTTCATAAAGCATGCAGGCCTGGCCCCCCCACTTTTTCTCCCGACATTACCTTTACTATAGAAAATGTGTACTGAAAGGAAGGTTGGCCCCCCCACATTTCAGCACAGTGTAGTATTATAAAGAGATTGACCCCAAAAAGTTTGTTTTGTAAATTGGTGGTCTTGAAAAAAGTTGGCCACTACCCCCCCCCCCCCCCCCCCCCCCCCACGAAATAGGATTTTCGACTTTGGGGAATTTTAATTTTAATTTTTCGTTTTTTTTTTTTTTTTTTTTTTTTTGCTTGTCAACTTTTTCAGGTAAGTTCAGGTTGGCCCCCCCACTTTCAAAAACGATGCTACGTGCCTGGCATGTGATAAAATATAAATCCTAAAATCATTTTTTATAATCATGGTTAAATCAAGGATTGTAGAAATGGTATAACCTGCCTTATTTATAATTTTATCAAAGGCACATCAATTCAAAAAGAATTTCAGTATACCAATGGGGTCAGGAACGGTACAAATCACATGACTCGATAATGAAACTAGAAAAAAAGTAAATAAAGGAGTATTCATCGTCGCAAACCACGGCCAAAATGCACGGTCCTCTCCTGTTCTGGTAGAAGAAATTAAGCTATATGCGGATTCCAATGCAAACTGTGGCTTGAGACTATGGGGAAAATGAAATTTTATCTGTTCATTTTTGTGTCTGTACCTTTGGTATTTCTTTTAGAATTCACGTACAAATTAAACAACAACCCAGGAAATTTGTATCTTAGAACAATTTAGATTGACGTAACAAACCGATACGCTTCTTTTAAAACGACTGTATTAAACATATAATTCATAATTTTTTTTAGTGAAACATGGTGCTAAAGTTGTGTTTTGTTCAAGAGGAGGTAATCCACTTTATTTTGATTTTTATTGATATATAAATTTCTAAATTTGATTTTCAGTAAGTTTCTTATCACATTTATTAAAGAAATGACATCAAAATAAAATAAAAAAGAAAAAAAAGGCAGTTATTGTTTTAATTCTATGAAATATGTATCACCACAGAGGCTGCGGGGAGGGCCTTGGAAAGCGAAATGAAGACCATGGGTCCCGGGGAAGCTACATTCATTCCGTGTGACGTCAGCAAAGAAGACCAAATCAAGGTTAGATAATGGGGCGCCATCGTCGGAACCCACGGGTGAAAGTCGTGGCTTCCGACGATAATGGGTCGCATATTTTATAAATTATAGAAGATCGAACATTTCTTAAATTAATTCTTAAAAACAGATGTTGAAATATAATAAATTCTTTAACTGAGGATACGATACAAATTTTTTTTTCAAATGATCAAATTATTTTTTCTTTCTATCTGACAGAATGTTATTGACAAAACAGTGGAAAAGTATGGTAGGATAGACTGCCTGATAAACAATGCAGGACAGCGTAAGTGTGCCCCTAAATTATATTTCCTCATTCTTATTCTCTATAGCTGTAATGTTTCTGCTTTTAATCAATTAAAAAAAAAGAACGCAAAATTTCAATTTACACGGAGTTAAAATTACTTTTTATTTCTAGATCCACCTAAAACATGGATAGACGACTTCTCAGCAGACGATTTCCGGCGCCTTCTGGATACAAATCTTGTTAGCTATTTCCTGTTTTCAAAGGTAATTTTTACATGTTCAGCGTCCAGTACGTTGATTTAATAATGGTGTTGGGATGGATGCAGTAATATAGATGAGACTAACCCATAATTCTTAATAATGAATTTTTAGAGTTATTTTTCTTGGTTTAATAAAAAAAAACATTTTTCATCCAGTTATTTAGGATTCTTGGTGATTAAAGAACATAATAGAACATATGGAATCCATATAGGCCCATGAGTTCATTATCGTGTCACAGAGTATCGACTAGGTGCGATGCGATGACGATGAAACTATATGCTGTGATAGCGCGAAATCTCGATGCGATCGTGCAAGATCACGATGGAACGATACTTAATATCGCTTCATCAACATCATACCATTGCGCCATAGTCATCGCTCAATCGCATCGTCTTCATGGTATTGTTGCCCCATCGCATCATCGTTGTCGCGTTAACGCTTCATCGACATTGCATTATCGCTTCACTGCACAATCGATGTAAACCTCGATGATGCGATAGTAAACTACATGACCCTTTCTTAATTCAGTAAAATATTCAATTCTCCCAACTTCATATATTGTTTTTTTTATATATCTGTGTAATTTTTTTTTCAAAGATTCTTAATTATTGTTGACGTCTTGTAAGCTGTTGAATAGAAGCATTCTCTTTCACTTTTTTTAATGACGTATCGTTTTTAATTTGTTCCCCCTTTAGTATGCTTTACCATATCTGAGAAAGACGGAGGGGAACATCATTAACGACTCCAGTTTGGTGGGACAGATGGGACAGCCGGGAGCCGTTACCTATGTGGCTACAAAGGTATCATGTATATTAATGAAAGGTATGGACTTATGACCCTGCCGTCTAGTGACCATCTTCTTTACTTTTTTTGGAAAAAGAAAAAAAAACTTTTATTCATATGCGCATCATCTATACATGTATTTGATTCAGAGAGAATTCCTCTAAAGTTTTCGACTCATTTAGTTTTGAAAAATGAAGTTCTTGCAGGATCGATCGCAACTCATTTTTTGGTTAGTTCTTTCTCTGTCCCATTGACTATATTGTTAATTCTGTTTATGTTGAACTGTTCGAATTCCCTTCATTAAACTTTTATGGCCAAAACTAATGATTAGGTCAAAACGTAACGGCAGTCAGATTTATCTGTCCTACACATATCATGCATATTTACGAAATGTCTATTCCTGTAGAAATTCTGGCAATACAAAAAAAAAAATCATTCGTGTGCAAGCTTTAAGTCAACATTTTCTAAAAATTATTTCGCAAAATGTATGCCAAGCAGTGCTGGTACAAATTCATTTTTAGGGAAATCAGCTCTACCTTTTCAATATGGAGAGAAACTTATAGTACTTCACTTTGGGCGCGTACACACTGAATTTTTGCAAATATGTCTGTGTTAAGTAGATCTATATAGTATATTGACATTAAAGAAAAGTGGATATTTTTGCGAACGCTAATAATTAACCTGTGAAGTACCAATTTATATACGGGAGAGAGAGAGAGAGAGATTTTAAAACAAAGAGAGAAAAAATTATAATAACATCATGAATGACCTCATGTATAGAAGTTCTTCAATTTTAGGTGACTTTTTTTTAATGATTTTTGTTTACCTTTCTGTTTTACAGGAAAGATTCTATTCATTTTCTCTTTCAAAAATTATTGCAAAATAAGATAAGTCGCGCGATTTTTTAGATTTTCTTACTGACAATTTTTCGTGCAGGACTTTTCTTTTCAATTACCAGGGTGCAATCACTGCGATGACAAAAGCTCTTGCAATAGACGAGGCCAAATACAACGTCAGAGTTAATGCGTGAGTATACAACCATGTTTATAATCAATTTTCAGAAGGTTTAGCCGTTTTGAAATAGAAAATAGAGGTATAACATTAATACCAATGGTCTTTTTAGAAAACCTTGATTCTCCCCTTAGTTTCTTAGATTTTACCGACTCCTCTCGCTTGAAAAGTTAATTTTCTGACATCAGGAAAGTATAGTCAAATCACAAAGATAAAGGATACGAAATGGACAAGTACCCTGACCTTTGACTTTTGACCCTCAAATGCACATATGTAACATGATTCAATTGGGCATGTGTCATCTCTGAAAAAAATATCTTAAAGAATGAAGGATAAAACAATATTCAAATATATCCATCTTTGCAAGCCAGGGATTTTCGGTCCGCTAGGGATCCCATTAATTCATTTGCTTGCGAAAAAGAATCATCAATATTGATGAATGCAAATAACCATACCCCCTTGCAAATTCAACTTTGTTGCAAGTAGTTTACAACGTTTTGATGGAGTACGATTTTTAATTTGACATTTAGTGCATATGTTTTATGAATCTTGTCAGTTTTTCCCCTGGAAATGTATGGACGCCAATGTGGGAGAGGGAAACAAAGGAATACAGCGATCCTGAGGCTGCCAAAAAAAGTGGCGCAGATTGTCAGGTGTGTTTGATTTAGAATGCTTGATGCAACATTTTCAGAATAAACTTGGTAATTATGTATTTTAACAACATGAACTTCAGCCTAGGTTTCAAATTTTTGTCTTCAGATTTGTTTTTTTTTTCCTTCTTCGTGAAATCTCTTTTAATTAAAATTCCTGTTTCTTGTTTCTCTTGCAAAACGTTTGGGTTACACGTGGAGACTCAAAGGTTTTACATAACCAATGAGAAGTCCAAATCACATCCTTTATATGAATGTATCAACCCCCAACATCTGCCATGTCAGCTGCAAATAACCGCAACGATGCGAGGTACTGGTACATTTGTGATGGTATTATTTTGTAGGTGTGTGGACGGTACGGTACTATAGAGGAGGCCGGGCTTTTATGTCTGTTCCTGGCGACAGACGCCACATTCTGTACGGGTATTGACATTAACCTCTCCGGCGGAGCAGAGCTCAGTTACGGGGTCAAAAATATGCGCCTCTCAGACTGAAATAACGGAATTTCCTGTGAATTCACTGCCTGATTTGTGCAATAATATTTTTTGTTAAATAAAGCATTTCATTTACATAGGTTCAGCTTGATTCTGTTAAATAACATATGTATATCGTGTATTTTATCAAACATGCATTGGAGAAATTCTATAGATTCTCTTTAAATGCAACAAAAGGTTATATTTGCCCCATAATGGCATTTTAAGAACTCCCTTAACAATATATTGCACGTGTGAAAAATGAAAATGTGTGAAAATGAAAATTTATTCATATTTGAATCTTCAGTTTAAAGCATTGATTTTTTTGTTTTTTTTTATTTACTGATTAACTTATACAGACATGTACTGTACAATTAGGGTAAATTGCATTTGCTAGTTCTAATTTTTTTTTTATTTGAAGGAATGTCAAGAAAAAATGCACACATTTATGCCTTTATTCAATTTAATTATACGCGTGTGTATACATATGTTGGTCAATGGTGATTTGTTTACTTTCACGATAAGTACACACGACCCATTGTTTTTGTTCGCGATATGGAGCACCATAACAGTTTTAAACTTTTGACCCTCTCTACTTAATTCCTGTTCATTTCGGACTTTCGGGAATAGGATGAAGCGTCAACTTCTGGTCTCAAACATCCATTTTCTTTTGCCGCCTTTCCTTTAACACCTACTTTGAAAGCGGCTTCAGCTTCTTGCAGGTGATTATTTTAACAAAGGGGTCTTGATCCTGCCTTTTGTGTGTAAATTTTGATTTTATCTGGCCACCGGCGATCAAACCCTAATTTTTTTGGTTGTTTCTTACAACAGGTCACCTGTCAAATCCAGGGCATGGTACGGCACCAAATGTAACGGGAGAGGAGAAATGCAGCGGACAGGCCCTTTTTTTCCAAACACAACTTTTTAATATAAAAAGCTAATCTGGCCACCGGCGATTGAACCCCCCTGACCGCCACATGTGTTTTTGCACTGTTCAAAGAAGTTGAAACTTAACCACCTAACCCTCCTCAAGTTTTAAGGGGGGAATTTAAATTATTCTTTGGCCCCCAGTGGGTCCAGGGCAAAGCCCCCCCCCCCCACCCCACACACACGTTTTTTCAAACTGTGATTTACGTTAATTTTGACAATTTTAGGGGGGGGGCTGCGCGCGCCGGGGGGCGCCCCCCCTTAAATCCGCCACTGGGGTGGGGTGGGGGTGGGACTGCCCCTTTTTTCCGAACATAACTTTTTAATATAAAAAGCTAAAAGTAAATGCATTTTTTGCACTGTTTAAAGAGGGAAACTTTTAACCATCAAGTTTTAATCAGGAATTTAAATTATTCTTTGCCCATCCCCCCCCCCCCCCACACACTTTCAAAAGCGACGCTACATCACTGTACAAGAAAGTAAATGCATCGAAATGCTTGGGGAAACTTTTAAATCAAGGTAACGTAAACTTTATATTTTTAAAGAGAAATATATATATATAAGCTGTTAAACGGCCCAGTGTTTATTTAAAGTTGTGTTTTAAATTAATACCAAACTATAAAATTTAATTATTAGTTTTCTGCCCCCTCCCCCCCCCCCCCATTTGTATATTTGAAAAAAATTATGCTGCAACAATGTGATTCATAACTTGATTCATTATTGGTCAGCTACTCCGAGAACTCGATAATCTTTACCATAATGCCTTTCCGTACTCTGGTTATACGAAAAAAAAAGCCTCAGGGTTACTGACTAAGCGCGTGCATATAAATAGAAGACCTTGTTTACAACGAACAGTACTTCCAAACCGCCACATAGACAAAGAAGACAAAATGAAGGAAACTAATTGTCGAGGGAGGAGTTTTACCAGTGTTCCCCGAGTCCAGAGGAACAACCGGACAGTGTCCGAGGGTGAGTGCAATAAGTCCTGCATTGTCTGGACATATTTATTGAACGGGAATATTCCATATGGACATATAAAAATACTGCATTCTGTCAATGTCAGACTGTTTTGTTTACATTCATGATTGTGCCATCTTTTTTATACAATGATTTTATCAAATGTTCTCTCTAGGCTATTAAACAATATAAAGTGCTGAATTTGTGGGGTAGGCTTATCGTTTAATTAAACCGCTTTGGGGTTATAATGATTTAATGCTATGTTCCAACATTTGTAGAATTAATAGATGAATAATCATTATAGCCTTCATCCGGCCTCTTCCTAATATGTTAATATGAAACGTGGTTTTTACAGTACTGACGTAATGATAAAAAAAATGTTTGGAAATCAAATGAAATTGCACTTGCCAACATTCTTTTCGTTTTCCCAATCTCAGTGTATACATACTGCACATTGTAAATAATGTACGGTCTGTATGAATGGTGTATTCAAGGTCGTCTGAACAATTTTATGTCATTAATCACGACAAACAATAGTTTACAACGTAATGCCATGATCGTCAGCAATATGACCTTTAAAACCTCACCAGGTAAAAAGAGAGAGAGAATCGCTCAAAACGTACTTGGAGTTTCAATTTTATATTAGAGTCGTTATGATGCATTCTTTGCAATCCTTGTAAGTTTCAGTATCTGTATTATTTATATTTTTGTATTCCATCTGGCCCAGTTCAGTTGAATTCTTCCTTCTACTTTTGACATTCGTGGTACATTTGTACAAATTTTGAGTGAAGTGGCGTCATAGGAAATAGTGCTAGACCATATTCAAATGTACAAATGAATATTTCCTACCATGGGCATGAATGGAAGTGAATTAGTAATGCAGTGCAAAAATGAAAGAGAGAGAGAGAGAGTGCGAGACTTTTACCAGTAAACTAAATCCAAGTTATTGGTGGTATATAAGTAAGCTCTACATTTGTACTGGACTTGAAAACTGTATTCTGACACCCAGATCTTCTTTATATGAAAGCATTTAATAATTCAAATTTAACTACATGGTTAACACAATCTATTCACAGATTTATGTGAAAATACATATGTTCGAGATATAAATTTATTCTGTACATTCTTTTTCGTCAACATCAATAATGAACATATAAACTAAAAATAAATAATTCAAAATGCAGATTTTCCTTCTCAGAAACATTTGAGCATGATCAAGTCATTTGTTGATTATCAGATATAGAGTTACGCACCTTTCCTCATCGGGATCTTCAAAGAAAATCGCGAAAAAATTTTTGCATGATTGTCATTAAACTCACCTAAAACAAATTTCAGTTTTAGTTAAGTACATATTTTATTTATTATACATGAATAAGATTGAACAGCGGGCATGAATGCAAATTATCGTTCTCTTTATAGATCTTTTAACCAAATCTAAGGTGATTAAATTTTTCATTTTCTTTTTCAAAATGTTTCCGAAAAAATCAAGAAATCTGAGAAGACTGTTGAATTTTCCTTGAATTTTTGTTTTGCAGGAGACACTGGAAACGAGGCAACGATGCCGCCAGAATATAGAGACGTGTGGATGTCGTTCAACAGAGTTCTTAGCATTTCTACAGAGAGACTGGTTCACCGGGATGAACGCTGCCTCAGTCAAGACGGAAACAAACACGCTACGCACATTTGATCAGATTTCAATCCCATTGAGCCAAGCAGAACATTGTACACCGGTGTAGGAACTGTTTTTTGTGTTTGTCCGAGTCTGGTTCTAATGACTCTCTTTAAAACTTATCATCGGATTGCAAGGAAGTCATTTTACGACTTTGTAAACAAGGGTCCCGCGCTCAGTCACAGTCACGTGACTTTTGCGATAACCCATAAACGTTCCATTGTCCACTTAATGTAATTCAACCAAGTGTTTTTTTTTACAAACAATTTTTTATTGTGAACAGGATGTATCACAATAGCTTTTTTGTATATATTTCATATATTATTTGAGTTATTAAAAACATCTGTATATAGTACTGGAACTTCGATTCTTTCATGTTTTCCGAAACCATTTTGTGAAAACGTCATTGCTTGTCTCGTTAAAGCTTCCAAGATGCAAGTTTTAGACAACCTAAGACTTTATTTTTTTGGTTATCTGCTTTCAAATTAAAGTGAAAGCTTAGAAATGATGCATGTATTTTTTGTTTAAAATGATGGGTTCACTTAATAATGATCACCAATTAATATTCGAATTTATACATGATTTCACCAATTCCAACAAATAAAATCGCTCTATTGAAAAGAAACATTACCTGTATTTGTTTAAAGAAGTATTTCAAGTCTACATGAGAATTTTATCAAGTACTGTAATTGGCTGAAACCTCAAGTGTGCTTAATGCATTTCAGTCTGTAAACTTTTCACATTTCCGACTTCTTCTCGAAAACCACTGTGTCAGTTTCGACCAAACTTGCCATAAAGTATCCTTGAGTTAAGGATAAAAAAGTTTGTTCAAAAGAAGTCTATACCCTCTTTCAAGGGAGAGATTATATAAAAAAAAAATTGTGAAAATTTGATGGCATCTTAAAAAAATCTTATTATTAAAAAAAAAAACAAACCGGTACAAGAACCAGTGGTCCAGAAAAGTTGAAAAATCTCAGAAAGCTTCCTTACAAAGTGTAGATTAGTAATTTGATCAAATAGCGACCGGGGGGCTGGGTGCGACTTAATTGAGGATCTAAGTTTTATGTAATACCATATAAGTGGAAATTTAAGCGAGGCGCAAATTTAGAGATTTGTCCCTAAAAACTGGTATTGTATTTTTAGCGAGATGTCATTTTAGCGATTTTAAAATGCATACTAAAGAAGCTATAAATAATAAAACGCAATTAATTTTTAGCGATATTCAATTTTAGCGATCTCGGCATCCTCGCTAATAATGCCAAAATTAAATCCTCGCTAATACGGTATATAGGAAAATCTTTCAAAATCTTCTGATGAAGAGCAACAAAGCCATGATCAGTAATATTACAATGAAAGGATCCTCAGGTACTGTAGATTCAAGTTTATTAAATCATGTAGGGTGGAGCTATATTGAAGGATCACATAAGAATAAACAGAAAAAATATTTTGAAGGATTATTCTGAAAAACATCGAAGTCCCTGCGTGCCACGGTGGTTAGAGCGTCTTCTAGATTCGCGGAGAAAGTAGTCGGTTGAAACACA